GTAGGCGATAGTGTCTTACTGAGTACGGAGCATATCACTGTCGCAGCTCACGCAAACCGACCCTCCAAAAAGTTAGAACCAAAATTCATTGGACCATTCAAAATCATAGAGAAGATCAACGACAACGCGTACAAGCTCGAGCTACCTCCGAACATGAAACAACACCCTGTCTTCAATACAGATTTATTACGACATTATCACGAATCCCCGGAGAATTTCGGCGAACGAGCACCTGCCAGACCCCCACCAGATTTAGTCGATGGCGAAGAAGAATATGAAGTGGAAAAGATTCTGGATTACAAACTATTTGGCAGAACCCCCAAGTGGCTCGTGAAATGGAAGGGATATCCTGACGAAGAAGCAACATGGGAACGGAGATCCTCACTAGTTAATGCAAAAGAAGCACTGGAGGAATTTCAAAAAATGCAACAGTAACACCAAAATTATTTTTCTCTGTTTCTTTTTTCTTCCTTTCTTCTTTTACTATCTCCTTTCCTCTCTTCCTCTCTTCCTTTTACCTCCCTTCTCTGCCCACTCCAGCATGGTAACAACCGCCATTTCCTCCATCAATCGACGACGTTCCCGTGCTCGCTCTTCTACACTCACATCCTGGGTCTGCAATGCACGAAACTCAAACGCTATCAGCGAAGAACACTCTCTTATCATCGACAGCCTCGGTCCCTCATGACGACTCCTCTTCCGTCGCCTCTCCGGCTCCTCAGGACCATCCTCTCCATCAACAGCTTCCCACTGTGCATTGTCACTCGTCGAACTTACAGAAGCCAAACGGACCCCAGCCCCCTCCACTCCCGACGTCGCTGAAGTACTCGACTCCACATGATCTCTGGCTTCCCTCACAGTTGGCGAATCGCCCACCTCAGGATACTCCTCCTTCGGTAGCATCCGCCCCAAGATTACAGGTGAAAGACGTGGAGACAATTCCAACCTCGTATCTAGCTCTTCCTCCTGAGGCACAGAATAAGGCTGTGTGGCGTCAGGGTCATCTGAAGAACCCTGGGAGCTTGGTACCGCCGACCGCTGTGTCAATACAACTTCAGAAAATACGCCACCAGAAGGAGCACGACCTTTACGCGGTGGCATTGGATGAGAAGCCTTGCGTGAAGACATCATGGAGACTTTTTTCCTTTTTTTTGAAATAAGCAAAGAGGAATGAGGAAAGAATGCAACACGAACTCACCAACTCCATCGCCACTCATTCACCCATCCTCATCCACATGATCTGCATGAACCGCATGACCAGTAATTTTAACCAATCAGACATCACCACATCAATTTTTTTTTATTTATTATTTTATTTATTTCTCCTCTCTTCTCTTCGTTTTCTTTATTTCCATCAATTTTTTTTTTCTCTTTTCTTCTTCGATTTATGATCTCCTTCATTTTTGACGGGAAGGATGCAAACGTGTTATACAATACTGACTCAAACCTTTGAGGAGGGCTCAACTATCACGCGCACCCCAGGCGCCAAGACGCCAAGCCCAAGTGCCAAGACACCAAGCCCCAACCCTATCAATTATCAGTATAAATAGTCCACTACGTTATAGCCAAATAAAGTATCCTTTGACCTTCGATTCCACCTAAGATCACCTTTGATTGTTACTATTTACAGGAGTAAAGCACAGATGGACAGGATCAATATCATTCTTACAGGCGACAAGGAAGCTGGAAAAGACAAGGACGATGAATGGCCTGATAGAGAAACGCTGTGGAGAGTTGAAGTCGGCAACAGGGAAAATGATAGACAAAGTGCTGGGACGTGGTGGCGGTAAAGTGACAATAGACCGGATCCAGGACGACGAAGGTGGTGTCACAGTGAATATTCTAGAGCCACAGCAAGTTAAAGAGAAGGTACGGGCATGGTTCGACAAGTGGCACGGACCTAGGCCGTCAAAACCGCTAGAGCCGGGTTCGAGATGGCAGAAGCAATATAGACCTCAGAGGTGGATCAAGAGTGAATGGTACGACGGCCTGATGGATCCACCAAGCAGAAATGAGTTTTCAGCTGTGGTCCTGGATGCACCCAAAAACAAGGCAGCTGGTGTGTCAGGCATTACGAACGAAATGATCCAACACCAAGCACCGCAGGGGCTCTTTATCCTCTTCCAAATCATAAGTGCCACTATCGTGCAAGAAGACGTCCTCAAGGATTGGAAGACGGGGCTCCTCTATTGCATACCAAAAGCTCCAGAATGGTCAGGAAACATGGCAGAGGTAAGGCCGATAGCTTTGTTGGAGCACGCACGGAAAATAATGTTTGCAGTAATAACAAATAGGTTAAGCGCGATCATGGCCAGGCACGATATTCTACGAGGACCAAACTTCTCTGTTCTTAAAGGTACTACCACTAAGGATCCAATCCATATCCTGCAAGCGGCAATGGAAGACGCAAGAGAGTTCAAGAAAGAACAGTGGAGTGTGTTCCAAGACATGAAACGGTGTTTCGACTCTGTCAACTGCGCGCCCGATGGGATGCTTTCTCGCGGACTAAGACGGCTCCAAGTCCCTGAACAGTTCATACGCCTATGTGAAAACATCGCCATTTCCAAAGTGAACAGGGTGATTACTGAGTACGGACCAACTGACGAGTATCATCCAGAGTGCGGTTTGGATCAAGGTGGAGTGGAATGTCCGCTTTTATGGAGAATAGCATATGATGCACTCCTGTGTGAAATTATGGACCATAGCACTGGATATAGTCTAGAGGGACCAAGAGGGACACCATCAGTTGCTGGCCTTGCTTTCGTAGATGATACTACATGGATATCGGACTCCAAAGCACATATGCAGGAGATACTTGACATTGCAACGACATTCTTCATTCTTAACGGGGTGGAAGTGAACGCCAAGAAAACGCAGGTCATCTGTATCAACAGCAAGCAGGATAGGAGGAGCACGCTGAAATTTGGGACACCTACAGAAGAGATCCGACCAGTGGAAAAGAATGAATCGGTACGGATTCTTGGTGTTTGGGTCACAGCAACAGGAAATCCAACAGCAACACAGCAAATAGTGGAGCAGGAAATAGAAACGACCTGTAACATTTTCCGGTCCAAAGCCCTGACAGATCGGCAGACAACGTACATATCAGACTGGATGGTCGTCAACATGCCTGCAGGAACGCTTTTCGTTTTCTTTTTATTGAAACTTCAGGAGCAAGGCTGCCTCGATTATTCTCTACAACAGAACACTCCAACTGTTCCTTGTAAGGATCTTTAGTCTAGTTGCTGAGAGGTTGTGTCTTCTGTGCAGCGTGTGCTTGCTGTTTCTATTTTTTTTTTTCTTTTTTTTCTTCACCCAGCTTGGGCTTAGCAGCAAAGCCGGTGGGATTCAACGCCCGCGTCTCAATCTGGGGCGAGAAAGGTTGTGCATGCTACGCGTGCTGTTACGTACCGAGGTTTGGGAGTGCGGCTCAGGTGCACTACCATTTTTATTCATAAGGTCAGAGTATTACGTGACGGTCATAGAGAGTCCTTAATAAAAGGCTCTCGTTTGACAACAATAATAAAAACAACTTTTGATCTCCTTGACTTCGGACTGACCATAAAATATCTCACGTGCTACGCGTGCTTTGCTCTTTTTTCTTTTTCTTTTTTTTTTTTTTCTTTACCCAGCTTAGCTTGGGTTTAGCAGCAAGGCCGGTGGGATTTAGCGCTCGAGTCTCAATCTGGGACGCTACGCGTGCTTTGTTGCTTCCTCTTTTTTTTTTTTTTTTTTTTTTTTTTCCCTTCATTTTTTATTTATTTAGTTATAAAGCCCGCCGGTGCATGTGGGCTACATCGCTTCCTCCTCTAGTCATCAAGTTGTAAACAAAAAAGTCTGTTCGCCATCAAGTACAGTTACGGAGACACTGAAGTACCATCCTGTTATTGTCTGTGCGTCTTCCAATGCCATGCTGAAATGGCTTGGATTCTAATGAATAGTTTACTTTGTAGTGTTTAGGATTCTTAAGAACATACAATTGCAATGACAAGCAGCCTTTCATCTTTCCACACACAATTTAAATCAGCGATGCTCGTCCCAGGCAAGAATATCTGTAACAGTGATAATCATCCATGGAGCAAGTTACTAGCCAATTCGTGTCCGAGACTCAGCATGCAAAAGTTCCTCATTGTTAGCATTCTTAAAGTAATAAATAACATACACGCTTTAACTGGTGCGAAAAAAAAATAGTAAATATCTCACTTTTATTGGCGACTATCTCGCCCCTATCGGATCTTTAATATATTCTGACTGAAAGTACTACCTAGGCTCATCACCAGCTTGTGTGGCTTATGTGCATTGCACTAACGCTCAACTGACAGGCTGGGATCAAACTTGAGATTTTAGAAGGGGTCAACATTTTTTTCTTCAAAAAAATTATCTGTCGTACAAACGGCGGGGAAATGGCCTTTTTTTTTTCTAAGTCGAAATATGCCAATAGAAATTGACCCCCCTAAAATCTCAAGTTTGGTCCCAGCCTGTCAGTGAGCGTTAGTGCAATGCACATAAGCCACACAGGCTGGTGACGAGCCTAGTTGGACTATGGAGTCTCTCTAGGGAAAAAACACGCGAAAGGTTTGGTCGCTTGCCCCGTCCCTTGAAAAACATGCATGCACTTTGTGTTCCGTTATCGTTCCTGAATGTTTGAATTCTTTGCCTCTACACATATAAAAAGTCTCATCTTTTTTTTTTTTTTTTTTTTTTTTTACAGAATATCCGATCCTAAAAACTTGCTCCCATCTTCAGAATCACAATGTCTATTTCTAAAACAGCCGTTTTAAAAGAGTTCATTCTCCCCAATCCAGAGGATTTGAACATAACCACGTTCTTTGATTGACTCAGAGATATTTATGAAATCTCATATAATGACAGGCAAACCTGGGGACAAGCTTATAAAAAGTTTGCGAGGTCAAAGGGAGGAAGCTATAGCTCCGAGAAGGGAAAGATGAATACCTTTCTGAGCACTAAGGAGGGAAAAGACTAGTACAACCAATACTGCGATGCATGGAAGTCCAGCAGCAGGAATAAAGTACTATTTCTACTGTTTGTCACTGTGGGTGTAATTATTCAGGCTCAGAAAGGGTGGCGTACTGACATATTTTTATAATTAGAGAGTCGCTGATCGTCCTGACGACTCTTCGAAGCGCCAGCGGGAGTACCACCCTCATATGGAGGGTGAAGGAAGCAAGGACGGTGAATTCTACACCGAAGGCCTTTGGAAGGTGAATGGCGATAATATTTCGTCGCGCATCATCGATCACAGGCGCAAATTCGTGGTAGAGTCGGATGGCGCATCTCTCTGTAAATTGTGGTAAGTGAAATTCTTTTATTCTTTGACACTGGGCTTCGAATCCTAATACTGAGACGTGCTTCATCTTGTATTGCCACCTAGCGCCTTAAATTACATCTTCTTGAAGAGTTTGTGCTGGAGGCTTTTGGCGAGGAAAACGTGCCTTCAGAAGTGAAGAAGATGTTTGCGGTAGAGGTGGAGGACCGGAAGAGCGCGGAAGATTCTGCATTTATAAAACAATTTGCAGACGACGCTGCCATTCTCCCCTTTGAAGAGTTTGAGGAGCTTTGCACCCAAGCCCTTGCAAATGACAGACATATTTCCCGGTCTGTGCTCCAGCTCTTCGCCAATCTGACTGGCTCCGTTAACCTCTGGATAGAGGATGTAGAAACGGCTACAATGACGGAGCAAACCCTCATTGATATCCTTCTGCGTCCTATTTTCGAGATATTTTTTAACAGCTTCGGTGCATTGTGGGCAGCGTAAGTTTTTTTTTATCAGTTCAACGTAGCTGCTGCATTTAATCGTTCAGTCTCTCAAGAATTGCTACTTTCGTCTATAGAGGTGAGAAGATGCCTGTCCCTTCATACTACCGCCAGACTCTCTTTCCCGACGGGCAATGGTTAGTTAAAAACCTGCCCATCATCGTTACAATTAAAGAGTCTTAAGTTCCTCAATTTGTTCATCACAGGAAATCCTTAGAAAGATGAAGGATGCAGTCCAGGAGCAGGTCGAAGGAAGCAAGGGGGTGTATACCCTCGCTGCCCAGAGCTTCAAAAAAGACAAAGAGATGCACAAAAATTGGATTCGGCCTTCGTATGAATTCTATAGAGGCTGAATAAAGCGTGCATGTAATTTATTACTTTTACTAAGAATACTAGCAATGAGGCATGTTTGCATGTTGAGTCTTGGATACGAATTGGCTAGTGACTTGCTCCGTGGATGACTATCACTGTTAAAAATATTATTACGAGGGACAAGCATCGCTAGATTTGAATTGTGTGGTGGGGGTAGAAGGTCGCTTGTCATTGCAAGAATTATAAAACTATAAAGTAACAGTTATTATAATCCACAACTATTTCAGTATGGACATTGGAAGACGCACAGACAGTAACAGGATGGTACTTCAGTGTACTTGATGGCGAATAGGCTTTATTGTTTACAGCTTGATGACCAGAGGAGAAAGCAATTTAGTCCACATGCACCGGCGCGCTTAGAAACTAAATATATAGATGTATATGTATATACATATAACAGCTGATGTTAGAATCTATCGACTACCGTAGGGGCTCGTGCCACAGGTACCGCTTTATAATAAATCCTAGATGGCCTCATGGATCATCGTTATCAAAAAAAAAAAAAAAAAAAAAAAAAAAAAAAGAGGTTACAAGTACCATTTTATTTGAGGCCAGGAAGCGGAAAATCCAAGTGTAGGAATTAAATGCTATAGGATCTCGTAGGTCCTTATTATATATTATATATAAATAAAAAGAGATCCTCTGTGGACCGATTTTGGATGCACGTTGCGGCAGGCGCTATCTTAGACCTTCACTTGACCCACCCACTCACCGCAGACGGGGCTTCGCTGGAAGGTCTATCAGGGCAATAATGGTTAGCGGCTATGGAAAAACCAGGACTGATCACTTTCCTTTAATACTTTTGTCTCTTACGTTAAATACAATGGCGGGCTGTAGGAATTCCCGAAGGACTAGCGAGGAAGCTTATGATGGTTATGAAATAACCCAGTTTAATACATAGGATACCAAGTACATTCTAAGCCGATGGTTCTTCAATGTAGGTGTTTTTCTTCTTGTTTTTTAATAACAAAAACACTCAGATCATGGTATTTAATATCTACAATCAATGAATGAAATGCCCCCGATTCTCGATGTAAGTGGTTAATCGACTTTAGCTGTGAGTCTTTATTATTATTACTATATATTAACGTGTATGTCTATGTACATGTTTATTAGGGTATCCACGTATTTTTCTTTTTTCTTTTTCCAAGAATCCAGTTCACTTCTTAGACTCCCGGGGAATGGGCCTTGGAAGGGAATCAAGCTTTGGAGTTTTTGGAGTTTTTGGGCTTTCGGGAATGAATCCGTCTGCCTCTGCTGCTGCACGCATCTGTTGTTGATACTGGATATATTGCTGTTGTTGGTACCAGTCTATATATTGTTGCTGTTGTTGTTTTGGTGCCTGTGGAGATACAGACACAGCTTGGTATGGCTTTCGATGTTGTTGTCTACGAGTTGATGAAGTCGATGAGGAAAAAGAAGACTGCGAAAGACTCTTCGGACTAGTTGACGTCCTCGAGCTCCTGGATTTCGGCGGCATAGGGAAACTTTCTGTAAATTGTGTATTGGCCCCTGCATATTTTCCTTGATGAGAAGAGCTAGAGCTTGAAGATGCGGAGACCCCTATCGTAGAAGCTGGTGATGTAATCTGCATCAATACTGAGGGTGGGGAGGAGGAGGGTTGTATCTGTTGTCTATACTGTTGAAGGGGGGAGTTTGAATCTTTGTCTCCAACCTTGAATGCTCTAGAGTTAAAGTGCGGATCTCCATCACTTGTAGAGGCTTTCACCAGATCTGTCTTTGGCCGCGAATAAGCTCGCACGTTCTTTTTATGCGATATTCCATTTGTTTTTCCTGAAGACAAAGAGTTTGGGGCAGTAGCGCCTTTTACGGTCATAGGAGTGGTGGCTGGAGAGGATGAATAAGATGTAGAATGAGGATACTGGTGACTACGCGAGTCGAGCTGCCGTACGTTCTCAGAGGATGGCGTGTTGAATGGGCGGTATCGAGACTCTTGCTCTACTCCTGCTTCCCAGGAAGTTACTGCACTCGCAGGGGAATCTGAAGATGCAGCTGTTGTTACAGGTGTTTTCTGATAGGATCGCTGCTCATCTGACAAGGAATTTTGGTGGTGTAGAGGCTGGCGATCATCATAATCGTCCGGAACGTTCATTTTGTAAACCAAGGTCTTCCTACTGTTCGTAGCCGCTGGCGATGTGACTGAGGAGGCGCCGGCATATGTATGATCCCGATGTTGTTGCTGGCAAGCATCCACCGCGCTAGTTGTGTAAGCTGAAGGGATCATAGGTGTTGGTGGTGGGATCATTGGTGGAGAATCTACTAAGTATATGCTCGAAGCCTCGGGGAATAGAGAGATGTGACCAACACTTGACTTTGACTGAACAGAGTACGTGCTCGCCTGCCTGGATGCTCGCCCTGGTCGTGAATGCCGATGCGAAGACTGTCTATGACCATCTGTCCGCTGATGGCTACGAGTTTCGTTAATGCTGTTGCCCTGTCGCCTGGGGTTCTTGGGAGTATTGGGGGTGGTTTCGAGTATTTCCATTAGGGTTGCAGAGCTCTCATTGTGGCGAGGATTTCGAGGTCGTTGCGTAGTTTTTTTGTTTTTCGTCGTGGATTGTGATTTCCTTTCCATGTTTAGCATCTTGGCCATAGCATCTCTGTTTTTATTGTCCGTAATATCAAGGTCCTGTTTGTTTTTCCGAAGAGTCTCCTCTGCTTTGTTGTCTGTTAGAACTTTACGCCCCCACATCCGCCAAACGACAAAACAGACAACTATTAAAATAGCTACTCCTGCAACGGTTCCTCCAATTATAGCTCCGCTTAACCTTCCTAGTTTTTTGTGGCCATCAGTACCAGCTGCCGTGGAAGGATCAATGAGAGAGGGGCCGGACCAAGTCCCTGAAATGACATCAAACACATGGACCGATTTGGTGATGGTGACGCTGCCACTATCATCGCGTGCGATTCCTCCATATATTATGATCTTACTGTTCAGGCTTGCGATGGATTGGTTGGAAAGGAAGAGGGGAGCCATACTATTAGCAGACGACTCTACAAGTCTGTACGTTGATGAGCGGGGATCAATCGAGTATATCAATACAGTGCCATTGCGACCCTATTGGTAGAAAAATAATTAGTTTACTCGATCTTTGAAAGCCTAGATCATTGACATACATTTTGGCATAAGACAAAGACTAATCTTGCTATTGAGGCACTTTTGCGTACTCTATCAACAATGAACGCTGCAAATGCAGAAGTGAGAGGTACTGCTTCACTCGTCAGACGTATGCTGCCTAAATCGACTGTATTAATCCTTTTCAGGTCCACGGGAAGCTCTGTTGAAGTGATATTATGATCCGGGCGGATATTGCCCATCGCTTGATAGACTGTTCCTGTAGATCCTGACTGGTCAAAAGTGAAGAGCAGACCATTGCTAAGATTATTTCTGTCTTGGACAATCGCTCCTACTGTCAACAGCAGATGTGAAGACTCTGAGCCCACCAGTGTCAAACTGAAAAAATTGATTGCAGGTCAGAGAAGGATGAATAAATTAACGAACAGATCCAATACACATCACACACATTAATAAAACCACATACGAATTAAGCTGGAGGAAAAGGTGAGTGATAGATCGATGCAGGCAATTATTTGAGGGTATATAAATTACAGGCACCACACGGACATCAGGTTAGGCCCCTTTTTTATTTGAGAGATGAGGGTAAGGTGGCCAAATGTAGATATACTTACTCTTGAGATCCTGCTTGTACTGTATTTCCAACCCGGATATCGCGCCATGAGAATGTAGCAGCGGTGCCCTCAGAAAGAGTCCTTGCCAAGAACCGACTCCAGCCATTGGTTGATCCAACCATACTGAAGAACTTTGGACTGAAATAATCCACCTGTGCTGCTGTTCTTGTTCCTGCTTCTGCTCCTACAAACTCAATGGATGAAATCCATGTGCCATTTGGATAGAACAATGCTTGAATTGTGCTTCCTGATCCAAATTGTATAATTGTAATGGGGCTATTGTTCGTCGGCGAGTCCCCAAGGTAAGCGTAGCATCCTAGACTGTGTCGAGAGTCCCACATTGGCACTGAGCCTGCAGTATTACTATTTGATCTGGTGGATGAGATGGGTTTCGCTTTGGGTATTAAAGGGTCAGCCAAGTCGAGAGAATACGCTTCCAGAACCCCTATAGAAGGCGAACCAAACAGATATGCGTTTTGGCCAGTGTTGTCTGGTGCTATACATGGTGAAGGAAATGACGGCAGGCTGGTCATGAAAAAAATACAAAAAAAAAATGCAAAAAAAAAGGAAAGGTGAACTTATTACAAAAGCAAAGGAAGAAGAGAAGAGAGGTGGAAAAAACCAAAGGGCTCAGTTGTGCGAGCAATCTGAGTACAAACTATCAATATTAAGAGAAGGGGACAATGCAAGCGATAAAACGTGAAGCGGAGCCGTATGTCTAATAGAGAGAAGAGATTGGGATAGCCAGTGCAAAGCACAAGAAGCAACGGATGCAGCCGAACGAGGGGCTAAGTGAGGAAGAGAATGAGCAGCTGTCGGTCAGATCACTTAAACGACGAAAAGAAAAAAGTTTGAGAATGTGAGAAAGAAGAGGAGGCAAATATTGTCTAAGGATTGAGTATGGGTGATATATCAGCCAAAAGCCAACAGCCCATAACCAGCGGCCACTGGCACTGGCGTTGGTACTGACGCTGGCATTGGGCGTAGACAAGTAGATATATAAAAAGAGATGGGGCGTTGAAGTTGGAGGCACGTTTACATGTAAATGCCAGAAACAAACAGTAATAAGGTTTGTAAAGGTGAGAGAGAGAGTATTTTGCTCAGCACTGGTGCTCTCAATTGCCCTCTGTTTCTTGCTTCTTTGTGCTTTCGAGCCCACTACGCTCTTTATTACGAACTCTTTGCAAACCTCAATCGCATCAGTCAAAGTCCTTCACACTTACGCCTACTAAAATTAAAACACTATTCCAGATAAAGTGGACAATCCTTCTCATATATTTTCTTATAGCCTGCATTTATCTGTAGCCTTCCTCCTCCTCTAGATAGTAAATAGGTTCAGTTGATCAGGGTTCATTTTATATCATTGTTAGCACTATCAAGCAGGAGAATTATTTCTCTTTTTTACTCTTCTTCAATCTTCCTCATAGCAATGTCATCTACGAATCATAATCATAATCATAATCATAATCATAATCATAATCATAATCATAATCATAATCATAATCATAATAAAAGGCCAACCACACGCAGCCCAGTAAAGAGTGGTTCCAAACCAACATGGACATGTTTGAGAGGGTAAAAGGTAGCTATGATCGTGACATGTCATCCTAACATCTCATTTTTATTACTGTCTATGTCTGCGATCAAATTCCTCACGATTCATCATTGGCTTCGAGACTTGGGGCGGATAGAATGAGGGATTCATCGGGACACCTGCCATGCCTAAACAGAAAATTTTATACAGAAGAAACAAAACAAAAATAAAAATCAGTGATCTGAAGAAAGAGCAACGATGGGAAAGAAAGAAACTTCATGCATACGAGCAACAAAACTTTACCAGGATGAGGAATGTTGCCCATAGGGTGACCAAAATTGTTGGGGACAAAGTGACTGGGCCCTGGACCAGGTCCCATACCGGGTATTGGACGAGGGGGTGGAGGTCCTGTGGGGCCACGTATTAACATTTCCACAGGGTTCATTGGGAACATGCCAGGGTGCATGGGTGGGCCTCCAACAAAGGGTGGCATACCAACATATTGTGATGGATGAGGAGACATATAGTCGCCAGGTCCACTTACATGTAGCTGCTGATTGAATGGGGGAATCTGTTGGGCAAACTGTGGAGGCATGCCTTGTCCAGGACGTTGCATTGGCATTCCATTGTAGAAGTTTGGTGATTCATTCTCTAATGCATGTCCTGGGCCTACCATAGGAGATGGAGCGCCGTTGCCATACATTCCGCCCATTCGGGGATCCAGCACAGGTGAGTGATGAACAGGTCCTGATCCCTGGTTAAATGGGGATGATACAAAGTTTTTAGGGAGTTGCTGCGATTGTGGTGTCTGCTGTTGTTGCTGGGGCTGGGGCTGGGGTTGGGGCTGAGGCTGTGAAGATTGGGGCTGTGAGTGTTGTTGCTGCATATTAGGCTGGGCTTGAGCCTGAGGTAATTGTGACTGTAGTTGCGAAGATGCAGCAGCTTGTGTGTTTACCTGACGAGGGCTACCCACAGAAGGTGAAGAGAGTGCTGGGCTAGCACCACCATTTGTGTTCGTGCCATTCACAGAGCTCAGGGGGCGGATCAAGGGAGAGCCTGACTTTTGTCCTTCAGTCTTACCACTCAGTTGGCGGTAGACTGAAGTAGGAATGCCTCCCCCAAATGCTACTTGTATAGGACGAGACGTAGGACGGCTAGGTTCCGATGATGTGGTAGGGGGTAATGTGCCAGCACCAGATCCTTGCATCTGTGAGCCTTCTGATGGTGCTGAGGAGGACGTACCCTGAGATGACACGGGTAATACTGAAATCTCACTGGATGGCCTTCTTAGAGTTTCAAGCAAGGCTGGCGGCTTTGTTTGGAATGTAATGATGGAGGGGTCATGAAGGGTTGGGGTTATTCCTGCAGATTCTATATCGTTGCTTGGAAGATAGTGGGCTGATGGGATTGCTGACTTAGAGGAACCTGAACTACCAAAGGTATCTTCGCTGCTGCTGATCGGTGGCTAGTTATATATATATATATGTATTTTTTTTTTAAAAAAAAAACGATAGCATGTATTAGATACGTCTTTTATCTCTGGTGCTTAAGCTTCAAATCTTCAACAAAATATAACATTTACCTTTGCAAGAGCGGCCATGATTTTACTAAACGCGAAAGCATCCTCAGATTGTTCATTATTTTCAACCGATTTGACTGGGATGGATGACTTATTAGCCTTCAATGACTCCAGAATCTCTGCCTCTGAGGGCATTCGTCTCAATGATGGTGGAAGAGGAGATGCGGTAGATGCAGAAGTGGGCGCATGTGCTTGGAAGAGTTGATCCAGAGATAGTTGCTTGCCCGGAATTTCATGTGACGCCGACACAGGTGCAGGCGGAGACATGAGCTTAGAGCGCTCTAATTCTTTTACAGACTGCGTTTCAGGCTCGTCTTCAGTAAAGAAACGTGCAAAACGTGATCCATCTACCTTACGAGTGGACTTCTGCTGTGATGGATCTTCCATTGATGAGATGGCGATAGTATGCTGAGTGAGGAATTTATCAAATGCGGAAGGGGAATCAAATGTCTTAGTAAGGTCAAGCGCTCCTGGACTGAAGAACATGTCAATATCCTGAATGGGTTCATTTGATAGTAAGGCCCTCCCAAGTGGCTTTTCCAAAGCAGGAAGACCCTTGATCTCAGCTGACTTTATGTTTTCGGAAGAAGTGGGTGTAGTTATCTGGGCAGACGCCAGGTTCGATCGCCATGATGTGCTAGTGTCAGCTCTGGAGGGTCCTTTGATCTCCTGCCTGCTATCGCGCTGACTCTGTACTGATGCTTCCTTCTCTTTCTCACGCCTTTCGTGCTCCTTCATACGGGCCTTCCATGCTTGGATGTCATCCACAAATACCTGGGGCTCGCTGTTGCTCTCTCCTTCTTTTGAAGCATTTTCTGAATCTGGATTGTAGCTCATCCACTCTGGCGCATCTGAGCGTTGGGTCTGAGTCTGAACATGAGTTTTGGCCCCGAGACCTAAACCGAGGGTACTGCCACTAACGTTCGCCAATGGATTGCCGGATGTAGACAAGGGCTGCCCTGAGATTCTCGACAATCCGCTAACCCTTGAGGAGGACGAACCGGTGCCTGTTCTTGCGCCTGGATTAAGAATATATAAAGTATGGGTAAGTCACCTTAATAATAAAAAAGAACAAAAATACCTTAGACACAGTCCAAACTCTACTCAAGCCTTCGTACCTGCCAAGGAAGTGTTGTTAGATCGTAAAGGATCTGGCCGCCTCCTATCCATCCCACTTAACAAACCAGTGATGTCTTTAGGAGTAACTTTCGGGACTTTATGCGAGGCAAGTTTTTCAATTGTTTCACGTCCAAATCCTTGCTCCAGAGCACTGGATGGTCCACGTGGGGTGCGATTTTCCCTTGAGGACTGTGTAAAGGTAATAAAATTGAAACAGAGCATGTCAGCGTCCTGTATCTCTACCATAAAAAAGGCCTCGTGCATGTAACCACCGTTCATATCCGAGACTCACATCCAAAGTCTTTTTGAATCCAGAGAGACCATCCTCAGACCTTTTCAATCCTCCAAGTGATGAAGAGGCAAAACTCATTTTAGGAGGACCAAGAATAATACGATCTAGAAATTATATGTGTAGATCGAAATCATAAATCCAATACGTTTGGTTAATTTTTCCAATGTATGGTTTTGCATAGAAGGTTCGGGCATTGAATGGCATCATCTAGTAGAATTTTCAATTTTTGTTTTTTTTTTTTTTTTTTTTTTTTTTTTCAAAGTTAATCGTCATACCTGGTAGAGTGGTTTTGCTAATGAAAGATGTCATATCATGCCGTGTCCATTCCATGAATGGCCCATCATTAATTCAAAAGGAGAGAAGAATATCAGAGTTAGGATGGTTGTTTCATAAGTGAAAAGCAATCAAGAGGGGCCTTGATCCAATGATATTCAATGTTCTTCAAGCCAGCCCCTTGAAGCAGCTTCTATCTGTTATTTTTGAATTGAATCCTGTACCTTGTTGATTTGCGACCATTACTGTTATTAGCTTCAGGCTCATCCTTGGAAGCCTCACTATTGCATAAAGATGGCGAGACAGGAAATGTGCAGGAACAAAAGTGTAAGTCAAATCATGATAGTTCATTGTGTCATGAGTTCGTTGTTTCTTTTTAGAGTAAAAAAAAAAAAAAAAAAAACCAGAGAGGTCATACCCAAACCAGACGCTCGTTGGCGGAAGGGCTTCAGGTCGCTGGACTAAGGGACTTTTAGCACACTCTAAAAGGAATTCTCTTGAGTAGCGGATGACGGTGTCCGCATTGAGAGAGGTGCCATCACGCACCTCAGTCGACTGAGGTCCGGATGGTTTAGTACTCATTGCTTGTTACGCAAAAAATGGCTTTCTTTTTTTCTTTTTTATTTATATTTGTCTAAACAACGACAGGAAGTAAATTGGTATGAAGGTTTGAGTTTGCTTCAGTTGCTCCAATTCTGCATAGAGCATGATGGTGTTGGGCGTATACAGATCTTGCGCGTAGCCACAAGTCATGAACGTTATTTATTTGTGTATGAACCAGATGATCAGAATGACAATGTTGGCTCCACAAGATATTGTGTTGTATTACTGATTGATAGAGGAGGTTAGAGAATCTGGCAATAAAAGGGAGAGGAAAGGGGAAGAAATTCAATTACCTTTGGGGGAAGCAGATAGAGAAATGGGGTTAGGGGTACAAGAATGATTAAGTAGTAACAATTGACTATAGAATGTAGAGAGATGGAGAAGGAGATGATGAAGAAAGAGATGGAGAGTGAGCAGTAAAGAGCTGTAAAGGAGAAGATGCGTTTATGTGCGTGTGTATATTATAATAAAACGGACGAAACACTATCCTTTTTTTCCTTTTAATTTATTCTGGATGTGATTTGAAGGGATCAACTACATTCATTCATTTCAAGTCCATGCTTCGAAGGACAGATACGCAACGTCACGCCAACAGTCACAAATATTTTCTTTTTCCTTTTTTTTTTTTTTTTTTTCTTGATTCGCTTCCTATTTTAATGCTTGCATGCTTTTTTCAAGTTCATTTTGTTCATTTTTGTTCCTTATTCACCTTTTCTTTTCTTTTTTCTTTTTTTTTTTCTCTCTTCCTTGCTACGGCTTTTTCATCCTTGCAGCCATCATTTTCACTCTTTTCTTTGTTTTTTTCTTCATTCAAATACATATTCACTTTAGTACATACATACATATCCTTTTTCTTCCTCCCGTCTCGAACGAAGCATTGCCATTCTTTCAACAGTTGCTCTACCTCAATCTTTGACTTACTCTACCATACCATTTCTCCCAACTTGCTACTCTATCCGATACTTCATCTCTACGTACTAGTAATCCCGTATTTGCTCTTATATCCCATAGTATTTTTTTGATATCAACGTGATATTATTCCCCATCATGGCTCAGAACAATAACCTTACAGTACCTACCACTGGTTCTGATGATAAATACGTCACCGTCTTTAACGATCCCGTCAATTTCAACGCAAAGCATCCTCTTCACCACTCCTGGACTCTTTGGTTCGATAATCCCGGGAAAAGGTCAAATGAAAATACCTGGGAACAATCTCTTAAGGAGCTTATCACCTTTGATACCGTCGAGGACTTTTGGGGGTAAGAAGCAGGGGAATAAAAGTATAAAAACGGAAGAAAAAAGTGCTTTGATTGATCAATATAAAGCGGGTGTAGAAACTTTTGTCGTCTATTCCTCCGCATTGATCTCTCCACAATAAAAAAAAAGAACCTTTTGTGGGCACTGGTAACAGTTAGGATCGAGTTTTCCAGCACTAAATATTTCCCCATTCGGCACAAAAAAAGAAAGCTTCGGTTTTTTTCTTACTTGGCGATGGCTAATTCCTTATCTTGAAGCTAACCTTTCGAGGAGTTTTTATTTCTCTGTTTTGTGATAGTGTTTACAACAATATCATGAAAGCATGTGATCTCTCGATCAATTCTAATTACCATCTTTTCAAACATGGGATTAAACCTATGTGGGAGGATCCTGCCAACAAGCATGGCGGAAAATGGAGCATTCAGTTACCACGTAATAAGACCATAACCGAAATCGACAATATATGGCTCTATACGGTATTTTTTTTTTTTTTTTTTTTTTTTGCAGTATTTTGATTTGATCTAGGATTATTATGAATACACTTCCCATGTCTACATATATATGATATTTTAACACGTGTCTGCTTTTGCCTGCTTCTCCAACATGATCTATCTAATCTTCAATATCCCACTATTAGATGTTGGCCTGTATTGGCGAGGCATTTGAGCACGAAAACGAAGTATGTGGAGTAGTGGTATCAGTCCGCAAGGGATTCTTTAGGATAGCATTATGGACTCGATCTTCAGACAACCGCGATGTAATCATGGGCATTGGGTAGGTCAAATGTTCTTTTTTCTATGACTTTATGGTCTTATTTTAATTTATTTAATACGACCCTGAGATATGGTACATAATTCATTAAACACCTATTTTGGTACTCTGCTCTCACTTTCTTTTTTGTTTCATAGGCGCACATTAAAAAGCCAAACGTCAATTGATGGTCAATTTGACTTCCAGTCTCATCATGATTCCAAGGGTGGTGCTAAATGGACTGTGTAAAATAAAATTATACTTAGGCTTCCTTTTCTTGTGTTCATGAAAAGCTTCTCAATTTTTTTTTTTTTTTTTTTTTTTTTTTTTTTTCCTCGAACCCAGGCCTTGTAGCCATTAACAATAGCAAACTTGGAAGACATCTTTCAAGAGCATGGTAATAATAAAAGGAGAAAAAAGAAAAAAAAGGTGGAAGATCTCTTATCGTAAGAAGACAATTTTATGGATGACCAAAATATACTTGTTCAACATTATTGGTTTCTATTGCACTAAAGTTGTGATCAAAGGATTTATTCACTATTTCACCAATAATGAGATATTATGTTGCCTTTGCTGCTCTCTAGTTGAAAACTGCGTAATAAAAAAGGGGGAGGGGAGAAAGAGGATCCGTGAGTGGTAGAGTTAGAATGAAGGTCGTCGTTTTGTTTAGTTTCAAGCACACTTCATTGGTCCAAGATGTCGCTGCTCCATAGGCAAGACCTGTACTCAGACTCCTTTTATTTTTTATTATCTCGTTTTCTTTTTTTCTCTTCGCCTTGTGATCCTGAAAATATCGATCCCTTAGAGTTCCAAACCCGGTGCCTCATCGTCATCTGAAAATGAGTCCATCGTGCTCATGTCATCGTCCGATGAACTTTCATCTGTTGCCGCATCTGCTCCCTCCTTTGTTGCATGGATTGCAACATATTCTAGAGTTGTGATCAAAACGTAGTTTAAATATCATGTTAAAAATATCATGGTTGATTTCTGCAAAAAAAAAAAAAAAAAAAAAAGTTAAGAACATGTATGTCAGTACCTTTGACCTTGTTTTCATATCCTGCTGGCTCGCGCATCAACATGGCGGCGGCCTCGCCATTGAGAGGGTCAGTAGGGTTAGGGTAGCGGAGCAGCTGAGGCAAAAATACCTCAAAGATGTTGATCATATCTGTTGGCAATTGCGGAAAATTTACTTTATGGTTAAAAGACAACGTTTTTCGAAAACTTTACTTCACTAGATGTAGATTCATGCATTCGTAGGGTCCTCGTAAACCATCATATGTTCTTGTCTTACCGAACATTGGGCTCCATGTCTGGTTAATGACATCCAAGCATACTGACCCACTCCTATTAAAAAGGAAAAAAAAAAGGCAGATATTAGGTTTACCCTTCACCCCTCTCTCCTTTTTTTTTTGCAATTACAAAATACGAACAAGAATTATGATATGGGGTCAAGGGTCTGAGATTTGTTTTTCTTTCTTCCTTTGTTATAGACTTACACTTCATCAATGTTAGGGTGGAAAATCTTGTTCATGAAGCCGATTGATGGTGATTTGTATGGGTACTGATCTGGTAGCTCTACATGAATCTTCCAGACACCGCCTGCAAATGGGGCTGTAGAAAATAAAAGAGAGAAACCTCACTAGTTATTACATCTGAAAAGCTACAAATAAAAGACTGCCAACACCCTAACACTTCTAGTTATCGAACTAAAAAAAAAAAAAAAAAAAAAAAAAAAAAAGTCTAGAACTTACTATCTGTGGGGCCATGAAACCGAACATAGAACTCTTGCATATTGTCATTGACAAGTGTCACTTCATAATCGCTCATCAACCTGTACATGAAAGGAAAGGAAAAGAAAAAAGAGTCAGAATCATTCTTGTTATATGGTACAATGGGGAGAAAAAAATAAGTAAAAGTGAATGAGAATAACGCAGACTTACAGCTTCATTACGTCTGTCTCGATTCTTCTACGTGGTGAGGACATTGTTGCTTTTAATGTTTGGGATGTACTTGGGTTGGAGTTGGGTCGATTGTAAATCTGACGAGTGTTGCAAAGGTTGAAGCTGTTCGGTGTAAAAGCGAGGATGGGATGTTATAAAAAGAGAAAGGCCTTTTGTACGTGAGATGAAAAGAGTCCCGTGCCAGAACAAAAAAGTTAAGGATCACATAAAAAGGAGCACGTCAAAGTGCATGTAACACAATTGGACATCCAGGTGACCAACCTTTCCCCATCCCCTTTTCCTTCACCACAAGCATCCTGGCCCTTCAGTCGATGGGTTACAGTCTTACAATAAAATCACCATCGCATATTCAAACGATATTGAAAACAATTATTACGTAGTGCCTTTTTATCCAAGTATAAAAAGTACATTATGTCGCAGATCCTCAAATTGCCTTTATTTGGATGGTAGACAGCTATGCATTCCTTCTTTTTCTTTATTTTAGTTGGTGGCAGCGCGGCGACGGTCACGCTCCTCGGCAATGGTGAGTTTGACACCCTTGTTCTTGGGGAGTGAGACCCAAGGCTTGTTACCCTGACCAATGACAAAGACGTTGGAAACACGGGTGGCGAACTGGCGGTCCAAAACATCCTTAATGTGGACAATATCGAAGCCTCCAATATGACGCTCACGGTGGGTGATGACACCGACACGACCAGTGTTACGACCACCAGTGACCATGGCAACGTTACCGACCTCGAACTTGACAAACTCGTTAAACTTGCCAGTCTCGAGATCGAGCTTGATAGTGTCGTTGACCTTGATCAAAGGATCAGGGTAGCGGAGGGTACGGCCATCATGGGTGACGACGAAGGGGATACCTTTGGCACCGAGTTGGACCTTCTTGACCTTGCACAACTTGTACTTGGCTTCCTCAGCAGTGATACGGTGGACAGTGAAACGTCCCTTGGTATCATAGACAAGACGGAAGTTCTCGCCAGTCTTCTCGATGGTGATGACATCCATGAAACCAGCAGGGAAGGTAGTGTCGGTGCGGACCTTGCCATCGACCTTGACAAGACGCTGCATAAGGATTGACAGAACCTCTTTGCCATTGAGGGCGTACTTCAGGCGGTTGCGCAACAAGATGACGAGAGGTAAGCACTCACGGAGCTTATGGGGACCAGCGGAGGGTCTGGGGGCCTACATTTTTTCCAGGTTTCCGAAAATATAATGTGACCATGAAAAAGAAAAATATATCAGTATCAATGTAGTGTAATTCAACGACAGAATATTGCAGAAGCTAATAGGTGAAGTATCTCTGCGATGGGCTCTGACAGTGAAGTTGAACAAGTGGCGACGTTGCATTGCATCCAAGGCACAGTAGTTTTCGATGTCTCCCTCAATCCTGTCGTTTAAGTCATTTCATGAAAAGATGTAGTTGTTGAGAGTCTTTAGAGCTAGTCGAAGGAATATCTGTAGTGCTGTATAGTTGAAAGAATACATTATTGTAATATAATTTTCTGTCACATATGATATTGTATAGTAGCGAAAAAGACAGTACGAGGCTTTTCTGAATCCAGTAAAAACGTCCTTAGTTGATAGTGATGGCTGAAAAAAAATAAAAGAAAAAAGCTGATAAACTTTGAAAGCTGTTGAGGTATGGTTACAATTGCTGAAAGAAATGGTGCATCCGTGTAGTCGACTATGCTTCACAATGAAAAGGAAAAGACATCAAAATCGCGTCCTGAGTGTTCACATACATAAGTGCCGGTAAGCTTGTCAAGCATCCAGTGCTTGGGAGCATTGAGGCGCTTCAAGTGCTTTTTGGGTCCACGAGCCTAGATCAGAAAAAGGCATAAATAGAAATGCCAGAGTTAGATTTAACGCTCCTCAAGACATCAATAATCGGTTGTTCATTTCTGTCTCCAGTCCTCCAACTTGGTCTAATGTGTTCCGTTGATGTTTATGTGAGATGTATATACATTCAACTAGATTCTTCTTTTCAAAACTTCCAATCAAGATCGTGTATGTTGTTCCGAAAAGCTCCAAGCGTTTTTTTTTTTTTTTTTTTTTTTTTTTTTTTTGAGATTGCTAATATAATAATTTCAGCGGGATAGACAGATGGGGTTTTCATTCTTTTTTGACATGTAGCCCTGTGTATTGATCAATCGATGGATGGTTGTAAAACTTGATAACCGATGGGTGTCGCATCCATAATTGTGGTTTGATCCATGCACTCTGATTGGATAAGCAGTAACGCATTATAGCTACCATTTTGAAATGAAAGAGGGAATCAAATATCCGCTGGACCACACACGTTTTTACGCAGGAATTTCTTTCTCTAAATTTTAAGGGGCATAATACCATTTTATTTTGAACATTTAGCAATTAAGACACTGAGACAGCCTGGCGCGGCATATTTTGATAGTGTGCCAGAGGTACATTGTCATCCTCTTCGTCTTCTTGAGTAATCTGGGGAGCAGATTTTATCGAGAGCGTCGAGAGAGTGTCAGATTGGGAGCCAATCTGTGGTTTTTGGGGATGTTGCCGCAAAGGTATATCGATTTCTGGCTCCACGATCTGGTTCTCTTCATTAGAATTACTATATGAGCCGCTCTGGTTAGTCGCCGATAAGCTGGAACCCTGTTGACGAGGCGGCGTGATATGATTGGTATTCGGATTGCTATGGTGGTGTTGCTGCTGCTTTTGCTGTTGACTTTTCTTTTTCTGGCTCTTCCTCTTTTTGGGTTTCGATTTTGATTTTTCTTTGCCATCTTCTTTTGATTCAAATCCTTTATTATTCTCTATTTGCCTTTGAGCCTGTTGCAACAACATTTGCTGCTGTTGTTGTTCTTGTTGCTGTTGCAGAAGTTGCTGCTGCTGAATCACACCAAGATACCAAAACATCATGTTGGAAATCAATACTTGCTCATGAAGAGGTCTCCGAGGGTTGGCTAACTTTACGTGCGACAGGCGGTAAATGGCGCGTTCGATATGAATAGGTAGTCGGTTATAATTACTGTACTTGGGTCTCTCAGATATAATGGATTGTCTGGATTGCCCATTAGTCGAAATCATCTGTGTGTTCTCTACCGTTGTTATCTGAGCTTTAGATGACGTTGACTTGCCATTTCGTGAAAAGAGCATCGAAAGAGTAGACTGTTTTTTGACTGCAACCTCGTTTGAGGTGAATGCCTGGGTATTGATATCGGTGCTGGACACTTGTGATGATGGCGTATTGTTGGATTTGGCAGATAATGGGAGCGAGACACCGGCTCCAGAACTGGTATTCTCAATTGATTTATCACCTTTCTCTTTGCCCCATAACCACGACCATGTGGAAGGCTTCTTGCCATGGACAAGAGTGCCTGTATGCCCTACTTGTTTTTGTTTGATTGAAAGTTGTGGAAGCTGCGGTGATAATGGAGCTTTACCAGATGGCGGTTGTTGAGACGTAGACTGTTGTAACAAGTTTTGAGTCAATTTCACAGGCGGTGGTATAGGATAGCTAATAGTAAAGTTCTCGGTTGTTTCTATGCGTTGATGGTCGCTTGTTTCAGATAAAATTCGTGTTGATGCGGAGTTCTCCAGCTGCCCTGGTACGCCAACTTTGAAAGATGATATGCTACCCTCATTTCTATTCGTTTCTTCATTATCTCTGCGCTGTTGTTCCAGCAAGTGCGGTTCAACATAAGTTGTGATCGTAGGCTTCGAAGAGTCTCTAAGAGTAGAAACAAACCGTTTCACTGGTTGCGTCTCCCCGTTTCGTTGTGTCTTTTGGGAATCCTCAGATGATACATTTATGTTGGTAGCAGTGGCAGTAGCACTGATAGCTGTAGCGGTAGCGGTAGTGGTGACAGTAGACGGCAGAGCGACGGACGGTCGTGGTTGTGGACCAGGATCGACCAATGATACCGGTGTATATTCGCCGTCTGGATCCACATTATATCTTAGACGTGATACATCAGTTCTGGCATCATTAGATGCTGTTGAATTCCTGCGAATCTTTGTCCTTGCGCTTCGTCGAAGAAGAGACAGTCCACCTCGCTCAAGCCCACCAGGTCGTTTGGCCGCCATAAGATCTTCTTCCACTTCATCTACCGAAAAATGCTCCCCTATTGTACATCAGAGATGACAGATAATAGATGGTCAGACAATCGATGAGCATAGCTGGATGGGATGAAATGAGTGGCGAGGTGATACAAACATACTTGTAGGAGAAGACACTGAGAGACTAACGCTTCGTCTCAAAGAAGCTTTAGTCTTAAGTGGTGGAGTACCCATCTGCTCTAATGGCGCTGAAAATACACCAGACAGGAAATCTGAGCTATCTTTTTCTTCTATAATCTTTGCTGGCTTGCGAGGGTGATCCTCATGATCATCTTCAGGATTATATTGTGCAGACAAGACAGACTTTCTCCGTGTAACCGATTTTTTCCTTGGGGACATGACCCCGTCAGCGTTCTGAGAATTCACCCCATGTTTTGAGAGCCATTTATTATACTCGTTTGGAGCGATCTCGGGATGAAGATGGAAAGGAACCTAATACATCAATAAATAAAAAATATAAAAATTAGCACTCACATGCATTCAAGCGTAAAGTTCGATGAAAAGCATAGTTACAAACATACCCAGAATAGATGCGAGGGATTTGTAGTCTCGATCTGAACCTCTTTCATGTCTTCCTGATCATCGCTGGAGCCAGATAGCTGTAGCGATGGTGACTGAATGACAGGACCATCCTGTGAGATTGTAATATGATCTGGAAGAAACATACTCTGTCTCTTGGCGGAAAGAGAAGAAGAGTGGACAAGAGAGGGCGGAGAAAGTTTGTTCTGAGGTGGGCTGACATGCATCATTCCGTCGTCCGGACTATATAACTGGGGGGATATCGGTTGGTCCCCCGCCGGTGACTCTGGAGGTGTGCCTGGAGACATTGATGGGGATGACGAGGAGGAAGATGTAGAAGAGGATGAAGAAAGAGGGGTTGATGTAGTCTTTGGTGATGCATCATTGTTTTCTGAGTCTGTATTTGTCACTGTTTTGTAAATGTTTGTTGCTATCTCCAAGGCGGCTTCTCTCTTATCGCTGGATGTGTGGCTGGTAAACCCAGCTGAGAATGGTCCCATTCTGTCCATTTGTATATTGCTGCTTATGAAATCGGTTCCAGACAACTTGGTCGCCACAAGAGAAAATAGAGGGGGGACAGAGAAATAGAAAAAATTAGAAGTGAGAAGCAGAAAGGGGAAGTGAGAAGCGGAAAAAGGAAGTGAGAAGCAGAAAAAGAAGAAAGAATCAACGAGAAGGAGAAGGGAAATGAAGGAAAGATGGAGAGAGAGAGAGAGAGAAAGAGCGAGCGAAGAAGAGAGCGTTAATATCACACACATTTCCAAAAAAAAATGTTGCTCAATCACTACTGTGTATCTCAAGGCGATATCTGTCTATTGAACCTATTGTTTGTCCAGCCCTTTTCAGTCCAGCCGGGCTCTTCTCCACGATGTGAAGGCCTCCATTATAAGCCAGCTCGCCCCTCAGGATAAGGTGATTGTGTATCATGTTTGGTTGGGCTGAATGCATCTTTACTTGCTCACTGAAAAAGAAAAAAAAAAAGAGAGAGGCGCTGCATTCGATCGTGATACTTTCCACTTTCCTTGTTTTTATGTCTCCTTCTCTCTCTCCACAATGTGATAAATGCATTGCAGCAGCATGTGGAGAAGTGCACATTGACAATAAGATCCACAACAATAACGACATTGGACAAAGTGAATGGGGCTCTGTACCTTTGCCTGTTCAATGGCATCAGTTGGCGAAGCATCGTCTAGTGAAGATCTTGTTTCGGCTGATTCAAACATCAGCCCATCGAGTGCTGTGACCTCTCGTCGACTTCGGACAATACTCTCGGTAGATTGTTTTCGAGGGCATTTAGTAGTAGTGTCTGGAATAGAATTGTTAATAAAAGTAGATGACTCAGAGCTCTCCAAGGACATGTTTTCGCGATTTCTGGAATGCATTTTGCTGTTATGGCGAGTAGTACCAATAATGCAGCAGATTTAGAAGTAATAAAATAACAGTGACGGTGAAGAGAGTCTAATTGCTCTTTCTTGCTGTTGTCCAAAGCAATTCTAATCCAGCAAAGAAGTCGCTGAAGTGAGGAATATGAATAGTCGTCCCAAGCTCCTTTTTGCAAGACCAACCAGTAGGTGGGTCACAATTGAGCTGTTTGAGGTTCTTTTTGGAGGAAGAAGGGAGGAAAAAGGAGGTGGAGTTTAATGAAAGGAAAGCCTGCTGCGCGGTATTGGGGTTTATTCAGGGGGCGGCACCAGAAGAAGAAAAAAAAGAACAATAACAAGTGACAATGAGTGAAACGCCGAAGCTTTTCAGTGTCAGGGGAACAAAAAAAGACATGGGGACATGACGCCCCAGATAATTTCATTTCGTGCAACAAAACGAGGGAGGGACTTCAATAATATTGGACTTCAATATTTTGATATGGCATGTTGGTTTGCCATTTTCTCTTTAATTGTGTGGCGACTGTTCGATGCTTGTTGGTTTTCCAAATCTGCGGAATTGATTAGCATCCCCTGAATAGCTGCCATCCAAAGGGACTAACTTCGAATGGACAGGATTTACTGTGTTGTTCAAAACAATAAAACTTGACTGAAAGTCTGCTAATCCTCAAACTATGAGGCAAATAATGCCTCTGAACGCTTCAATAGGATTATGGCGAGCTTTTGGGGTGCAGAAAAGACAGGATTGTCTCTTTTGAGCAATGAAGGATATAGGATTTGTTCCTTGGAGGCAAACTTTTTTGAAACCACGCTTGTTGCTAGTAAAAACACAAATGGTTCCCGTTTTCCGCATACTTTCAGCGCTTCCATAATCCAAGGGCTGTGATGTAGCCATTAAATGTTACATGTTTGTCGAAGCATTGGCACATCCCTTGCAAAAGTTCAGATGTATGCTAGGAATATTGTTTAAGGGACGTAGAGTAGTCAACGACATGTGGTAGTGTTCAGGTGTTTATACAATACCATATGAGTCCGAACAGTCGCCTGTGTACATGTACAAATATACAAATATTTGCCTCTAAAATGATGGCCATGAGAACCCTAATGTACACGACACATGCGGTTCAGGGTGACTAAAAAAAATATTTCCTCGCCAACAATAATAACAATAATGAAGCCCAAAACTGCATCGAAATGCCTGGTAGCTCCCGGGACGATGTAAAATATATTGTTAGAGCGTGTGGTGCGGCTAAAAAACCAATAAGTTTCCATATTGAGGATGTTTTGAGAAGACGCGCCTAGACAAAGATTTGGCAACAGATCATATCAGTTCTTGTCTTGTTTCTACTTGAAAATGCAAAAGATCTCCGAATAAATAGCTATCAATGGAATTTACAAATCGTTAATAATGGGTAAACAAAGGCCATTAAACACCTAAACGTAGGCCCAATCTTGTAAAATTAGGTCTTGAATTATAGTAATGGCTAGCGCCTATCATTCATACCGGGTTATGAAAAGAGGTGATGTATGAGAGTGTTGTGTATGTTCGAACAATGAAAAGTAGATATTAAGTGATGTGTTCTATTAACACCTAAATGACAAACAATATCTACATCGAGTATCGCTGCCTCGCTTGCTCTCAAGTCCCGTCGAGGAAACACCGCCTCGAAATAATTCAACACAGCCCTCAACTCCATTTAGACCTTCTCTCATTATGGGAATCCAGCATACCCTTGCTACAACAAAGATATGCTAACAATAAATCTATCTAAAGGAGCAGCGACAGGAACACGACATGCTATGTCCAGTGAGAAAGTGTACCGCTTCTCGTTTGCCAATTCAAATCCGTGGAAAACAACACCTTTATTTTGCTTAGAAGCGCATCATCAGCCTTTCTTAAATCACGTGAGAGCATACTCAATACAAAATGATCAAGACGAAATGGATCCTTTTCTCATCCACACTCTCCTGACTAAATTACAAAATGCGCGCCTGGTCCACTCCCTTCCTTCGCCCCATGGCCCCTTTCCTCGTTGGAGGCGCCATTACTTTCTATCTCATCAACAATGCTCAGGAATCTATGTTGAAGAGTACGTGTTTATTGCAATAGTCAGTAGCACTTATAAAAGTGTGCAATAAGCAACATCAGAGATGGGATTGGCTTTTGACATTACCTGATACAAAGCTTCTACTCTATGTAGACATTATTTGATGTGGATGTTATTGTTTAGTACGCTGGTTTTCCAGTCGCTAAATCTTGTAACCTATGTTGAATTTAACCTCTTTTTAACGTCTTATCCTTCCATAAACGTTCTTAACAGGCGATCAGTTCAAGAACGACCCCCGCAATCCTCATTGTAAGTGAAAGAAGTATATTTGAATTTACTCTCTTTCTTTATTGATCCTTCAATGATTATTATCACGGCCTTTGCTCTACAGAGACATTAGCAGATCCTGACTTCTTTCTTTTTCATTTTATAAATATAGTCACTGGCAAGAAAGAGGAGAAGCACTAAACATGGAAAACATTATAGTCCACAGAATCTAGTGGAGTGTCCAGTTTCATGTAACCCAACCATTACAAAATAAAGCAACTCTATTCCTATTTTCCTCTGGCTTGATATCTACAGTAATACAGCTTGAGCTGTTGAATATGTCTCGTATTAAAAAGTAGCTGCTCTCACACTCACCCATGAATATGGCAGATAGTTATTTGATTATTCAATTTTTTTTTTTTAGTTACAGCACATCTTACCCATGTATCAACCAAGTATTATTAGACAGGCACGAGGAAATGTCCTGGTCTCAGCCCCTTAAATGCAACGATGTGTGCTTTGTTTTGATTTTTTGAGATAGGAGCCACCCACGTTTGTGCGCAGAGTGAAGAGAGTGTGTGAGCGATCGATTCAATTGAAAGCAGCAGAACAAACATTGGATTTTCTTTTACTCCATCCTTTGATTGTCCTCAACGTAACCATCATCGTTCATCATGACCCGTGTCTCCAACACTCCTTCTTCCCGTCCAGAGGTCATCCAATCTCTCATTGATGGAGTCGACAGATACAACCCCGACAATGTTTCTATCCTCGAGGAGTATCTTGCTGCTCAGTGCACCAATAAGGAGTGCGACACAATGGCTAACCTTGCCATTCTCAAGTTGTAAGGAAATCAGCCTGGAGAGGACTATATTGAGTGGCTTTGAGGTTACATCCTTAAAGCTAGGATAGAATTTCATTGGAAATCTGTTACTATGCGTCTCGTTCTCTACAAAATGAGGGTTCTGCCCAGGAACATGAGGATTTTGCAGATATAGTCGTTAGAGGAGAACATTGATTATTGAATGTGTAGCCCATCACCATCAACAACAGGAGTCAACACTAATGCTCTAAAGGGTTATGTGATATATCGTGGAATGGGACTTTGGCCACTCAAACCACTCGAATAACAAATACATGAGATGATATTCTAATTTACCTTATAATTTCTCAATTTTGTAGGTATCAATTCAACACACACCTGATTAGTGATCAAGTCGTCAACAATATCTTGGTCAAAGCCTTAACAACACTCCCTGCCCCTGACTTTAACCTGTGCTTGTACCTTCTGAATGAACAGATGGTCACAGAGGAGCCAGTTGTCCGCCTTGTTGCTCTCCAGGATCTACTTGAACAGGCCAGGTTCGCGGATTTTTGGAAGACATACGAGGGTGATGACATTTATAAGGAGTTGACTGCTGAGGTTCTTGGGTTCGAGGATTCCATTCGCATCAGTATGTTGTATTGTTAAGGAAATGTTTCCATTTGGTTGCATTATCAAAGGACTCGGTTTATTAACCATATGAATATGCTTACCCGTTATATACTATATACACTATCTGTCAAAAAATTGCCTGTAGATATTGCGAATGCTGTTGCTATGACCTTCCAGTCAATCGAGCTTCAGAGCTTGCAGACATATGTCCACTTGAAGGATCAGGATTTGTCAGAATTTATCAAGGCTCAAGGATGGACTGAGGCTAATGGTGTTGTCACCATCCCCGTCAACAAGGATAACGAGGCCAAGACCACTGTCTTGACTGAAAACATCAAGTTTGAACGTATGTGGAAAAAATTTTAATATGTCCTTTCATACATTCAAGGTGGACCAAAACTTACAATTTTCATGTATTCATTTCTTCTCCTTTTTAGAATTGACCAAGATTATAGGGTATTCGAACGATGCATAGAGAAGGATAATGGAGTCGAAAAGTAACAGATGAGGATAATAAAAGACTCGTGCTCGTAAAACGCAGCATTCTCCAAAAAAAAAAAAAAAAAAAAAAAAAAAAAAGGCAGTTTGTGGTTGAAAATCAGCAGAATATTTTCTCAGGGTATTGAAGTATATATTAAGTTTCACGCGTGTACAAAAAAAAGAGATTTCATACTCCAAAATATGGTCTGCTCTTTTCACCATTTCTATCCCGCCGAACTGTTCTCTTCATCCACTTTTCCAAAACACGAAAAAGAGCTACGAAGCCAATTGAGGGAGATACGCACATCGATGACTAGCGACACCTTTGATTCCCTTGGCTTAGGGATGCTCAGCAATTATTGACTCACATTCCTGGCTTCCGCCTTTGTCTGTCATCGTATTCTACGGCTCTCGGAGGTCATCAGTTCACTTTTTCCTGCAACGTATCCAAAGCTAAAGAGTAACTGCCTCTCCTTTTTTAAAAAATTAAACATGCAGTAAGCGAGTCCTGTTTTTTTTTTTTAAAGGCCCTTCTTGCAGTACTATGGAAGTATATTTCTGATGTTTGAACTAAGTCGCCCCTTTCTCAACACCCACTGGTTTTATGATGAGCCCGATTTCTCATGATTGACATCACTCACCCTGTATTATTATTTAAATTTGGTTTGCTGGATGGTTTATTGTCAATAGGACAAATTAGGAATGACAGGAAGTATCTACCAATTCATCAACGGAATCAACTTACTGTCAGTATTCTTCTCAGCAAGAATTGTGTTTGGTTTATATATGTCTTATCAGACATACTTGAGTGTAAAGGCCGTGATTGATTGGGTTCCATTGCACCTTATACATAGAGTAGCCATGGTGCAAACGTGTATAATTACTACGTCCCCACTACGCTCGCACTGCGCCCCCACCCGCTTGTTACTATTTACACATGGGGCGCGTTTTTGAGCACAGATATTAATTTTTATGTAACACGTGTACTGTGAAATATGCAACAACTTTCCTTTTTATTGAGGCACGAGTTCCAAGCGTAGAAGCAAATTGAGACAGGACAAGGGTTGCATTTTGTGTGCAGCGCATTGATTTACGATACAGGAACCAAAAAAAAAAAAAAAAAAAAAAAATTTATTATGGCGGGTTTGCCTTGATCCCGACCACTGAATAAATATCTCCCAGACGATGATTTCCCTTACCTCTTATCAATGATATTATTGTTCGTCTTGCTGGCCATGCAATTTTCACAACCATTGATCTGTCGCAAGCATATCATCGCATGCCTATCAATCAGGCAGATCAGCCCTTAACAGCATTTATGCACCAGGGTAAACAATATATGTTTAAGAAGGCACCTTTTGGCCTGAAACCATTGTCCAGCCTATTTCAACGAGGAATGTCTCGCATTCTTGGTGATCTTCCTTTCGTTTACATCTTCATTGACGGTATTGATATTTTTTCTAAGAACAGAGAAGAACATGCCGAACATGTACGCACTGTGATCGCTCGGCTCAACGATGCTAAGTTGATCATCAACAGCGGTAAATGTAATTTCTATAGTACGCAAATCTCATTGCTAGGCTTCATAATAGGCCTGCATGGTAAAAGTGTTGACTAAATTCGCAAATATCGATGATTGGGAGCCTCCAACTACTGCCAAACAAATTCAATCGTACTTAGGCACATTCAACTTTTTCCGCGAATATATACCACTCATTAGTGAAGTTGCTGCGCCTTTGGATGCTCTGAGATGTCGAACAGATATTTTCACACTGAATAATGACCAATTACAATCTTTCAATGCCTTAAAACGTCTGCTTACTCATGCACCTGTCTTATCCTTTTCTGACTTTAATCTACCATTCTATGTGGCAACTGATGCTTCTGATGTCGGAATTGGTGCGGTACTATACCAACTGCCTCGTGGCATGTCTTATCCAAAAAAATATAAATTATATTTCCTTCATGGCCAGATCGCTTCATCAAAGCGAACGAAAATACAGTGCAACGAAAAAAGAATTGTTAGCCATCGTTTTTGCCCTTAACAAATTTCACCATTATTTGTGGGGTAGACACTTTGATCTGTACACGGATCATCGTGCATTAATGTTTATTCACTCCCAACCTGATATGAATGCTATGATGACTAATTGGCAGGACGTACTACTACGATATTCATTTACGGTGCATTACCGACCAGGAGTGCTCAATGTTTTACCTGACGCTTTATCACGCCTTTTTCCAGCACGCATGACTTTAAGACAACAAGCATTAGATGTGCATAGTGAACCTATGTTAGCATACATTCATGCTACTCAAGATTCTGACAATCTACGAAACATCGTGCCCGAAGAGAAACGGCGAGATGTCATGTATCGCGCTCATGCGATGGGCCACATCGGTACCAATGCTATGGTCAAATCTATCCATTCTGATGGTAAAACATGGCCGCATATAGCAAAAGACTGTACTGATTTCATCAAACGATGTCAATCATGCCAACGTATGAATATTGCAAAAAAAGGGTTACCACCCACTGAAAGCCATTCATGCCCAATTACCAGGAGAACATGTTGCTATCGATATAGCTGGCCCTTTCACAACATCAGAGAAGAATCACTCTTATCTGTTAATTATCGTTGACGTTTGTACTCGCTTTGTATTTCTTGATACACTACCTGATAAATCTGCTCTTACAATTGCTACGGTGTTGTTTAAGCAATTCACAGACATCGGTTTTCCTCGTATCATTCAGTCCGATAACGGCAACAGTTTGCCAATGAGTTACTACGTATCATTACTTCACGAATGTTTATTGAACATAGGTTAATCACTCCATACCATCCCCGAGGCAATGGTGTTGCTGAAAACCATGTCAAAACTGCATGTCAGATGATTAGAAAACAAATAAGACATGACAACAAACAATGGGATAATCATGCTCCGTTTGTCCAACTAAGTGCTAATACTCGAATAGTCAGTCTCCACAACTCCTCTCCTTTTTCTCTATTTTTTGCACGCAAAGCCAATGGCTTCAGCAACTATACTGATGAAGATGGCAAACCAATGAGTCAAGAAGAGTTACTTGAAAGGCTCAAATACATGACAGAAATAGTCTTCCCCGCGATTCGACGGAAGTCTAAGCGAACTCAGCAGAAAATGATTGAGCGTTTCAATGCCACGGTACTTCTGAATTCTCTGACGGAGCAAAAGTCATGACTCTCGATCCGATCCGCGGTAATAAACTTACCCCACGCTATGAAGGATCTTACACTGCTGTGAACAAGAGTTCTCATGGTTCATATATACTCAAGGATGGTACAGGTACAATTCTGGCCAGACACTATGCTCCATCTCAACTGAAACTCGTACTTGATGACTTTGAAGACACTGACACATATGAAGTGGAGACCATAATTGATCATCGGCAGAGTGCCTCGTCCCCTCATGAGTAAAAGGGCTACTCACTCATGCACCGATATTGTCATTTCCAGATTTTGGCAAACCCTTTTATGTTGCAACAGATGCGTCCGATGTTGGCGTTGGAGCAGTCTTGTATCAATTACCAGAATGGGTCTCAAAGCCTAACAAAATTAACTATATATCCTTCATGGCACGCTCTCCTCAAGAACGAGAACGAAAATATAGTGCCACGAAAAAGGAGTTACTAGGAATAGTATTTGCTTTGAATAAGTTCCACTACTACCTGTGGGGCAGGCATTTTCATCTGTACTCAGATCATCATGCATTGACCTATATCCATTCGCAGTTAAATTTGAATGCAATGATGACCAATTGGCAGGATACTATCCTCAACTATTCTTTCACGGTCCATTACAGATCTGGAATATTGAATATCCTACCCGATGCACTATCCGGATTATTCCCACCTGCTGTCCTGCTCAAGCAGAAGGCTATAAAGGAACAAGAGAATATCGCTATAGCATACATGCATGTCTTGCAAAACAAAGAAACTTTAAGGGCAATTGTCCCCGAGAAAGAAAGGAATGACATACTACATCGCGTGCATGCGATGGGTCATATTGGTACAAAATGCCATGGTTAAGTCAATCCATGATCAGGAACAAACTTGGCCAAAGCTTGCTGAGGACTGCTCAGACTTCATTAAGAGATGTCGTGAATGTCAACGAATGAATATCGCTAGAAAAGGATATCATCCTATGAAGGCAATTCATGCCCAGCTGCCAGGTGAACATATGGCAATAAATCTTGCAGGACCATTCGTCGAGTCTGAAGATAAAAATTCGTATCTTCTTGTCCTCGTAGATGTCTGCACGAGGTTTGTCTTATTGGATGCAATTCCTGACAAATCAGCCTATAGTGTAGCTAAGGCATTATTCAAACGATTCACCGATGCCGGTTTTCCATGTGTATTACAATCTGATAACGGAAAAGAATTCACAAATGAAGTTCTTCGCATCATGACTACTCAGATGCATATCGATCATCGATTAATAACACCTTATCATCCTAGAGGAAATGGTGTAGCAGAAAATCATGCTAAATCCACGTGTAACATGATATGGCTAAAGATCGTACTAAATTCTGGGACAGACACATCCCTTTTATTCAACTATCTATGAACACCAGGATTGTCCATCTGCATAATTCCTCTCCAAGCTCTATTCTTTGCCAGAAAAGCCAATAGTTTCAGCAATTATACTAATGACAAAGGGGTACTAATGAACCCTGAAGAGCTTCTAGAAACACTCAAATATATGACAGAAGTCGTATTCCCTGCTGTTCGCAAGAAAGCCAAAGCAACTCAATTAAAAATGATTAAGCGCTTCAATGCTGCTGTACTGCATAATGAATTCCCCGATGATGCCAAAGTCATGACTCTGGATCCAATTAGAGCGGACAAACTTGCCCCTCGATACGAAGGACCATATTATTCTACTGCAAGCGTGGTCCTTAACACGTTAAACTTGTTTTGGTTCTTCAAATGTTTTAAGCGTTTATTAAGCAATTCGCAACTAAGAAATATACATCAGGTAGCCCAAAGTTAAAAAATGACAACGACCAAAGCCAGACACCAAAACTGAAGAAAAACAGATAAATGCATCGAACAGTTGAGTAGGAAGAAGAAATGAAAGAGAAGCTATCGTTTTTTTTTTTTTTTTTTTTTTTTTTTTTTGATGGCGAAGCATGTTAGATGAACATGAACAACAGTTGGTATGCAATGTGGATTGTGTTTATTTGCTCAGATTAAATTAAGCGGCGCGCTTTTGTTTTGACCTATTTGTGAAACAACCAAAGAGCTGTTGTTCAACGCCTTCTTACTGAATCATTCGTCGTATGTTGCCACCAAATTTTCGCGACACCCGAATAAAACTGATGTTATAATCAATCATCTGCGCAGACGTCTGTTGCTTCGGTAAACATGCGCCTCACTTTCTCAATTGCGCATAAATATCTCTCCTCCTCTTTTTTTTTTTTTTTTTTTTTTTTTTTTTTTCTTTTCGTCAATTCACTTCCCATCATCTCTCACTTTGCCTTCCACTCGTTAACTCTTCCCAAGAACCCTCTTTCAATTATAAAAAAGCACAACATGGCAAAGCTCGGAACCCTTAGTCACATCTCCCTGTCCGTCTCGGACTATGAGCAGGGCAAGAAGTTCTATTCTTTCCTTTTGGTCGATCTCCTGGGTTATAAATTGATTACTGAACATCCCTACTTTACCATGTGGGCTCTTCAAACTGGTGAATGTAAGCAGAAGAAGAAAAATAGAAAGACGAATCGCGCAACTACATTTGATGACAAGAAATGATGTTTTTTTTTTTTTTTTTTTCATTTTTCTCACGCTATCCTTTTGGTACAAAAAAAAAAAGGTATCTGTATCTCGCCTGGGAACAAGACTCCTCATCATAAATCTAACCCTGGCCTGCATCACCTTGCTTTCAACACCGAGACTCATGAGCAAATCGATGAGCTTTACAATAAGGTTGTGCAGTTTCAAGAGGCAAACAAGGAGATGAGTGGCAGTGTCATCCTTGATAAGCCAGCCTTGTACCCTCAATACGGGGAGGGTTACTATGCGTAAGTGGCAATGTTAATTTCGAATAACTTGATTTTATCAAATCTGACTTTATTGATCCCACTTATCGCTAGTGTTTTCTTCACTGATCCCGATGGCATCAAGTTGGAGCTCGCCTACACCCCTTCCTACCTGAAGTAAATTGATTTTACTCTCGGAAATTACAGGGCCAATACACCACCACCAAATCATTATGTAAATTTTGGATTGCCTGGAAAGTCATTCTTATAGTTATATAGCGTATATGTAAAAAAAAAAAAAAAAAAAAAAAAAAACATCGAACATGATCTGGCACTCCAATAAAATAAAAAAAAAAGTGATTGTATTGGATGCTAAATAGCTGCTGATTAAGGTATATGCTTAGAAAGGTGCCGTTACTCGCTATATAGTAATAATGAAATGACTATTCATATTCCTGCTCTACTAGCTCAATAGCTTTGAAAAGGTTGTAAAGCGATACAGCCCATTCATCCGTCGGGCCAGGTCTCTTATAGCTGAGACAATCTTGCCCGCCGACATGTCCATCAGGACGCATATTAGTCATAGTCGCTACATTCCAATATACCCCACCACTAGCTTCAATAATTGCTTTAGCGATTTGATTCTGACGGTCATAATGGCCCCAGTCTAACGGGTAGCCTAGCATCTCTGCAATAGGGATGCCATGGTCAAATGGTTCTGCTGGTGCAGAGAACGTAGTCCCTTTATGCGCTAGGTAAAGTGGCAGCCTCTTGGATTTCCGTTGCTTTCGCTGTTTTCGCTGTTTTCGCTGCTTTCGTCGTTTCCGTTTCTTTCGCTCTTTTTCTTGTTGAACTTGATGAGTGTCTTTGTCCTTTTCGCTCACCCGAGGAGGTATTTGGTGAGGATCCTTGTCTGTCTGCTGCGGTTGCTGTAGCTGTTGCTGCCTTAATTGATAACGATGGCGGTTAAAGTCATTGGCTTTGGATGGACAGTCTGGGTGCCCTACAGGGTTGTTCCGATAAATGATCAAGGCACCTGGCCGTGTCTTACGGATCTTTACTACAGCATCAATTAAACGCCTTCGGAACCTTTTATCTTGGACCGCCTGATGTGGTGCGCCTAGAATGACTGTGTCCTTTAGTTTCATGTCTCTCAACCATGGCATCTCTACTGGATCCTGGCTTTTCGTTTCGTTCAGCCTGCTCTTTCGAGGGCGCGTTGGCGAGAGTAAATCGTTTCGGACAAACTTGAGACGGACATCGTTCGGTGGAGGACAGAGTGGATGTCCTACTCCTAGATGACAAGCCATGTCACCGTAGCATGCTTGTGGCGTATCGAACATGTTATACATGATGGAATCATGAAGTTGCCAGTGAATCAAGTCTCCAACAAGAATAATATGCCGAGGCCCCAGGATTCTACAGAAATCTTCTGGTTGGATTCTTTGAGAATGCCATCCTTTCGTGGTCGGTAATGACGCCGGCGTCTCCATACTTGTTGCTGCTGTGTCTGTAAGGATGGGCTCCCAGTGATATTTACCAGCTTCTGGAAATGGTGGTCTGTCAATAGCCACGTCTCGATCCCGCTCGTTCTTCTTCTTTTTACTCCAACCAGTCGCGCCTCCAAGGTCTGGGTAATCTCGATCAGACTCATAAACCCAACGACCCTTGTTTAAGGCTTCGTCCATCAGCTGCCGAAACCGTTTCGCCTTTTCAGCTGTGTTCAACTTGGTACCTGGGATACTGTTATGTAACATCTGAAATTCGCCAAGGATCTCTTGCGCGAATTCAGTAGCTTCCAGGACACTATTTTGAACCAGCTGAACATAGTCTGATTCTGATTTAATCTTGTGGAGCCTGATAGCCTTTTGTTGTTTGACAATCATCGTGTTAAAGTTGGCCAAGAGTTCCTGTTGGTAGGCCTGTTGCTGTTGTCGCCGTTGTTGGTTCTGAGAAAGGAGTTGCTGTGGGCTTGGCGTTGATGATGGGGATAATGATGATTTCTCTGTTGCTGGTGCGTGTCGTTGCTGTTGATTTGATCGCATATATTGGGAAAGAAGGTCAGAGTCTTCCGTTTGCGAGCTAGACTGTAGGTATTCTGACTGTAGATATCTCGAGGACAGTTCATCCAGTTCCATAAAAAAAGCCTTGCGCTTATAGCCCCTAAAGCTGCTGTTATTCACCATGTCTTCCTCAATCCCAACATTGCTAGTACTCTCATTTGTCTGTTTTTGGTTTAATTTTTGTTGATAAAGTATTTCGTCTTCTGCATGCTTCATGACATAAAGCGGAATGATGCATCCCATGCCGAAGTAGAGAATCATCAACATTCGGAATCGGAATTTCGACAGTCTACGACGCCCAAACAGTCGAAACGTATTATCATTACTTCCTCTTGCGCTCTGCGGAAAGATTCCTGAGAGCGGTCGTCCACTGGTTGCAACCATGTTGGATGTAGCTCACAGATAGTCCACAGTCTCACTATTAAAAAAAGCTGCTATTTCAATGTGCTTTTACCAAAGAGTGCAGATCTTGAGTAAAAAGAGGCAATCAAGCGTAGAGAATGGGTGAAATGAGAAGAAAAGAAGATAACCGCCATTTTTCTTAGCAATCATGGATAAAAATTATTCTTTCTCCTCCTGTCTGTCTCTCAACATCCACTATTGTCTCTTTCTCTCCTTGTTTTAACATTCCATTTGTGCCTCACATGCAGAGTAAAAGATGGAAAGTCAACTCTTTTTATTTATCAAATCATTATTATCGTCGTTATAGACAAATGTCTCTCTAGAGCTCATCGTGTTTCTTGCTCGGTTTTTCTTCTTCCTCCTTTAACTCCTCAGAGACCGAGCCAGGGAAGGGAGCTTCAGGAACAACATCACGGTTGTGTTCTAGTAAATCAGTCTTCGGGTCAAATTGGCACACAGCTGGCGTCCTGAACTTGAACAGATACTCACATTTCTCGGGTTCAGAGACTGCCACAAGCTCGTTGACCGATCCACAGCTCATCATCACCTTTAAGGGAAAAAAAAGCTATTATTAACATTTTTACACCGAAAGATATTGCAATATTATGTATTGATATCGTATACTAAAATATACCTTGACGGATCTTTCTGGTCCGTTCCAGCATCTTGTTCCTTCTGTGTACAACTGAGTATCGTACTTTTCGCCGAGCCAAGATGAGAATTTGCTAAACACCAAATCAGATTGGAAAAAACACACACACACTTCAGTTCTATCTTCGTAACAAGAAAGCCCTTTTTTATAAATAATAATAATAATAATAATAATAATAATAATAATAATAATAATAATAATAATAATAATAATAATAATAATAATAATAATAATAATAATAATTACCCAAGAAATGTGTCCGAATGGGATTTTTGCTTCGCATTACCAAACAAGCATAGTGTATAAGTGTACCTATTAATGCCCAAAGAAACTGTTTTTTTAGTACATTTCAAATGCGAATCAGCTATAACAACAGCAATAGTAAATAACTCACTCTGTGTCAATATAGTCGAAGCACTGATCGACGAGTTTTGCAAAGGCCTCATCTGGACCATAATTCATGCGTAGTTTCCGCTCTATAGCCTCAATCTCCTCTTTGATTTTCCTCTCGTCTTCCGAGGCCTTATTGTACGTCTCTTGTGTCGATTCTATCTCTATTGTTATTATTAGCTATTGTTATTTTATCGCTCAACATGAGATCTTTCACTCTTTCTCTTTAAAGCACATTTGTGATAAGGTAGTGTGGTGTACCTGACTTGGTTGGCTTGAATAGGGACCCCAGACCTACAGACTTTGCCAAGTATTGAGTATAGTCGTAAAACTTGTCAAGAGTACTTGCTTGCTGTTTGACTTTGAAATGATAGCTGGGATTAGGAAGTGTATTGACTATTAGCTACTAACTGAAACAACAATAACACCTACTTACCTTGAGCCACAGGGACTTCCATATCCTCCGGGGGGATTTCGATAGGTTCTTCGCCAACAAACTCATTTTGCTCATCCAACCATGAAGGTGAAAAGTCATCCATGATCTTAATCGCTTTCAGGACCGCTTTATCGTTGTATTCAGTGTTGTATCCTTCTTTCATTGCTTTGAGCAACTGGAACATTCTTCCAATCTCCTTTTTGGCTTCATAGGCTTGATCCATTGCTTCATAAAGCTGCTGGATTGCAGTTAGCTCTTTTTTGCCTCCTTCTCCTTCGTTTTGATAGTTTGCAGCAGCAGCTTCTTCGTCTTCTTCTTCCCGCTTCTTCAGGTCTTCAAGGTATTCATCGAAGCCAGTGACAGTATTCTTTACAGCGAGGTCATGATAGTTCTTGTTATGGTTTTCCTTAAGCTCCTCAAGGGTCGAACGCAAAAGAGTTTTGATGGTTTTGGCACGATTCAATCTCTGGGCTTGTTGCTCGATCAAAGGCGCTAACTGGCGATCCCTGGCTGCCTCGCGATCTGCCTTGCTACTTTCTAGGAACTCTTGTTGTTTTACCTTTGCCTTATCAAGAGCATCTACATTTAGCAACATCAATTGGTAAAAGGGGCGCTGCAAGTCAATAACTTTTATTTTTTTTTTAATTTTTTTTATTGTTCTTATAGTGATGTGTATCGATATTGCAGTAACGAACAACTTGCCTTGTGCATCAGATGCAGCTTTTTTTATCTGCTCTTCCTTTTTCTGCAGATCCGTCAATTGAATCTGAAGCCGATCCTTGAGACCCTTTCCATAGGAAATATATTCCTCCCTGATCTTGCTTCCTTCTTTTACAACTTTACGTACGCGTTCACGCTCTGCTCTGGCCTCTGCTCCTACTTCCTGACAGATGTTGGGACAGCGAATTCCTCCGCTTTCTGCAAATTCATCTGTACCATCACAACATTCAGGGTCACATACACCGTCGTTTAGCCGCGAGGTCCTTATATAAGCTGGCGCGTGTCCGACATTGGCGCAATAAAAGTACGAGTTCCCACATGCCGCGGTTCCTTTTATTTTTTTTTTTTATTTTTTTTTTTTTTAGAAGGGTTAGCTGATACTCTCATTAAAAAGTGAGATGTCATTAAAAAAAAAAAAACTACCTGGTTCGTCCGACCCATCGGGACAGTCGCAGTAGTCGTCATTGACGCCTTTAAATGAGATCGTCTTCGAACCGCCCAAGCACTTCCAATTGCCCTTTTCGTCTGCTGTATAGAGCTTTTGTCCTGGATGCTCAAAATAAAGATGAAGATATTAAGCACTGTCTTTTTCTATTTGCCTACAAGACACTTTAAACAAAAAAGAATCGCCTTCAAAGTCTTCGAGGCATACTTGATGGTGCTACTCCACGCGTTTCTTTGTTGCTGTTGTTATGACTACTTCGGCCCTCAACAAGACCCAAGGTTACTGAGACCAAGACTGGAATGCATGCAACATTGATCTTCATGGTCAAGGTAGAATTCCCCTCTCGGTATCTGTTTCTCCTTTAATTCTTATTTTTTTTGTCTTCCACCTAAACACGACTTCAGGTTGAACCAGGTAAAAGAAGAATAATGGGGAAGTTGATGTCAATGGTGCGAATGAGGATGCAGTACAATTAGTGGCCGTTTATACGTCACACCATTGGCCCTGCCTCGGGTTTTGTACTCTAACCATATTTGTCTTTCTGTTCCAACACTACCTTTCCTATCCGGGTCGCGTTATGCTTGTATTGAGCGCAACTCTACCCAATCTTTTCCACACATCCATCAGTTCTTCATTATTCTGTCTAAGCTGTTCAGCAACTGCTTCCTTTAACTCTCTTCTTTTTTTTTTTTTTTTTTCTTCAATTTTAGTTGCCATAGCAAAGGCGGTGAAAGGACTCCTTTGAGAGGCTGTCCGAAATGACCGTTGATATCGATCGTGTTTTAGACCTGCCTGGGTTGAGTACGCGCGTGGTCAGTATTGCTTTTGATATCGGATCCATCGTGGATCTTCTCTGGCAGATACATGTGCGTGCAATTTACTCTATACTTGTTACGATCGGAACTCTACCAACAACAACCTCTCTACTTTCAGCCGATATATGAGAATGGAGAGTATCCTTGAATAAAATACAGCCGTACAGTGCGCACGCCAAATACCAAGTACCATTCGAAGCAGTGGAGCCAAGGAAGCGCAATTATCTCTTGGACCATTTAGAGAGTTCAGCGTTCATCAGCTTATTCTCTATACTTCCTACTGACAGAAAACAACCGGTTAATGGCTCCTTGTCGCCAATATGAGACCAGAGTTATGGTGAAGCAATGTTGGTGTTTCAACTCTTTCATTATTTTATTTATTTATTGTTGTGATAAACACGAGCTGAAGAACTAGCCTATCTCCAACACGAAACTCTTTCCGAGCTTGGACCATATTCTTCAGGTCCGGATAGGTAGCTTTGGATAATTTTTTGTTCTTCATGTATAGCATACTATCCATTCTCTAATAGCTTTCCCGGATGCTGGTTCAAGACTTGTTTCGTTGAAACAATGTTCATACGCCAGTGGGCTATGGTTTGTCCAGGCAAGCTTGACAATAATAGGGCCTGGCTATATGATAATGACGATGCACATCTGGATGACGAGACCCTTGCCTCCTCTCCTTGATCATTGTAATCACTTCGGGATATTAATTAGCACATGGGCTAGAACGAGTTGAAAGTGATTGTAATAATAAAAGATGAGAGAGCTTGAGAGGTTCTTTATGCTTGTGTCTTCGTGGTTGATAATATAGACCCATTCATTAATGTTTGTAATTTAAGGATGTCTATGATTGGTCAATTGCTCAGGAGATCTGCTGTGCCTAGTGCCTCTGCGTATCGCTTTACGTTATTCCTCGCTTTTAAGATGCTGAAATATAAAATATTCATAATAGGTTTATAGGCTAGGCCTCTCAGAATCTTTCTTCTATTAACGAAAAATTGATTGGTAAGGAAGATGAGGCTCAGCACATGTTTGTATAATAGGATCGGCGAAATAGACGGATCCGTCATCTTTTCAAAAAAAAAAAAAAAAAAAAAAAAAATACAGACGCCGATGGCAGTTTTTTTTTTTTTTTTTTTTTTTTTTTTGGGAGTCCAAGAGTGCAGAATGCTTCAAGTATCATTGATCTTCAGTACAATAATGAATAGCGGATAGCTGTGTTTTCTTTCTTATTTTGTCCCCGACACGCTAAAGCCATTTTTATTCTGTTTTCTTACCCTGTTGAAACGCGACTTGTAAACACATGGATATATAAAAATAATAAATAAAGGTACGGCGATCGATATTCCGCCTCTGCTGAGCCAAGGCATGTAAACACTTTTTTTTAATCTAAACAACAAAACACGCACTTCATTGTCTCAACCTCAGCATCAACAGCGTTTCCAAAATGAGAGCATGCTCCCTTTCTCTTTCCCTCCTTTCCTGTCCTTTGTCCTGACTATTGGCGTACAGGCAATCAACAGCGCACAGGAACATTCCTAAATGCATAAATGCACAAAGGCAAAGAAAGAAAGGCGTTGGCCATGGGGCCTCGCCCATTTCTACCAGTCCAGAATAAGATCAAAGTGTTTTATTTTTTGTTTGCCGATTCTTTGGACCATCCTTAATCGGATTCAGGAAATTTAAGGTTGATACTTGACCTCGTCATTTGAGAATGACTGGCGGAGCTCAAGCACACAAACACAATGTTCCCAACGAAAAAAAAAAAAAAAAAAAAAAAAAAAAAAGCCGATTTCTTGTTTTATCAGTCCGCCACTCAATCCAGTCTATGAGATAGTCTAACGATGTTCTCAAAAAAAAAAAAAAAAAAAAAAAAAAAAAGGCGAATGACCTCTTCTTTTCTTTTCTTTTCTTTTCTTTTTTATCCTTTGCTATAAAAAACAACAAAAACAATAAACAGTTGTCTTTATCGCTCTTTAAACCCAAGAGATCATTTCAAACAAGGGCGGGAGCACATACCAAGGGAGAAGAGCCCTCGTCATAAACAATATTGTATATATATATTTATTGGTTTTTTTATTCATTATTTATACAATATACTATTATTATTATTTTTGATGGAGTGATCGATGCGCAACAATGTTTTGTGTCTCACAGCTACTTCAGAGGTTCTGGAATAGAGACGTGGTCCTTGTGGCGTTAGTCTAAAAGATCGCAATACATTTTTATTTATACAAGTACACAGTGAATGCAGATTATGTTTATATTTGCAGATGGATGAATGATTGATGCTGGATGTTGGGTTTGATTTTAGTGCAACGTCAAGTCAACACCAATCGAGTGGATTCAATTCCTGATGGCCTCCTTTCTCTCTGCCTCTCTGTCTTGGAGAAAATTAATAAAAAAAAAAAAAAAAGGTGATCTATCCATATAAATACACTTTTACTATTGTTTTGTGCTCTTTGCTTTGTCTAGCTGGAAAAAAAAAAAAAAAAGAAAGAAATGAAAAATAAAAACGAGGGACTATAACTTTTGAGCATTGCTCAAACAACGCAAGCGGTTGCTCGCAGAAAGAAAAAAAAACATTAACTCTAAAATTTGTCTAGTTACGCTTGTTAGGAGGGAAAAAATGATGGTGATAGCTTGACAAATAAGCCTTTAACCTTTAATAGAGCGAGAGTACCCTGGGGATGCAACACAAGTGTGGAGAGGCATTCAATTTTGTATTGAAATAAAAATACTCCCATCTATGCACACACATATATATAATATTAACAACTTGCTCTCACTCTTGCTCTTTTTCTTCATATTGGGGAAGTGGGAGTGAGAGTGGGCCCAGAACAAATATACAAAAGGTATTATTTAGATCTTCCTAAACTCTCATTATCATTCGGATGCATTTTTCCCAATGCAGAACCTTAGGTGGGGACATCAATCAAAACACTGATGAGGAGTCGTACCTTCTAAGGCCCTAGGCTCCCTCACCATTGCCTCTGTCTTTACTTTTTTTATTTTTTAGCTCACTTGTACCTTTGCAATCAACCTAAACGAAGCACAGCAGTGGCTACTCAGTACAGGATGAAAGCAAAAGTAGGTAGATACGAAGTGACTTTCAAGGACTTGTCAACTCTTATTACTCAATTGCTCGAAGCACTGATTGTGTGGAGAAGGTTAATGTCATGTATGGGATGACAAACATTGCAGGGAAGACAGACGTAGGAGATGGAGAAACAGAACAGAGCATTGTGTGCATGTGTAGGAGTGGAATAAAAAAAGAGATTGAGGTGGATAGTGCGAGTATGCATTTCGTGTCAATAATACATGTAAATCAAAAGTGCATGTATTCCATGGCATGTACAACGGGTTCACAATGAATGCAAAACCATACCCATCGGTCAACCTTAATTCGAGGACCTTTTGTTACGCCATTTCAAGAAGGTCAAAAAAAAAAAAAAAAGAGCAGTGAGAACATTCAATGAATGGTTTGCATTGTAACGGCTTAATAATTCTTTTTGGGAATCCCTATCGTTTGTATCCTTTTGCTTTCTTTTCTCTTCCATTCTTCCTTCTTCCTCGCTCTGTCTCTTGCTGCTTATAACGATTGCAAACTCATTCTCATTCATTTCCATTCGTTTCATTCAACTCACTGCTTCTCTTCAGCCTACTACCTGTTTATCTGTTTTGACATTCCCACATCAAAGCGTACACGCATTTACGACTCCTAATCCCTAATTGATTTTTTGTTCACTCGCCATCATATCCGCTTCGTCGGCAGCATCCTTAAATGACATTCGACCAATCTTCATCTTCCTCACATCGCACTCAGCGCGCACGCAGCATGGCCACAGATACACGAAAGAGCCGCGACACTGTCCACAACCGCAATTACTACAGTCATGAAATTAATACTCTCCCCCCTCTTCCCACTCTCGATACATCATCGCCCTTCCATGGTCCACCACATGAGGTTGACCTCTACAGTCGACCCATATCACCGCCCTTACCAGCATCACCTATAAGCTCCATTGATCCAAAAAGGGAGACCAAGGCAGTACAGCGTCAAAAGAAGGAACAAATGGTACTCAAACTCCAGCAACAGCAACAAACCTTGGAGAAGCTAAGGTTGGAGAGGCAAGAAAAGATTGAACGACAGCAAGCGAAAGTGGAACGCAAGCACAAAAGAAACGAGTACAGGCAAATGTATCATGATCAATACAATTATCAACAGCAGATGGAGGAACGTAGAGCCGAGAAACGCCAGCAACTCTCTTTACCCATATATACCACACCAACGTTCTCATCCACATCCTCAGGAAATAGTAGTAACACACTCTTACCTCCAACAAACGAGATCTATTATCACTCCAGTCGATACTACCATCGCAATCGTCCTTCACATCAAAGCAGAGAGCACTGCCAACACCATCATCATGACAGTCTCTCCTCTTCAAACTCGGGCAGCTCTTTCCGCAAAGTGGATCTGCCAGACGAAAAGATGCGTTCTCTCAGCTTGAAGAGTCATTCTACAAAGTCCATGTATGATCTCCGGCATTGGACAGGCGCACCTCAGTCACCTACATATGACTACCATTCAGGATATGATAGTGATGACACAGCCATGTCCCATGGGTGGGATTCGCTCATGGACACATTACACTCTCCTGTTATACCCTCCGCCATGAGTTCGCCCCCCATCATTTCACCTGGGTCAGAAAGTTGTTTTAAGGACGAAACAGACATGGATCAACTGGACTCTTGTCTGAATAGTCTCTCGCTCTCGCATGAAGACTGCAAGAATGGCAATGGCAGATATCTACTAGGTAGGTTTTTATTTTTATTTTTTATTTTTTCTTCCACCCTTCTGTTTTCTATCCTGTTATAATCAAATATGAAAAATCGGCGTGTACACAGTCTGTTTACTCAATATGGCCATACAAAACATTCAACAACGTAATTCCATCACTTCTATTCCCCATTCCTCTACTCATACATCTCATTATAATTCGACCGTTCCTTTAATCCCCTTTTATCACATTTTTGTGGTGATGATATCCAGACTGATGAGGCTGATGACTGTGCGCGAGTGAAGGTGCGTGCGCATCACGCATCTCACATTAATATAGTCGATTCTCATGTTTAATTGTGCAAGTCAGCACAGACGTTTTTTTATTTGTTGTTATTGTTTTTGTGGATCATAAAACAGTTGTAGATGGATCTACTGACCTCCATGTTATTGCAGATTAATTGACATGATGCCTATTCATTGCCCACGTTTCTCCTGTTATATAACATCTTTAGTGCTGGGAGCTAATGGTAGGACAGGGATTGAGATTGTGAAGCAAGGTCTAGACCGCAATTACAGGGTGACCGCCTTTGTCAGGGACGACAAGGTGCTCCTCGAAGATAGCAGCCTTCGCAAGAATCAGAATCTTCTTATCGTCCGAGGTTCTCCAACGTGTCAAGCAGATGTTGACCGTTGTGTCGAAGGCCAAGATGCTGTCATTAATGTGATTGGAGTATGTTTAATCTAACGAACGAGAAAAAAAAAAAAAAAAAAAAAAAAAAAAAGAAAATTTATTTATTTATTTTCTAACAACGAAACATTTCCACTTCCACTCTACAGGCACGGCTCATGTCAAACGACACGACCATCAGCTCTCATTCACAAGTTGTATTGAACAATGCTATGAAGAAACATGGTATGTATTTAGGATGCTTTATTCTTTGAAACATCTAATGCATGTGTGCCTATCATGTACTCGATATACTCATTTTCATTTATTTTAATTTTGATTCAGGCGTGAAACGATTGATTGTTGTGACATCTTATGGATGCCTTGGGCTCCGGAACTACTTGATCAGCACCAAGAAGTTGTTTTCTCGTATGTTCATGACTGGCATCTTGAAGGATAAGGTCCTTCAAGAGGATATTATTCAGCGCGACACCACGTTTCTCGACTGGACTATTGTTCGTCCTATCACTCTAAAGGATGGAGAGCTCTCTGAGAGATATTGGGTCAGCTCTGATGAACTTCCTAGTACAAGCAAAGTCAAGGTCCTCACCCGGCGCGACCTTGCTCATTATCTATTATCAATCATCAATTCGCCCGGCGAGCATCATGCGATTCGTAGTATCGCTGGTAAACCCAGAAGTGAAATAGTGAAGCAGCAGAGCAATATGACAGAGAAAAAACGGGAAGTGATGTGGACGACAGAGCCAGCAAGGCAGCAACAACAGCAGCAGCAAAAGGAACAAGGAGAGTTGGAGAGGAAGCAGATCCTGCTGCAGGCACAGCAGCCACCACATATGAAAGTTGTAGCATAGAACCATATCCCTCCAGCCATAGCGCACCTGTCTACAAGGCCGAATTTGACATAGTTGTCAAACAAGCTTTCCGCATATTTAAATAGCCCTCTATAAATCTAATACAGTAGACATGGGCGACACATGGTGAAAACAAGAATAGTATAAACTTTTGTTGATAGTGGCTCTATCCGTCTATGCTATGGAAATAGTAAAATGAAGTGCATAAGCTAAAGGTTGGAGGGAGTCCATGTATGCTATGAGCCAGAGTTGTGCCTTGGAGGTGTCCGATACAGACTTTACCTCAAGTGGCTGTGCCACCGCATGTCCTATCCTTTCCAAGCTTTGCTGCCTTGATCCAACCCAAAATTTTTACTTCACCCAACAAAAAAAAAACCATCCAGACAGAAGGATGAGAAGAGTCCATCGATCCTGCAGGGGAAAGGATAGTTTGACAGTTTACTCCTTTCGCTTGATTTTAAGTAAAAGACAAAAGAGACAATGTGGCTAACTTTTGATACACATTATATATCTATTTCTCCACATCTTTTTTGTTGTACAGAACTAAGGACTTGTGCGGCCATGGTCACAAGAGCAAGCCTCGGCCCTGAACTCAAAGCCAATTAAATCTCACCCAGCCTCCAGGTACATGTTCAGGTACAGGCCGATCAGCCCCTCACTCACTCACTCTCACTCTCACTTCCTCATTCTCATTCTCTTTTTTACATCATCTTGCAAAAAAAAAAAAAAAAAAAAAAAGATTCATTTCAGCCATGCACAGCTCAGCACCCACAGACACGACGCCGTTGCTCAGCAATAATACTACCAATAATGTTGACGACAAGAAAGGTGGTGTGCGACAACGGTTGTTGAAAATGACTCCACTACAGAGCTTTATCACACTCCTCTGTTTAGCAGCGACTGTCGCCTTATGTGTTTTCTTGATGCTTAAATATACTCTCCCCAGGGACTTGCCAGAGTAAGAGCCCTGCTAACATGACTCTCATAGTAATAACAATACGCAACGTGGCATTGATCTCATCCCTTTTTATTTTTTCTCCATGCTCGAAATAGTGATCAGCGCAAGTGGATCAAGTTCCCTCGAAATGCAGAGGATGTGCAACACTTGAGTATTGTTCTTGAAGCCTACCTTGCTCAACACTACTATCAAGTCCTTATTTGCTTCGTCACTACCTACGTGTCGTAAGTTGGATCTTCAACCTTTTATTATTCTTGCTTACGCTGGACTACAGACGAAGATTGTATCTTAGCGCTTTTTTTATTTTATTTTGTTAGTCTGCAAGCATTTGCGGTTCCTGGAACTGTGATGTTGTCAGTACTTGGTGGTGCACTGTTCAAGTTCTGGGTTGGCCTTGCTGCAGTCTTGTTTAGCTGCGGATTCGGTGCGTTGTGCTGCTACACTATCTCTTACTATCTTGGCTATCCCATCGTGGAGAAGTATCTCCGGGCTAGGATGACAAAGCTTCAAGTCAAGGTACATGAAGGAGAAAGGGAAAGGGCTTCATAAAGTGGGAGGGGAAAGAAGAGGCTAGCGTACCATGATCACGTCGCAACACTCCCCATCCTCCAACGCTTTATTGCAAAGATCAATGCAATGATACTAACAAAAAAACCCCCTCGGACTTTTTTTTTTTTTTTTTTTTTTTTTTCAATGCATTCTAGATTGATGCCAAAAGAGATCAACTCTTCTTTTACTTTGCTTTCCTGCGTGTTACGCCGTTCATCCCCAGTAAGCATCCAAAGATTGGCTATGTTATGCATATACATGTTCATCTATTGAGGATTAAACAAACAGGAAGACTGAACTGCGATTTTTATTTTTCGTATATAAAAAAAAAAAAAAGACTGGTTTATGAATGTTGCTTCATGCCACTTGGGAATCCCTGTACTCGTCTTCTTTTTCGGAACCCTCGGTAAGTTCCCACGGAATTGATTGTTCACCCCTTGACCTTTGCTTCTACTTCTATCTACTCATTAAAAAAAATATATTTATACCTTCGTATCCAGTTGGTGTTCTGCCCAACTCTCTAGTGACAGTACAGGCTGGAGCGACATTGGCAGCATTGGCTTCTCCCGATGACTTTACGCTGTTCACGCCTCAAAACATCATTATGACTGTCGTTATCTGCATCTGCTTACTCTTGCCGATTATCCTGCATCGCCATGCTGATGATCCTTTGGCAACCCCGAAAGCTGACTCTGAAGAACAGGAGGATCCCCTTGCCAGAGTTTAAAATACACTGTTTATTTATATATATACCATGTGTTCAAATTATTTATTGTTGTTGTTAGTTAAGTGAGGAAATATATAATATGGCTTCATTATAGAAATACAGTACTTTTACCTCTCTTTTTTGTTTATTCATTCAGAACAAGACTTGGGGGACACGTTATGCTGGTGCGACTGTCTGACCAGACGTTCCTATCGAGGATGATCTCAATATAATCGGCACTACTATAAAAAACATGAATTCAGTACTTGTGGCCTGAAAAATTTAAAGGCCATGATTCTTTTCAGTTATGGTATATCTATACTTCAGCAATATGCATCATGAGAGCTATGCCTGAAAAGAGAGACTATAGAAGTACAGAGGATGGTTTGACAGCGCCAAGTGTGTTTTACGAACAGACTAGTTGATATGATTTGAAAAATAAAGCGCCTGGGGTGATATCGAATATTTTTTTAGTTGTAAAACGCGTGATCATTTTCTTCATAGAGATTTTGTGGCTGAAGGCTCCAAAATGCCTTGGGTGTCTCTGCACTGCTTTACTTCTTGATGTTCCGCAAAAGTTTAGCATGTTGGTTGCCTCGACCAGCTAGCACTGATTCGATGTGTTCAGAAGATTGACAAACTTCTCCTTGTAGAACGCTTGGATACGGGCTTTTGTTGATCTGTTCGTACAGGATACGAAGGACATATTGTACTCGTAGGTCGTGCATGCGCGTCAAATGGCTCTGTGATGTGTGCAATCCTGGTTGCAAGTATGTGACCTCACTCTGCATTCATGAGAAGGTTCATCAGTCTCTGGGTATTATTGGCCATAAAACATTTAACAGATATATGTATCTTTTCATTAAAGATTATGGCTAGGGCTTCAGAGTTTATATACATCTACAAAGGATCGCTGATATAATGCACTAGACATTTTTGAGGAAAGACAGTTGACAGCACTATTGAGCAATTGCTTAAACACTTTGGTGTCATTGTTTATTGGGGATATACAAGGGGATGGCGAAACACACCGGCAACTCAACAAATAGAAACGTAACCCTCTTCCCTTTTTCTATTTGCGACGTTACTTTAACTATGGAGGGAGGGAGGAAGGTGAGGAAAGACTTTATCCGCTAAAGCTACTCAACTCGATAACGAAAGCAAGAGACAGCTTAGCGAATTGCATCATATGGTTGTAATCAATCAATGGAAGGTCATCCTCGGCAGTATGGAATAAAGGGTTATCATCGATAGCTTCGATCGCAAATGAGGCACGATAGCCATATTTGGTCCAAGAAGCATGGTCAGAGCCTAGTTAGGTGTATTGGTTGTCGCGAAAAGATGAGGAAGGAGAAAGCGTTATGCCAATAATAATGTTATCTTTGTCTTTAACAAGTACCCATCATTGTGCCTATGAATTTTATCCATACTGAAACTTACATCCATAGCCGCACTCATTCTCGCGGACATCGATGTCAGCATAAGTTTCGGCATATAACTAAGAGGGAGACATAAGGATGGAAGGAGAAATTCAATCATCTACCCAACAATGAGGTTATTGTAACAAGCAAACAGAGAGCGAAATATGAAACATACCTTGATAAGAGCGGTCAACTCGGGATCAACGAAATCGGTAACAAGAGCAAAGTGTGGAGGGTATTTTTTACCAGTGTATGCGGTCATATCGTTCTGTTATAATTGAAAGGGAAATTATGCATCGCAAAAAAGGGATATTACGAAAATGTCTACAGAAGATCTCATTGATCTGGCATATACTTCATTAGCTTTGGACCTTTTTTTTCCTCCTTACCTGGAGCATGGCATATGCCTCAATGCCATTTCTGTTGTAGCGCTCAGCAATATCCTGAGAGCCTAACAGACCACCTTCTTCGCCCGCATACCAGTGGAACTCGATGGGACGAACCGGTTTGAAACCGCCATTGAGGAGAGCGCGGAAGACCTCAAGGATAACAACAGTACCAGAGCCATCATCATCTGCTCCAGGAGCACGTCCATGAATAGGGTTGTTCGAATTGATAGAATCTAGGTGAGCACCAAGGATAATGGGAGCATCCTTCAAATGAGGATCTGTACCCTCGATTCGAGCTATCGCAGTAATATTCAGGAAAAAAGAGAAAAAAGGGTAAATATTAGTATACACAATTTATATTATAACCTTACAGTTGAAGGGATACTTTTTTTTTATCTCCTTACCAATTATGGAAAACTGGATGAAGCTATGCTTGAATCGACGGACACTGGCTTTAGATTTTTTGCTGGTCTTGGAAATAATGTTACTGATTCGTCTTTGGAGCCACTTGGCGGAAGCAAGGCCAGTCTGCACCTCGTAATAGCGGTTGTGGAACTTAGTAAATGGGACCAGGACAGACTCCATGTTCTCAATCTTCAACTTGCCCACATATCGAGCGAACGTGGACTGCTGAGAGACAGTTGTTGGAAGAGCTATCGCAACGAAGAAATAAAAAAAAAAGAACAAGTCTGAATGAACGGTCGTTATAATAATCATTGTCATTGTTATTACTTTTTTCAGAATATTTGTACTCATCGACACAACGTACGCTTCTTTTGTAGCACGGCAAGAGCATTAACATTCTCAGCTTGCTGATGATCAGTAATATCCATAAAGCCAACATTCTTCTGGATGAGGTCCAATCTTTCCTTTTCAGTGGTCCAGAAGGGGTCTTTGTCAACGCTAGTGCGGATGAGACGCAGAGATTCCGAGTTTTCGGCTGGGACTGTAGGAACTGCAAAGGCAACAGCAACCAGTGAAAGTATGACCAGAGAATATAGCCTGACCATTATAGATCTAGAAGAGAAGTCAATATATGAGAGAACGAGCGAAAGATGAAGATGGAGCAAAAAGGGAAGATGGGCTCTTATTTATACGATATGACCCAACTCATTTGAATCTCTATGCATTCGTATCTATACTACCTCTTCAGGTACAGGAGACATATTTGATCTTTACTTTGAATCGCTTAAGGTGGACCCTCAACCATGTGCATTGCACTATGCATTTGTGCAACTCCAAGAACAAAAAAAAAAATTTAATGTCGCATTTCCAACCAAGAAAGGGCCGTTTTTTGTTGCTTGGATGCTATTGTTAACCATCTGTACGTTGGTGTCCGGGTGCGGAGTACGTCGTTAGTCGTTGAAGTAAGGAACAAAGAAAAAACAATTTTCAATTCCTACCTGTAGTGTATGTGTATTGTACGCGAAGCGAACGGCACAATGGCGCTATTCACTCTATACGCGCATTTCAAATACAATGTGCTCATGGCGCCGTGTCTGCATGGGCCAGCACACTGGGTGAACTTAAAATACCAGCCAATAATCGTCCATGGAGTAGCAAGTCTACATTCCAGGAGTTAATTTACTTTCTTAAAATTTCTTCCCGTACCAACAATTAGAACACTCTATTACCGTGCTCTTTTAATGACAATATCAATAACGATAACAACAGTAACAGCAAAAACGGCAATAGTAAAACCGCGAAACAAAAAGCGCGTACAAACGTGAAAGGATAAAGATAAAGGCGTTTATAAATGGCAACCAGGTAACAGTAGCACCAACAAAAACTTCTCAGTGAGCAAAATAATAAAAAAAAGCGAGGCCTGAACCATCAATGCGAAATAAAAAGATATGTCTTTTTGTACGCGTGTGAGGCTGTATGAATAGACTAGAGCCAAGTGCCGCTATCTAGCTCTTTTTTTAAGTAAAAAAAAAAAAAAAGAGTAAAACCGATATTATATTGTCATGAATATGCCTCTCTATTCGTCTCTCTCTTTTTTTTTTTTTTTTTTTTTTTTTTTTTTAATCTAGTAGATTGGATTTAAAAAGAGAGAACTCCGTTGTCTTCTGCATACACTTTCGCAGTGAATGGCGAAAATGGGCCGTAGTTTCAGTTTTTCACTAAAATCACAAACGATTGTCTAAAACATGGGGGGAAAGCTGCGACAAGCGTGGCCGGATTTTAAATCGATTCAAACAAGATAAGATTCTTTCCTGTCACCCACTTTCATCATTGTTGTTGAATTATTGGGAAGGTGAGAACTGATGAGTGCGATGTACATATTCTTATATAGGCTTGAATACGCCTTGGTGACCATCCGACTAGTGCTAGTTTTAACGACAAACAAGTGCAATTGTATGGCTAGAGGATTGAAGTCATTTAAACTTCCAAATCAACACTAGAGAGCTGCAACCACAACAGGTCCAGGGAGATTAATCTGACAACAATGCCTCCTTGAATTAGCTCGCTTGAACGAGCTCTCTTTGATAGCCCAAGCAGCCACACATGGACAATCATGAGTCTCATGAGTCGAAGAGCATGCGTTCGCTCCGATGCCTGTAGCCCCAATAGACAGGCAGGAACTTTGTCCCGGCTATATGGCAAAATTGGTCTCTTATCTATAGCAAAGTCTTCCACACTTCTCTTCTTCGCTTTTAGGAGAGATACTGACTAATTATTAATATATATTTTGGACGTCATATATTAATTTATACGACTCTACGAAAATGTACCGAGTTCTTTCGCTGCAGGATTGAAATCAAATCCACTCAAGCAGCCTGGCTTAAACCATCATGCATGATAAGGCTTCGCCATCAACTGGACATGTTTGCTCATAGTACCTCCCCTTCATTATTACCACCGCCACCATTCTTGTCTGGATTGTTGGTTGACTCAAGCGAACTAATCCATTGCTGTCAGGTTAGCCTCTCTACTATACGAGGACCTGTCGTGTTGCAGTTCTAGGAAAAAAGCTAGGCTAAATTGACCAGTATTCTCTAGCTACGGAACTGCGCTGGCTTGTTGTTGAAATAAACTAGAAAGGTCACCAAAGAGTATATACCCCCTTCTTTTCCCAAATAACAAATAGACAGCTCCATGGATGGCTAAAATAAATATACTATATAATACATGTCATTAAAATATATACAATAAGGAACAAATATACGCATAACGTTTAAACTCTTATCATAGTTTTTTTTTGGTCTAGTCGAGTTGGCGATCACTTGTTCTAATGGTGAAAACTATGGTATGCAACTTTTCCGTCATTTATTGTCTTTATTTGCAAAAGTTGGCAGGAGACAACAGGGCTCTTTTTTTTTTTCTTGTAGAATCCTATCTTAACAATGGTTTTACACACAGCAATTGCTAAACTAAACTCACTCATAAGGGCAAAAAATGGAAAGAAACGCACTAATGCATACTTTTTGATGATAATAATGTAGGTCTTTCTGCCTTTCCGTCTTTATTTTCTTTTATGATAAAAAAATACAGTAACATTTGGTTCCAGTCTATTCATATAGGTATCTTACCCAAAAAAGAAAAAAAAATCTGATATACTTTTGGGGGGGTTTTTTTTTAAAAAAAAAAAAATGACGGATCGGGTCATCGGCGCCGACTTTTTTTATCTTATTTCTTGGGAAAACTTTGTTGATATTGTTATTTGATTGCCACTTATGGGCGCCTTTCTCTTTTTTCTTTTTTATTCATATTGTTGTTTGTTATGCGACGTTATTGTTGCTGTTATTGACATCGATGGGGAAGAGGATCCAGCCTATGGCTCACATGTTAAGAAAGTAAAATGACCCCTGGAATGTATGTACATGTACAGACTAGTGAGTCTTCCTGGGCCACTTTGTGCATGATTATTGGCTGACATTTAAAGTTCACTCGCGCGTGATCATGAATGGTCCATGCAGGCACAATGGGTACAAATGACAACACTAAATAAATCAACAAATCGGCACAAATAAATTTTGAAGAACAGCATTTGACATGAGTGTATGCAGGGCTTAGTGCTGTCCACTTTGTGTACAATATGCAAAAGCCAGCATTCACTGGGGGCGAGCATTCAAAAAAAAAAAAAAAAAAAAAAAAAAAAACAGTAATAATAAAAAAATAAAATAAACTTCTCCTTTAGTGTCTCTTTCTTTAATGACTAACAGAATATACTCCATACCAGGTAACATATGTATTTGCTCCGAGCAATATAAAAACAACATAGCATGATTATGATCCAAATCACCTTAATAAGAGAGAAAGAAAGAAAAAAAGAAAGAGAAACAAGGATGCTTGGATACCCTGTGTGGGTTGGAATGAGTCCTGCTTCAGTGACCAATAGATTAAGCTGCTTCCCCTAAAGTTACTGTCCGTTCCCACGTTGCCCTACAGTCTGCTAGATTTTTTGCGCGACCAGAAAAACGGCATTTTCATTTTCACTTTTATCTTTATTATGTCAATTGCATCAACGTTCAGATGTTTTGCAACAACACTCAGGCGATTTTTTATTGGCTAAGACACATCAATTGCTCACACGCGCTACGGAAACACGATATTGAAAGAAAGTTTACTCTGAATAGTGCAATTTGCATAGACTCCAGTCTAATTCCCAAGGCGCACCTTGGGTAATCCAACAAATAGAGACCAAAGATACCTCGTAAATAAACAAAAAAAAAAAAAAAAAAAAAAAAACGTCTTCCGTGCCTGAATGGGAGCAATATGTGCAAATCTATATATACTGGATATCCATTTTCCTTACCCACGCCATGATAAACCAGCCAGGCACCACATATTTTAAAATTAAATTAAAATTGAATTGTTTGATGGCTATTTGCCATATTGTCATTTAGACGACATCATATAAATAAGAGCTTGTTTTCCTTATACTTTTTTTTTTTTTTTTTTTTTTGCCTCATCCTCATCTCCTCTCCATTCGCCCTATCACCTACAGGTTCCTCTTTAAGATCTAAAATGGTCAAGTTTTATTCCCTTGTGGCACTTTCGCTGGTTGCTGTTGCCTTCGCAGCCCCTGCAGTTCCAATCGAAAGCTCGGAACCTCTGCGTCTCATCCGCACTAGCGACGACAAAGACCCCATCTGGACTACTGAGAAGGAAAGATTCGATCTTATCCAGAAGGATATTGGCTTCATCGACATTACTGACCACCAGCAAGTCGAAAATGTTAGAGCCTTCGCTGCTCCACCCAAGAAGCGTACGTTACATCATTGAATGCAAGCATTATGACAAGAATATTAATGATGATGATGATGATGATGATGATAATAACAACTACTCTGACTTTTTTTTCTGCTGTTATAGCTCTTCCAACGACTGTCTCCCAGCAATCAAAGTTCACTCAATATGTAGGCCAAATCTCCACTAGCAACATGCAAACTGCTTTGACCGCATTTACCAAGTTCAACAACCGCTACTACAAAGCGCAGAGCGGCCTTGACTCCGCCAGATGGCTCCATAAGCAGGTCAGTGATATCATTGCCACTGCTGGTGGAAGATCCAACGTCAGCGTCCGTCAGGTCTCGCATAGCTTCATCCAGTTCTCTATCGTTGGTAAGGATATTGAAAAGGAACTATTTCTCTTTGTATAAGGATCTTTGTAGGGTCGTGTATATCAACACTTTTTTTTTCTATTTCTTAAATGCTATTACAATAGCCCGATTTGAGGGTACAAATACTGCTTTGAAGAACGCCCCCATTGTTGTTGGTGCTCATCAAGATTCAATCAATTCTCGCAACCCTACTACTGGCCGCGCCCCCGGTGCTGATGACGATGGTTCCGGCAGCATTGGTATCCTTGAGGTCTTCCGTGCTCTTGTCAGCGTAGGTTTCCAGCCTGCCCGCCCCGTCGAGTTCCACTGGTATGCAGGTGAGGAGGCTGGTCTATTGGGCTCCCAGGACATTGCTAAGGATTATAGCAACAGAGCCGTCGAGATGCTTGCCATGTTCCAGGTAAGAAAAAAAATAAAATCAATATCTAATGAAATATATGACGGATCAATGAGACGTCCTGAAGGCATTTTCGTAATAATAACACCCCTTTTTCTTTGTCTTTCCATCATAATAGAATGATATGACCGCATATGTTGGTACCAAATACCCTGAGCACTTTGCTATTATTACCGATTACGTTGATCCTGAATTGACTGCTCTTATCAGAGTATGTTTTGTTTTTTTATCTGCTTCGCCTGTTTCCTGTGCATCAGCCATATTTTTGTCCTACCACAGTAGCCCCATTGCGGAGCAAATGACTGACCTTCTCTTTCAACTCCATGCTCGTCCGTTAGCTGTATGCCAAGACTTATACCAACATCGGTGTCCGTGACTCCAGTTGCGGTTATGGATGTAGGTTTCAATATGAGCAAAAAGCATTAGCACAACCTTGCTAATAACAAAAGATAATGCTGTCATTTTCATAACACTTTATTTTTCTTCCTTTCATCTTTCCGTAACGATAAAAACCTCTATTAGGCTCTGACCATGCCTCTTGGTACAGATATGGCTACCGCTCCTCGTTTGCGATCGAGGCTGTCGATACTAACCCTTACATCCACACTGCCAATGACGATCTTTCATTGGTTAATTACGAGCACATGAAGCAATTCGCCAAGCTGGCTCTTGGTTTCGTTATCGAGTTGGGTAACTTTAGCGGATAAAGCCTCTCAATCTCCTTCCTCTTGTCATGGCTTTAGGGTAGCGGCATAAACAGGAAAGGAAAAGAAAAGAAAAAAGATCCTTCTATTTATTGCGCTGGACGCTTGTTTTACCCATTCCCTTGTATATCCTCTTTAATAAAGAACCTTATCAAAGCGTTTGAACAACACCTCAGCCCTACTGTCAGCTACCTTTCCTCAAAGATGTTGGATATCTCACGTACCTTTGTAGATGTGTATAATATTTGAAGGCTTGATCATATTTCTACGGGCTTCATGTTAAAATAAGAGACATTCCCAGCCCTGGGACGACAGCCACACCCTATGATGTGTTTAACTGTTATAATATATTTAAGGATCCAAGCTTTTTTTTTTTTTTTTCTTTTATTAAACATGACGCTCGGAAAGTCATCTTTACGGATAGGGCCCTTGAAAGCTTTGCATGAAAACTGGTATCATTTTAAGAGCTAGACGCCACAACAGCCCAAAGATAGAGTAAAAGAGATGATCCGCGTCATATTTCATCATGCAGCTCAATAAGCAATGAGGATTACTGGGTCTCTACATATATATATATTTTTGACAACTATCGATGAATAAACATCCCGACTAATCCCTATTGAGAAGTACGTAGCTTTATTCATTCTATATCGCTTCGCTTTTATGCAAGGAACAAAAAAAAAAAGGTGTCAAAACGTGGCTGATGCGCCCAAAGAAAGTAAAGGAACAAAAGCCCAACAGTTGGATCTTCCATCTTCCCCCCTTTCTCCAATCGAATGCCAAGCAAATGAGGAGAAACATTAGCAGTAAAAAGTAAGTGTATTTTTATAGTCTAAAATTTAGTGATGGAAAAAGACGCGTTATTAATACCATTACCTGTGCATCACAAAATAATGCGCGAGCTTAGTTTATTTGCATATGCTTATAAATATCCTGCTTTGCATACATGTTATATTTTTACAACATGTCCGTGACCAAATGACGACTACACAATAATCTACAAAAACGTTTAATGATGCAAACAATGGTGCAGTAGCACAGACCATTAACATCATATCACGCCAACACTATAGCCACAATAGCGCCAACAAAATGTCTTTGTTTCTTTTTCTACTGTACCATTGGCCATGAAATGAAAGCACTGCCTCTTCCTTCATTCATAGGTAATCCTAGTCCTTTTGAACAAACAGTTAGAGAGTAGGGACCATAATATGGAAAAATGAAAAACAAGGCAAGAATAAAAGATATAAATACGAGAGATTTCATCCTTCATTTTTTTCTTCATCCTCTCCATTCAATCTTGTCTTTTTTATTCTGCTCCATCTTCTACGCTACTCAACGGATTATATTCACAGCCATGAAGTTCACTACGCTCATTCCTGCTATTGCTGTAGCCGCCAGTGTCCTCTCTTCCTCTGCCTCTGCTGCCCCCCCACAGTACACTCTTTGTAGCTCTACCAACAGCTCTCTGAATATCACGGAAGTGACCTATGAGCCTGATTCTCCCGTACCAGGTGAAGAATTCTGTGCTACCGTCAAAGGCAATCTCACACGCCCTATCAACAATGGGTCTACTCTGTTAGTCAATGGAACGTTTCGTAAGTCCTTTTTTTATAATTTATATTTTTAATTTTTTGCATGCTTCGCGTGTATTACTACATAATACTAATAAATACTCGTTTTTTGGTGTAGTCGGCATTGAGTTTTCCAATGCTAATTCTCCAATGGATCTTTGTCAGGGCCTCTCGTATTTCAATATTACTTGCCCGGTCCCAGCACAAGAGTTTTCTACGGAAGAATGTAAAGACATTCCATCGGATTGGAGGCCCAGCAACATCACACTCGGCACAATCAAAATGCATGCCAAGAACGCTGATGGCACCGATATCATCTGCATCGAGGCTCCTATCCAGCACCCTGGACATATGGATGATAGCATGAAAAATGCCCAGTTAAACTTAAACAGCTTGAGATTTTTGTTCTAAGAATTAGAAAGACTATTATAAAAAAAATAAAAATAAAAAAAAAGCCACAGGCGCGATTTGACTAGGAATAAAAAAAAAGGTGATATTTTCCATTTACCTGGTCCGTTTTTTTGATGTAAAAAAACAAACATCTGGTTATACCGGCCTTGAATGTGTCTTGTGTTATGTAAATATGACTAAAGTAGAATGATCTTCCAGACTTTAAGTCTTCAGGCTTCATCAATCTTTACTGCCCTTACTATAACAGCAGCAATATAAGAGTAATATCCTATCGATGGAGATCATGAGCATGTCAATACTTTATGATGATATAACGTTCAGCTAGAGATATGGCTCTCCATGTTCTTTTGAAGGGTGCTTTTACCATGTGAAACCTCTTTTGAAGAGAGGAAGCTGACATGGTCAATGTACGGAAATTTAATAGGGACTTCATGTCGATGTTGATCGCGTACATAATAATTGGTGAGACTACCTTGTCTAGCCTCAGCATCTGTCTTTTGGATGTTGGATTGATCTAGAAGTCCTGCATCCCTATTTAAATAAATGTCTTCATTTATTTAATAGTAGGTCATTGTTGTTATTTTCTTCCTATCATAACAAAACAACATGATCGCTTTAATGCGGAATAAATTAATGCATCATGTCGTTCCTTTCGTAGGTTCTAGTCACTATTGAGCAAAATCTCGATGCAAGTTTGCTAGAAAGCAAGATATTGTCATTATTATACATATACAAATATTTTTAGTAATGATAAAGCCTCCTTCATTGGGTTCTCGCAATGTCTCTTGGCCATCACTCCTCAATACTAACTCTTTTATCTATAACAACCACATAAAACAGCTCTCACACGTTCACTCTAAAAAAAAAAAAAAAAAAAAAAGACTGCTGTCGTCCTTTCACAACTATGCAAGAGAATCAACAGTTGGCTCGAAATATATTCCATGGAATGAGGAATGCAAATGAGATCGAAGATGGGCATGACATGGCGTCAAAATGAAGGCTATTTTGATTTGCCTGAATAAACAGAGTCCACCTAAACGTAGTCTACGCGTAACTCAAGGCTGTGGATGGTCACGCCAAGACAAACTGCGCATGTGCTTAGTCTAGTTTCTGCATGTTCCCATACTCCTATAATATAGTGTTGGCTGTGGAGAGAGCGGGGGAGACCCTGAATACGTTGTATTGTCTGAGACATTGACAGAGTACAAAACCCAAACAAACAGAATTCCTGTTCATTCTGCCCGTGATGTAAATAAACCATTTGGACCCTGATGTGCAAAAGCAAATATGACGATGATGTTTGATGGTGCAAACAGGCTCAGCCAACAATAAGCAGAACCTCGTTAGTATGGATCCACTGGGCATATAAAAATAACCTCATGAAATCGAGGACTGTCGTTGCTGCTGCTGAACTGCTTGTACTTTTGGGTAAATGGCAAAATGGAAGAAGCACGACAACAAAGAGTATACAAGAGTATATAAAAGTCAGGAATCCATCACCCCTCTTTGTCCTATTTCCTAAAACTCCATATCCTTTTTGCCTCGCTACTTTCCCACACATATCTTACCTTTATTTCCCGACAGTATATTTACAATCATGAAATCCTTCATCACACTCATTTCTACTGTTGCTGCTGCGTCCATTACCGTTGCAGCTCCGATTACTACTGCGACAGATTTCACTTACTGTGCTGACAACAGCACTTTGAAACTCTCAGGATTGACTTTCCAGCCTGATCCCATTGTACCAGGCCAGAAAGTATGTGTCACTGTCGATGCTACTCTCTCACAGCCTATCACCAAAGGATCTACTATCGAGGTCGCTGCATCTATCTGTAAGTTTTATATATATCTTAAGCTCTATGCTAGATTATACATGCCATGCCTAGCTAGACAGACAAATGCTCAGTGTTTTAACAGAATTTTTTTTTTGTCGTCGTCTTAGTTGGAATCCAAGCATACAGTTTTACAATGGATCTGTGCAAGGCTCTATCTAATGTCAACGTTGCCTGTCCGATTGCACAGGGCAGCTCCACTGTGAATAAGTGCATAACCGTGCCCAAATGGATCCCTTCTTTCACGATCGACATAAAAGCACATGCCAAAAATCCAGATGGCACAGACATTATTTGTATCAAGGCGCCCATCAAATTTAGATCATAATTCATCAGAATAAATAAAGCCCTTTAATGTGATATATACTATACATTTATTTCGTTCTTCCTTAGTATCGTGCACTAGCCCCTGTTGTAGTTGCTGATGGGGGAAATGCTTCACCCTCAGACTCTTCAAAGTCATGACGATGGTTTGAGCTATTGGATGATATAGTTTTAGCGAGCCTATGATTGTTGTCCCAAGCAACAAAGGTATGATCACCCAATCGTCTGGGCTTGTACAGGTGACGAGCTACAAATAAAAACCCGAGAACGACGCAGAGTACACCTACAACCACATAGGCGATCCCCAAAAACGGATTACGACCGCCCATGAATGACACTGTGGAAATGACGATCGATTTTGTGCCAGTAAACGATGTCACATTGTAATCTTTAAAAAAAAAAAAAAAAAAAAAAAAAAGAAAAATGTTACATGCGTCAGGTTTGACCCTGCTTGGGAAAACAAACAAAAAAAAAAAAAAGGACTTACTCATGTCAATGTCAATCGTATATGTGCCAACGGGGAGATCGTCTTGTTCATTCTTGGCGTAAATCTTTCGAAAATTGGGCAATCCAGAGGTTCGCATCCATACCTGGAAATGCTCATCCTCCGCCACATTAATCGGGGGAGAAGCTTCAGAATACCCATTTGGATAGTTTCTCCAGTTGGGTGGTGGTCGAATCTCGGATAGTTCATAAGAATATTTTGCATATTTCGATGCATCACCATCCCAAGCAATCCCTTTATCAATTAGCAGATATGTCTTATTGTCGTTTGTTGTTGCGTCGAATGGCTTGAAAGCAAGACCGAAACTATCTATTAAAAAAAGGAGGAAGGTCTTAAAATTAAAAAGGTCCCCTTATCTGTTCCTTCATTAGGTCCAGTGATCCTCATGACTTAACTATCACTAGTCATGACACTTACCATTGAACATTGAGTTAGCCATGAGTCCACAAGGATAAATGGGGTAGGTCACATTGTTCTCTTCAACAACAGCGAGTCGATCGCAACCACCGGCCTTTAGCTCTTCTACAGATCGTCTCTCGCCTGCAAGTTGCCTCATGTCCATGCTCTTAATCCATTGGCGGTGGTTCTGATGGAAATTCGTGAGGCGATAAAAGACAAAAACGGGCCGCTTCATTTTTACTGGTATATGAAACTTAACCGTGCATCGCATCGTTGGCCAGGTCACATTGTTACCAGAGCCCACTGCTTGGATGGACCTGTACTCGGGTGATGGTGTTGATGCGTCATCACCTGCAGAACCCGGGAAATTGCTCGTAAAGGATTCCGTGGGAACAGGGACAAATTCTAGTCCAGCCTTGTCACATTCCGTGTAATCAACTATGAGCTCGGCAACCTGAAAACAGTTAGATGCAAAGGTATGATTGCTTGTTTTTTTTTTTTTTTTTTCTTTGTCAGATAGCATTACCACTGACGATAGAATGATCGCTTTTTCTTGTCTAAATAGGAAACAAAAGACAAGGAGCTTTTTTTTTTCTCCAATGCCACAATCCAGCTCGGGCCTTTTGATGGTCTGTAGAAGTGTGCTGCTTTTCATCTAGTCACTTAATCGTGGCCATAGAGGTCATAAACCCCTTGTCCTATTTCCTATTACTCCTGCGCACTTACAGTGTCACTGGCCCAGAGAAGAAGACCGCCAATGGGCGCAAAAAGGATGCCAACGATGAGAAACACAGGCAGAACTGTCTTTGGTGTCAGATTAGGCTGACAAGCTCTGAGTCGTTGCTGTTTGAATGCCGAGTCTAATCATCTCAACAATTCCAATTGCTTGAGCATCAGTAATTTACCTTCGGCGTCAATACACCAATACCCCAAATTTTTATTTTAAAACGCCACTAATTAATTATAAACGTGCTTACCAACTGGCCTTCTGCTTTTTTTCTCTGTAGTCATTGATTGGGTTTTTTTTCTTCGACTTTTTATTTTATTTTTACTTTTTTTGTGGACTTTGAAAGAGAAATGATAATAAAAATAAAAAAAAAAATAAAAATAAAAATCAATGCTGGATGGTGTGTCAGGGGCTACGGCGATTTGCTCTTTGGAGACACAGCCTGCTGTTGGGCTATGAGAGTCACCTGAATCAACATGGACGCACGCGACGCAGCCAGAGTAAAGAAAGACTTGGAATGGGAGAAATGTCCGAATAAACAAAGATCAGAGTTTCATTCTAAGGAAGAAAGCTCTTAATTCATGAAACTAATCGGACAGAGAGTTAAGCTACTTTGGTTCGAATAAATCTTTACGAATTGAATGAATCAGCTCGTGGTGTGACAATTGACCCGTCACCTTTGTTTCCAGATTATGACATTGGATCCCAGATGTATCCCTTTCAATGCTCTATGAAAATGACATATATAACATTGATGGCTCTGTCTCATAGATATGCCCACTATCTAAGATATAAACGATTTTCAAGCACTGATAAACTCCTCTATTAAAATGCCCTTTCCTCCTCCGCCACTCCCCCTCTCCTTCTTTCCTTTGTTGTCCAAGACTTGTCTGCCATGATAAACAAGTTTTGTACTATTTGAGATAGAGTGCAAGACAAGAGTCGATAATATGTAATTAGTACAAACGAGAGCACATTCATTGTCCACGATATTTTAATTATTTAAAATTATACTGCAGATCCAATGGAGAATCGAGAAAGATCAAGAAGAAACCATACAATGAAAAGGATAGGCTGCCGCCAAATTAAACCACACTAATAGAGGAATACCTCGCGTCGCAAGCAGAGAATGCTTTAATCTCCTTTTATTGACCACACGTCATGCCCTGAAGAAGCAAGGGAGGAGACAAACTTAGGATGCACACTGTTTACCTCAAAACTTTTAGGTCATCATGATCCAATATGTGGAGGGGCTACAACTGCCCAAAGCTCTGTTCTTAATCAAGTGCCATTCGCTGTCATATTTTTCCCCAGAGCGGATTTAAAAAAAATCTATCAGACCAAAAACAATGGGAACCTGCACGAGAAACCCTCTTCTCCCCCTGGTTTTTTTTTTTTTTCTTGAATGATGAACGCAATCTTTAAACAATTGTCCACATTTTTCAGGTGAAAAAAAAAAAAAAAAAAAAAAAAGGGTAATCAACGCATGTGGGATAGAGAAATTGTTGACAAAAGATAAAAAAACCAGAAGAATGTATATATACTGTACTTTTCGGCTTAGCTCAGTTCAGCCATTTGAAATTTTGTTTGGTTATTTTTTCTTTTCTAGACTCTCCTTCCCAGATATAAAGTAAAATATATAAAATAAGATGAGGGATTCGATTAAATAAAACCCCTGGTCCTGTCCGTAACTCGTTCGTACCGCCTGAATGTTTGGACACAAATACTCAAAAGCCGTAAATAGAACAGATTTGTTTGTTCGGTACACACTTGTGAGACCTTGTCTTTTTTAAACGGAGTTGAGTATTTTCGGTTTTAGCCATTGAAGCATGCGCAGTACATTGTCTTTCCAAGATCGAAGGAGACAGGTTATTATTGTGAACTGACGCCCTCTTTCTGACCTTTGAAATCAGAGCAAAAAAAAAAAAAAAAAAAAAAAGATATTCTTTTTTAATTTCAGGTGCGCCCCTTTTCTCAACCTTTCCCTGGTTTCGCATCGCCATTTGTCCGAGTAAATGATGATTGAATTTAAAAAAAAAAAATAGGGGCCTTCCCAGCGTTCAATGCAAAGTGCAAGTGCCTTCTGAATGTCCAAAAAAACTAGAAAAGCATAGTCGTCATAGAGCTTGCGAGAAAGATAAAGGGTGTAATAATTGCAAAGAACTCTTATCCTCATGGCCTTTCATTTTAACAGCCTTTCCGTACCAATCGGACAAAAAAGAAAAGAATAAAAGGAAGACAGATTGGAAAGCAAAGGCAAAAGGCATACACATGCACAACGCACCGCAACCAGGCCATTCCATGACATGTAACGATGTAATAACTAATTGTGTACAACAGGCATGCACTCACACGATCTTGAATTGAATTATTCAGACACAAGCAAATTGTTCACCAGTAACTGAATCTAAAAAACAAGCTAAAAAATTTTTGAATGGTCGAATGGTCGAATGGTAGATGGTCCCTGACGATATTCGATATTCAATATAAAACCATCTAAACATCCTCCACATCTCCCTCCTTTTTCTTGTTTTTCTTTTTCTCTTCATTTTTTTTTTTCTTCATACCCCTTCTCTTCATCAACTTCCTTGTGTTAATGAACCTCTCATTTCCTGATTCTTCCATCTCATCCATTTAGTCATTCCCTTTTGCTCGCTTATTTTTTTCCACCAAGCAAACTGCTTAATTTTATTACCAACGTATGTTTTAAAAAGGAAAAAGATTCGTGCCTTGTGCCTTTCTTGCCCCCTACTATCACGTCAGTTCAACGCAAACACTCTTCACACAAACTTGCAGTTGTGCTGGCTCCACTCGATCTATTGTCTCCTGCCTTCTCTTGATCATTTACAGCCCTACATACCCTTACAGGATCTTTTGCTTTGTTCTCCTTGCCTTTTTTTATCTCCGTTTGTCTGCTCCTCTCCCCTGTATCCTGCGAAATCTACAAACTTGCAAAACCTACATACTGCACCTCTTGTTCCTTACAATTGCATAGCCCTGGAGACGTTTATACCCGCCCTTTTGTGGATGAACTTTTTATCCAATCTACTAACCACTGAGATCTCTCATTTCATCTACCTTTTTTTTTTTCTTTTCTTTTCTTTTTCTCTTTTCTTCATCTTTATCTTTCCGTTCTTCATCTTGCAAAAAAAAAAAAAAAAAAAAAAAAAAACGCCCGTATACTTTGGCTGTGATATACAACGACCCTTTTAGTGCCTAGTCATACTGCTATAAACAAGTACACAAGCACACATTTTGTGCCGTAGACATTATGAAGTTTGGACAGCACCTGAGAGAGTCCATTCAACCAGAATGGTCCTTCAACTATGTCAACTATGATGAACTAAAAGAAGTTCTTAGGTCACGCACCGCGGCACAGATCTGGAACGAGACCGATGAGGGTTACTTTGTCGAACTGCTTGAACGTGAGTTGGAGAAGGTTTATAGCTTTCAAAACGTTAAGATTGGCGAAGTCCATCGCAAACTCAAGTACTATGGTATTCAGGCACAGGACTTCAAGAAGAATGGGGCCGAGGAAGAAACCTGGCGTGCACTCGAGATCGAGCTCTTTCGACTTGTGGCCGAGATTGACGTGCTAGCAAAGTACACTCGCCTCAACTACACTGGATTCCTCAAGATTGTGAAGAAGCACGATGTAAGCACAGTCATTGACTACAATACTCCATTCATTCATATTTACACGCCCATGAACTGTTTGACATATGCTGCATACGGGGCATCTCTTGCCTCATGTCTGCAAGTGTAAATATCTCCTCTTTTTTTCTTTTTTTATCGACCTTGTATAACTTTGCCTTTGCTGTTTTTCAGCTTACAAACAAAAACAAAAGACATCCCTCTATCGTCTGCACCTCACTTGCTTTCTACTTTCATTTCAAGCCTGTTGTCTGGTGCATCTGAAAATCAATTACCTGGGCTCTTTCTTTTCTTTTTTTTTTTTTTTTTTTGTTTTTTTATCTTAATCCACACGACCAAAAAAACCAGCCTAATCTTTCCGTCTTTCTGTATGGCCTGTTGAGAGCAGAAAGGCATTCACAACAAACACAACAATTCAACACACAGAAACAACTCTAGGCTATTCCTTCGCCCATTCCCTTTTCATCCCTAAACAAAAAAAAAAAAAAATGCATTGCCACTAATAATTGTAATACATATTGTACGCCACCTGCACAATTACTGAAATGTTGGCGGAACCTGACTTCAAATAACTGCAGTTTCGCAGTTCATTGCCATCTTTATAAGATGAAAAGTACCACAATTAAACCGGGCAACCTTAAAATTAAAAAGATCAGGTCCAAAGTCCCAGTCCTTCTATTCTTATACATTATCATATAAACACACACATTCTCTCTCACACAGTATTTCACTGACATTATCGCACATTTGAAATTGATGTCACTTAGAAACAAACACAATGGAGGCTCAAGTCCATCTTCCATGTTCGTCTCAACGCGAAGCCATTCCACAAGGAGAACTACGATGCAATCATCGTACGTCTCTCCTCCATCTACCACATTGTTATTGCTAGAGGACAAAAGAACAAAGGAGATGAACAATTTGCTAACTGGGGCTCAAGTGCATTTGTACGTGACACAACCAAGTACTGGGTCCACCCCGACAACATTACTGAGGTCAAATTGATTATTATGAAGCATCTTCCTGTCTTGGTCTTCAACACCAAGAAAGAGTATGAGGAGAATGATTCAGCCATCTCTTCCGTCTACGTCGACAACGAAGAATTTGAGTGCTATCAGGGCCGTCTTGAGAAGAGCGACATGGCGCAGGCTATCCGTATTCGGTACGTTGTGATGCGGTCATAGTAACAGCATAGTGTCGGAAATACTTGTTTTATTTTTAAATGGACTCTAACGCCGAATATATTTTTTTTTTAAATTTTAATTTTATTTTTATTTTTACAGCTGGTATGGTCCTACGCCTACAGAAAATGGCCAATGTTTCTTGGAGAGAAAGGTTCACCGTGAAAAGTGGACAGGAGAGCAGAGTGTCAAGGAACGATTCCCAATCAAGACAAAATACATCAACCCGTACTTGGCAGGCGAATATACAATGGATGTCAAGTTTGCAAAGCTTCGTGCTCGTGGCCAAAAAACGGTCAAAGATGTTGAATTGATGCAGAAGCTCGCCAATGAGGTCCAAAACAGCATTGTCACCAAAAAGATGCGCCCCACTATTCGTGCCTTCTACCGCCGTACCGCCTTCCAACTTCAGAACGATGCTCGTGTGCGCATTTCTCTTGATACAGAGCTGGCTCTGATCCGTGAGGATGACTTTGGTGGTCGGAAGCGTGCTGGCGACAACTGGAAGCGTGAGGACATTGGTATTGACTGGCCCTTCAAGCAATTGCCCTCCGAGGATATCACGCGCTTCCCTTATGCAGTTTTGGAGGTCAAACTTCAAACACACCATGGACAGGAGCCACCAGCTTGGATTGTAGAACTAATCAACTCTCACTTGGTGGAGTCTTGCCCTCGTTTCTCAAAGTATATCCATGGTGTTGCCACATTGCTTGAGGACAAAATCCAGATCCTGCCTTTCTGGCTGCCTCAGATGGACCAAGATATTCGTAAGCCTCCCAATACGGACTTTGGTCTGTCCTCTTTCCTCCCAAGAGCATGGCCTGTTGGTACACCTCAGGTCGGCCTTCGGCCCGATATGCTGATTCCTCCAACGATCCCCACACGTCCAAGGATCGCAGGAGGAGATTCCGTAGTAGTGGTGGAGGGCTCTACTAATAGCCTAAAGTCATTGTCAGAATATGAGCCAAAGATGCCAAAGACTATTGATAAGGCCACCTACCAGCAAAAGATGCTCGAGAAGAATGCAGCAGGGCGCAGACCAGGTACCAGCAGCGAAATCAGCACCTACAGGCAACCAGCGCCTTCGCCGTCTAAATCCAGCGCAGTCGTAGCTCACCCCTTGGTTGACAATGGCCCTGTGCCTCAAAGACCTCAATTGGCACCTCCAGCGCGACCATGGATTGATGGAATCAACAACCGCGATTCACGGGCATCACTTGGATCCGAGTACTCTATCCCACAACCCATGACTGAGAAAGGACCCGCAGGTAATAATGGAGGCAATAACAATAACGATGGTGGGCTGTTGCGCAAGAAATCGACTATTCGGCGTAAGCGTTTTGGATTCCGAGAAAAGAGACCTGGCTCGATCAAGCGTGTCACTGAGCCTGTTAGGATGGAGCCTAAAGTGTTCTTTGCTAACGAACGCACGTTCCTCAACTGGCTTCAATTTTCCGTCTTGTTGGGTTCTGTAAGTTGCTCAATGCCTTTAAAAAAAATGCTCAAATCATCCAATTTAAGCTCGTACATGATCGGAAGCAATCTAACACTTATTTTTTAACAACCCTTCCTTAGATTGCCTTGACATTGCTCAACTTTGGTAATTCGGTAACACGAGTATCCGGAGCAGTGTTGACAGTCATCACACTTCTTGCTATGATTTATGCTCTGGGTATTTTCCATGTGCGTCTGTCCAACATTTTATCAACAAAAGCCAACCGTCAATTCCACGATCGTGTTGGACCTACTATCCTTTGCATCTTTTTGTTCGGTGCCTACTTCCTCAACTTTTACAGTACGTATCTAATCTTATTTGCACATAATATATCATGACAAAAGTTTGTTAACAAAGAACAACTGACTGATGTTTTTTTTTTTTTTTCCTCACTTATAGCCAAGTTTATTCAAGTTCAAGCTACACCTGGCAACCAAGCATAGAAGACAAAAGAGGAAAGAGAGGAAAGGACGGGGCACGGCCTGTACGCTCAATTTTCTATTTGTTATTGTCATTTTTTTCTTTGATTTACAGCATAAATAGTCATAATGTTTCTTTGGAATTAAAAAAAAAAAAAAAAAAAAAAATGCTAGAGTATTTAAGGGTTATAGATTTCCATGCCTTACTTTTTTTCAGTGAACACACAAACTTTTTTACACTCTCTCTTCCCTTCTCTTCTTTCTACTCACGTTCATCGTTCATCATAACCATAACCATATAGACAATGGCAAGTCATCTAGAGATGTCACGCACGTGACGGATCTTTATGAGACAGCAGTTTATCTTTACAAACTGAGGAAGGATGCCTTTGGATACAACAATGAGCAACAAACCATCCATCTATCTATCTATCCATCGATATTGAAATCTTTGATTTTTTTTTTTTTTTTTACTATTGCTATTATTATATGTTATTATAATTTCTATTTACCCTTTGTGGTTTGATCTCGTTGATTCAACCTTCAATGCCACCAATTCTGTTGCTTTTTTTTTTTTTTAATGGTTGACATTCCTGGCCTCCTGGCTACAGAAATTTCAATGAAAAAAATGGAAATCAGGCTATTAAACCAAAGCCAACGTTGAAAGAGAAGCCAAATGGATTAAACGGTTTTATCGATGGAATGACTATGGACTACATGACATTAAAACAAATAATAATAATATGGACACGATGAATCAACAAAAAAAAAAGAAAGAATCCTTCCTCAGCTCGGAAACTGAAGGAAACAAGAAAACAAAAGTAGAGTAAAAATATTCTAAAACGTCGATATCATTGTTTCTCCTTGAAATTCCTTCTACACCCCCAAATCCTCCTTCCAAAAAAAAAAAAAAAAAAAAAAAAAACAGGGTCGCGTTCGTACAAAGACTGTCAAGAGAGCCTCCAAGGTTCTGATCGAGAAGTACTACCCTCGCTTGACGTTGGATTTCCAGACCAACAAGAAGATTGCCTCTGAGGTGGCCATCATCCCCTCAAAGCGTCTCCGCAATAAGATTGCTGGTTTCACTACCCACTTGATGAAGCGTATCCAGCGTGGTCCTGTCCGTGGTATCTCCTTCAAGCTTCAGGAGGAAGAAAGAGAACGTAAGGATAATTACATCCCCGAGTTCTCGGCCTTGGATACCTCTGCTATCGAGATCGATACCGAGACCCAGAACTTGCTCAAGTCCTTGAACTTTGAAGAATTAGCTGGTGTCACTGCCGTTGAAATCAAACAGGCCCCCGTCGAGACTCGCAAGCCCCGTGGACCCCGTCCAGATCGTACTTGAAGAAAGAAAAAAAAGAATAAAAGACCTTTTTAGGAACAAGATTTGTTTTTTTTTCTTTTTCTTTATTTTTTAATGTTCAACTTTGAAATGCTGTTTCTAAGTCTACTCTGTGAGTTTTTTTTTTTTTTTTTTGTATTATATTGCACTATTTTTTTTTACTCGTTCACCTCTTGCGACTCAAAGGCAGGGTACTTGGCAGAGACCTCTGACCAAGTAATCTTGCCTTCGCACAACTCTTTGACGAGATCTACAATGACCTCAATCTTTTCACGGATTTGCTTAGTCGAATCGCGCTCACGGAGGGTAACTGTGTTGTCTTGAGCTGACTGGAAATCGACTGTGATGCCAAAGGGTGTGCCAAGCTCGTCGTTACGAGCATAGCGACGACCAATTGATGCACCAGAGTCATCAATCTTACTAGAGATGCCGCTGCGGCGGAGCTGCGCAGAGACCTTTTGCAGTACTGGCACAAAGACATCGTTCGTTGACAAAGGAACAAGCAAACACTTGGTTGGTGCTACCACTGGAGGGAACGACAACACGCCACGCGCCTCTCCTTCTGGACGAATCCAATAAACGTGTTCCATCAAGCAATACAAGATACGGCCAATACCGAATGAAGGCTCAATGACGTTGGGGGTGAATTCGCGGACTGTATTGCACCATAAAAGAAAGTGAGGGTATCAGAAAATGAAATTAACAAATCAAGCTGTCCTGCTTTCCGATTTTTTTTTTTTAGCACAACTAATAACCCATGTTTCCTTACTGTGAGTAGTGATAGAAACCTTTTCAAAACTGGAGATAAGGTCCTTGGTGATATCAAAAGATGTATTGTTGACATTAACTGAGAAGGTACCATCGCTATCGTGCTTCTTCTTGAGTTCTTCCAAAGTGCATTCGTCCAATGAAGCCAAGTATTCCTCAACAGCCTTAGCATCTTTCTTAAAACGAGGGCCAAAGACCTTCTTATTGATCTCCAGTTGCAGCTTCTCCTCTACAAGAGGCTCAGGCAGACGCTCACGGACAACCAGCTTCTCGCCAGTCTTGTTTGAGTGAACAGTCAGATCATAGGCTGAGCGGTCAGCACAACCCACACATTCCTTCCAGCCATACGATGTGTGGATCTCTGCATCCCAACAGTCGCAGGCGTAGTGAGCCATCTCGTTCTTCATATGCTGGCGGAAACGAATACGATCGGGATTGATACCGATCTTAGTCAGGAACAGGTGAATGCGAACCAAGAAATAACCCAATGTCTGGTTGTCGATTATTTTCTTCTCCACTGCCTCGCCTACAGATATCTCCAGAAGCTCGGTCTTGCCCTGGAGCTGAACAGATGCGGGAAGAATCCTCAACTTGTAATCCGCAACCTCGTGGAAACGAGCGTGGTCTTTCTTTGTGGGATCAACATAGTGCTCAATCTCTGCCATCGTGAATTCTCTGTTTTATGTTTGAAGATATAAAAAGGAAAAAAGAAAAAAAAAAAATACGTGTTCGAGATTAAAATGCTTCCAAATAGATAGAGTTAAAAAACGAAATACAAAAACTATCCTCTCTTTACCTAACACGCAAGAGACCTTCGCGAGGGGAGATCTCATTACGGAATGAACGACCGATTTGAGCAGAAGCAAAGGGCATGCGATCGTTGTTGAATTCGAGAAGTCTCTTAAAGTTCAAGAACTGTCCTTGAGCAGTCTCAGGGCGCAAGAAGCCGGGGAATTGGCCAGTGGGTCCAATGCTGCTGGCGAACATGAGGTTGAAGACAACAGGCTCAGAAAGGTCGTTACCGGTTTCAGGTGATTTGATCTGATGTGTGCGCATGAGTTCACCGAGTTCTGGACCAGAATAGTTGTCGATCTATTATTGAGCCACATCCCCGTTGAGCAACATCGTTTAAATGATAGAAATAAATGATAGAAATAAATGACAATGTAGGTTGAGATATAAAAAGCAGATGAGTGGCACAGCAATGCGACAAACGGAAATCTTTTTAAGGTTACATAAGCCAAATCGCCTTATCTGCCTTATCAATTGAGATCCTTTTCCAAAATAAACTCACCTGAGCAAGGATCTCCTTGTAGGTCTGGACTGTGGAATCTTCAAGACGGACAGCCGTGACTTTGGCAGCCTTCTTTTTCTTCTTTTCATCCTTATCAGCCTTAGTCTCAACAGGAGCATTGCGAGCAATCTTATCACCATCCAGACGGGCTTCAAGGACGTTTTCGACCAAGTGATCAGCACGGAAAATCTCGCCTGTCTTGAGATCTTTACACATCCAGTCCGAGAAACGATCTACGTGACCTGAAGTCTTAAGAACCTCTGCTGGTGTCATGATCGAACAATCAACCTCAAGCATGTCTTCCTCAAGCACAAAGTGCTTGCGCCAGATCTCGAGCACATTCGCCTGAAGAGCACAACCTGGAGGACCATAGTCGTAAAGACCAGCAACGCCTATAAAGCAAAGAAAAGAAAAAGGGAATCCAAAACCAATAATAAATAACCGTTGTTGTATTCCTCTTTTCTTTCTCTCCCTTGGCTGAAAATGATGCCCCTGAATCATCAATCTCTGGGTTCTTCAAGAAAAAAAAAAAAAGAAAAGAAAAGAAAACTGATATAAAAACATGCGCCTTTCCAACTATTGTCGCTAGCTACTGATCCTCTTTTAATGTGAAATACAGATTTTTTTTTTCCCTCTCAGGGTTTCTAAAGCATGCGCCGAACAGCATTGAACGCCTTTCTATATTTATATCCTGAGGCTTGACATGTGTAGTGTAAATGATTTTTAGAATGCTTTACCTCCATAAACTGAGAAGGCTGGGGCGTAGAAGAAGCGTTTTCCGAGCAACTGCTCAAGAGCAGCTCTGTTGAATGTAGGTTCAGTAGACATGATGGAGTTGAAATGAAGAGGAATGGAGATAAAATTTAGGATGAAAGAAGAGACATTGTCAACGATTGTCAACGTTGACTCGTCAATGGCTCATTCAGTGCAAACATTCTAAAGCCACCAGAATGACTCACGTGTAGCAAACAATTAAAATGAAACCTTTTTTAGTCATGAGTTTGGTCAGAGTATGCTGCTAGATCGTATGCATTTGTGTCCATATTAGTATGAGCGCTGCCGTCGTTACTGGTACTGGCATAACCATGTCTACCCATTAGCCCACGCTCTGGCATACCTCTGGTTCTGATAAAAGTAGATGATGTGGAAGCAATGCTCTCTTCGTATCCTGGTGGTTGATAATGCTGCTGCTGCTGTAAAATAGTCAGACGTCGTGGCACAAGAAGTCATACTGAACTGCCTCAAATGACCGCCTATCGAACTCCGCAAGGTTTGCACCATCAACTAAAGTGCTCATGAATGAGTGATGATAACTTGGTGGATGTGTCTCGTCTGTAATCAAAGTGTCTTCTGGGTATACTGGCAGTCCGCTGTCATTCCTCCTGTTACTTGCTGATCCATCCTCTACTTATCACATTAGTATTGATATCTTGCTTAGCAATGTCATGCTCTAAAATATTTGGTGTTCGCTTATTTGGGGCTATCCCTTGTAGATACACCAATACACGCAAAGTATGCTTCACTTGGATCCCAATCTGAGATATCACCCCTGTATTATGGCAGAATCTCTTCGGTAGACTTGAGCATTGGTCTCTGACTTGAATCTCATTAGTTTCTTTATACCACTGAGCGAATGGTGCTTCAGGTGTCTTGAATATCAGTCACTGGCGTCGCTGTGTCATACCCTGCTGTTTCAGAGAGGAAAACCCAGAACACGGATTCCCATATCTCAATTACAACATCCTTTAATGACGTCTTATGTCCATTCAAGCATAGATGGATCATCAAGGGTATAGTTCCCCCATGTGGAAAGACAAGGCAAGGCAAGGTCAACCTTCCTGTTATTCTAGGCGTCCGTTTCAAGGCTAGTTGTTAAAGACCTCCCCTCAAATATTCATTACTCAGAGGTGGCGCAGTGTGTTTTAACAGGATGACTGGCTTTGTGATATGTGGTAATTGACGCTGACGGCTGGACATGTGAAAGCGGGCGGGAAGCTATTAATACTGCCATTGCTGCTGTTGCTGTTGATGTTATTAGGGAGCATAAATAGTAATGGGGACTTGTGGGTTCCTGGAGCAAGGATCAGAGGCTCGTTAGAACGGTTAGAGTTTTCATCGCCTACTATTTGTTGATCTGTAAGATTTTTAAAGTTAGTCCAGAAATCCAGAAATTCAGGGACAAAAGATTAGGTAGAAGGATACAGACGGAAATAAACAGAACTTACAAATTTTTTGAGGGTGTAGCATTGAGCGCGCTTCGCAGAGGAATCTTCCGTGAGTTTGTACTTTGCAGGTCTCTCCTGCCTCTCAATTTGAGCAAGACCGATTCTTGCGATGTTTTCCGCTCCTATTGCGTCACGGTCGAAGGATACCTTACAAGCACGGCAACATTTAGAGCGAGGGTACACCGTCTCTAAAAAGCTATCGCAGAGGGGTCGGGGACAGCGGGCGCTGGTGTAAAATCTGTGCGACCCTACAGCGAAGTGTCCTCGTGCTTTGACCTAAGTGTCTCAAATGGCAGTCGTTTATCGGCAAGGGCTCTATGGCTTTCCAGCTTTTCTTATTTTTTAAAAAAAGTCATGTCTCGTTATAACAGTGTGCTTGCTGGAAACTCCTTTATTACTTTCAAAGGGCCCTAGGCCTACGACAAGCATTCCTTTTTCCCCGAGCATCTTCAACACTCGCTGCACCGCGTAGTCGAACGTAGCTCGTTGAACCTCTCGTAAGTTCCATTTTTTTAGGTGCCATCGGAACTCATAGAACTCTTGAAGCACATCCAAATTCTTTGATCCTGTCTGGGACTCCTCGTTCACCCATTGAAAGTACTCATTGTACGTATCCCTTTCAAACACAGGGATGGCGCTCTCATCTCAATCATTCCTTTTTCACGCTTCCTTTTGTTCAACAGGTGATTGAAGCGGAGGACGGGAAGGTACAGGAACCTGCTTCTCACCTTCACCGTTTGTCGCAAGTTAGGGTTGTGAGGGTCCAGCGAGGAAAACCTAAAGGCGTTAACAATACCAGGATCGCATCTGACGATAGTTGTGGTGTTTGCGGATGGGCATCGCTCTGGTTCGTTGAATGTGAGCTCAACGTTTTCAAGCAGTTTGGAGCTCCTCTTCCAGTTTAAGTTTGCGTAGTCTTCATCTGTCAGGTCTTCACCGGCTGCCTTTGAACACGTCGTGTTGAGAAATCCCTGAGAAAGCTCCAGTTCTTGGCTGGAGTCTTCTTCATCTACATCAGACTGCCGCTGTCTCGTCGTCTGGGTTGTGTCATAGGCGAGTAGATTCAAAACAAGGCCGTTAGTAGAAATCGTTCCTTTGAGGTTGAACCGAGTTATATCTTTGTCCTGCGACTGCAGGGATACTTTGTCTCGATATCCATGAACCATGCGATCACCTCCAATCTCACAAAAGAGAGCCTGTATCAAAACTCCTTTTGTTCCCTGTACACATTCAAACATTGCAGTCTTGGAAGGATTGTCGAGAGGCAGAATACGCTCCAGTAGCTGCTTGGTATCTTCGTTCGCCCAGAGGATGTCAACTAGGGCGTGTTCAGACAGATACACATACCCCGGGTGACCAGAAGGTTGTAGAGAAGTCTGAGTATATTTTCACTCTTTTGTTCTCCCGCAAAAAAACTCAATGTCGCTCATATCTTCATTAATTTTCTTGACATCGAACTAGAAAAAAAAAAAAAAAAAAAAAAAAAAAACTCTGAATAGAGAGCATTTGATCGCAGAATATGCATGAAAATACTCTACTCAAGGTTATACCATTGCGTTCCTGTAGTGCTACCTCAAGTAAAGCTCGGTTTCTTCAAGTGAAAGTGAATAGTGTGAATGAATGTGTACGTGAGAATTTTTTTTGCTGGATAAAATATGAAGGCAGAGGAGGAGTAGTCAAAATCACACAGGCTGTAGACGGCCACCATTTTAGGCACGACTGCCTTACGGCGCGTCCGCTGGCTGGTCAAATGTTTGTGGCACAATCAATTTAATCCCATCCATAAAAATAGCACTTCGCGTCGCGAGAAGCAAAAAGATTGGAGAATGAGAGACTTGAACTCCCGACCTTCCGCTTTGGAGACGGACGCGCTGCCAATTGCGCCAATCCTCCTTTTTATAGGACTTGTCGTAGAGCATCTACTAGTGATCTCTGGAAACTAGTAGGTAATGATGAAAAATGAAGAATTGGGCAAGAGCCTCGTGGTTTTGGGATACGATAGTGATCCTAAGTAATGCTTTGAATGATTTTGAGGATGCTGCAAAAGGGCATCGATAATAAGAAGAGAGATCTTTAATAACTGCTAATTTTCTGAGAATTCATAATGAGAATAATGAAGATAAACTCACCTGCAAAAGGGCATCGATAATAAGAAGAGAGATGCCGTTTTTGCAGTGAAGGAAAAAGCTACTTAAATACTATTTAAAAATGGTAGAAAATAGGATGATAGGAAATAAATAAATTGAAAGGAAATACATATTTAGGTAAATGAATAGGCGTCATTTACGACAGACTGACGTGGAAAGATCTGTCAATGATCCCAAAGATTGACAGAAAATGAACAAAATGATAATAAAAAGTTGGACGAAGTGCCAAAAGATAAATTCATAAATGGACAAGCCCAATGCCCAGCTCATCCCAAAGGTGCTGTATAGAATTTCGGCCCAAATGTTGCCACCAAAGTTCCTACAGAAGATGACTGGTAAGTATATGTCACTGTGTAAGCGGAAAGCACGTATGCCATCAACTACGCCAAACAGCATTATGAACCACAATAGATTGTATGCCATCAAAGACTTGGCGAACGCTCAAGCGGAAGAACAAATATCTACCCTGGCGCTTCGACTTAATGACAGCAATGTAATGGGACGGATATGTCGGACACGAGTACTGATGCTGCAGCACAGGAATAAGATGGAAGTCTCGCCAACTTTGGAGCCACATCGTGTCAAAAAGTATCGCCACAACTTTATATCGAATGTTTGTGAAGAAATGAAGAATCGTAACATTACTTTCGACCTATCGATCGCAGCCGAATTTGGTCTCCCACACAACGCTCTCTCGACATGGAAATGGCTAAACGGAGAATTACCACACGTATGCAAGGCGCTCACCAAGCGTATGGTATACTTTGTGGATCAAATACTTACGGATGATAAGGAGGACATGATCTCATGGCACGCATTCAGGACCCGTTACGGAGGGCCTAAAGTTTCGCCATTCTGGTTCAACCAACTTCAAAACTTTTGCTTCGACAACGATTATGTGGGTAGACATGCAAGAGAATGGAACAGGAGGAAACTGGCACTCTTAGACGTCAGTGATGATGACAGCAACAGCGACAGTAGTTATGTCAGCTCGGTAGACGGGGATACAGAAGACGAAGATCGAGAAGCGATTCGTGCACTCAACCAATTCATAAAGGATGAGGCAGCGAACAGAACTTTGACAGTATCACCGGCTAATCAAGCTGTTGAGCCACTAATTGGAATTAAGTGGATTCTAGATCAACAGAAGGAGCGGAAAAAGAGACGAGAAGCTGTTATGAAAGAGGCGCGCAGAGCAACCAGAGAACATAATCTTAGGCGACAAAGAGCAAAGTTAGATGCCATAGTCAGAAGAGCAGAACGCCACCAGGACCGAGAGCGAAGGCATGGTGAACGCATGCGAGCCCGCGAAGAAGCGAGGAGACGCCGGACCCAGAACACAAGGAGATATGAGGGTCTGAGCGAGCAAGCTCTGCTAAGGAGAGCAAAAGTCGACCTGGATTCCAACGAGACACCGTGCCTAAAAGTGATCCCTGAAGTCAACAGAGGCCTAGCCAGGGACACAAATGGAGTTATCATTAGCGCCAATACCGAGGAGAAAATCCAACGCCAAAGGGAACGGTACAATACCCAGCCGGGTAATGTCATTTATACGGATGGATCTCTCAAAGATATTGGCACTGAAAGAGTAAGTATGGCATTTGGTGTGGTAGTCCAGACACAAGAGGGTGAGTTTTACACTGCGCTATCTGGTAGAGTAGCAGGCAACGCATCCTCGACAAAGGCAGAGCTAGCTGGTTTGTTGGCAGGAATACTTATCAGCCCACGAAACAGATCTATGACAATCCGACTTGATAACAGCGCAGTTGTGACTCAATTCCGAGCATTGGTCCGAGGCAGAGTGGATAGCACGTTGCGACAACGTATTAGATCACCGTATGCAGTATGGTGGGCAGCTATACACAACGCATTTATTCAACAAGGATCGGAAGTCACGGTCGAGTGGGTCAAAGGACATGCCGGCAACAGAGGGAACGAAGAAGCGGACGAAGCAGCAAAACATGGACATTATGGCGAGCTATGGGATATCAACATAACGGAGCATAATGACATGTACTGCCATGCAAAGTTCAACGGTGTACCAGCGGAAGATGACTTAAGGCAGATCCTTAAGTTACAGTCAACAACTCGTACACATCACACGTGGATCGCTCAGAACAGGACGCAGGAGCATGTTAAGGATTGGACAAAAATTGATTGGCGAGCTACTATGAACATTGTTCATGATAGCAACCTACCGAAAGGACTCTTCACCAGCCCAGCGGACTGCCAAAAGCGAGCGCACAGGATCAAGAAACTCCATGGAATGTTGCCTACACAGTCATATATGAGACACTGGAGGCCAGACCTTTATGAAGACGGCAACTGCAGAGTGTGTGGGACAGAGGATGAAGACACATCGCACATCTGGAGATGTCCAAGGACGATGGAGACTCAGGCCGAGAAGTGGAAGGAGATAATCCAAAATGTGAATGTGATAGGGGAGAGGACATGGAGGAAAGAGTTGAAAGCAGTGCAGGAGCAAGCACAAAGGGCCAGAGAGAGGTGTAGACCCACCAAGGACAAAAGAGCCAACTTTTACTGCGGCAGAGGAGGACTACATTTGGAAAACTCTGGAGATGCATATCGATGGTGTGCGAGAAGTACGACGCCATGGTGATAGGAACGGCGATGATGAGGAAGAGAGAGAGCACACACCAGATTGGTCTGTGCAAGACATTTACCATGGACTTACGCCCAAGTCCATTGCTCAGAGTTGGAAAGTTGGCTTCAAGACAACAACAAGGATAGCTACATATATGGCAGGGCGCTTCGTCAAGGCCATAGAGGAATTCGGTCGTACAGAAATCTGGAACAAACGGTGTAAAGTTACTGTTGAATGGGAAAAGGCTCGTGGAATCACTGCTATGAGCAAACGCGCTAGAGGACGCAACTGTGTTGGGGAGCACAGACGTAGTAGCAATGATTTCCTTGTCCCTTCCCTCAGACAAAGACAGAAGCTGAATGTAAAAGAGATCTACAAGATCGCGGATGACCGAGTCCGGGACAGTTACCTTGGGAAAACCAAACTGGACGTGATGGAGCGGCTAGGTGGAATGAAGTTTTTGATGACTATGGATAGCGAATAATTTGTCGTGTTGCGCAACAGGCCACGTCGGAAAGGCGGACTTTGAGTACCAACCACGGCGGTCAGGGTTTATGAAATCATGGATACAGCGGCTCTTGTCGTTGTGCAGTAATAGCTGTATATTGACTATAGTTTCTGGAGCATTTTGTTCATAGAATGTAGAAAATAAATCCCATGACCCTGAGGGTCCTTGTTATCAAAAAAAAAAAAAAAAAAAAAAAAAAAAAACCTGCAAAATAGCATCAAAAGTGAAAAGAGGGATGCTGTTTTGCAAAGAAGCCAAAGTGATTTAAATATATACTAGGATTGATAAAGGAAATAATGATAAAAGTACTGAATGATGATGGAAATAATGAAGAAGAGGATACGTAAATAGCAGATTTACGACAGGACTCTATAACATAAACTGAATATACCGAAGAATACCTTTCCACAAGCGCACGCTCCCTAAGTGCATCTTTTTATGAATTAAGTCATTCTGAACTGTGTAAACAGGGCAACCAATTTCTAGAGTCTATTTCGAACACATCCTCACGACCTCATGGGTCCCAGTTATCAAAAAAAAAAAAAAAAAAAAAAAGTCATTTTGAAATCCTCACCTCTGTGGGGGGATGGAAGAACGAGGGTGAGGATGCCTACTAGGCTGTCCAAGACTTGTACCACGGTTTGGTGCCGAGGGAACTGATACAGAGATGGAAGTCGATCTTCAGAACCACAGTATCGATCTCAAGGTACATTGTTTGCCGCTTTGTCAAGTCAATCGAGGAACTCGGCAGGACTGATGTCTGGAACAGACGATGCAAAGTCATCGTCAACTGGGAAAGAGACAATGGCATCACCTCTGTGAGCAAACGCGCCAGGGGGGCGCAATTGTGTTGAGAAGCACAGACGTAGCAGGGATGAATTCCTTGGCTCTCACCAGGGACAACGACAAGCAGCAGACGTGAAGGCGATCAGGACTGGTACAGATCGGCGGGTAGCGACAAGCTACCAGTAGTAGGTGGAATTAGCAGTGATGGAGCGCCTGGAAAGTTGTAAGTTTTTGATGATTGAGGGATTGTGGCAAAAGGATGACCTTCGCGCACAACAAGCCAAGTAGGGAGTAGAGCCATGCCACAGGTTATCAGGGGACCAATATATCATATTGAAAAATTATATTTCATCAAACACTGGTTCCTGGAGCTTGATTCCGGCACCAATGGAGAGGGAATACGAGGTCTCACAGCCACTCAAAGTTCAGATAATTCTTCTTAGTCTTGAGGGCATGTGAAATCCAAAAATCGTCTTAATACAAAAGAAAAGTAAGAAATGTCGGCGTGGAAAATATCTTCACGATGTTAATAATTATACAATACCAAAAACAGCATTATTTTCTATCTCTTCTTGCCCATGCCTGCTTGGAGCGATATGCTCTCCAATATGTTGCTACGTTGCTGCTTGGCTGCCTTACTTCTTGTTCTACACTGAGCAGTTTTTCCACAAATAAACGATAATCATCACGTATAAGCTTTCCCAGTAAATTAAAATAATTTGGCTTTAAATTAGACTGGTTGAAAACACTGGCACTAAAACTAAGCTCTAGTTGCCGGAACATAGGCTGTATACATACAGTACCTTGTACTGTCGCATATAGCGCTCGGATGAAGAGTGAAGGAGTGAGTGTGAGGAGTGAAATGCTTGTAGAATAGCAAAAAGAGTAATAATTAAACACAAAGGCTCTTCAATGTCGCTCCACAACCTGCAAACATTGGTCATTAATCAAGCTCAAGCTATTTCATCTAAATTATCATGAATTAGCCTTCTCCTTGGTCTTGAACGGATTGTTTTATTTTTATTTTTGCAACCTACAAGTTAGACGAAATTGCCTTTTTTTTTTTTTTTTTTTGCAATGTTCGAGGCGCTAGGACTATTTATTATTTTCGATTATAGGCCTTGATAGGCATGGTTGATACATCAGTGTTACTTTTTCTCTTCAACAACAGTGACAGGGACAGGCTCGGGTACAACGCCAGATGTGACGATGGACTCAGTCTGCACAACTGTCTCCTCAGCAGCTCGCTCCATTTTGACCTCTTCAGTGTGCGTGGCTGAAACCTCAACGACTTTGCCAGTTCTTAAGATTTTGTTGTCTGATTCCACATCAACTCCAATGGCAGCTAAGGTTATTGACATAATGTTAATAAAGTTTTAGTGTTAGAAATATGAAGCAAAGCATTACATTGTGTGATAAAGAGTGTTGAATAAGTGTAGTCTTCCTGCCACTTACCAGCTTCCTTGGTCAAAGTCTCGATTTCTTCCTTGTCAATCGCACCCTCTGCATCCTATAGTCACAAAGACGCAAGTGAAAGAACATTAGTTATAACAATGCAGTAACCCAAACAAACTATTAAGCACGAGGTGGTAGTAAATCTTCTCACATACCTTAGTATCATCTCCCGAGTCAGATCCAGAGGAGGATGAGGAAGAGTCGGGTTTGTAATCCTCATCTGACTCACCATCCGACTAGACCATTGTAATGTCAGGAATGTTGAGAACAAGGTCGAAAGAAGAGCATATAGAGAGATAAGTAAAATGGATTGTTCGTTTCAATTAATACTGACATTAAGTACATGCATGCTGAGATTTACAACGAAAACTTACACTGAGATCATCAAGGATAGTCTTTCCTTCGCTACCAACAGCCACACCGACGGCAGAAGCGGCTTCCTTCTTGGCCTGCTTCTCCTTCAACTTCTTCTCTTCCTTTTCCTGCTTCTCCTTCAACTTCTTCTCCTTCTTTTCCTGTTTCTCCTTTAACTTCTTTTCTTTCTTTTCTTTCTTCGCTGCCTTCTTTGCCTCGTCATCGCTGTCACTGTCGTTACAGTCTTTCTTGATATTGGTCCTGCTGCCGCCAAAAAGACCAAGCCTCTCGAAGAAACCAGGCTTCTTTTCTTTTTGTGCCTTCTTCTTTTCTTTTTCGGCCTTTTTGGCCTTTTTGGCTTCTTCATCCAGATTCTCGTCGTCGCTGTTAGAGCTGCTAGAGTCCTCACCATCCTTGTCTTTCTTTTCCTTCTTTTCCTTCTTTCCCTTCTTTTCCTTCTTTTCCTTCTTTTCCTTCTTTTCCTTCTCTTTCTTCTCTTTCTTCTCCTTCTTCTCCTTCAATTTTTTCTCCTTCTTGTCCTCCTTATCCTTCTTTTCCTCCTTCTTCTCCTCCTCAGATTTTTCGGCCTTCTTGGCTTGGTCACCCAACTGCTCACCCAACTGCTCATCGCCGCAGCTAGCGCTGCTGGGATCCTCACCTTCTTTCTTGTCCTCCAACAATTCCTTCTCCTCTTTCTCGACATTCTTTACCTTTTTGGCTTCCTCATCCAACTGCTCATCCTCGCTGTCAGAGCTGCTAGAACTGCTAGAACTGCTAGAACTGCTTGAACTGCTTGAACTGCTAGAGCTGCTTGAGCTGCTGCAACTGCCACTGTCGGATTCTTCGCCATCGTTCTTTTCCTTCTTCTCCTTCTTCAGCAGCTTTTTCTTCTCCTTTTCAGCTTTCTTAGCCTTCTTAGCCTCCTCATCTAACTGATCATCATCGCTGCCAGAGCCCTCGCTGTCTTTTTTGTCTTTCTTCTCCTTCTTCTCCTTCTTCAACAGCTTTTTCCTTTCTTTCTCTTCCTTTTTAGCCTTTTTGGCCTCTTCATCCAACTGTTCATCGTCACTGCCAGAGCCGCTGCTAGAACCTTCGTCATCCTTCTTGTCCTTCTTCTCCTTTAGTTTCTTTTCTTTTTTCTCCAGCTTCTTCTTTTCCTTCTCAGCCTTCTTGGCCTTCTTGGCCTCTTCATCCAACTGTTCGTCATTGCTGCTGGAGCTACCGATGTCATTATCGTCACCACATGAGGCCTTGATGTCCTTGGTTTCTTCCTTGGAGAGAATGATTGTTGAGGCGGAAGCACTGCCTGTAACTTGGGAAGACGAAGATGACTCGACTGTGACTGAGGTGGCGGAGAATTGACGCTCAAACGACGCGGACTGAGTGGTGGTGATAGTCTCAGTGGTGGTAGTGGAGGCTACAGATTCAGTATCGTTGATGACGGTAGTGCTGCTGGCGGTCAAGACGGCAGGGTCCTTGACCTCAACAGTTTCGACGGTAGTTTGGACCGTAGAATGGACCTTGGGTTCTGTGCCAATAATCTCGGACATGATTTATTTGAGGTGTGAGTATGAGACAGGGGTTTGTAGAAGTGAGGAGTAAGAGTAAGGTAGATGGTATGGGCGATAAGGTCGGGTGCTAATAAAAAAGAGGAAAGAAGGGGAATGAGGAAAAGAGCGTCTTTTTTTATACTCCAGGAGTAAAATTGGGTGGCAAGACAGTTGAAGAGAGGTTGTGATTGGGGTACTATTTTATTGACTGTGAGAAATCTTGAAAGAAGAAGATGGAAAGAGTTTAAAGAAAGCACATGTGTCTGCTTGGATCAAATTGAACGGAGGTAGTCTATTGGTATAGTTACACAAACACTGGTTGGTACAATCGCTCAGGTCAGCCGAGCACGACTCCTGTCTTCACACACTTTTCTCACTCTCCGAGCATCCACAGCTCCACAGCTGAATTGAAAGGTAAACTAAATATAGATTCATAAGATTTTCGGGAAGACGGCACGTCGTGCATTTTATCTTCCTCATACGAAGACGTATTATACATGTATTTTAACTGTAACTGCGATATGTATTTGAACACTTGCTATGCCTGGATTTCACCATTTGTTCCCTTGTTAGTCATGTGCTACACAAATAAAGTGAGTTATGCAAATAGATCGGCGTCTAGGTCAACCCCAAAGTCCCAAACGACAATATTCCGATCTTGAGACGTGCTATGAATGCAAAAAAAAAAAAAAAAATAAAAAAATCAGCCCCACAAAAGATAACATCGAGTTTATTTGTTAGGTTTATATTTATATTTATATTTTATTTTTATTCCTCTTTAGAGCCCGAGAAATTCATATACAAGGATCAGCTTCTGCTTACCTGATGATGCGGGTGGGTGAAAATTGAACGTCAAACACCCAACTGACGTGCCCGTTATTGAGATCCAAGGTACATTCACCCGTGGTCATATCCCACACTTTGACTGTTTGGTCGTAGCTTCCACTGACAACCCTATTCTGATCAAAGTGCAATGTTCGTACCAAGTTTTCATGTCCTGATAAAACTCTTATGCATCTACCTGTTGCAGCTTCCCATATTCGAATCGTCCTATCATTTGATCCTGACACGATCGTTTCGCCATTGAATTGAACACAGGCCAAGCCCCGCTCATGCCCAACAAAATCACGCACACACGAGCCGGTAGCTACATCCCATAGCTTGACCAACCCGTCACCAGAAGCAGAGACAACTTGGCCTTTATGTAGCTGGATCGCATTTACAGGACCGCGATGACCCCTTAAACTCCTTAATAAAGCCTTGGTTTCAACGTCCCATATCTTGATAGATGTGTCTTTAGAGCAGCTCACGATATATTTTTCATCAAAACATACATCGAGTACTCCGGCTTCATGACCATATAGCGTTGATATAGGTTGACGTGTTTCCATGTTCCAGACAATGATGCTATTGTCAGAGGATCCTGAAACCATAATCTTATCGTTAAACTGTAAACAAAGAACAGACTGCGAATGGCCACGGAGAGTATCGGTACATTTCAATGTTGTTGCATCCCAAAACTTAATTGTACGATCTCTGGATCCTGTTACAATCTTGGTGCTATCGAACTGGATACAGTAAACACTGTCATCGTGTCCACTGAGTTTGGTCATTGCAGGAACGGATTGCCAACGAGTTTCCAGTATTTTACGGTCATGGCAAAGATGTTTCCAATCCAATCCGGGACTTACGCGTGCAGCAGTAGTGGCTGATAATTCTGCTGTGTCTTTGTTTTGGGATGTATCTGGTAGATATGTGTGAGTTACTGGAAGTGACTTAATCTTCCAGCGTTGATGATGAAGGAATATATTTTTCCAGAGCTCATTATCTGTTGTGAATTGATTCCAAGTTTTTGAGACCAGAGCAACCCTGCTTAAGGTAGCCATGTCGAGAAGCTTCAGGATATATATTGTCATCTCGTATGGTAGTTTTGAGAGAATGTCTATCCGTGGACTGTCCAGCAGCAACGAATAGAATTGGTTCCTGAGATCTGTTGCAGTCTTAGTCTGGTCATCCGAAGGCAATTCTTGTACCTCTGTGTTTATGTTAATGTTTGGATCTGTTGAGCTGTTTACATGGTCCGTGTGCGTCTGCGTACATGTGAGGGAGGGCGCGTCTGGGGATTGTACCGACCATGTATCTTCACAAGACACCTCCAGCCGGTGCTGCTGTTCCTGCCCAATGTCGAAGGCAGAGATGTTTGTAGTTGCCTGGAGCTGTATGGTAGCGTCAGTGGGCCTTCTTCTCTGGACTGTTGTCATTGCAGGTGAAGAAAAAGGATTCATGGAGAGAAAAAAGAAAAAAGAAAAAAAAAATAGGAGAGAACTGAGTGTAACTTGGTTCACTTGGTAAAAAGAAAAAGCTCAAGAGAAAGGAAAGGATGTAAGAATGAAGGAGATTTGCGAAAAGAGTAATTGAAAAAAAAAAAAAAAAAAAAAAAAAACAAAAAACAAAGAGTAAGTAAAAAAAAAAAAAAAAAAAAAAAAAAAAAAAAAAAGAGAAACAGAGGGAGAGAGGTAAAGAGAAAAGAAGGGGTGTACAAAAGTCTTTAATTAGATGCTGGAATGACCCGAGCAATTCAACCAAGCTTTTCAATCATTTTATTCATTCACTCTTCGCTTTCATTTTTATTCATCAACACTTTTTCATTTCATGACGCCCTTGTTGTGGAACGGAGGATCTGGGAAGGGAAGGAAGAGGGGGGGGGGAAAGAAAAGTTAGGGAGGGAAGGGTATGTGTAAGTGATAGCACACCCATGATACGCGGCTATTCTTTATGGACCATACTATGGGCAAAGGTATAACTTGAGCAACAACAACACAGCAAAAAAAAAAAGTTTCGTTTCATCGTCCATTACTCTCATACATGCTCTCAACACTCTTAGCATACCATGGTAGTTGTATTGTGATCGGAAACAATGGGTTTGGAAACGTATAAGGGGGATGCCTGTAGCTCACCCAAAGAGCCATCCATCTGTTTTATGAGTCTAGTAATCCTGAAGCGTTGAGGTGTGAGTTATGTTGGGGCGACTCAAGGATGAGAGAAGGAAGAGTAAAGAATAAGGAGCATTTATTCCTTGGTCTATTCTGCAGAAAACAGTATTCTTGATTAGCTGATACTAAGATAGATTGTGTTGTGATGTTGTCGCGTTTCTTTTATATTTATAGTCGTTTCTTCCCAATCCTGGTCTTTATAAGAGCCCCTCCTTGGATGGTATTAACGTGAATGAGAGTGTGCATTGATTACAGTTCTGTTTTCTCTTCCTTTTCACTGATTGAGGATGTGAATGTCCCACAAACTAGTTCGTAACACAATAAACAAAGTCTGGGTGTACCAAAAGCGATCCAAAGGTCAAGGCACGTGGAATGATGGTAACAGATACAGTCCAAGGTACAGGGTGCAAACAGCCTATAACATGGTTAACATTGTAGGAAGAAGACAATGTCGAATGGAGGATGTTTGAGGTGTTTGCTTTCACTTCTCTGGAAGCAAAAGGAGCGAGAGCGAACACTGCCGCTGGATATACAGGAAGGATTGAAGCATTTGAGTTTGTATGGCGGTATGAAGGTGAACGGAAAGTCATCACTAAGGTATGAAAAGAGAGAGCCAGCAAGTCATGTCAATTATCGGTAATTCAGAGGACTCGTTATGGCATGCCAGGGATTTAACAGACATTGGTCGACCCCACAAAGCGCGCCAAACTTCACGAGGGTAGGGCAAGATGAGGTTTAGTTATTTATTAATTTAACTTTTTACTAAGTTAGTTTTATTAAAATCACAGTGGTATTTGATGAGATTCTATTTGTTTTACTTCATTTTGTCACTCTCTCCTTCTCTTCTCTTAACAATTACTTAGCGACGTAGGTGCAATTGAAGCTCTATCATGTTTTTTTATGCATTGGATATCATCAGCATGCATTCCTTGCTTTATAGCTATTTTGCTCAAATACTTAACGGCTCGCTGATATCTGTTTGTAAATGTGGCAATTCTTAATTAGGCAGAAAAAACCTTGATCGTCCATTAATTACATTCTCATTGATTCAGCATTAATATACCATGAGCGGAAGAGATCGACTTGCAGACTTTCATGTGCGTTTTGCATTTATAATTGTTAATGTTGCGCTGCTTTCATGAGAATATTTAATTGACTTCAATGACCTTTGTGAATGAAATCACGCCACTTTTGTCTCATGTTTAGGCCCAACAGGGTAATAACAATCAAGGCTATGGGTAAGTTAATTAACTCTTTGGTCTTCTATTTAGTCTATTTTAAGACGATACCATAGCCTACTTTCCACGGCTTCCTCACGCCATCCTCTTCTTTCTTAATTACTGAGGAGAAAGTGTCTGCGCTATCAATCATGGCAGTATGACGCCTTATCAATGAAGAAAGGATAAATGAGGTTTATGTGCTTGTATTTCATGTGCTCACAAATTGATTAGATTACACCGTGTGCTTTCCGGGCCGTGAAATGAAGGGAAAGAGTGGTGGAACTAACCATGATGTCATTGTACTCCTTCATTCTCTTATTTATTGTTCAGGCAGCAACAGAACCAGAGCCAGTTTGGCCAGCAGTACGGCCAACAACAGCAGTATGGCCAGTACAATCAACAACCACATGGTCAGCAACAGTACGGTCAACAGAATCAGTATGGACAGCAGAATCAGTATGGTCAGCAGCAGCAATTCGCTCAGCAACAACAAGCCCAGTATCAGCAACAGCAGCCACAACATCAATATCCACCTCCCACTCGAATTGAGATGGGTACCCTTTCCTCAACATCTGGCGATATGAATGCCTTTTTTAGTGAGGTAAAGTAGCAATGAAACAGTTTGATAAGTAGATCTGAAAAAGAAGATCAAAGGATTAACAGACTTTTCCTTTTATTATTTTACAGGTGACTTCAATCCAAAATGACATTTCTAGGCTCGAACAGAACATCACCCAAATAGAGGAATTACATGAAATTTCGCTTAACAGTGTGTCGACAGAGGACCAAAACGTACGCACTTCTCGTCAACTGGAAGGCATCACCGCAGATACGACCCAACTTTCCAACCGCATCAAGAAGAGGATCAAGGGTACGAAATTTTTCATACTGGGAGGAACTATAGACTATGGAGACTATTGAAAAATGTATTGTAATTAGTTCATCAAGGGCACAATTTTTAACTTTTTAATTTTTTATATGTATGTCTAGATATTGAACTCGCCAACCTTCGTCTTGCCAGCTCCCCTGATATTCAGATCCGCAGGACTCAGGCTGCAGCTTTGAAAGAAAAGTTTTTGAAGACCCTTCGTCAATATCAGACAGCCGAAAGCGAGGCTCGAAGGAAGTACCAGGGTCGCATGGAAAGACAATACAAAATTGGTAAGTTTGACAGAGACTTTACTAGCTGTTAATCCGTGCACTTTAAAACTCCAATTTGACACATTGTTATACACATCCTTTCCTTCAAAAATAGTCAAGCCAGACGCTACTCCTCAGGAGATCGCACAGGCCATGGAAAGCGATAATCAACAAATATTTGCTCAATCGGTAGGGTAGACATGATTGGGTATTTTTTAAACTTATTACTGTGTATTAAAGAGCTTCTAACCTTATAGTTTCCTTAAAAAAACCCTTTTCCTGATCTAGGTTCTTCAAAGCACTCGATATGGGGACGCCAACAGAGCCCTTCGTGAGGTGCAAAGTCGCCATGATGATATCAAGAAGATTGAAAAGACCATTCTTGTAGGTTTATCAAGGCAGGGGAATATGTTAATTATATATGATATGAAACCTTTGTTATTAATCGACGAAAAACGAATCCTTCTGTATCTCGCTTTTCTTGACTAGGAATTGCAACAACTGTTCATTGATATGGAAACCTTGGTGACCGATCAAGGCGTTGTCATGGAAACAATCGAGCAAAATACGCAGCAGGCAAATACCTCTTTGCAATCAGGCAATCAACAAGTAGATAATGCTATTAGCAGTGCTCGTAGTGCCAGAAAAAAGAAATGGATCTGTTTGATTATCAGTATTGTTCTTTTAATTATCATTGTAATTATCGTGTTGAAGGTGGTAAGTTTTTCACTACATCCCTGAAATGATTGATATAGTCGAAACGGTGGTTGCATTAATGAATCTTAGTTGATATACTCATATATTTTATTTCTTCGCGTGTTCTCTAGACTAAGACAATCTAAGACCGCCGCCATCTCCACAGGTATCGCAGGTCGTGTGAGGGTCATGCAATAATATTATTTTTAGTACTTGTTCTAATTATTTCATTGGGTGTTGGTGTGGCGTAAATCAACCACTGTTAAAAGAGTGTTTGTGAATATCTTGTCATTTTTGCTTACTTGACCACAATAATAAAAGCAGCAAATAGGGAGAAGAGGAAATAAGAGATAGTTCTGATTGTGCCTCCAATGTTCTTTGTGTCCAAAACAGTCGAGAAGGAAGGGGAAAAAAGCATGATGAATGGATGATAAAGGTTTCTATAGGCTGCATGTAAAAGCATATTCATGCACAGAATTCATTCCTTTCTGTAGACCGTGGACTAGCTGGACTGGCAAGATTAGCACGGGCGCAATGGGATGATGTGAAGAAATTGAAGGACAGGATTTTGTTCGGAGACATTTCAAGTCATACGCTGAGAATTTTTTGTGATTTGACATCCATGTTCTTGTACCCAAATAAATAAAAGCATGAGACAGGATGATGGATGTGGGATCGATTGTACGCCCAATCCAAAACTGACAAAGTTGTTGTCTATGTGTTCTGACTGGTACAGGGTTTTTTTATGGCAGAGTTTCTTGAACAAAATAAACAAGTGCATGTAAAAAAAGTATTGTTATGCATATCATCCGTATCGTTTGGCACATCTTAATCAAAGCGGCTAACATTTCACCACTCACTCGTGGTGACCTTGGAAGAGGCAAAATAATTGACTTTCAGCATATTCGACATTATTCAAAAAAATGTAATACAGAGCGAATGAGAAAAGACAATAATTTTTAGTGGGAGCAGATCTTCATCGCCCCTTTAAACTGTATTTTAAAGTACACATGTTATGGTACACATATATGTGGATAACTTACACGATTAAAGTTAAAGGTTAGAAGCGTAATCTAAGTTGTTTGATAACACTAGCGAAGAAAAAAAAAAAGTAACCAGGTCAACGATCTTCACGACCCCATCCATCTTGTTTGTCCTGCCCATCCTATTCAACTCATAAAGCTCAAATCCCATAACTCCATTATATTGATCGTGTGCATTCCTTATACTCTCATTCTGCCGATATCCGACTCTATAGTTATTTCGTCTGCCGACAAAGTACACACAGAGCTTTTTTTTTATGTAACACGGCATAGGATATTCATTGATAGTGACACACAAGAGAAATCTCTCTTCATCGATTCGCTCGATTATGATTTATCTTGCATGTCAAAAAACACATCCAAACACTAAGCGCCGTTTGACTTTTTACACTGGGTTGTGGTTTAGAACGATTTACACTATTGCTCCTTTTCTTTTTTTTTTTTTTTTTTTTTTTCTCAGGCATTTGTGCATCCATCGGTGACATTTCATCCAGGGTCCCGATATCAACTAAGCCAAGGAGACAAGATTTTTTTTAGTCTTCAATGCATGATGGTGCATAAAATAGGAGGACATAAAGATATATTGTAATTCCTCTTCCCATTTCTTCTTTTTCTTCTCTTTCTTTCTTTGTCCGTCTTCTCATTGTTCTTCCAACAGACCATCCTTATAGATCAAGGCTTACTTGCTCGCTGCTACTTGCACTCCCTTTTTTTCTTCCCTATTCCTCCCCTTCATCTCTTACAATAGCTGTAAAGCACTTGCGCTGTTAAAGCGCTCTTATCCTACGCGATGTCACACCCTTCACACCAGGTCGGCACCAATGCCAGTACGACCGAAGAAGTTCAAGACCTGTCCAAAGCCTCAACACAGTCCCCTGCGCTCCCATCTAGTGAGAACCATGTGGAACATCCGAAGGAGATAGATGGTTTTGCCACCATCACTAATGCAGGAACTACTGTGCCTGTCGAGTCCATGACGACTTCATCTCCTGCTGCTAATCATACAGGCGGTGCCAGGCGACGTCTGGCACTCTCATCGAACCGTCTGCTCTCCTTGGATTTACTGCGTGGTCTTGCCATCTTTATCATGATTACAGTTAACGCTCAAAATGGACCTGTGGTTTTCCCAATCCTTTGTAAGGGAATACTATTTTGAAGATTGTACAGGCCTGTGTACTATTATAGTATATTCATTTTTTTTTTTTTTTTTTTTTTTTCTTTCCTCCTCACTTGTCTATTTTGCTGTCGCATAGCGCATCCTGAGTGGATTGGATTATCTATTGCAGGTACGGAATTGTAATACCGATGACATGTGATGACATGATGATGAAGATTGGACGGAGGCACCAAATTTAACTTTTTTTTTTTATTCTTATAATCTCCATCCGTACAAAATCATTAGACACGGTCTTTCCCAGTTTTTTGTTTATCACTGGTTGTACGATGCCTCTGTCAATCAGGGCAGCACCCAATTCGCCCAATAGTGTTTACATACGCCACGCTATTCGCGTGTTCAAACGTTCACTCATCATTTGGGGTCTTGGCGTTATTCTTAACCTCTATGGTCTCGTCATTCTGAGTGCTCCTGCTAACCAGTTTCGCTGGCCCAATGTGCTGAACCGTATTGGATTCTGTTACCTGATCGTCGCTTGGATGCACGTTCTTGTCCTTTGGCGCGGTCGTCAACCCGAAAAGCCTCTCTCAGTTTCATATCTCTTCCCATCCTTATCCCAGCCTGCACGTCCACAAATCCATGAAGCAGATTCGAAGCGTGAACTGGAAGAGACTGCTGCTAATAACGCTTCTACTACCCCTGCTGCACCTACCACAGGAGAGGACGATCACGGTGCATGGCCCTGGTTTGTAAGAGTAACCTTGCCTTACTACTTGCCTATTGCTTGCTTGGTCATCTGGCTCATCTGTACGTATAGTGTCCAGGTCGAGGGTTGCCCTGAGAAGGGTATGGTAGAGGTCCCGGAATGCAGTGCTCAGGCTTACTTTGACCTTAGGATCTTTGGCAAGGCTCATACGTACCGTCACTTGGCCTTTGATCCTGAAGGAGCTCTGTCGACATTAACATCAATCCTTAATGTATGGCTCGGATGGTTTATTGGATGCACCGTCGTGGCGCTTAATGCTCAAGTCAAAGAAGTGAATAATGTTTTTAAGGCGCGCCATGAAGCGCTCAGCCATTCAGAGGAGCACGAGCAGTATCTTTTGGAGGAGGTTTTGGAGCAGGAGATCGTGACAAGGATCTATTCCGAACATTTGAGCCAATGGTTCTGGTGGGGTATCCTTTGGATGTTTGTTGGCTGGCTCGTCAGTTTGGGTATCCCATTATCCAAGCCAAGCTGGACCGCAACATTTGCAGTCGTAACCTCAGGCATCTCTCAGACAATGCTCGCCATCTTGTTCTTCAAGTTTGATGCCCAGCCAAAGACGAAGCAGCTGCGTAAGCTGCACTTGGAACATCAGTTGACTTACCGATCTAATAACCAGCTCTCGCGTCATTATCACCATCGTCCTCAGGATGCTGAAGCTGCAGCCTCTGGCTCGGCACCTCTCAGGTCTAATTATTCAAGTGCATTGAATGTATACTTCAAAGTGGATCACTTCTTCCGTCATTGGTTCCGTAAGGGTATCTTGTTGGTCTTGGGAAGCATGGGTCGTAATGCCATTCTTTTGTATATGTGCTCAGAACTTGTTCAAGGCACTTGCTATCTCGTACGTGCAGGACCTGCAGATCCCGAGACCGGTGAAAAATCGGATTTCTTTACTTACATCTTTTCAGTCACTTGGGGCAAAGCCGAGATTGGTGGCTGGGGTTCTTTACTCTTTTCATTGGGCTTTACATTCCTCCATGTTCTGCTGGCCATCTTCTTGGACTACAAGAAGTGGTACTTCAAGGTGTAAAATCCCAACAGCTTCTTAGAAAAGAAGAGGAGGAGTCACCGTTGTAATTAGTATTTCTATTTTATTCTTTCACCTTTTCCCGGGGTGTTTTTTATTTTTTACTCATCTATCATTTAGTAGTATATTTCACTCTAATAACATTCAAAACCAAATATTTATCTTTGCCATGCGAAGATGCTAAACTTAATTAATGGACCTGTCATTGTAGTTTTCGAATGTTTGCTTTTTTTTTTTTTTTTTTTTTTTTTTTTTTTTTTAAGAATCCATGCAAGGAATGGAAGGCAAAAGTTTTATTGATCCATTAAAGATGATCAATAATCTCATAATTGTTGTTATTACTAGGTTACATTGGTAGGACTGGATACTTTCAACTTTCGAAAATCCTTGGTCGTTTATCTCTTGATCCTGGTATCTACTTGCTTTCTTCTTGACCCTAAAATTACCTCAAAAACATACTATGGTATCCTTTCCGTCGCTGATATTTTGCTGAAAGTTGGACCCATCTTTGGATTCGAACCGTGCTGTAGCATTGGTCATCAATGTGCTAGTTGAGACTTTGAAGCCAACGTAGGTGATTGGGATCAGTCCCATAAAATGAGGGACGTGTTGGAGTAGATCTTGTGGTTGTGGGCCAGGCAGCATTAAATAACGTCAACCAAAAGGGTCGAGCGGGAAAGTGTTTGATCAAACTGTAGGCGCGTGTGAACGATGGTTTTAGAGGCAAGAACGGGTATCGGTGGCGCAGTCAGAGATGCAGACGACGCGCCCATGTTGATTAGGGGCAGTTGTATGAACGCACGGACCCTTTTACCCATCACACCGGATGAGCCCTCATTGTGTTTGTTGTTACTGTCCATGCTTTGCTTTTTTTTTTTTTTTTTTTTTTTTTGCCTTTATTACTGGCGCCGCTACCTATATTTCTATCATTCTCGGTGCCGCCGCCCTTCCTCTTAGTAGGACCTCGGGGAGCTGTGGTCGCAAGTATTGCAAGCCTCCAGGCCAGTCAAAACTCACGAGCCTCTGCAGGAACACCACTACCAAAGTATATGATGCTTCATCAAAGGATTTTAAGTATAACCTTGATACCGCTTTGACATCGTTCCCAAAGCGGCAGGAGTGAGAGAAAGAAATGAAGAGGAGAGAGATGGTAGAATCACTTGTTTTATTACAACAGCCGATGTATAGGATCAAAGAATAATGGACTCGGCCTTGCCGATTATGAAGACGAAGTTTGGAGACACTCAGTTGAGTAACGTGCCCGAACCTGTACATGAAAGCCAATTGTTGCCACCTTGGCGGCGATCGAAGAGATAAATGGGGTAAGTGTTAAGATTTGAAAAGCCTTCGAGCCGTTCTACACTCAGATGCCTCGTTTGTATTGTCCATTGTCCAACGGCACATTCGTTACTTGTGGTGATGGTGGTCCCGATGACGTTAGTGTGCTTAATGAGACGTTAGAGAAGGAGAAGCTGAATGGAAGCTGCTGTTACTGTTGCTGTTGTTGGGTCGTGTGATTTTATCATGGTGAATGAACCCATCATAGTTTATAATGGTTGGGGCTGGAATAATGATGCTTAAAGATCAAATGTCACAATCACATGGGATGCATAACGGAGAGATGAGCCGGTCAGATGCAGACGCTGATTCGAATCAGTAACGGCAAAAAAATGCTGAGGATACAGTGGTAAAATGTGTATCAGCATGATGACTTTCCATTGCATTGACGCGTAGCAGGTCAATTAATTCATAGACATGAATATTTGTATAAAAATATATAAATATAAAAGGATATAAAAAAAAAAAAAAAAGAATAAGCTTACTCTGGAAGAAGGCGGAGATGAAAGAGGCGTACACAACGCAATGATTGGATACAAAGAATGAAGTAATTAATGCGGAAAGAGAAATAGATAGAAACGAATAAAGCATTTTAGCGTTCTTTTATATTTTATATTTTCTCTCTTTCAAGCTTTATTCATTCATTTGTGTCGCTTTTTGCTTTCTTGGCCTGGACTGCCTTAAGATGTGTTCTCGGCAGGATATGGGGATATGGAAAAAGGTTCATGAATTGAATATTAAAAATTTTATTTCGAGGTTTTTTATTGTTTCATGCTCTGAGGAAAAAAGGGGTAAAAAAATGACTACGACTACAGGTTTCTGAAGATGGTTCGTGCTTTGTCATTTGTTCACGAAAGTACATTTGGAAGATGTTCATCCTTCTTCTTTTTGCTGTTTCTTGTACCTGCACGAATGGGGACGACAAAGACAAGAGTGCATTCCTATTTTTTTTTTTTCTTCTTTTTTGTTTATTTATTTGTAACATGCTCTGTTTTAATGTTCGTTTCTTTCTTTCCTTACATCCTTGTGCTCAACATGGCTTTGTGACACGTCGCGTCATTTGTGTCATTGGAAATGCTTGAGCCAGGGACTTTTTTTCTCTTTCTTTTTTGCTCTTTTGTAACTTTTCAATCTCTCTCTCATTCTCCGACATGTTTTTTTTTTTTTTTTTTTTTTTTCCTTTCGTCTTGAACAAAATGCTTGTATAGACAATTGTTCACAATTTTTTTTTTTTTATTTGTGATTTTTTGGGTGAAATGTTGTTATAAACTATGGTTGTTGGCTCTTTGTTTTTCTTTTTGTGTTTGACAAGGTGGATAGAAGATTGTAAAAGGGAGAAAAGTGTAAGATTTTATTTTTTTTCCAATCTTCTTTTCATCGATGGATGGAGATGATGACGATAAAATAGACAGGGAGAGTGTGAGAATGAGTTCAGGAGGTATCGGATACATGCATTTGCATGTGGCATGTGCATGGTCCATTTGCAATCAATATCAACAGAGATTCATATTTATACATGTACAAATGTCCTTATAATTTTCAATTGAGGACAATACCTTTTGCGTGACACAGATCAAGCATGTTCATCCTCTCAATCTCTTTTCAAGCGCATGTTCTGTTGTGGGCCATAACAATTATAAGCTTATTTATTTATTTTTGCCTTGTTCCTTTTTTCCCCAACGATGTGTTCATTGTCCCTTTGCACACGCAAATGTGCATGCGCCATCTTTATTTTAAAAAGGCGAAAAAGTGGTGTAAAATGAATAATTCCCATTGTTTTCATTATTAATAACAATTAAAAACGGAATCATCTTTCCCCCCTTCTCATGCGACAATCTCTGTGTTCTTTCGCCATCTCTTTCTTTGTTCTTTCTATTTTTTATTTTTAATTTTTTTTTATTTTTTATTTTATTTTTTATTTTTTATTTTTTATTTTTTATTTTTTCCAAGGCAGGTTGCATACTTGTTCACACGGAAATATTAATAAACAATGGTCAATGTATTCTGGACCAAACAAGCTCGTGCATTCATTCATCTCTAAACATGGCATGGCAGTATAAAGGCCTATTTAAGAGGTTTCAAAGATTGATCTTCCCTCTTTTAAACTCTCTTTGTCTCTTTGTCTCTTTGTTCTTTTTTCTTTTTTATATTTATTCTAAAGAGAAACTATCGGTCATGATTCAATGAAGGATGGAAAGAAGGAGGAAGGAAAGGAAGGAAAGGAAAGAATGAGCGAGCGAATGGAACGAAATGAAAAGAAGAAGAAAAAAAAGAATCAAGACTGATCTATCTTTTTTTTTTTTTTTTTTTTTTTCTTCTAGTCTAATCGACAGAAGAAGGGGGTCGTCACTTTTCTATTCGCCACGACCTTTTTTTCTTTTTCAGACTTTTTGATTGATTGAGTTGGAATCACTTTTCTTCTTTCTTCATCATTTCTTCCTTTCTCACTCACCTCTTTCCTTTCCTTTCCTTCCCTTCCCTTCCCTTCCCTTCTCCTCTCTCCTACTCTCTCTCTCTCTCTCTCTCTCTCTCTCTCTCTCTCTCTCTTCTCTCACTCGCTTCCTTTCTCTTTTTCTTATACTTGTCATTCATTCTCTCTCTCTCTCTCTCTCACCATCGCCATCTTACATTCATATTTGTTAGCATTTCCAATTGCATTATACGCCATTGCATTTTGATTCATTTTCAAACCTTCAAAGCATTCAAAGGTGATTAATTCATTCCATTCATTTTCATACCTTTTTTTTTTTTTTTTTTTTAAAAAAAAAAAAAAAAAAAAAAAAAAAATTCATGAGTACATGAGTACAAAGTAGAAAGCATCCATCACGATCGTCTTTTAATTTTTTATTTATTTATTTATTTTTTCTCCCATGGCTTCATTCGATACCTTTGGGGAAGAAGAGAAACAAACAAACAAAGATCACACATGCTTTTTTTCTTAAAATCCTTTCTTTGACCTGTATCAAGTGTGTTTCTGTGTCTGTGTCTCTGTTTTTGTGTGCCTGAACTCGTGCCTGTGTGTTTTCATGAGTGAGAAATCTCATTCACACACACAGACATCTTCCGTCTATTTGATTGCTTCTGTTTCTCGGTCAAAATTATCACTTTATTTTTTTTTCCTTTTCACATCCTCTCCTTCTCTTTGACGCTCCACTTCAGACAATTTCCTCTTCTTCCCTTCTTCTCTTCCCTTCTTCCCTTCATTCAATCCACCCATTTCATCCTACTCTACCCCTCCCCCCCCTCCTTCCTTCCTTTCCTTTTTCCCTTTCCCTGTTTCTCTTTTCCCTCTTTCCCTTTCCCTTCTTCTCCTGTTGCTGTCTCTCTATTTGTCTTTCAATTGCTCCGTCTCCTCTTCTCTCTTCTTCTACAGTTGTTATCCAATTATAATAATTAAAATAAACCACCTCTCCCACTGATTGCTTCAATAATCAACTTCCAAAGGACTATTTTTCTTTTTCTCCTGTCCCCCTCCCCTTACTCGTTCACTCAAAGGCATCAAACAAACAAAACAAAACAAAACAAAAAACTCGCTTCTCACCATCACTCTTACACTGCCGCCAATTACTTTTTTTTTTTTTTTTTTTTTTTTTTTTTTTCCTTTTACAGAATATAAAGAAATATAGCAAGGGACTTGAATACAGGACCAGCAAAAAAAATCAATCATCCACTAGACAATTACTGAAACCATTTTACAGAAAAGAAAAAAAGAAAAACGAATAGCGTAATAATATAATATTATAACATAATAATGAGCAACGGACACGGCAACTTCGAGCCGGGTGGAATGGCCATGATGAGTCCACCTGACCAGAATGCATTGCGCAACGAGCAATACCAGGAACATCAACGCAAGCTTCAAGAGAAATATGAACTCCAGTACAAACAACAAATGGAGCTTGCACAAACAAGTACTCATCCACATGATCCAGCTCCAAATGAGGGCAACCAACCTTACTATACCTCTCAAGGACAGCTCGTCATTCCAACCCCTAGTTCATGTTATCAGGCAAGACCACAATATGGCCTTGCTGACTTTGAGCTTCTTGAAACGCTTGGTAAGATTTTTGGTTTTTGGGTGTTTGTTTAGCCAGGAGGATCAGTAAAAGTGGTGTTGGAAGGAAATGTGCTCCCCTCCCTCTTAATATCATGTAATCCAACAGTTATTCAAAGCAGAAAAAAAAAAAAAAAAAAAAAAAAACTAGCAACAATAACAATAGCAGTGACAGAAGTAACAATAACTATAACAATAGCAGCAACAGCAACAATAACAATAGCAATAACAAAACGACAGCAGACGACAGCAGACAACAGGCATCATCTCATTAAGGAAGTAGAGTTTTGACGGCCAACAAAAAAAAAAAAAAAAAAAAAAAAAAGAGTTACTCTCATCGAATACATGTGTGGTTGGGGCAAGTGAGCATATTTGCACCTAGAAAAAAAGAAAAAAAATTGGGACAGAAAATATAAAAGAGAGAGCCAGAAATGAGAGCCGTGCAGAGCAAGTCAGTGAGCATCTGCAAAGTGAGCAAATATTTAGAGCCAACAACGTATCCACACCAATGGATAGGGGAAGGAGACATGTCATGGCATGTCATGGATGCAGCAACAGTGGTTTTTTATCGTAATATTTCTCCTCCTGCAGTCCTCGTCACAGAGTTCTATGTGGGAGAGTCTCTTTACGGCAGCTACTCTGTTGCTCATCTGGCGTCTAGATCCTTTACTCAGTACAGCAAATAATAAGAAAGAAAAAGAAGAAAAAGAGGGGACACAAATGGAGTCAAATGGAGTCAAATAGACAGGGATATCTCAGGAGAGATACACCACAACTTGCTTTTATTTTTAATGACGATGACGCGTTGTGAGCAAGAGGCGTTTCGCCTCTAAACAATTGAAATTGTGTCGCCTCTCTTCTGACCTCCCCCCCGCTGCGCTGTGACATATAACCGCCCACTGATAAAGGATCGACAACCATGGATACACAAACCCATTACCAACACTATGATGGCATCCCTTTGCCTCCTCTTTTTTTTTTTTTTTTTTTTCCTCTTCAACATGGAATGTTTTTCAGACTAGATTCTATCGCCATCTGTTGTTTGTTACAATTCCAGGAGCGGAGACACAGAATTGATGGATGAGAGACAAATCCCGTCATTATCAACAATATCCAAAACCTTAAAAACAGCGTTTGGCAGACATATAAACACTGAAGGCTATTCTACTTTTTCTCATGACTTGTGGGGATACGAGGGTGAAACGATGTTAGTACAGTGCAAAGAGAGGGGGATGGAGAGGGTGTGTGTATTTGTGAGCTTGAAATACCAATGTGATATTGAACTTTTTTATGCATTGTCATGATCGACTGCACTATCACAGTCAGCTCGGTCTGAGAAGGATAGTGTCTTTATTTTCAGGAAGAAGCTCATGCTTTTTGTTTCTTTTTTCTAATGATTTAGGTACGGGAACGTTCGGACGTGTCTATTTGACAAAGTTCCGCCGTGAACCTTCATATTATGCAATGAAAGTACTTAAAAAAACCGAGGTTGTACGGCTTAAACAGGTCGAGCATATCAACTCCGAAAAGCAAATCCTTTCCCAAGTTGATTTTCCATTTATTGTCAATCTGTGAGTGAAAAAAAAGCCAATTTTATTTTAATGGTTATGAATGGTCTTGTCTGCTGCTTCAGACACTAATCCGAGTCTGTTTCTATACCGTATGTTAGATTTACTACCTTCCAAGACGACCGGAACCTCTATATGTTGCTCGAGTATGTCATTGGAGGAGAGCTTTTTTCACATCTGCGGAAGGCCGGAAGGTTTACAAACGACATGACGCGCTTCTATGCAGCCGAAATTGTTCTTGCAATCGAGTATCTACATTCAAGGGATATCATCTATCGTGACTTGAAGCCGGAAAATCTTCTTCTTGATTCCAAAGGGCACATCAAAATTACAGACTTTGGATTTGCAAAGAGAGTTGAAGACAGGTACGTAATTGTTTTAAACCGTTTTTTAACGGCAAGTACATTGCCTCCACCGCCTTTTTTTTTTTTTTTTTTTTTTTTTTTTAATACTTTTTCATCTTTTTCAATTACTATTTTGTTTCTCATCTCAATTTTGATTCTTTTTTTGCGTGGTTTAGAACATGGACACTGTGTGGAACACCAGAGTACTTGGCGCCTGAAATTATTCAATCAAAAGGACATGGAAAGCCTGTAGACTGGTGGGCATTAGGCATTTTGATCTTTGAGATGTTAGCAGGATATCCACCATTCTTTGATGACAATCCATTTGGTATCTATGAAAAGATCCTGGCAGGCCGCATCTACTTCCCTTCACATATTGACCCCCAGGCAAAGGACTTGATCAAGAGACTTCTCACTGCAGACCGGACAAGACGACTAGGCAACTTGAAGGTAAATCTAAAGGTTTTTTTATTTTTTTTATTTTTTTTTTTATTGGCTTTTTGTTCTCTCGATTCCATTTGTCACGACTCGGTTTCATTTTGTTTCTAATTCTTTATCTTATTTTCTGTTTAATGATTACGATTTTATTCTTTTAGGATGGATCAAATGATATCAGGAATCATAAGTGGTTCCGTGGAGTCGACTGGCAAGGTCTGTTAAACAGGACTGTGAAAGCACCTATTGAGCCACCATTTGTTCATCCTGGCGATACAGGCAATTTTGAAAAGTATCCCGAGGTGACAGACGAAGATACGGCCGATGGCGACCCCTACCGGTCACTGTTTGCCAACTTTTGATATGATGCCGGAAAGATTAGCAACCAAAGCAGCATACCTCATCAATACCATTCTCCCGATAGTCAGCCAACGTCATCAGAGCAGGCATTTCAGTCTTTTGAAGCACAAGAGCAGCAATCTCAATATCAACATCATCAATGTCCTCACAATTATCATCAACAAGAAAAGCATTTTAACTTACAGCAACAACAACAACAACAACAACAACAACAGCAGCAGCAGCAGCAGTCATTCCATTCTCATATGGACCAGCACCCGAATCATAATCAGTCTTCTTTCGATCAAGGTTATGCTAGTCCATTTTCTGGACGAAGCCATAGCAAGAGATCGCGAATGGAGGCGGATGATGAGAGTATGACGGGTGTGAGCAATTCATCTGCTTCATACCAAGATGATCAAAGGATAGGCCCATGGGATAGCGTACCAGAGTCGGGATTCGATCGAGACACAGCGTTGACTTCGACCTTTATTCGATCAAGCCCTGTCGATTTGTTCCAAGGACCTGGCCCCAAAAGACATAAAGGGGAATGGGAAGGCGATTGGCCTATGTCCGGAGTCGATGGTGCAGGGAGTCCGATGGAGATGACGTGAACAATGTAAAGCTTGGATAAGGTCGAGTTTCTGGAATTTATTTGCCTTTCACACTCCAACATTGGGCCTTCCTCATTGCTGCGTTGCCTTTTTTTTTTTTTTCTTTTCTTTTCTTTTCTTTTCCTTGCTGTTTATTTTATCTTTTTTTATTTTTTTTTTTATGCCAATCATTTTGATTGCCATCTTGCTTCCATTGTTTTTCATTTATATCCGTTTCGCTTTGTTTTGTTTTGTTCAGATCATTTTCGTTTATCCCGTTTTGCCTCTTGTGTCTCTCTGTCTCCACATGCTGCTGCTAGTCTTTCCGACATCCATCCTCCCATGGTTCCTTGCACGATTTCAAATGGATGTAGAATCATATTTTTTTCTTTCTTTACTTTTCTTTAGCATTTTCTATTTTTATTTTTATTTTTTTTGTTGATTATTGTTATTTCTTTCATGTTTTTAGCTTATTTTCTTTCTTTATCCGCGTTGCTCAAGTTTCTTTTGTTTTCTATTATTATTATTGCTATAGTTATTATTATTATTATGATCGCTATTATTATTAAAGGTAAAAAAAAAAAAAAAAAAAAAACTGAAGTTGAGAAGGTTGAGAAAACAAATTCCCAGAAAGCTTGTCTCTCGTTCACGTGTGTTCTCTGTGCACACAAATTTTGAGGGGGGGGAGGAACGGGATGACTGTGATCGAAATTGAATATTTGATATTCCATGAGCATCTATTTACAACGCAGTAAGGAGAGAGAGAGAGGAGGGAAGGAAGCCCTTGATAAATTTGATAACGGTCATTTCTGACATTAAAAAGCATCACATTAACATGCAAGAGTAGAAGGGTGTAAACAAGGATAAAAGAAAGGAAGGAAAGAAAAAAAAAAAAAAAAAAAAAACCCCTGGACGAAATCATTACTGTCATACCTGTTTCATCAAAGAGGTTTTTACTTCGATTAATTAAATTATTGTTATTATTGTTTCAACAGCAAAGCGCGTGCTTACAGCTGGTGGCTAAATAAATAAATATAAAAAAAATAAAAAAAAAAAAATCGACATTGGTCCTTTGTCTGCGTAATGGGGTTGTGTCATATTCAAACATGAAATGTCCCGAACCCTTGGTTGAACAAGTTGTATACAAGTATTTAATTTTTTCCGGTGAATTATGGAATTGCGTATGGACGAATATTTCTCTTTTTATTTATGCTGACAAGAAAGGTTGGGTGATAATTAATGACTATTAGGATAAAAATAATGCTGCTAAAAAGAAATGGGGTTTAAAACTATTATAGTGTACAGACAGACTTCAAGGAAAAACAATAAAAGCACATGCGGATAAAGAAAGAGTAACATTAAAAGTATTAATAATAATATATAATAATACAAATTAAAGAAAAGAAAAAAAAAAAAAAAAAAAAAAACCAGCAATTAAATCCATTCCCATGTAGCGTTGGCGCGGTTAAAGCGAGCGACGCGCTGATCGCACTCAGGGCACCAATGAATACAGTCTTTGGTTTCCTCATGACCCTTGCGGAATGGCAAATACGACAATGTTCCGAGGGTTAGGAACAATAAACCAAACGCAACCAAGTAAGACATCACTCCAGGTACAAACTGAATATGTGACACCACCTTGTTCGCGCCACAATGAGGGCAGTTGAACTTTGAAGGTCGATCTCGAAACAAGGAATGGATCGCTCCAGATTGCCGAAGCCATTCCTCCCGCCACCGATCCTGCTGTTCCTCGAGAGGAGAGCGAGGTGATGGTTGTGTAGGAAGTGATTGCGAGGGGCCATTGCTGAATTCACCTCCTTCCTGTCCAGATTGATAGTCGAACAGATGACCATTTTCTAGACCTTGGGACACAGCCATTGAAGGCGATGTATCCAACGATGACATGGAAAGGGATGGCTTCTCGCCTAGGAGGGAGGATTGTAATGAGCCCGACGAGGGCAATCTCGAACTCGGCGAAGAATGCCTACGGATCCCTTGGCCGAGGTTGCTAGCAGCTTCCGCTTTGGAAGACGCCACCTTGGACTTTTTTGATAACGAGGTGGCCTTGAATAACACGCTCAATCGCTTTTTTTTGCTTGGAACGGATGAAGGTGGTGTAATGTCTCTTGCATCTGCACGTTGAGGAGACGAAGGGAATGAAGGGGACGATGATGAGGACGAGGCAGGTGAAGCTGCAGAAAACGAGGAGGTCGCAGCAGTAGTGGCAGCAGCGGCAGCAGCAGCAGGAGCAGTTGTACGGGTAGAGGTCATTGTTGAGCGCATCATTTGTGCCTTGTACTGATCAAATTTGCTCAAAGTTGCGGGAGGATTTTGCTGACCAAAGGCGTGAGCAGCAGGATGGTTATGACGAAGGGAATGAGACTGAGGATGGTGCTGGTCGGGTATGAAGATCGTCAAGGATGGATGTCCATATTTGTATCCATCTGCATCTGCATCAGTATCTACAAATGGAGAAGGAGAAAGGGACGGCGACGACGATCCAGCAACAAGGTCGTGAGCGCTAGTATTACGACTATCTTCTCTGCTTTCACGTCGACTTGCTTGGTTGCTGTGAGAGTTGTACGACAATGGTTCTGGTACATTGCTGTAGTCGATCAGAAAAGGGTTCTGTTGTTCATGCGATCGTCGCTCTCGAAGAGAAGGTCCAACTGGAAATCGATCATAATCCCACATAGGTATGAACAGACCTGGCGGTGACATGGGTGTGGACGTTGAGGAGGAGGTAGAAACAGCTGTGGCGGTGGTGGTAGACAGAGGTTGCTGTTTCTGCTGCTGTTGCTGTTGCTGTTGCTTTAGCAGTCGCTCCCCATGTTTTACGCCGATGGCTGCACCATTCTTTTTGACTGTAGAGGTGGAGGAAATGAAGGATGTGTGTGAGGTCGTTGTATCTAACGGCTGGGCGGCAAAAGTTGAGACAGTCATTGGGAAGGAATGGTTGGATTATCTTTGTATGAATGGAATAAAGAAAAAAAATAAAAAAAAATAAAATAAATAAAAAAAGATCTTTTTAACTGGACAGAGCTTTCAGGGAAATAAATGTTCTTTGTGTGGCTGTCTGAAAAAAGAGGAGAGTGTGCAGTTGTTGCTTGTGAATTCTTTGTTAGAGAAAGGGAGTGATGTCTAAAAAAAAAAAAAAGAAAGGAAAGAGCATAAGGAAGAGAACGAAGGAACAGAGAGCGTGAAGGATAGAGAATAAGTTCATTAAGATGCGTATTTACGTTTTTTTTTTTCTTATTTCTCGAAGCCCAGTAACATAAAAAAAAAAGAAAAGGAAAGAAAAAAAAAAAAAAAAAAAAAAAAAAAGAGGAGAGGGAGAGATGAAGCAAGAAGGATGGGACAAGAGTGTCCTTTTATATCCATTTTTATTTTTTTTGTTTATTTATTTGTGTTAGGTTTAGACTACAGTGACAGGGTGAATGTGATGCGTTCAAGTTCAACCTGGTGAAGTAAAAGGGTGCATGCGCATGAGGAACAACAGTAAATGCGTGTGTAAAATGTACATGTACACCATTCTGTCTTTTAAAAAAATTTGCCAGAAGGGCCAAAACAGCGAAAGAGAGCCATGTGCTGCCAAAGGTTAAGTTTAAAAATCTGTCCCCCAATGCACTTTCTTTTATTTACAAGTAGCCGAATACATCTTCCTGCCTGGACCAGAAAAGTAGGACAACCAGAACTAGGTGGTTGCCATCCACAAGGGGGGCGGGTGTATATGGAAGATATGATATAGGAGCAAAGAAAAGTATATCCCGGGTTTAGTTCCGGTCATGATGCTCTACAAGGAAAACTGAGCCGAACGTCCCACATTTATACTTACTATATGTAACAGTAAAAAGTAAAGAAGGTCCTTCATTGATACACCGACTTCAGTGCTCTGTGCTCAAATGGAATCTAAATTATCAGAAAATGACTTTGCCGTAATGGTTCTGTCTTATCTTTATACGTCTGAATAAGAATGTTGCTGAGGAAAAGGATTTTTTTTGATACGTGCATGTTTGCATTGTAGGCATAAGGTGGTATATGTGTGTTATAGTTCTAGATGCTTATGAATAAAACAAAATAAAAAAACTCCTCAACTGTTGACGTGACAGAAAAGAGGGGGGATCTGAACAAGGACATGAGTAACAAACTTAATGTTTTTGAGGAAGATCCTTTCACAGTGACAGTAACAACAACAAGTGGACATGTCTAATGATGCCAACGATCTAGTCCATTCCTCCTTCATTTTTACACATGCCCAATGTTTTGTTTTTCTCTGTTTTTTAAGGAAGCAGGGTCAAAGAATGACTCGAATGTACCTCAATCTTTTTTAAACAGTAAGTGACGGGATAAAAAAAAAGGATGAAGTCTGAATCAAGCTTAAGTAAAGATAGGGGGACCAGGGGAACAACGTGAGAAAGACATTGAAGGGCAGATTTCCATGTGGAGTTTAGCATTTTGGCAGAAAGATCCGTTTGGAATGATGCCCAAATACAGATACGATCTTCAACTCAATGTCCGCACATGGTTCGGATTCAGAATGTATATACATTTGTGACATGATGCGTATGACAGGGCGTACAAATGTGTGTTTGTAAATCATTTTGACCCATGTCGAAACAACTTTGGCTCTCAATTCGATTTGTAGCCCTGGGAGGAAAATATTTTATCTTCTTTTGGTGGGGGTCCGTAGATCGTACATTACATCTTTCCCTTCAAGACATCAAGCAAGACAAGACAGAAGACAAACACTATTGTCGGGACTTTTTTTTTATATTTATTTTCTTAATTCATATATATTTCATACTACACTTGAATTACGGCTATTTCTGTCTCATCTTCTTCCTCTCTTCCGTATCTCCTCAAAGGATACAGGTGCAGGGTAGCTGCAGGAGCTTAAAAGAGAATGGGGTAAAAAAAAAAAGATAAAAAAAGGAGGCAAAAGGATTTGAAATGTCTGAAAATATCTATCCAAGGACATTTTCTTCCAGTCATTTTGCTCCAACCGTGTTTTTTTTTTTTTTTTTTTTTTTTTTTGTGCAGCCTCTCTCCTTTCTCTCTTCAACTGTGTCAAATATATCAAAATTATTCCAACATCTATTCCCGCCACCCTTACTCAACCATGGGTATTCACAGGAATTTTACTCCCATTCGACCGTTGTGGATATATCCGGCATTTGACGAACGCACATTGTGTTGTGCATGCATGCTGGTGCATGCATTCATTCCTAAATTCCCCAAAAAAAGATCAAAGCGGATCGGGAACTAAGTTCATATAACGTTTTTTTTTTTTTTTTTTTTTTTTTTTTTTTTTTTTTTTTAAAAAAAAGTGAAGTCAGTCAATTCCCATTGAACCAATTGGGTATATATACGTATATATGTGCACTACACAGGCAAAAGACATTTACTTCAATTACTAAAACGCGTAGCGCAATTTCTTCACGGGGACTAAAAGTCTTTTTCACACTGGAAGAAACACACGGGATGTTTTCATCGGTCTTTTTTTTTTTTTTTTTTTTTTTTTTTTTTAAAGGCTAACAAATCACACTAGGACATTTGACATGTTGTGGTATGCTAATCCCTGTCGTCCCTGTTCATAAGATGATAACAAACAAAACAAAAACAGGATAGTCATAAGCCTCGAGCATGATACTAATTTAGTAGTATATTTCAACCATGCGGGTACAATTCACGAGGGGGAAAAAAAAAAAAAAAAAAAAAAAAAAAAAGATTGATAGCCCAGGTACTAGCGAGTACAATAGTAAGATCTAGCTTTCTCTGTCTACACTAAAGAGACATCATGAAACCTACTCGATTAGAAATATGTATATGGGCGTGGAATGAAACGAGACTTTTTAGTGGCAGCAGATTAAACGATTTGATACCCATCACTGCGCGACACCGTTTCAAGACCCTGTGCATCCTATTGATGTCTAAACATAAAGTAACAACAGGTATTCTATACAAAAGAAAAACGATTTAACAAAAGAAAGTGCTTTATTTTGATGGCATAATTAATATTGATGATGCGCTCCTTTTTTTATATATATTTTTGATCTAGTTCTTGACGCCCTGGATACCATTAGAGGAAAGAAAGAAAAAGTTAATAAAAATAAAAAAAAAGAAACGCAAAACACACCCTTTTAAAAACGTTGTTAAATCAATCTTCAAATAATCCATTACCCTGGCCATCTTAGTGGCACCATACAGGCTTCCAATAAGACCAACGCCTGCGAGGCAAACGAAACCGGCCATGATGAACTTGTCACCACCCTTTCTAAGATAGATGGGAGTGTGGGAAGGGGTCTAAAAACAAAAAAGATGAATTTTAGCTTGATGAAATTCAAGGACATTTGCGCGTATATGGTGTCTTTCATTGGATTATCGCCTTTCTTTATTGCTCATGAGTGGTGTTGATCCATATCCATTTGTAGCGTAGCCCCTTGCGTTCAACAGACAAATGACGTATTTTCGACCAATTGGTGACAAATAGGTCCAACTAGCCGAATGGTTTGTATTTTGTTGATCTTTTAATAGATCAGATCATCCTGTGATAACGCGCTCCACTCCAGACTTCTAACAGCAGGAAAGCGTCCATAGTTTTTTTTTTTTTTTTTTTTTTTTCTCCTTCTTTTCAATTGCTTCTAATTGAGTATATGAAGTCTTTTCCTTATGCATCATAATATCATTTTTCTATCGCCAAAGGGAATAATTGGTCCACGATCAAAATTCCACTGTTGCTTTGAAGAACTTTTGTAGATGCTGATTTCAACTTTATGAGAAGATTCAGTGTCGCATTGATGGGATCCTTTGCCATAAATAGTACCTGGTAGAGGCGTTGGAGATGAGGAACGGGATTGGGGCGGTTGATGAGCGACATGGTCACAGTTGTTGTTGTTGTTGTTATTGATGATGTGATTAAGAGGATGATTCGTTCCTTTTGATCCACTTATTCAAACAAGGACGGAAGGAAAAAGTAGGATTTCACGTGATTATCGGAAGCTTAAGAGCTACGTGTGTCAAAAAGTGTACGTGAAATAAGAAATTATTCGTTTTGTGTATTGGCTGAGCTTTGCTTTTTTCGTCCTTCTCTCTTGCCTCGATAATTCGATTCTTCCGATGACGAAAGGTGCGCAGAGAGAGATAAAAAGGCGACATAAATCTACTTAAACAGGACATCCATCGATCAACTATATCAGCTATACCCACTCTATCCCATCGACGATGATAATTCTCATCATAAATGGATCTGTACGAAAAAATAAAAAAAAAAAATAAACATCCATACAACCTATCTAGGCGGAGTAAATCTATGTAGTAATAGTCGGCACAAAGAGAAAAAGACAAAGGATCGCATCTGTGTGGTAATGAAGTAGGGAACAGGAGAAAAGGACTAAGAAGTAGGAATGAGAACTTTGTCATCAACCCGCCTATTCACATAAGCCTTAAGAAAGAAGGATTACAGGAGGGAAGCCAGACAACCATTCCTACTTGACTATGGGAATCAGGATGTGGGACTTCGTCCTCAAACCTGGGATAGTGATTACCAACAGTGAGAACCAACTTTTTTTTTTTTATTTTATTTTATTCCTCGGGAAATATCGTCCTTTTTATAAATGGAATACTATGCTGGATCGCGTGTGACTGGAGAGAACACCTGTTACGAGCTACAACTATTCAAATGACAGAGTCGACTGACAGCAAGCTTATTTGTTTGGTAAACGTTGTCATAATTGACAATTATTGTAGCCACTCCTTCAGACAAGAACAAGGCTCTCGCCGCCAAGAAGGCTGCCTTGAAGGGCGTGAACGGTCAGAAGGCTCGTAAGATTCGCACTTCGACCACCTTTAACCGCCCCAAGACCCTCAAACTTGATCGCAAGCCCAAGTATGTCCGCAAGTCTGTTCCTCACGCTCCTCGTTTGGACCAGTACAAGGTCTTGAAGGCTCCTCTTAATACCGAGTCGGCAATGAAGAAGATTGAAGAGAATAACACACTCGTCTTCCTCGTTGATGTCAAGGCCAACAAGCGTCAAATCAAGGAATCCTTGAAGAAGATGTATGATGTTACCGCCCTCAAGGTCAACACTCTTATCCGGTATGTAAATATGATCACTCTTTTTGAGGTTTTTATTTATTTATTTATTCTTACAGGATCTGGATCCTCAGAACGGTTAAGAAGGCGATACAGCATTTTTTGGAGAGGGAAAAAAAAAAAAAAAAAAAAAAAAAAAAGTGATGGACCGGGAATGATATTGTCATGAAAGCATATTGATGGAGAGCATTTTATACAACAGAACAAGTGAAGGCGTCAGAAGACAATTGAGGGGTCAGAGATCTTTTTATTTATTTTTGAGCAAGCTGGGTAGATGGGGAGCATTTAGTTCAGGAATGTTGGATAGAATGGATGAATAGCAGTGTTAACAGTGCAAAGACGTCAAGTTTTTAAAAATTAGGAGTTGTGTAATATGGGCTTTCAATCTATCGTAACTAGCTTGAGAAAAAAATCAGCTAATTGATCAATATTTTTTTTTTTTTTTCTAGCCCTGATGGTAACAAGAAGGCTTACATCAAGCTTACTGCCGATGTCGATGCTCTCGATGTTGCCAACAAGATTGGCTTCATTTAAACGCCTCTTCCATTTTTTTTTTTAAAAAAAAAAAATAAACAAATAGATAGCGCAGGTGTATAATTCTATATTCAAAATCATGGCGTATGATTGTTATGTTATTTTCTTTTAAAAAAGAAAAGGAGAGTCTGTTGCAGAAGATAAGCCTTGGGCGTCGATACTGGTTATACTTCATTAGCGGTTATTATTCAAAAGGAGGGATATTAAAGCATGATCATGCATTATCTTTGTAACGAAGCATGGTGTCTGTGATCCAATCTTAAGCAACCTGAAATAATTTATTCCATGAATGTTATGCACCGAGTGTAATTCGTGTAATTCGTGCCATCTGCGTGGAAAGTAAATCCAATTCCATCCCTGTGTCACCTCTGCGATCTGTTGGCTAGTCCCTCTTTTCTGCTCTGAACCGCAATCTCTCTCTCTCTCTCTATTTCTCTCTCATATTTTACGCTTGATTCTTCATCCTGAAAGAATTCATCCTCATTAGCATCTCTCTCTCTCTTTCTTCTTCATTTCTTGTCATCACACCCCTTCTCCTCCTCTCCCTTTTTATATATTCTTATTCCTCTTATTCATTTCCTTTCCCCTTTTTTTTTTTTTTTTTTTTTTCTTCTTCTTCTTCTCAAGATATCAATTGTACCTCACAACTAACATCATAGTTTGTAACTCGTCCAATGCCACTTGTAAGCATTCTTCAGACACTATTATTGTCTAACACCCACTCATACAATCACACATTCACATATTCACATATATTCACATATACACACCAATACACTTTCGCACATCCCGTTCTGTCTCAAGATCGTCACTCATTGTATCCTGTTCACTAGTAATGACATTCATTGTTTAATTCCTAACGTCTTTTTCTCTTTCTCTCTCTCTCTCTCATTAATTGTTCTATCCCTGCAACGAAACATAATCGGTTCTTTTTATCAGGAATTTGCCCATCAACACAAGTAAGCCAGTTGGAAGCAAAACCCTTTTTTATATGTATATTTATATATATATATATATGTATTCGACGATCCCTTGAACAGTTGACCAATTGAAGTCTATCAAATTTTTCTTTTTTCTCATTCTTCACTTTTCATCGTGCGCAAACTTAGTGGCCAGTACCCAGACCCAGGCCCATGGAAGCATGCAGAGCCAAGGCCCCTGACACTCACAGGGCCTCTCGGACTCGACTCACTTCCTACTCAACGTTTCACCAAAGTAAAGCGTGCCTCTTTTGGATTAAACCTGATGGTCGTCGGTAAGTCTTCATCTTATATCTCACACAAATAGTTCTGTGGGTGAATTCTCGAGAATGAAAAAATGCCGAGGAGGGTGGGCAGTATGGAATTCCTCTCCCTCTGCTATTTTTTTTTTTTTTTTATTTTTTTTTTTTAGCTTGTTTTATTGTCTGAACGCTCATTACATCTATTTCGACAACGTTTGTACTACGCTTAACATGTGCTCATCTATTTATTCGTTCTCAACACATTCTTGTTCTCCTAAGGCGAGAGTGGTCTTGGAAAGACAACTTTTATGAACACTTTGTTCAATTCGGACCTCAAAGAGGAGATTCTCCCAAAGAATCCTCAGCAAACACAAACTGTAGAGATCCAACCTTCATATTATGGTAATTTTTATTTTTATTTTTTATTTTTTTTTTTAAGGTATGATGTGAACTTTTACAGAGCTAAAAAAGACAAATTGTAACCTTATTTTATTATATTTTATTTTTTATAGAGCTGTACGAAGATGGTGTCCAGCTTAACCTTTGCATCGTTGACACTCCAGGGTTCGGAGACCAATTAAACCGTGAGCACAAGTAAATATCGCACCATTATTGTTGGATAGGATCCAACCTGGATATATATATATATATATTCACCCTTGCTTTTCTGTTCATTTAATATTGCCCTGCCTTCTTTTTTTTTTTTTTTTTTTTTTTTTTTCCTTGACTGAAGGCTACTAAACTGCATGCTCGCATATTTTTTTGCTCTCGGACAATCCACTTTTTGTGCCTGATCCTATATTTACCATTTCAACCACTTCGTTGTTTATGTGTAAATATTGTGTGTGTGTGTGTGTTGAGTTTGCTCCTCTCTGAAGTTGTTTTCTGTTGGATGAGAGCATCTCTATCTGTCTTTGTTTTATTTTTTCCTCTTGGTGCAGGCACCTTCTCTCTCTCTCTCTCTCTCTTTTTTTTTTTTTTTTTTTTTTTTTTTGGCTAGATACTTACTGTCGATTTCTATGTGTGTTACTCAATTTCCTTCCCTAGCGTTGCCCCCATTGTGGCATATATTGACAAGCAATTTGAGGAGTATATGGCCGCAGAAGGTCATCCTGGATTCCGCAAGAGTATTCCTGATACTCGAATTCATGCAGTCCTCTACTTTATCGCGCCTAATGGTCATGGGTATGAACATTTATTTAGTTCTTTCCAATCGCTTGGTCATATTTGTTAACCGCCAAAAAAAAAAAAAAAAAAAAAAAAAAGCGCATATTTCTTAAACATCTCAATGGGCTCTTCTTTGAATTGGATTAGTTTAAAGGAACTTGATGCCAAGGCTCTGAAGACTTTGTCCGCCAAGGTAAATGTCATCCCCATCATCGCCAAGGCTGACACCATGACAGCAGAAGAAAAGGTTTCGTTCAAGAACATCTTGCTTCAGGATCTGGAACACCATAACATCAGGACCTTTCCTTCTTCTTATCCTGATGAGGTCGATGGTGCCGATGACCTTCTTGTAAGTTGAATGAAAAGAAGAGGAAAAATATATATATATATATATATTTCTAGATCTAACAGCATACCTTCATCCCTTACCTGAATAGCAATATATCCCATTCTCGGTCATTGGAAGCGACAACACAGTCGAAATTGGTGGCAGGAGAGTGCGTTGCAGGACATATCGTTGGGGCATTGTAGAAGGTAAGGAAGACAGAGTGCGAACATGGATCATTCACAAATACTCCTCGAAGAAGTGGAAAAAATAAATAAATAATAATACAGAAGAGCTTATCAATTATCTTTCTCGCCACCGATTGTGTTTATCTTATAGTTGAAAACGCGGAACATTCAGACTTTGTCCACTTGCGGGAGCTCTTGATGTCAACCTGTTTGCATGATTTGGTCGAGACAACCCATACTGTGCACTATCACCGACATCGTGGTGATGCTCTCCGTGCAAAGGGGCGTCCGATCTCGATCCTAGAATGTGATGACTCGTACGAATCTCAGATTTCGGGCACAAAGATCAAGAACAAGGAGGAGTTGAACCGCAAAGAAGAAGAGATCCGTCAACTGTTCGTTCAGAAGGTGAAGGAGAAGGAAACTGAGCTGCGTGAGCGTGAGGAGAAATTGAGTACCAAGAAACAGCAAATGGAAGCCGAGCTGGAACAGCTTCGTGCCCAGATTGAGGCTGAACAACGAGAACTGGATGAGGCGGTCTCGACGCTCGCGCGCAATGGAACAATTTCAAAAGCTCCCAGTAAGCTGTTCGCCAAGGCGAAATAAGGAAAAGGAATACAACTGCTCATCTACAGTAAATTCATACGCGCACATACATACACACGCAATATCATCACCAATAAGAATCAACATTCAAATAATCCATGATATCGTATAACAGACTAGAAAATTAATAATAATAATAATAATAGTAATATTATCTCAGCCAAACAATTTTCTGTCTGGTAAATATGCGTCAATTGAGAACAATATCTTAGTAGTAGGGTTTTCTCTTGCTTAATAATTAAGCTTTATGAAGGTCCTTTAAAGCAATGCTGCATGTCTATCCATTAGTCGCTCTAATTCATCCAAATGGTATTGCCGACTAGTGATATCTTTGCGCTATTGTAATGTATCCAAGATTAAAAAAAAAAAAAAAAAAAAAAAAAAAAAAGGTAGTCAGTCATATGAGTATAAGAGCACTTTCAACATGTAAAAATGGCATGGGAGACCTTGACTTACCATGGCAAAAGTAACACTCCTGTAAAGATTTGCGGCGCATTCTTTATAGTCTTCATGATCCGTTGTGATGTTAATCCTGGACAAGACTGGTGCAAGTAGGCCTTTAATTGTCTATAGGCGATAAAAAAAACGGAAATGACAATAAGCAAATGACCAACTGTGGTTGTAAAAGTCCATAGCAGCAGCATATTAATAGTGTTTGACTTACGGCCTTGTTGTGAGCCTCGATTGACTTCGTGCTCGTTGTTAGTGGAATGAAACTCGCAGAAGGCAATCCTGTGCGTATTGATCCAGGACCTAGCAGCCTCCTTCGTAAGCTCTCGGTCGTCACATCCAATGGTTGTTGTGGGGCCCTTGATGGGCTTTTGACGCGACTTAAGCCCTTTCGGATGACTTTTGTTGCTGATACTGTTCTGGAAACTTTTGTACTTGAGGCGGTTGAGGCTGGTATGGTTGCTGTCATCGTCGTCGTCGCCGCAGTTTGATCTGCTATATCCATACCATTTGAGATAGTCTGTTTACAGCCTACAACATGAGAGTCCATGCTGCGATGCCTTGACAAAGTATGGCCTGTGTCACTCGACACATCTTTATTAGCAAAGGCCATTCTGTTCAATGTCTGAGTACGCGTGAGAGCTCTTTCCTTGAGATTATCTTTGGCAGTAGCTGAAGACAGAGAGATAGTTTGGGCTGACAGAGTGCGATCAGCTTGTGGTAGAGGCACTATATAAGGAGTCCAAGTTTTGCTTCTTTCAAGAGCTCGCAACATTTCTATTTCTTGTCGTAATGATTTGTCTAATATTGAAGTTTTTTGGAATCATTACCCAGTGTTAATTAAAAAGAAGCTTTCGTGGGTTAATTATGTAGCTAGGTTTAATATGAGTTAGTTATCTGCTTTTGAAGCTTATTACCTTCATCCACATTCATGTCTAAGAAAGCACTCCAATGTGATACATGTCCTGAATCCTCTTCATTAGTGTCATCATCATTTTCACTACCATTCATTATACTATTGACGATGGGGTCTTCGTATTGGATGTATGCTTCTGCATCTGCCCCTATTGAGGCCCCCAACTTTATATTGTCCCTGAACAGCTCTACGTCTGCGCTTGAGAACTGAGCTGCTTCAGTATCCTGCTTCAGTCTTTCCAGCGAGCGTGAATTTAGAAAGATTTGTTCTGAAAGGTTGACTTGATCAACTAGTGGATATGCAAAAAAGGATATGGTGGGAACGTTGGTCTCACTCACATAGCCGTGGTTATTATCGCTATTGCCATCCAGTATGCCATATACTAAGAACATAGTTGTTTCCTGATACAATTTTAGCCGAGGATCTTCATACACTTCTGCCAGGTCAAAAAATTGAAGCATAGCCTCAGCTTAGTAAATTAACGATACAATGAGTTTGTGTAACATGATGAGGCTGTCCTTGAGATCTATCAGTCGCTGCCTACCTGCTGTACTATTTGCGGGCGATGATGTCCCTGCATTACCTGTCGATAGCAAAAAAGGATTCTCATCTTGTTTCGAAGCAGCAGACAGCATACCCTTCTTCTTCGACGATTGTCCAGGTTTCTTTACCACTCTCAACAACAATCCTATTTGCCCCATAGCCATACCACCGCCCTCTCGGCAACGTGCTCTCATGTCATCCTACGGAATGGATAATGTAAATACAGCAGGTGCTCATTTAGCGTTATTTGATGCGAGAAAAGGGGTATATCAAATTGGTTGTCAATGTCATCTGGGATGAAGACTGTATTACAATGTCGTCTTGGTCGAACAACTCCATTAAATATTGAGCAGATACTGTGCTCTCTGGTGATGTGAAGCTAATGCGGAGAAAATAGAAAAAGCCAGACAAAGTTGAGTTATCATGATTATTGAGATCAAGCATATAAATAGTATGTAGAAATATTTTGCTTACATGCGACATGGTTCTGTACAACCTGGAGCCAGCAGGAAAATTGGGAAGCTACTAATTTGGATTTTTGCTATAAGATGCATCTCTGTATTTTCCCTCGCAGGCTGTGAGTATATGGTCCCCTGCTGGTGCTCATGTAGTTGTTGTAGATGGAGCTTGGAAATGGCGAAACCAATCCCTGGCAGCTCTGTGACTGTTGGTTGTAATTTAACTCCACTACATCCTTCGAAGATGGTCTGCTGGCGTTTGTCAAGACTAGCCTTCTTCAAAGAACCAGGCTCTTTGCGACCAGAAGATGATAACGACGTTGCTATGGATGCCGAAGTGGAAGTTGAGGTGATCGGTTTCAAGGAGGGAACAATCCAAGATCCACCCCAGATAAGATCCCATTCTTGTTCATCGCTTTTCCTTCCTTTTCCTCTTCCAGATTGAATCTCCTCTATTGTTGTTGAAATCAACTTATGTTCAAGTAGCGATGACGAGGAAACTGGTGAATAACATTGCTTCAAAGTTGATGAGGGATGGGTGACCGGTGTCACATCTGCGGATGTTGGTGGAGAAGGTTGTTGCTGTATCCGTCTTGATTTTGGCGTAAAGGCTGGCTTTTTTTTATCTATCATTAGGAAAGGTGATTGTTCGTAAAATGAGGCTGGCCCGACCTTGGTCCCGCCATTCGCTAGTTTCTTCCTTCTGAAGGAAAATACTGATGCTTCATCGATAGTTTCATTGCCGCCTTGTGGGATGCTTCCTCCTAACTCCTGTATATCTGTGATGTCATTTGAGCGTATATTTCCATTTAAAACGGTGGTGGACGACTGGCTGAGACGACGAGAAGGAACATCCTGGCGCTTCATAATGGAGGCGAGTTGAGATTAGATTTCTAGTAACTGGCAAATGAGTAACTTTGCTTATGCAAATTCTTTTAAACAATGTTTTAGTCAATGGTTTGTCCAATGGTGGCAAAGAATGAGTTTTGAATGCCAAGTCGAACACAGAGCAAAACATTCCAATGCCGAGTCACGAATATTTTTAGTACGCGTTTTGCCACCAAATCACACGACGCGCTGAGGTATTCTTTTTATTCAAATCCATTTTGCCATTGGGTGTCTATTTTTTATTTGCGAAATACACAGAACATTGATTCTTTTCATGAGTTGGCGATTTAAATGTCCAAGTGCATGGGGAATCCTTATTAAAGAATTGTCGCTATGCTACTTTTGATTTTGATTATATCTTCCACAGCGAAAGGGTCGCAAATGTTTATTGATCAATTTATCTCTATAATGACTAGGACCCACTTCAAGATGTTATGTTCTTCCGCGGGAAATGTTTCCACAGTGCCTTGTGGCAATTTTAAATGAGGTTGGTCTTAATGCTTCGATCTCGGCTGATTTTATAACTGATTCAATCTTTTGTAAAAAAAAAAAAAAAAAAAAAAAGATAAAGAATGACTTAAAGTGATCAAATGAAACTCTTTCGAATACAATGAAGGGACGTAAAGCAGTGCCGCTCCTTATATCCAGGTATATGATCAAAAGGTTCAACAGCCTACACTGCTGCACTTAGCAAGTTATCAAGCATCTGTTTATCTTATTCCAAAAGCGACCGAGGGTTCAAGCATAAGCACTATGCCGATTATAAGAAAGCATAGATTGCTGTGTGTCCGCATAGAGTTTTGTATATTTTAGCATTTTCAACAGCGTGTCGATATGTTGAAGCTTTACTCTAATTGAGTACTGAATATGAGCGCCAAATATCATACGAAATGATGGGTTGCAACGATAGTACAATAACCGCAGCTGCAATAATGACAAGATAAAGAACGACGAATGCAAAAGAGGTGTTTCCTTTCCTTGTGCTTGCATATCTTTCTGGAGGACGAGGAATGATGCGATTGTGCATGGTGAGTAAAAAAGCATGGTCGTTTTTTTGTAATGTTGCACAAGCTCCTGTGCCTGTCTGTCTGTGTATGCCTGTGTTTTCTGCAGGGAAAAGAAATAAAAGAAAAACCTTCGTCTTTTAGACGCTTAATCTTCTTCCTTTTTTCCTCCTCTCTCCTCTTTTCTTTCTCTCCACTCCCTTTCCCTTTAAACAAATACTCATTCAAATACAGTCGCACACTCTTTTCATTCATTTTTCTTCCATCTCGACTCGTTTGTTTGCTTCATCAAGATCATTACTGCATCACAACAACTAAGCCAGTGATTGCAATTGCGCGTTAAAAGCACCACCCATTACGTCTTTGCAAGTTACTTAAAATAAACAATTTCAACCATGACATCACTCCTTGAGTCTCTACTCAATTGGCTGCGCGGTCTCTTCTTTAAGGTACTCCCTCTTCCATTCAGGCTACCTCCAAGTACTAGACTCGCTTTTAGAAATGTTGACATTTGTATTTGATTCTTCGGCGGAAAACCACTAACTTACTCGATTTTCTCTTTTCTTCTGGGAGACAACTTAGACTGAGATGGAGCTGACCCTAGTTGGATTGCAAAACAGTGGAAAGACTACATTAGTTAATGTTATTGCTGTAAGTTTTTTTTTTTTTTTTTTTTTTTTTACCATGGATTCTGAAATACATTGGCCATTGCCCTTTCTGGAGATTTTTTTCGTTCCGCTATTTTTCAATTGCCCTATTACGTGAACGGAGAGTTTAGTCAGGAGCTTTCGACTCTAGCTGTTAGCCGGCTAAACTTTTCTACTTATAAACATATCATCACTGGGAATATCAGCAGGGGTGTCGCAAACATGGATGGATCGATGTTTATAACCGTTGACAGCACAGTCGTCATACTGTCACCGAGCAGCAGCCCCAAAATAATATCAAGGAGAGCAATCCAATGGTCATGTGGACAAGAAAAGGGGATTTTTTTTTATTGACGTACTTGCGACTTCAAAAAAATAGAGCGAATATGCAGAGAAGCATTTAAGACAGCCTCCTTTCTATCCCCTCTTTGATTTTCTTTCTTGAAGCGATGCTGGATCAACACAATAACTCTTGATTTGTAATGATGAATAGTCTGGCCAATTCTCCGAAGACATGATTCCCACAGTGGGCTTCAATATGCGTAAGGTCACCAAAGGAAATGTCACTATGAAGCTATGGGATATTGGTGGACAACCAAGGTAAACGTCCAACTTTTTTTTTTTTTTTTTTTTTTTTTGCAACATTGCTTTCATGCAAGAGGGAGAATGAGCTACAGTATTACCCTTTGATAATACACTATCCTTAGACTAACAAATCCTTTGGTGTTTTATTTCATAATGTAGATTCCGGAGCATGTGGGAAAGATATTGCCGTGGTGTTAACGCTATTGTGTAAGTCCCTCCTTCTCTTTTTTATTTTTTATTTTTTATTTTTTCATTCGTTTCTTGCCATTCTTGAACCATATGGTTTGCGTCACCTACATTATTTTGGATCTGATGACATCCGAAAGAGAGAGAGGGAGACAGGAAATTGATTAATAAATGATTGACGTCTCATTTTTTTTATTTTATTTTATTTTTTTTTATACCTAGGTTTGTAATTGATTCTGCGGATCACGACAAACTGGATGCAGCGAGGACGGAACTCAGGAATCTGCTGGACAAACCACAGCTGGCTAGCATCCCTGTCCTTGTTCTTGGGAACAAGAACGATTTGCCGGGAGCACTATCGGTGGATCAGATCGTTGAAGTCATGTAAGATTAGCATGTAGCAAAAATGGATGATCGTAGATCTGGATGTTTCTTTATTTTGTTTTTTTATTTTTATCACTGAGTTATACGCATTATAACAAAGATAACTGAGCGCGCGCCTATGATTCTTTTTTTTTCCTCTCTTTTTTTGTCTTTGGAATTTCTTCAAATAGGAACCTGAAGCATATCGCAAATCGTGAAGTTTCCTGTTATTCAATCTCGGCTAAAAATCAAATCAACATTGATATCACGCTTCAGTGGTTGACTAAGAAGGGCAAGGGCAAGTAAACAGGCTTCCAAAAAGACATTAACGGCTTATAAACATTGTTTTTGGCTTAATAGTTGGTGAGGTGGAATGTCGAGCGAGATACATGTAGAGCGTAAAAACATAAACTATATCGATACTATCAATAAAATGAATAAGACAAAATTATGCTAGATTGTTAAAGACAAAAAAAAAAAAAAAAAAAGTTCTGCAAAGTAGTGATTGCTTGGGTCAATCAGTTTGTTTTAATGATCAATTAGCAAATACGGTGACCCAGGTCAGGGACACAGAATACTTCAGACTAAAAAATAAATAGATAAACATTTGTATTATATTTTTATAACGGTGCTAAAATCGTCTAGATGGTGATGTTGATGATGAGGAATATTTTAAAGATAGATGAATTGGTAAAAAAAAAAGGGGGGGGGGGAAAGGAGGATATGCAACGAATAAAATAAAATAAAACTTCTAAATCATGAATAAACCAGCAACAAAGACGATCACCAACGCCATTCTCGACTCGACGCCCTTGTCCTGAGATGCGGTAGCGCCACTTGGCTTTCCTGTAGGTTGGAGCTGGAATGTGGCACGAGAGCTCGTATAGGCGCCAGGAGAACTAGAGGCTGATGGTTGGCTAGTTGTAACAGCAATTGTGGTGGTAGAATCAGCTGTTGTTGTGGGGAACGCAACCGAGGTGGTGACAGTGGTCTGGTCGGATGTGATGGGAGCAGTAGGAGTGACTTCTGTGGGTGATGGTACATCTGAAGTAACGCCTCCTGTGGGACTCTGAACACCTCCACAAGGAGCTCCAAATCCTGATTGACATCCTGCTCCACAATACATCTCTCCAGTTCCGCAATAGCCCTACAATCCGAGGAGGAAAAAAAAAAAAAAAAAAATGTTTAGATATGTGAATACTTTTTTTTTTTAGCGATAAGAATAAAAAAGTGAGAAAAGAAACACATACGTTGACAGAACAACAATCGGTGGGTGTGCAAGAGAGACCGCCAGCTTGGCTTCCACACTGTGCTTGAGCTGTGACCATGGACAAGATTCCAAGGCAGCATACTAGCATGGCAATGAATGTACTACGGTGCATGTTGATGTTCCTGGCTTTTATATGTATATATTGTATATCTTTATCTTCAGTCTTTGGTGTGTTTAAAAAATCTTGATTTCCTTGATTGATGAAGGGACGGATGAAATGAAGTGAAGAAAAAAATGAAGAGAGAGAAAGAGAATTGGGAGGAATGATTTTTCTCTTTTGTAGAGTGTTATCATCGCACCGTCAACAGATTTGCATTGCCATCATAAAAATAGATTGAGCACGTGCAGTGGGCTGTCCCTTCCCCTGAAAAGTGAACCACAGACAGTTGATGATGTTGCATGTATAAATATCGTGGTGCAAGAATCGAACAATTACAACGGTACTACTTATATTAATGACAAAGTGGTTTTTATTTATTACGATATGCTCTAAAGAGAACCTTCTCACATCATGTCAATGATACAAAATAAATAGATAAGAATTGATCGTATTAATAACCGGAATAGCGTCATAAGGGACTTTTCCACATCTCATATTAAACTGTCGTTCCTTTTCTCAATCGAATCATACAAACTAATTAAGTGGTTCTGAATAGCATGCGAGCGCCCAATATCTCTGGTTAGATCAGGGGTGTTGAGTATGTTGGAGTCAACGCGATGGCGGTCTTGTTGGAGTAGAAAAGTTGATTATAGAAAGAAACATGCGAGGACTAAAGTCGCTCAACAGACCTGAGTGGAGCTGTTAGCTTCACAAAGCAAACATGAGTAGAGCAGCAGGAGCGGCAGCTGTGCAAGCTGGTGAACGATTACCTTTTAGAGAAAATGGCATGGCATTGTGAGAGACAGTTTTTTGCAAATGTCCTTTTGGCTCTGAATGACAATCAGCACAGCCACACATTTAGCTACGCCTCCTGTAATGGCCGATATACATGTATACATAATACACTCCTGTCTCGCCTTCACAGATTTTTTTTTTTTTTTTTTTTTTTTTTCAACACTACACTATACCACGTTCAAAAAGTTATCAACACATTGATTCCGGGCTTCGTCAAAAAATTATCAGATCCAACTTTGATGAAGGATTGACTCCTGCAAAGATTGCTCGTCGTTTCGGCTTCTCATATTCCACTGTAAGAAACATTGTAAGAGTTTTTGAAGAGGAGGGGAGAGTAGAGAGGGGGAAAAAAGGCGGTAAAATCGTCATAGAGTCCTTCAAGAAGAACATAAATCATGGCTGCAAACTAAGCTTGATGAGGACCCTAGCCTTACTATCACTAGTCTTCATCAATCACTAAACGAGCATTTTCACCTTGACCCTCCTGTGTCGATTTCAGCCGTTTCCAGAGCTGTTCTCCAACAAGCGGACTATACTCTCAAGCTTATACGTTATGAGCCAGAAGATTACAGCAGTCCAGAGAGGATTGCTGCTCGCGTCCAATGGACGAGTGATTTGATCAAAAAAGGAATCAACCTAACAGAGGCTGTGTTCGTTAATGAAGCGGGTTTCAACCTGCATCTCACGCATAAATTTGGTCGAGCATCGTGAGGAAAAAGGGCATTAAAGCGTCGCCCTAGCCACCGGGGACAAAATGTTTCCATCGTAGTTGCTGTTGGCAAGGAAGGAGTTATCGCTTCGGAAGTGCATTTAGGTGCCTTCAATGCCGAAGCTTTCCAAGCTTTTTTGGCCAATAAACCTATTCCTGCTCTCCCAACTTAGAGAGTCATCATCATGGATAACGTCCCTTTCCACAGATCACAAGATGTAAAAGACACTTTAAATGACAAGGGACATGTTTACTTGCGATTGCCTCCCTACACCCCACACCTCAATGCGGCCGAATGGGTCTTCAATAGCATCAAGGGGCATGTACGGCGTCAAGAGCTTCAGAACCAGGAAACCTTGACAAAGCATATCAATGATGGCATTCTACAGACTGACGCAAAAAATGTCCAGGGATGGATCCGTGAAGTCGATAGAAATTTTGTCCTTGCAAATAGAGGCGAACCTTTGGGTAGATTCTACAACAGTGCCCACTAATAAAAAAATCGCCAAGTTGATCAATTTAACTGGTCAAAAGAATAATATTAACTAATTAGGCTTTTCTTACAAGAAAGATCCCCGGGAATGGGCAACCCGTTTATCTGTTTAAAGAGCTAACATCTAAATAAATGCTACATAGCTTCGTGGGCCCTTAATATTAAAAAAAAAAAAAAAAAAAAAAGCTTTCTTTACAAGAATTTTTTATTTATTTACAATAATAGAGTGTCAAAACACGCTATCATATCATTCTACTGGTGAGCTTGGATAGCAGCATGAATGGCCTCGCCAAATCCTGGAGCACTGGCAGGGTTTTGTCCTGTGACAATGCGACCATCAGTCACAACCTTGGCGCCCCACTGCTTATCAGCCTTGTGATAGTTGGCTCCGTTTTTCTTGAGCTTGGTCTCCAAGAGAGAAGGAACAACTTGATGACAAAAAGAAAGTTGGTGGCAAGCAGTTAGATTTCAATGACTGGATCAAGCAAGAGGGCTTTTTTTCTTTTTCTTTTTTTTTTTTTTAAAAAAAAAGTAAGTAAAAAAGACTCACCATTTTCAAGACCAACGGACTTCTCCTCATCATCACTGAACCCAGTAACGTTTTTGTCTTTAACCAGGAAAGTTCCATCCGAAAGCTTGACATCAGTCAAGCCGATGGAGCCGTGGCAGATTCCACCAACGACCTTGCCTGCTTCATAGGCTGCTGCTGTGAGCTTAATAGCAGCCTCATTGTGCTCTAGATCGTACGCGGGACCATGACCGCCAGGGTAGATGATGGCTGCGAACTCGTTTTCTTTGCCAACAAACTCCTCGATCTTATGAGTATTGTCAATTTTGTGAGCAATATCCTTATTGTCCAAGAATGAGGTGACAAGTGGGTTATCCTATAGAGCAGAAAAGTAAGGAGAAGTTGAGTATGGTAAATGTTGCAAAGGAAAAAAAAAAAAAAAAAAAAAAAAAAAAAAAAAATTTTATACCTTAGCATCTTCAACTGAGTTGGGATCAAGAGGGGCCTTACCACCCTTGGGGGAAGCATAAACGATTTCATAGCCATGGTTGGTCAAGATAGTGGCAGGTACTGCAACTTCTTCAGCATACCAGCCAGTCTTTTTGCCAGTGTCGCCCAATTGATCGTGTGAAGTCAAAATAAAAAGAATCTTTTTGTTTGCAGCCATGGTGTTGCTTTTCAAGAATGTATTTGTTGTTGTGAAAAATGAGAGTGATATGTAAAGTGAATGTTCTTTGGCTCGAAGCAAGAAGAAAGGATAAAGAGGAGAGGGTGGGAGCAAGTGGGTAGTATTTATACCTGAATGACTGTTTCTTGCGTAAGTGTGCAACAAAGTCATGGAACCTGTGTTGGCTGATTAAATCACAAACGACAAAAAATGAGCTCATCCGTAAAATATGGGCGATCGTACAAGAAAAAGACGTTTTCATGTCAATAACGTCGATGGAGTCGACGCTCATTGGATCAGTATCCTTTGTTCATTATCGACATCTAAATTCTATAATTCATCATCGATCACAGCTATTGCATACAATCAAGCTGACTTTTATTACAAGTTTATAAATACAAAAGCCAAATATGGAAAATATCATTATGATGGCGCTGATGAGTTTCTTCTAATAACGAAATGATTGTGTCCATGAGCTTTTTCTCTGTCTATTTGCTTTCTGCTAGAAATGCGCAATGACCCTGCAGTCAAATTTATTGAATACCCTTCAAGCATTTACCCAAAAGGGCATTTTTTTTATTCGGAGAACAGATCAAATTATCCTCCAAAAGAGGCCATGGACGAGATCTCTTGTAGAAAACCATCGAAGTCCAACAACGTCAGTTCCAGTAGTCTGGAACCATCTTAAAAAAAATAAATAAATAATAATGAACAAAAAGGTTGCAAGAAATGTCTATTTTATTGTCTGAAACTGCTATATTGAGGCAAGGCATGCGTTTTATCCTAATGTTTGGAGCTGATCGCTGCTGCTAGGGGCTTATTATCCAGTTGTGACAGTATGAAAAAAAAAAAAGACGATGCCCTTTATTCCAAGCGTGTGAAGCTTCGTCCTCCCCGGGGCTTGTCGTTGAGCTTGGGGTTAGCTTTGGCCAACATATCTCTTCCCATTTTTGCAAAGTCGTAATCGCAATCATGCTTGTCGATCGCCTTGTGGGTATCACAGAAGACATATTCACATCGACACTTGTTGATGGCCTGCTTAGCAAGTGGGATCTAATAGAAAAAAAAAAAAATAATTAATGTATAAAAGTTTGTTAGACTCATGTATATTGGATAGTCCGGATGGAAGGAGAGGAGGGGCAGGTTGTCATGACAATTACCTTTGCACGACACATAAAGCATCGTCCTTTGTTGGATTGGGTTTTCCGTTCACCAGGAGCAGAGTTGTCCGATGTTTGAGATGTTGATGAGGGTGCGGGCATAGGTGTTGGGGTGAAATCCATAGGAGTGGGTTCCTGTTGTACTACTGGGACCGGTGCCGGTGCTGGTGTCGGTACTGTTACCGGTGAGGGTTGTGCTTGTACTGGTGCGGAGTGGACTGGGATAGAGGGGATTGGAGCTGCCGCTGGAACAGGGGCCAAATGTGTCATGGGAAGGTCTGGTTCGGTTTGCTTTTGTGAAGGAGCAGTGGCTGTGCCGTTGGTGGCAGCGTTTGAGCCATCGCCGTTGTTCTTGGCACTGACTTCCTTGAAGCACTTTGAGCACATATTATTATTAATTGGGTTTCTATAAAATTGTGTTGCACAGAGGGGGAAAAAAAAGAGTTCATAGAATGGTATCGAACGATTAGTCAATCTGGGTCAAGACATGGCTCAACTGGTCAGCCGATGAGAGATATCACGCGGATGGATACAATCATAAGTACAGTAATGTAAAAAAAAAAAAAAAAAAAAAAAAAAGAGCATCCAAGCTCTGCTCCCAGATGGCATGATATGATTTAGAGAACAAAGAAACAGCGATACTGAAACGAAAAAGATTACAAAAAAGAAAGCTAGTGGTGCGTGGAACAAAGTATTTGCAAGAGTCAAGTCTACAAGATGTCAAGATGGCTTTCCCATTGTCAAGATAACCAATGAAGGTGAAGGGGGATATGGTAGTGATGTTCTGTACAAAATTACAAGTGTACCGGAGACATGCGTGCGGTAGTTATTGCGAGCTGAAGAGAAAGGGGGTTGAGTGGAAGATTCAAGGAGAAGGGAGGGGGGAGGGGGTATGAACGAATGTGTGCAGACCAAAGAAAAAGAAGTGTAAAAGTACATTACGCACTGATACATTGGTTGCACGGCCAATAATAAAAAAAAATGACGGAGCAGTAAAGTTTACTTACCCATAGAAACCACAGCCATTAGCGCAGGTGATGGGGAGGTTCTGGGAGGTGTTGTTATCTTCCATGGTAAGAGTAATAAGTGAGAGAAGGTGTTTGTTTGAAGTAGAGGTGTGGATGTTTTTTTTTTTTTTTTTTTTTTTTTGAATGAGTTTCTACAGGAGAGTAATTAGATGAATAGTGTACAAGTGGAAATAAAAGGTATACAAGAAGGAGAGAATGAATTTAGAGATGAAAAAAAAGAAGGATTTTTTTTTTTTTTTTTTTTTTTAGTGTGGAGAGAAGAATATGTGAGGGTTAGGTAGAAGGGTGAATGAGAAATGAAGAAGGGAAGAAGAAAATATAAAAAAAAGATGCAAACATGAAATGCAAAGCAAGACGACTTTAAATAGGTGAATGAAGCATATGAACAGAGAAAAAAGAGTCAGAGAAGCATGAAGAGTCAAGACCAATGTGTCACGCACCGCAAGTGGACTAGCGAAGGAGGCGACCAACCAACCACGCTGTCTCTTTTTTTTTTTTTTTCCTTCCTTCCTTTCTCCCCCATTTTGAATAAAATGTTATATATTTATTCTTCAATTGAAAAATAGACAAATAAATAAAATAAATAAAATAAATAAATGACACCAATTTTTTTTTTTTTTTTTTTTTTTTTTTGCAGCATGACGCACATTGCATTCTTTCACTCATTTTGGGACAGAAGTGCAAAAATAGGTCACTACATGCTTTGGGTTTTTCCACATTCAATACTTACTGAACTGGACTAATATTTACTGATGTTATCCTGCACATCACACGCACACATGTATACCCTTTCATGTTTAACCTACTGTGTATTTGAGTCTTCTTTCGCCTCTTCATGTGCCTTACTGCCGGAATGAAATTTGGTAAAAATGAAAAAACAGATCAAATATAAAAATCGATCTTTTTTTTATTTTTTTATTTTTTTTATTTTATTGAAATCGAAATCAAATCTCCAAAAGAACATCCCATCAAATACATACATTGGCCAATTATGACGGAGGTATTTCTTTCTTCTCCTTCACTCATAACTTGCTTGACATCTACACACTCACATCTGTATCCCCTCTCTCCTTCTTTTCCTCTTTATTCTAGCTACCGACTATTTTTTTTTTTTTTTTAAAGCTGAGTTTCACATAGCACCGATTGGTCTGATTTGATTTGTTGCCCAATCTCAACACCACTAGTCTAACAGATGGTCGTTAGGTAGTGAATGACACAACGTCTTTTCCTTTTCTGCCTCAAGACAGATTAGTAATAATCAACTAAGTTTCGGTAAACCAATGATACGTAATTAAATAAATGTTCTGGCCACACGGAGAAGCAGGCAAGAACAATTAATTGCACAATGGCCTTTTTTTTTTTTTTACTCCTCACTCAAACTCCCCTTCGGGTTACACATTGTGTCTGAAAAAGGCAAAAGTCTTTAGTTATCTGAAAAGGCAATAGGTCGAACAAAAAATGTGGCCAGGACCCAAGGAAACAGTCACCAAAACCTTAAATTTCCTCTCGCTTGACAGAGTTCGCCACCAGAAACAATTGGTCTTCTCGTTTCCATTGAACTAAAGACTCTATGCATTGCTTTTTTCCTTTTATGCAAAGAACTTTGGTAACATCGTATCGCCTCATCCTCACCTCCAACGTCTCACACCCCAGTTAGAAAAAAAATTGGGAACATACCAAAAAAAAAAAAAAAAAAAAAAACTCATGGACAACCATCACAGAAAACATGGTCTTGTAGACGATCCTAATTCAAATACAAACGATCCAGAACAACAGGTCCCTATTTCTAAAAAGAAACGAAAAGTTTCTCTTCGAAGGCCCCACACCCGCTCCACTTGGTCCTCATCATCGTCTTCTTCCCAATTGCTTCATTTCCCCTTCAAAACCATAGCGGCTAATAGCTCTTCAACTACAATTCCTTCTACCGCGTCTGCAGCCCCAGAATTATCTAGAGCTACCAAAGAAAAGAGCGTCTCTGGCACTCAACATGATGTTATCCAAAAGTCTAAAAATTCAAAGCCCGCTCAGGACCCTGAAACGAACCCTTCCTCGACAACGAGCTCTAAGCACCTGCAGCGGCTGTATCCTATTTCAAGTCTCCAGGGCAAAGAGGAGTGTTGTGTTCAAGCGAATGTCATCTACACGACAGTCAAGAGCACAGTTGTCGAATGCTATGAAGAAGCGACTGAGAACAGAGGCCCTAATCAGGCGGACCAATCTAGTAATACAGAAAGGCAGCCCGGGACTGAACAAGAAAATGGGGTTGTTGGCAGAGGCCTTGAGAACACTTCAGCTTTAATTGGAACGACAAATCAAAAGGAGGCCTTCGATAACGACCCAGAAACGCTGAAGACGCCCAACTACTGCACTGAGTCCACTTCTCTACAGAACACCATAACTGATTCTCAGCTAGACCCGATTTGCGACTTTGATTGTGATGAAGATGTGGGTCAAGACCAAAGGAGGCATGATGACGAATTTCCAGATGACGATGAGATTCAGGACTGGGATGCGGATGAGTTCCAAGACGAATGTGGATCGTTGAAAACAGTGAATCCTGTCCCAGAGAATGCTTGCCCAATCTGCAGACTTGACTTACTGACTTTAGATACTATGGTTCGTCAATGGGTCGCCAATATGTTAGTGATTTCAGGATGGGTTGGGCTGATTTTCATCAATTTCAACCGCATCATGAACTAAATGGCATACATATTGCTAACTCTCAATTTAGACCCCAGATGCACATGTAAACCGTTGCCTTGACGAATCGGTAACTAATCCACCACTAGCCGAGTCTTCTGTTGCTACACAGCCAACAAGTAGTCAGATATTGTCAAGAAACCCATTGACAGCTATAATCGGGACCATTCGCAACGCAATAACCAATGCATCTACACGCACCGGAAATGTTACTCAGGTCGCAACATCTATTCAGAAAGTTAATAAAAAAGGCTCGTCGAAATATAAGAAGCGACCTCCGAAATCATGTCCATTCTACAAGAAGATGCCTGGTGAGTAACATTAGACCAAACGCGGAAGTTTTTATTATTATTATTATTATTATTATTATTATTATTTCCTTTTTATAGATCACTTTATTCTAATGCAATATTTCTTCCCGTGCCTACAGATACAAGTTTTACGGTGGACGCGTTTTGCTATGGAGCAATTGATGGATGTGATGCTTACTTTCTGTCTCATTTTCACTCGGATCACTATGGTGGATTAACATCGGCATGGAACCATGGAAACATCTACTGTTCAAGCATCACCGCCAACCTCGTCATTCGGCGACTTGGAGTGGATCCACAATTCGTCAGGAGATTGCCCATGTATGAACCTACCGTCGTAAATGGCATAACTGTTCGTCTCATGGACGCCAATCATTGCCCAGGATCAGTTCTGTTTGTATTTGATCTTCAGAATCCTCGAAGGCGATATCTCCATACAGGTGATTTCCGCGCGATTCCTGATATGTGTGTGGACCCTATTCTTCGTCAACCACCGAATGTACCGATCGATATTCTGTACCTGGACACAACCTACAGTAACCCGCGGTACACGTTTCCATCTCAAGACTTGGTAATTAGAGAGACGACGAAGCTTATCTGTAAGGAACTAGGAATCGATCACCATCACCCTGCCATGAAGGCGTCTGTCATCCAAGTGACCAAGAAAAAAGTCAACGTCATGGAGAGTTGGCTTAAGAAAGAATCTGGAAACAATGCAAAATTGCTCTCCATGTCGGTCAAGGCGTCTCAAAGCATCAAAGCGAAGCAGAAATGGCAGGAGCCCGCTGAAAAAGACAGAGTTGTTATCTGTGTTGGAACATATTTGATAGGGAAAGAGCGTGTCTTCAAAGCCATTGCGAAAGCAATCCGGAGCAAAGTCTTTGTGCAGCCCTCAAAACTCCAGATACTCTCTTGCTTAGAGGATAAAGAGTTAATGGATATGCTAACTAGCAACCGATTGGAGGCACAGATCCATTTGCTACATATGGGTTCCGATATGTCGCCAGAAGCCCTTCAGGACTATCTTTGTTCACTGGCGCCGACGTTCACACGTCTAATTGCAATTCGACCGACGGGCTGGACATTTACAGGGGGCTCGAAGAAGTATACAGCTGCAGACAATGGTTCAATAGACCAAATGAGGACTCCAACGCCTAGTTCAGTTGAACTAAAACCAAGTTACACGTCGTCAACGATCAAGATATACCCTATTCCGTACTCGGAGCATTCCAGTTTTAATGAGCTTGCAGGATTTGTCAGATCGCTAAACATCGTTAAAATTATCCCTACTGTCGGTGTTGGTAGCGAGACAGGTCGACATGCCATGAATGAATGGTTCCGGAGGTGGCAGGAAGAAAGGCGACGAGGAATTGGTTGGGATTGAGTGGAAACTTTGTAGACTAGTAATTAATACCTAATTTATTAATTTGGTGGCTGTGAGCTTTTTGAAAAGTAAAAAAAACTTTTGACTCTGACATCTCAAAGCCAACACTAATCTTCTTCATCAGCCATGCCAGACGAAGAAATGCCAGAGGCAGGAATCAGCAGCAGCAACTGGGATGAGACCATGGAAATGGCTTTGTTCTATGCCGCCATCAAATTCAAGCCCGTCGGTACGACGCCTGCTTTTTTTTTTTTTTTTTTTTTTTTTTTTGTTCAAGAAGCATTAGGTGGATCAAGTCTATTTGCTTTGTGAGAATAACGATAACTTGACAGGAGAAGCGAATTGATGTTCAATGGCAAAAGAGAAATTCATTCAATTATTGTTTTTTTTTTTTTTTTTTTTTTTTCAGGAATGCATAAACACTTTCGAATGATCAACCTTCACAAACACTTCAACAAACTCTCACATACGCCATGCACGATAGCCGAACTCTGGGAGAAACTGGGAACTATGTACGATCTTCAAACATTGGATGAGAGAGTAAGGAGAGGATCGCTTCGATATATCAATATGTAATTGAATGTACAATATTCGTACCTTTTTTTCCCTATTGCTTTCACAATATCTTCCCGTATTGATTGAGATCTTTATAAAAACATATATATACAAACAACATTAGGAAGACTCTGGGATGCTCGTGGAAGATGATGAGATAGATGATGATGCCAGCGATGGAGAGAGGGATATCATCAGCTTTAAAAATAGTGAGGAGTTTGTATTACCCTTACACGAGTTTGATCATCTTGTCACGGAAATTGTACCAGAAGCGTCTAGGAACCCATCACCTTCACCCATAAGAACTACAAGGGGTCACCGAGAGGGATCACAGACACCCTCCCTCCAGGGTTCGAGTCGTGCCTCTTCGGATGAAGAAGAATGTAACGCACCCTTTTTTTGTCACAATAAGGATAGAGTACAGGTTTTGATGTTGAAAAACTGAGCGTATTGAATCGCCCTTTTTTTTTTTTTTTTTTTTTTTTTTCTTCATCACTATTATTTGGCACTATTTAGCACCAAAGAAAAAGCGTGCTTCTCGGACGGCGAAAAAATCGGATGTAAACGAGACATCCAGTCCGAGAACATCGAGCAATTCATCCACCCGAACTCGCGCTACACGTGCAAAAGCTGAGCCTGTCCCTGTCACTCGTGGTCGCAAAACTGGCAAAAAGGTAATAATGAGTAATGTGTTTTATGATCTTCTTTAAAAGTTTTGAATATATGAACAGGATATTTATTAATCTTCCTTTCCTTGGACTAGTAGTAATGGATCAAGTCTGATCGAGGATATGAACAACCAACCAAACTAAATAGGCTATCAGTTGTTTCTCATGTTAAATGGCGCGTTTGTGAAAACAGACTACATACAATCTAATAAATCATGTACTATAGAACCATAATACCGTAAATACATTTATATAAAAAAGGAGGACAGAATAAGAAGGGAAGAACTGACCATTATTTTCATTTATTTTTTCGCGTCATTCGAGCTTTTCGGCGCGTCTCTACTATTGGATATTGAGTAAAGCTAAATTATATCTTCCACTTCAGCAATTAAGACTATTCGGCTCATGAGAAGCAGGATCACAGGTAACACCTCTCTCGAAGGTTTTACAACTTTTTTTTTCTGTCCGGAAACACATGGGCGATTCTGATGCACAAAACCGATACCAAAAGAATTTATGGTGTCAACAGGACGCTGTGTCCTAGAATATTCTTCTTGACACCGAAAATGAGCAGCACCACTTGAGTAGTTCTACAAAATTCCCATGGATATTTATGCATTGCTGAAAAAGAAAAGGAAAAAGAGTCAGCAGGATGGAGAAAAGAAGTGAAGATGAAGGGTTTCAGCCTCTACAATGCTATTGACAATAACAAGGTCACTCGGTCATGCACTTTCAGTGAGTTTCATTCAGGGCAACGCAGGATGGGATACACCACCACCTGCAACGACAATGAGCAGGACCGATGTCGATGAAGTTAGTTGATCCTATACTCGTCCTGCTTTTGCTTTTTCTTATACTATGTCCGATGACAGCGTGCATTGCCACATCCATCGACCCATTTTGAACCACAGTCCAAAAAGTTACAGGTGAAGGTTAGAATATAAAAGGATGATGTTCTTTCATAGTGAGATTCTAGAACCAAGCTACTGTGCAGTAGTCTAAGCAACTTGTTGCCTCGTCCAAATCTCTATAATAAAAGTCTTATTACAGATCATAAACTTCTTTAAACTTGATCTTCGCCTTGGTATTTAACCTAGGACCACGACGATCTTTGATGATGTGAAATTATAGAAACACTATATGCGCTTGAGTGGAAATAAATAAGCCCTACAAAGTTTATTCAGTAGCGTCAGTGATAGATATCTTGACACTTGAAACTATCTATCACACATTAATAGCTTTTGCTCTGCATTAGAGTGCTTTCAAGTTTGATCAGTTTGATTATACTCATGGAAAGCCACTGAAGATTGACACGAATCTGACCATGACATACAGGAGCAGTCATTCACGCTCTTACCACTTCCGGATAGATTAAACCTTAATAACATGAGAAACAAAACATCGTTCCAACTCTTTACGCTTTTTTTTTTTTTTTTTTTTTTTTGCCTATCTGACTCTGTCTCTCTCTGTCTTTGGCCTTCTGCCTCTCTATCCAAATGTTGTATTATGGCCAGATATCCACCTACCATCATCATCATACGCCGTAATAATTCTCTGCATCACGAGGTTATCTTCTCCTTCCCGCTCCAACAAGAAAATACTCACCTCACTCAGATTGCTCCGATCTGCATGATATCTGTAATACAGAGAGGATACCCTGACCCCCTTATCATTCCCGCTTCTTCAGTATACAACAAACGACACATTCATCCTGATGCATGAAGGCATACAATGTGACATAAATATGTGGCACCTCCTTGCTTGTGAGTTCATATAAACATTAAAATAAAATAAAATAAAAAAACCACAATGGGTGATCCAAAAGTTGTTGCTGTCTCGTCTCTCTGATACGTTTGGATTTGCATAAAAAAAAATTAGTCTTGCAGGCTTATTTCCTTTTCCGCCCTGATTTCTTGACTTAATAGTGCTCCAACATGTCATGCTCATATCGCTTTTGTTTGACCGAATATTTAGTAAGGCCGGTCACGGCGATCGTAGCGACGATCATCTCGATCAGCACCTCCACCGCCTCCATTATATCCACGTCCGCCATCATCGCGACCACCTCGGCCTCCACGTCCACCGCTGCTGCGATCTGAGCGGTCTCCATACCCACCTGAATATCCGCTGTTACCACGATCACCATGGTTGCCGCGATCGCCTCCACGGTCGTTGCTACCACCGTAACCACCACGCTCATTGCCTCCATAATTATTACGGTCGCCCCCACCACCATATCCGCCTCGGCCACCTCCATAGTTACCACGATCACTGCCTCCACCATAGTTGCTACGATCATTGCCTCCGTAGTTGCCTCGGTCACCACCTCCACCAAAACTGCTACGGTCATTACCGCCGCCATAGCCTGAGCGCGAGCTTCCTCTATCACCTCCACCTCCACCTCCACCTCCATAGCGCTGTCCATCTCCACCTCCGGTGCCTGGAGGTCTCGGGGCTTGGCATTGCATACACTCTTGTCGTCGGGCAAAATTGTTTTTCTGACATCTATTGACGGTAATATATATGTTTTTTTTTTTTTTTTAAAAAAAAAAAAAAAAAAAAAAAAAAAAAAAAAAAAAGAGTAAGCATAAGAGAAAGAGGGAAAATAATCTCAAGTTGTGAGAAAGCAAGAGCCTTTACTTTTCGCAAACCCAATCGCCTTCGCGAGGTGGGGGACCGCCACCACCACCAGCACCGAAGCCGCCGCGTCCACCACCACGTCCACCACTAAATCCGCCGCGGTCACTGCCTCCAAATCCTCCGCGACCACGACCGCGACCACGCCCACCAAATCCTCCGGCATAAACCTTTTGTTCAGACATTTCTACTTTGATTGTCTATTGTAGAGGAAATATGAATTAAGAGAGACACTTATGAGTTGATACTTTCAGGCTGAACATCAATATAAAGGAGCGGCATAGGCATATAGACCAAGTAAACTTTTACGTACATGCCCATGGAAATCAGTGCCATTGAACCATTTAATAGCAGCATCGGTTGTGAATGGATCCTCATAAGTGACAATGGCTATTGGTAAGAAATAATGAAGATAGTTAGAAAGGTTCGTACAAACCGGTTTTTGTTTTAAGTGTTAGTTAGAATATTTACCATCTCCTTTTGGCGCACCAGTCGCGTTGTCAATATAAACGCGGACTATGAAGGTAAATGAAGACATTGAATACAAGGTCAGTTAATGATACTGAGTGTATTGACGCAGCGTCTTATCCAATGACACTTTCAGGCAAATGCACGGTATGCTGCCGTAGACATACTCTTCGGAGTCATGGTCCGCTTGTCGGTCTTAATGCGTCCAATGGACGAGAATCGTTCTTCGAGTTTTGATACCAAATCCTTCTCGGACATGTCTGTACCGAGTCCACTAATGTAAACGGTATCAGAACTCTTTTGCATCTGAGGTTCATCACGCTCTGTAAAAAAAAAAAAGGCATATTCAAGTAGAAAATATTAACATCACGTGAGTGATAAAGTAGCTCAGAGCTTGGAAGCTAAAAAAATAAAGCAGCTTGTAGACAGATTAAACATACGTCCACCATATGAGCCTCCACCCCCATGCGATGAAGACCCATATCGGTCTCCGCTGCCACCATGCGATGATCTGTCATCGCGATCGCCGTGTCCGCTATATCCCCCACGTTGGGAGTCACGCCCCGAGTCTCTGCCACTATCGCGGTTACTTGATGTGTAACCATGGCCGTCATCTCGCGATGAACCGTATGGAGCGGATGAAGAGTATCCTCCACCACCACCTCCTCCAGTGCTTCCATAGTCTAATCTTGAGTCTTGGCCATATTTGCTATGTCTTTCGCCTCCGCTGCCTTTACTAGGATCATAGTCTCCGCTATGCTCGCTATACCCTGAAGGAGCAGACCCTGGGGCAGCTGGAGCAGCACCAAAAGCTGCATTGGGCTCACCCTGTGGAGGAGCTGTTCCTGCGGCTACAGCAGCAGCATATGCAGCAGAGGCGCCAGGACCGTAATAAGCATCATAAGCAGCTTGAGCCTCGGCATCTTTACGACAGAGAGAAAAAAGAAAAAAAAAAGGAAGAAAAAGACGAGAGTGGTTGCTTAGGATAAACCGTCTTCTTTATTTGAAGATCAATAAAGCAAGATGAGTACATTCGTGTTTTTGAAGACGAAATATTACATTGAGCATACTGCTGCTCGTAGGTTTGTGCAGCTGCGTTCAGATCGTCCTGTGCACCAGTATTGGAGGGTGCGTTCTTGTCAGCCATGGTAGGTTGAAATGACAGATTATGAGAAAAAAGGGAATAGGAGAAAGATGAAATGCACCAATAACCTGTTGCAAGTGTGAAGTGTTTAAAAAAAAATTTAAGTGTGACGTCGACTTTTGCTTTTTTTTTGTTGCACACTGATAAAGGGGTAGACTAATTGATTGACTTGTTCGGACTAATCGATCTCTCATCCTCCTCATTTCTTTGCTTGCAATTCTCTTCCTTTCCTCTCCCTCTTTTCCTTCTTTTCCGTCACATTTACAAATCATGATTACTGGACTCAATATCGCTAAACGTAATGTGTCCCTGCGTCATTAAACATATCTTTATACTTGCAGAGCATTCCCTGCTCCGGCTATCCCATCAACAAATGCCTCGGATCTTAAACCGGCTAATACCCTCTCTCTCTCTCTCGGAAATAAACATTTCAGCGTCATACTAATATGAACATTACATGGAATTGTTGATGAACCTTACCGTTTATAATTTTTCAACATGGATTATTACAATCTGCTCCTCAGTACAAACATTATCCCGAAATTCATTTATTCCGAACATCGGATACTCTTAAAACTCAACTCGGACTCCCCAACCTTGTTCCCAATCCTTACTTGACGCGGTTAGCATCACCTACACAAATATTTATTATTGACGTATACAAAAATACTAAAATCAGCATGTCAACATGGTGTATCTCTCTCTCTCTCTCTCTCTCTCTCTCTCTCTCTCTCTCTCTCTCTCTCTCTCTCTCTCTCTCTCTCTTTTTTTTTTTTTTTTTTTTTTTTTAGAGTCCAGACAGGCCGTTGTAGGCCTTACTCAGAAGGTATAGCACTATTTCGCGGCTTAATTGACCCATTGGTCATACAATATCCCTCTTACTCATTTTTTTTTTTTTTTTTTTTTTTTTTAAATTATTCACAGCGCTTTGCTCATGATTTAGTTGTCTCGCCAAAGACTGGACGCACCATCATCAAAACTGGTTCTGGCGGTCGGTATGTGAATATCAATTGATTCTCAAACAGGAATACCTGTGAATTGAAAGAAGAGACGACTAAACAGACATTTAACCTCCCCCCTGCAACCTTTCTGCCTCGCATATGTCTAAAAGCTCGTCTTCTAATGGACATGTTATTACTGTTTTCGGATGCACTGGATTCCTTGGACGCTATCTCATTAACCGCCTTGGTAAGGGATCAAGGCATAACCAAATCAGCTACGTGTTTATCTCAATGTTTATATATTACTTCTCTTGGCTGACGAATTCATGAATTTCTTTTTTTTTTCTATCTATTATCAATTGTCAGCTCGTGAGGGTGCTCATGTCATCGTCCCCTACCGTGATGAGGATGATATGCGTCACTTAAAGGTCATGGGCGATCTCGGAAAGATTGTTCCCATGGAGATTCATCTCCGTAACAAGGATTCCTTAGAAGCCGCTATTCGCCACTCTGATACAGTCTACAACTTGCTCGGGCGCGATTATGAGACCAAGTAAAGCATTCTTTGTAAATGCTACTATATTTAACTCTGGCACATTCTTCTACGATTTTTAGGATACGAAAGTTAACGGGTTGGGATAATATTTTTTGTACCTAGGAATTTCTCATTTGCTGATGTCCATGTTGAAGCCGCTGGTATCCTTGCTGAACTTGCCCAGAAGCATGATGTTGACCGTTTTATCCAAGTCTCTTCCATGAACGCTGCCATCGATTCTACCTCCAAGTTCTTGAGCACCAAGGTATGGCAATTTGAAAACAGAGAAGACATTATAAATATAGCGGTTTAAGGCGGACTCAAGGAGACCATATCAACCTAAAGCGGACATTTTCTTTCCAATATTAACTTTATCAATTGGTTAGGCCGAGGGTGAGCAAGTCGTCCGTAGCATCTTCCCCACTGCAACCATTGTTCGTCCTTCGTTCATGTACGGTCAGGAGGATCGCTTCCTTGCTCGTCTTGCCAGTGAGTATTTCGAATAGCTAGCCCTCGTGTTGATCCGCCATGAATTGATGGTTGTGCTTGTGCTCAATATTCGAGTACTAATACTAACGCATGCTTATATTTCATATGCTAGTGTCTCGCGGTCTTTCCGTCCGTATTAACGGCGGCAAAACCAAGGTTCGTCCTGTCAACGTTTCTGATGTTGCGGGCGCCATGCATAAAATGCTCGATGGCGACAATACCATAGGCGAGACCTTTGAGCTTGTCGGGTATGTTCTTCCACTTGTCTTTTTTTTTTTTTTTTTTTTTTTTTTTTAACCATTATATTGGTTTTAAACTTTTTTTTTTATTATTATTTACTTTTTTTTTCCATAGTGATCAGGAATATACCTACGCACAGCTGCTTGATTTCATCAAGGAGATTACTAACTTGGATCATGGAGACTTGAACGTTCCCAAACCTATTGCCAGTCTCATGGCAAAAGCTATGAACCTGCTCCCTTGGCAGACCTTGGGCGCTGATGAGATTGAGCGTATGATGATTGATGATAAGCTTACTGGCGCTAAGACCTTTGCTGATCTTGATATGGAACCTACTTCATTGGAGATCACTGGTATCCAGTACTTGCGTCGCTTCCGTACCAACTTGTACAATGATGAGCCTCTCAAGAAGGGAGTGGTCGGCAAGAAGAAGACTTTCCACACAAGCTACCTGTAAAAAAAAAAAAAAAAAAATCACAATTTTCCATTTCACCTCCCTTCTCATTCATTTACTATCCCTATCTTCTCCTTACTTGCTTCCTTATCACGAAACATCATCATACCTCCACTGCAAGTGTGAAGGCGGATCTATTTCTTTTAAAAAAAATGCAAACATTTAGACTACACATTGCTTTGCAATAAATAAATAAATAAATGTAAAAAAAAAAAAAAAAAATGATTACGTGTCAATCTTCCGTGTGATTCAGAGACTGGACACTATTTTACATGTTTGTAATACTGGATCTAGCGTCATCGTAAATTGTTTCTCGTGATCATTGCAATAGAAAACAACTATAAATTCACTGTTTCTGGCTTTTACTCTTTACCCGACGTATTCCTTTTTTAACTTTTCACTGCCATTTTCTCATTTGGACAATAACTATTGGTAAATGGCTAACAGATAAATTAAGCGATTATGAAAAGAGTGTAAATGCTTTTCTTGTCTGACTGAGTTAACTTTTTATTATGATGATTAGTTTAGAAAAGTCATGTCAAACCCAACTTCACTCTCCAACATCAACCCTACATCTACATCAACACCCAGTGTCGCTGGAGGTATTCCTGCTTCTGGAACAAGTGGATCGGAAGCTTCTGGTATTACGTTTGATCCTCGAGAGCTTCATGTGGACTATTCACAGTTCCGTATTGGCGGATTCTTGGGTAATGGCCCAGTCTCGAGCGATGGTTCCAATAACAATAATAACAGAGGACAAGTGTCGGGAGATGTAGACGACCTGAATTTGAATGAGGCATCCAATTCGGACTCGGATTCGAATTCGAATGGCAACCCGAGTGCATCACCGTTAAAGGCTACTTCGACTGCAAATGAAAAATCAGAGCAGGAAGTGGCTCGAGAACAGCGACAGGCACGGTTTATGGAGTTGTTGCAAAGTGGGAAGATCAATGTTCCTAGAGAAGAAGATCCATTCCCTGGTAGGAAGTATACCATGCCAGTCGAGAGACCAAAGTAAAAAAAAAAAAAAAAAAAAAACGAAAGGGCGCTGTCTTTGCATTTGGCTCGCTTTTCTTAGGCGTTGCGTAACCTTTCCCTTATCCAAGGCAAAAAAATAAAAAGAAAAAATTCTTTGCAAATAAAGCCCATGGTTTTTTTAACAATTTAAAAAAAGGGTCTGCCTGTGTACAAAATAGATTTAGACAGTAATGAAATCGCGTCAGAGGATAGAAGAAGCGAAGAATAAACAGTGACCCCAAAGTATTATGCAGCTTAAACTAAAAGCACGAGAAACAAAAAAAAGAAAAAAAAAAAAAAAAAAAAAAAAAGCCTTCTGTGTGTCATTTGGCACTTAGTTTAAGTTTATTAGATGAACAGGGTGTGTGCAGTGACTTGAGATGTTTGATGAAGGCATAAACGCAAGCCTGTCAGTTGTAACACGGTGGGCTCGCTTTTTTCTCTTGACATGGCCAGGCAAAGAAACAGAAAATGTTGAGGGAAGCGCGTGTGAGTGTGATGAGCTGCCGATGTTTGCAAATTAACATTTTTGTGTTGGACTGAATATGAAGCGAACTTCTCCCTCAATTCATTCAAAAATGATGATGAGACAAAAGAGGTCGTCAGGAAGGGAGTGCTTCTCTTTTCTTTCTTCTTATTCGCCACTCTTTTTATTCTTGAATGTGTCTTTTTAATGAATATTTGCGACAGCTTTTTTTTTTTTTTTTAATCTCAATGATTAATAAAGTCATCAATTTGGAGCTTCACTCCTTGCTCAAAAAAACAAAAAAAAAAAAAAAAAAAAAAAAAAAAAGAAACACATGCTGTGTGTAAGGTGCTCTTAATTTTTATTCTTCACCAATGATAATGACAATGGCGTGAAAAAGTGGGGAGTCTGTGTGTCTGTTCAATTGTTTCTGCAAAAAAAAATTCAATCCTTCAACTAACTCGCTACCACTCCACATTCTGAACATTTTTACTCCTCTCTTTATTTTTTTACCATCTTCATATCTGTCTGTCTTCTCTCCTTTTTTTTTTTTTTTTTGAGATTAAATAGTCAGTAGAACGGACAACCGTTGCTTGTAAGGACCATCATTGCAACAGAGCAGGAAGGCAATCAAACCAAACAAAATCGAAGCGTATTGCCAGTTACCAGCGAAACACGCCTTCTAGGTTCTTGATTCGATACTTGACTTGGACAGAAGCCCCATCTCATTCACACATGTATCATTAGGATCAAGAGTTCACACAATAGATTGTTAACCTTGGCATTTGGCTCGGTTTTTTGTTCATTTCTTATATTCCTTGCCTCCTCCCTTCCCTCCTTTCTTCTTTCTTTCTTCTCTTTCTCGACCTTTTGTCCTTCCTTTCTTCTCTTTTGTTCTCTGGTTTGTCCTGTTCGCCCCTTCGCTATCATACGATCAATTTACTGATCCTTTATTTTGTTCCCATATTATTTACGTACTCCCTCTGCCCATCGCGAAAAATCAAGGTTTCCGCGTAATAACCAAAAACGAACCTCCCTCCCTCCCCTCCCCCCCAAAAAAAAAAATAGAGTCTATCCGCATCCTTAGCGAATTAAAAAAAAGTCATGATGGAACCCGAGTTGATTCAGCAGTTGAGAGTAGATGACCCCATGGAGGAGCCCGAGCTTAATCTGGATGGACTTCAGATCAAGTCGATTCAAGTACTGTTAGAGCCACCCAAATCAGTACCTGGAGGCGATGATGAAGACGATGATGGCTTCTATTCACCTTTGGATCACTTCCAGAACCTTGTCAGATTGAGCATGAGCAGTGCACAATGCCAGAGTCTAGAGTCATTCCCTCATCTGCCCTTGTTACGATCGGTATGTTTTTTTTTTTTTTTTTTTTTTTTTTTAAGAAACAGGCTCTAGCGATATCAATACCAATTACAGCAGAGCAAATGAAGGTGAAGCTGGAAGAGAGAGATTGAGGGGAGGGAAAAAAAAAAAAAAAAAAAAAAAAAAAGAGAAATTCAACACGCGGACTCTCTCTGATAAAATTGTTTTTAACCAAACATGCACAAGATGGTGTCAAAAGGGGATGGAAAAAAAAGAAATTTTGAACGCGTAACTTTAGTTGGCATCACTAAATAAGCTCTCAAATCCGTCATCGTCATTAACAATGATATATATTTTTCAATTCACTTTTTAGCTGATGTTGGCAGACAATGAGCTTTCTTCGGGATTTGAAGCATTGGCCGAAGCAGATTTACAGAGCTTACTACGCTTAGATCTTAGTGGAAATAAGATTACAGATTTATCTGTCCTGGCACCTTTGGTAAGAAGGCGCATATGTTTACAACAAAAATATTTTCAATAATGAAACAGAAAATTTCTAATACATGGAAAAATCATCCCAATCGGATATGATAGGATGCCCTCGGAAATTTGCAGCATTTGATGTTGGCAGAAAACGAGGTGGCGAACCAAGAAAACTATCGTGATGCGGTATTCGAAATCCTGCCGCAACTAATTACAGTTGATGGACTGGACAGGTATAAGAAAAAAAGGCAAATTACAACGTGTCCTTATCAAAGTATATGGTTCGCTTATAGAAATCTTTTTTTTTTAAAAAAAAAAAATGGTATAGAGATGGTACTGAGCTCGACGTCGACGTTGATGACGACGAAGCCGTTTCGGTTGACGAAGGCGGTCATTATGTACAGGTATGAATGAATGTATAAGTTGGATTTTTTTTTTTAAAAAAAAAAAAAAAAAAAAAAAAAAAAAAAAGCTCAGTGTTATGGATGCATGAATCACAGAAGAGGTGTGCAGTCTTTTTTGCCCGTACTTGTGTGCAAGATGAGCGAGGATATTAGAAGTAGAGAGAGTTTGACTACATTTTCTTCTTTTTTACTCTTGTTTCTACTTCTACTTCTTCCATTGTCTTTTCAAACCGAACGAAACTGACTAACGGCACATTTATGATTTTTCCCTCCTAATTCTCACTCAATGATAGGAATATGAATCGCAGAGCGATTCTGAGCTTGAAGATCAGGAGAACCGCCCACCTGCTGGCAGTGGCAAATCAACTGGAAGAAAACATCACGTTGATGAGGACGAGGACGAGGATGAGTACGACGATGAGCTTGATAACGATGAGGACGAGTCTGATGGTGCGTATCCATCGCATAAGCGTCGCAGACAGTCACCGGGGTCAGGTTCAGACTCTGAGGAGGATGAAGATGATGAAGATGAGCCAGAATCAAGAATTTATGCAGAAGGTGAAGAGGAGGAGGAGGAGGAGGAGGAGGAGGAGGAAGGAGGTCATGAAGATGATGATGAAGAGGAAGAAGAGGAAGGTCCTGGATTGGCTATGTTGATGCAGGGCGATATTCCTGATGGTGCTGATGATAATGATGAAGAGTTTGAGCCTGGTAATGAGGCTGAGGAGGAGAGCGAGATCGAGTCCTCTGATGAAGAAGAGTTTGGCGGTGCAGCTGGATCAAGTAATAATAACCATCATCATAGCCACAGCGACAATAACGGCAACAACGGAGCTGTATTAACAGCAATGGATCCTGCATCTGTGATTGCTGCTGCTATGGCTGCACCATCGTCATCATTTATGGGAGACAGTGACAGCAACACGAATGGCCATCTTAAACGTCCACGGTCACCTACACTATCTGGATCAACAGAGTTTGACCATGCAGCAGCAGTAGCAGGATATGACGTTGAGGGCGATGATGTTAATGCAGGATTCGATATGGTCTCGTTTGATGGACCCGCTTCATTTGATGATGATCCAACTCATGAAGCCAAGAGATCCCGCACGTAGAATGCCACTTTCTCTAGTTTTCTTATAACCAGTTTTGTTTTATTTATTTTAAAAGCCAAAAAAAAAAAAAAAAAAAAAAAGTTATGCAGTGTTAAATTTCTTTTTAATATGTGTGCGTGTTTTATCTATGCCATTCTACACATCAAGGCGATATTGGAGATAGATGCCTTGCTGATTGAGTTTGTTTTGCAAAAAAAAAAAAGTACGGAGTAATGAAAGACTAAATGCTCTTATCGTGTCGCTTTTCTTAGATCTCAAATACCTATGCTAACTCTTTTTTTTTATGTCAAGCACCAGTGCCAGATCAGACCTTGTCCTCCACGTTTGTTGGCCTCAAGGAGTGTGCTAATATCGCACAAGAAGGTGCTGATGGTTTTAAGATTGCCTGCGTCCATCTCCCTCTGGATCTGAGGCTCGAGTTGTGCGATCGCATCCAAATACTTTTCATCACCATAAATATTCCAGGCAATCTGAAGGCATTTTAAGTAATCACCCATGGGAAATCCCTTAATATTGGGGACAGGCCAACCCTCACCACCTTTAAGTGCATAGGGAAGCATGAAATCAATCGCTTTCTTGATAGATTGGCCCTGTGGACCTTTATGATGCCACATATCCACACCAAGATCATCACCCCAACGAGCCAATGTCATCATAGCTTGCAGGTTAAAGACAGAGTAGTACCAAGAGGTCTTGCGTTCCAGCTCCTCGGGTTGCTCTCCCTTACCCGTGATTTGGAGATCAATGCGGTTTGTAAGAGCAGACTCAGCCACATCACGAGCATCATCAACGCGACCGAGGAAGAGATAGATACCAATGATCTGGACGTCAAAGTATGTTCCATGGTTGTTGTTACCCCGGCGCTCCTGCTTGGCCAACACCGATGTTTCCAGCCATTTGATATAGCGTGTGAACCAGGCTTGCAAATTAGGAATCAAATCTTTGGGCCATGTGGGTTCTTGCTTGAGGTAATGTAATGCGTCAAATACGCTAATTGTCAATAATAACAAAAAAAATTAGTGTTAATGGAAAAATACAGCAAGAGATTGGTCTAGATAGCGGTGATTCAAGGAGCCAAAAAAAAAAAAAAAAAAAATCTTTTCTTAGGCTATTTTTAGTGATCAACCATTGGGACAGGGTCTTTTAGTGGAGTGAATGTCTTTTCTGGGCCCCTTTCCCCAATTCAGAACTATTTTTTTTTCTGCATAATCACTCTATCGTCATTTTGTCTCTCTCCTTCCCCGATTCTTGTCTCATCGTCTCACAAGGAAAAATTAACTCAGCCCCACGAAGTGACTTACCGGAAAATAGTAAACATATCCAGGACTCCAGTACGAGCTCCAAGTTTCTGACCTTTTTGCAATGATCCATAGTTAATATTGGGGTTCATATAAGTAGCCTCGTCTAAAAACCATTCCTTGAGACGCATGGCGCACTTGTCTGCATAGCGCTTATCGCCTGTGAAATGGTAAGCCATGCCCATCATGTGTACTTCACGAATCATGGTACGTAACAAACGATAGTCCCGAACAGTCTCAATCTCAGGGTTGATATGACCATCCCTGCGAATGTAGGGCAACTGGTTTTCAGTCTTGGGGTTAGGCCAGTAGTACTTGGAGAGGGAGAGGTAGTCGTGGATATCACCCGAAGGTGCAGTTTGGTTCTTATTGGTGACAGAGTACACCTCTGTACGATTAAGGGCCAAGTCAGCCTCACGGATCAGCAGTGCGACTGCATAATCAAATTCACGCTTGTTGGCAGACAACAGCTGTGCGTAGGTTATTGGTGAGTTCCTTCGGGCTTTGGTAGCGATTGAAAGTGGTGTCTCCTCCTCTGTCTCCTCTTCTTCAGCATCACCGTCCATTTCGTCCTCAGTGTCGCTAGCCTTGTTCTCGGTGCCCGGAATAACATTGCCTTCATCGTCTGTACTAGGGACCACATTTGATCCAGCGTCATCTTGTGAAGATGGTGATGATCCTGATCCTACCCTTACTCCTCCTGCTTCACTATCCTTTTCTTCAACATCCTTGTTAAGCTCATGTGAGGGTTCTTTGTGGACAGGTTCATTCCAGCGGTCATTATTGTTCTCGTTAGCCTTCTCAATTGGGGGTAATTTAATATATGGCGGGACTTTGTTGTTATCCTTAGGGATATCGACGTATGGATCGGCTTCAGGGCGTTTTGCTACAGGACCTCGACGCAAATGCTCTGGGGCAGGTCCAAAGATAGTTGTGATTGTGATATAGATAAAAAGGAGACCTCCTGCACCAAGGATTATGCGACGAAGCGTCAGTCGTCCAGCGAGTCCTCCTGCACTGCCGAGTGCACCACTATCTCCATGGACGGGCTTGTCTTTGAACTGGGAATGCGATGGTAGTACCGAAGCAGAGTTGGGTCTCGCCTTCTTCATGTTTCGTTATTTGCTATTAAAAAGAAGGATGGATTTGAGCAATCCTTGTACACAAGTGATCGGAATGAAAGTAGGATGAGATGAGATGAGTTGAGTTGAAAGAGGGGCTGAAAATAAAAAAAGGGAGAGAGAAGGAATGAAATAAAAAAGATCAATATTAATAATATATGTAGTAAAGGTACTAAACAACCCCTGCTCGCAAAGAAGCCTTCTATTGAGATCATGATTCGCTGATTTATACCGTTATCATGTTGATATACATTAGGAGCAAATATGAGACGTTTCTATTCTGACAGTAAAAATTTATCGTCACCACAGTTAGTACTGATAGCTTGAGCGCTGGAAGGGTGTCGGCCGGCCTAACTCGCAGATCCAAGTTCGGCCATTGACGGTGAGGTTATGGACACCGAAGTTATCACGGTCTATCCGCCTTAGACACCCATCACGCAAATAAATACAGGACTGGCTCGTCGGTTTGGCTTGCCTGGAGTCGTGGTTGTTAGAAGCGCAGCTTGGGGACTTCGTCAACGTCAAGTTGTCGTTGGCCTTGGCCACCACATATGCAAAACTTGTGGCCCTTTGGTAGAAGTGTTTGAAGGCTTCAACGACAGGTTTCTAGCGTCTTTGAGCTGTCCGTCATTATGTACAGATATGGTTGACCTTGAGGGACCCTTGTGCGCTTCCCCTGAAGCATTAGACACTCAGTACACCATGGAAAGTTCAGCCTTTCTCGGCCCTACCTGCTTGGAATGCTTCTAGGCTCACATCTTCAGCTATTTGGACCCGTAAAATCCGGTCAGCGCACCATGTGGATATTACTATCTCCCAGGTCCTTCCTTATGTACTTCGACTGACACAAAAGTCTTGTCCTATAAAGGGCTCTCTACCTAGTACTTGGTAACAATGCACTCGATGTTTTCGCGCTAATACAGGGTGATCCAAATGGTTGGATTGATCTCGGTAGACTGAAGGACGACAAGTTGTTATCTCTCGAGGGTTTGTAGTGACTGGCGGCTTGAGAATGTCGGTGTGTATAGAGTAGCCCTGGGATACAGCTATAGGTGAATTTTCTTAAAGTTACTTGACCACTCTGTCTCGAATGGTGCTTATGACATTAGATGCGCACTGTATGGTTGTCTTTCATTCAGGGATGCTCTCTTGTCTATAGTTGATAATGCTCAAACTGTTACTAACATTTGACTGATACAGCGCAATGAAATTGATAGCGAAATTTGATTTGCATTCACAAAGTATGACAGATTTAATTGTATATGAGCGATATTATTCGATGTCGTGGCGAAAGAGCCAGGGAGGTTAAAGATGCTTCGAGCAATCCACATCTACAGCTGACCCCACTGAACCGACGCCAGCACATACGAAATCGATGGTCATCACGGGTTGAAAGAAGTCAGTCATGCTTCTCCTTCCACTACAAAGGCTGCGAAAAAGCTAAGGCTCGTCAAAAGGATAATATCCTCCAAGGCATCCTCTTCTTCACGGATACCGACACATCCATGGACCCGTATATCGGCTCCAATGGCTATCCCACTTCAGAGTCATCAGTACTACATGACGGAGCTTAGAGTGTTTATATTGGGGAAGCCTGTTCAGAGAAGGATGGCTCACAAGCTCTTGCTGGCCCCTGAATCCCTAGAATTGTCATGCTGTAGCAAATGTGATCGACAAGGTATTATCGAAACATTTTAGCAAAAGTACTGCAGTCTTACGCTTTGATGACGAGCTATCCGCACAAACGTCAAGAGAAAGGATCCAAGGGCCCCTGGCTATCTGCAAGAACATCGGCTCAATCAAGGAAGATGTCCATTAAATCACGGCTATGAAAAAAAAAAGGCTGCATCGTGGGTTTACAAGAAGTTCAAGGGAAATCACCGTCCACCGTCCTCAATATGTCAATATGATTGAGAGTGTTGGAGGAGCCGCTCCGTTTTAAGAACGGACAGATCCGAACTTGGTGGTAATACCTCAATCAACTACCAGCGGAGACACCAGTATTTCGTCGGACAATAGGGTTTTGGGGTGTCTTTCATCAATCTCAGGAGACTGCCCTGCTGGCTCTACTAGAGAAACGGAGTCGAACCACAACACAAGATCATTCCTGGTTAGTAGCTGATTGGTCTAGACCCCTTAACTTTAAGAATTAATCTATTTGACAACCCGGGTTGTCATAGGCTCGGTGCCATCCTGTCTGCAAAGCGGCAAGCCACCAATCACCGTTCCATAAATGGAAGGCGGGCTCTCTACTTTGCAGACAGGCTGGTCTCATATCGAAATTTTTTGAGGGAGCGCTCAAAAAGGAAAGGTTATATTTTTAAAATAGTAAATTCAATTCAATCGAAGAACTTCAAGAACAAAGCCTCATGTTCAAGCGCGCGGATTGAATTGGTTTGCTATTCTAATTGAGAAAATATAACCTTTCCTTTTTGAGCGCTCCCTCAAAAAATTTCGATATGAGACCAGCCTGTCTGCAAAGTAGAGAGCCCGCCTTCCATTTATGGAACGGTGATTGGTGGCTTGCCGCTTTGCAGACAGGATGGCACCGAGCCTAGGATGGCACCGAGCCTAGGTTGTCACTCTTATTTGACAACCCCCCCCTTAATTATTTTTCTCAATTTTTTTTCTTTGCGTGACAACCCGGGTTGCCAAATAGTAAAATATCTAATTTGACAACCCCAAGCTCACTATTATTTGACAACCCTTTTTTTATTGGCAAGATTATTATGTGAAAATCGTTTCTATTGCTATCCCTCAGCAACATGAAATCCCTCCAGCAATCTAAAAGCTTCCATCAAATAACAAACTTTTTTTTTTTGGTTACGAGGTGTTGTTTTTTTATTACAACTGATTTCTAAAACAAGGGTTTGCTTTTATAGAAAATGTGCCTATACGGGTAACATGCACTAAGGGGTTTTTTTGGATAAATAAGCATGCATAAATTCGGAGTGGTTATGCGACGCTTGATGGCGCATGCGTAAGACGCGGAAAGGAAAAAAAAGAGAGCTATAACCACAGTCATGATAATGGAGTGTTGCCACCATTTTAGAAATCCAGCTGAGAAAGGCCCTCCATAAGTACAAGAGGGTGAAGACTTGTCATGTGACAGGTTGAAAAAGACAATTTTTCTTCTTTTTTTGACAACCCGGGTTGTCAAATAACAAAAAAGTGAAAATTGAAGACCTGGGTTGCCAAATAAGCCGGTGTGACTGCTAAATTAGGGGGGGGGGGGTTGTCAAATAGATTCACCCTAACTTTAAAAGGAAGATGGAGTCACGTGCATATTCCCGGACATCTGCCTCAACGGTGCCCATTTTTAGAACAATCAGAAGACTCATCAATACTCATTAATATTCATAACATCATGAAGGACGACGTCGCACTGCATTTCCCGACCTCACATAAGCGACATCATTCCAGGACCATATCCCAGGCTCACTCATCAAGCTCACGCCAGCAATCACCTGCACTCGAACTGATTCCAGCCCCTACATCAACTGGAACTATCACTCTTACCACCACCACGACTGTTCTTGCAGAACCAACAAGGCGCAGAGAGTATATCAATGTTGGTATGTACATGTTAGCTCGGCTCTTAGAAGCTTTTTTTTTTACCTCTTTATTTCCTTCTTATTTAGCTAGAATGTGGCCCATCATTTTATCTTTGTATCTTCATTAGCTCAACGGAAAGAGATGCGTAAACACGTTGCTATTCGGGATACCTCATGTACGTGACATGCAAGTTTTTTGACAAAATTTTCGACAAGACAATTGCATTGGCTAAAAGCAGAACGCGTATTGTGTTGCCTCGTTTCGAATTAATCATCATCGTAGACTGGAATAAGCTTTTGATTGCTGCTCGCAAGAGTCGAGGACCATATCTATGTCCCACAACACGCATGTACCACGTTGATCGAGCATCTAATCTGTACTGGAGTGGCTACAGTGACGTAGATCCAGTAATGTATGGCTAACTTATAAACTGGCCGTATGCTCCTGGAGACGTTATATAGTGGCATTATGAGACCTGAACTAAGAGAATATTTTCATGCATCTTGCAATTTTAATTAATCTAGTGCTGAATCACCTTCGATACCAGCAAAAATAGAAAACCAAGATCAAACGGTCACAGAAAGTGCAAATGTAGTTTCAGCGCTAGCAGACATCACCAGCTCCGGAGACAAGTCTAACTTGACTGGAGATAGTACCTCATCTGTATCAGATCCAGCATCTACATCTGTAACAAATCCAACAGCGACTGCTTTAGCTACAGCAGCACAGGTACCATCAGCAAGGGCTTCTGCTACACCAACGCCGCTCGATATCAAAGAGGAGATCAATACTCCAAGTCTTGGCGCGAGCAATACAGGTATAATGAGCACTAGCAATAATAATATTACCAACAGCAACAGCGGCAATCTAGTAGGAAACCAAAATGAGCTTGCTTCACCTACGCTCAACCCTTCACTCATGAACAGACCATTATCTAATAGAGGTGCTAATCCGTTGGCTTCCCCCATGCAGCCTAGTGCTAATTTTGCTGCCCAAATGGCCAATATCAATGCTTCTCACCTTCCAGGACAACCACAATCGCTACAGCAACAACAAATATCACAGCAGCAACAGCAACTTCATCAGCCTCTAAATCAACAGCAGCAGCAGCAACAACAACAACAACAACAGCCACAACAACCGCAGATCCAACAACAACAAATCCTGCAACAGCAACAAATGCAGCAACATCAACAACAACAGGCTGTTGCAGCAGGAATGAATCCTATGATGTCCAATCCTATGGTTGCGATGTCATCGGCCATGATGCCTGGTGGATTCATTTCACCAAACTCATTGATGCAAGCTATGCCGGGACAGATGCCTGGAGGTATGGGGCCCATGCCAGGGCAGCCTATGGGTATAGGAATGAATCCGGCGTACGCTAACATGACGCAGATGCATCCTCAGATGATGCATCATCTTCAGCAGCCTTTACAACAAAATCCACAACAGATGTATTCACAGCAGCAGCAGCAGCATTTATTGCAACAGCAACAGATGATGCAGGGACAACAGGACTTTCAAAATCCCCAACGGCCAAAAGGGCGACCTCGGTAAAGGGATCTCTTTATTATCTTGTTGTTATCATCCTTGTATTGCATTTCTTTAGCATTTGCTGAAATAAATTAAAATAAACAAACGCAACAGAAAAAAATGCTCGAGCTATTTAACAATATTCCTCTCCATTACCTGCTTGGTTCTTGATCTGTTTAATCATGTAAGGAGAGGGGCATGTCGTCTCTGTGATTGAAAGATCTTGTGGCACGTTCAACTTCATCTTTTGAGTTTATCAATTTGAACCGTGGATCGTGGAATTCACATGCTGTGTTCTAACAGTCACTCCTTGGAAACTAATCGATCGGAACAATGTTTCCTCATTTTTTACCAAAATCGCCATCTACGTTATTCTCATTGACCATGGCAGGGACAGTGAGGGTGTGTTCGCAGGCACCAACAACCCTTGGTAGGAGTGTTGGATTTATCAAGACTGGCACAGGAACACATCCTGCACCATACTCTTCATTCATTTATTCTACACGACCCCTTTCCACCACAGTCTTTGTAGCACAACCGAGAAACACCTGTCGTCCAAGAGCCGTATTGCCTTTAGTCGCAGGTCAAAATCCAACTTGTTATGGTTCTTCAAATATAACGCTTAGATCATTCCCAGTCAACAGCCTAGCTTTCATTTCTAATCATACATCAAAGCGTTGGTTGTCGTCAGCGACAGCGACAGTAATAAAGACAGAAACGGAAGGAGAGACGAGTGTTTCAGGTACAGGAAGACCCTTTTTTTTAAGAAAAAAAAAGAAACCGAAATACATATTCATTTAAATGCATGTGGCAGTTTTTGATGTCGGTCCGTTATGAGATTGACTGCGGGAAAAAAATTCTTGCAGTTTTTCTAATATGCTCTACCATGGTATATTTTATATTTTCTCAGGGCCTATGGCTGTGTACAATGAACTGATTGGACAAGGATCACTCAAGGAAGATGACTTTCAACGGACAATTATTGAAACGCTGCAGGACTTGCATGATCGATTGATGAAATATAACCCAGAGCCGATCGTTAGAGATGGTAAAGTAGCTCCCGAAAAAGAGCGTGGATTTTTCTCCAAGGTATGTGACAATTTGCAATGAATGGTATGAAATAAAGAAAAAGCAGTTTGCTCATCTGTTTATGTTCTTTCTCTCACATTTCTCAATTTTTCTGCAACCTGCTTTATTATTATTATTATTATTATTATATAAACAATAGCTCAGTAAAGTTTTCAATAAGAAAGAAGAGGAGAGGTTAGCTAAGGAGGCAGAAGTAGCTCGTCGTGCAGCGATCCCTAAAGGCCTGTACTTGTACGGCAGTGTTGGGACGGGAAAAACAATGTTAATGGATCTCTTTTATAGTTCACTGGAACGAACAGATAAGAAACGTGTTCATTTCCATAATTTTATGCTTCAGCTTCATGGGCGACTTCACAAGCTCAAGACGACAACCCATCAACATGAGGACCCTATTCCTTTCCTTGCAGATTCCTTAGCAATGGAGAGTAGGATCTTATGTCTGGATGAGTTCCAAGTGACGGATATTGCGGATGCCATGTTGCTTAGGAGACTGTTGGAGGAACTAGTCGTTGTGCGAGGCGTTGTTCTGGTCACGACATCAAATCGACACCCTACGGAGCTGTACAAGAATGGAATCCAACGTGAGAGCTTCTTACCAGGTATTGGAGTCCTGGAAGAGAACTGTATAGTTAAATGTTTAGATGGAGGTATTGATTATAGAAGGGAGAAAAAGACATTCTTCCATTCAGCAAAACCAAAAGACAGGAGTAAACTAGCGTCTTCATCTACAATGCCTACAATCGTCCAGGACAGTTCAACTATTCTCCCCGATACGCTCGTAGATGAGAAACGATTTTTCTGGCCTTTAGGACCTGATACCAAAAAGGAAATAGAAATGTATTTCAAATCAATTAGGAATGGATTCCAAGTTACTGAGAGGCGTATGAACTTTTTGGGACGCGAGTTAGTATTACCACACACAGCAGGACCGATTGCAATGTGTTCGTTTGACGAGCTTTGTGCTAAGGTAAAAAAAAAAAAAAAAAAAAAAAAAAGCAAAAAGCAAAAAGCAAAAAGCAAAAAGCATATTAGCAAATACCCTGCTCCATTTGCTGAGTTTATTTTCCTTACCTTGTATTGTAAATAGTCGTTAAGTGCAGCAGACTATCTCACTTTGGCAGAGAGCTTTAAAGTCTTGATTTTGACCGGTATCCCCAAACTCAAGCCCACGACTCTTCACCGTAATGAAACACGTCGCCTGATTACCTTAATCGATGCACTTTACGAATCCCAGGTCAAATTGATTTGCTCCGCTGACGGACCTATCTCTGAGATTTTTGGTGGCGGTTCTGGAGCGCATTCTATAGATGAAGATCCTTCAACGATGGGTCAGTTGACGCCTGCACAGCGCCAGATGATGGATGATTTGGGTTTGAATGATGTCTCACAAGTGAAGAAAAGCCCTATATTCTCGGGAGAGGAAGAGAAATTCGCAGTTCAACGTGCGGAGAGCCGGCTGATTGAGATGCAAGGTCCAGGTTGGGGCATGTAGTAGAAGTGTGTGAAGATGTCGAAGGCGAAAGTTGAAGTTATGATGAAAAAGAAAAACAAAAAAAATCCATACATTTAAACATAAGTGACAACGAAACATAGAAAAGTAAAAATCTCATCCACAATGTAACTCTTCAATCATTTTATAAAATTTTGTTTATTAGATTTAATTTTTGGTATAAAGGGAATAAAAGTAACGTTATTATTCTGCATGATTTATGTTAAATATACATTTTCGATGGTTGTCATTGTCTCAGAACCCTTCAACTAATGCGAAGTGACAAAGGAAAGAGAAGGAAGGAGAAGGAAGGAGAAGGAAGAAGGAAGAAGAGGGAAGGAGGGAGGAGACATCATCTACCAGAGATCACACTTGTTGACAGGATTCATGGGCGTACCAGGTTTGCATTTGAAGGCCTTTGCAAACCCAATCGAGTTTTGAGCAACACCGTTGATACGGAATCTAGTGGGCGAATGCACATTCTCCAGGTCCATGTCAATGTTCTCAGGACGGGTTTTGCTGCACCAGGTACGTCCCCATTGGATAAAGAACAATTGTTCGGGTGTGAACTTCTCAAGCCCAGGGAGCTTTCGATTGTCGTAGCTTTGTGGTTGACAAAAAAGAGAGGTTTCAGAAAAAAGAGAGGTTTCAGATTTTAGTTAATATTAGGGATATTAGAAGATAACAACCAAAGTAAGCAATGACTTACTTCTTGCTAGTAGGATCGGACTTGTAGCGGGAATACCAAGTCTCGAATGACTGCTTGACGCCACCGTTGTCAGCAATGTTCTCGCCCAAGGTCAGATTTCCATTTACAAACTTGAGCCGGCCATCAGCACCTGCAAGCGTGAAGTTGCTGTACTGATTGACAAAGCACTCTGACTTTTCGTTGAATGCCTCGAGAGAAGAATTGGACCACCACTAACATTTGTATAATTAGCAATAATTAAGGGAGTTTGCTTTGCGAGTAAAGCACCCAAGAGGACCATATAAATACTTAAGAAAAAAGGAAAATAATAGTCAACATACGTTATGGCGCTTGCCACTAGCGTCAAAGAGGCGCCCAGTGTTGTCGAAGCCGTGGGTGATTTCATGACCAACTACAGCTCCAAGCGAACCATAGTTCAGATACTCTGGATTCTCGAGATCGAAAAAATGTGGCTGTGAGATACCGGCAAGGATATTAATATCGTTCGTGAAGGCGCTGTAGTAGGCATTCACCGTTTGAGGGCTCATAATCATATGCTCCTTGTCTACAGGGATACTGAGAAAACGAAGTTCATTTCCAACGTTGAAGGCCCTAGTCCTGATCTGGTTTCCAAAGTGATCTGCTGCATGAAGAGAAAGAGGCTTGTAGTACTTATCGATCGAAGCCAGTGAGCCATCATCGGGTCTACTAGTGGAGTAGCCCACTTTCTGGACCATGGCTTCGATTTTCTCAAGAGCACCTTTGCGAGTATAGTCATCAAGCCAATTATAGGCCCTGAAGCTCTGGAGATATGTTGCTCGAATGGCGTTGGTGATATCATTAACCTTGTTCTTAATTTGATCCGAATAGGAGGCTTTGATAAAGAAATGGCCGACCATATCAGGGAGAGTAAAGGTCATCAGAAGGGTGCAGAGCTTGGCACGGTCCAAGATTAGAGGTGTGGTGCTGTAGGTAGCCCTGAGATCATACAAAGGCTTTCGGTAAGCTTTGCTCAGGTCCTCTCCATGAACACGGATCAAAGTCCAAGCAAAGTAATTCTGCAAAGTTTTTGGCGGAGTCTTCTCAAGGAGAGCATTCAGCTTGTCAAGGTAAGGCGAAGATATAATCACCGTATTTGGAGGCTTCACGTCCCGAGGGAGTGCATTCTTGAGGATTAGATCCCAGTCGAGCGAGGGAGAGCGCTTATTGAGCTCAGCAAGGCTAAGGAGCTTGAAAGCCTTCTCTACATCTGTCGCGCTCTCCAGTTGCGCCTCAACTGTAACGTTATTCAAAGCAATTTCGAACTCAACCACGTTCTTGGCTACCTGGGACCAATTGTCAGGTACCTTGATATTTTCACTAGGTTTGGTTTCGCCTTGGATGATGGTAAACATCTCCCCAATAGCCTTCTCATAGGCACTTGTGACATTCGGGTCCAGGTAGAGGCTAGGACTAGGAAGACCGAGCCCAGATCCCTGAACATTGAGAACATAGCGAGCCGGATTAAGAACATCAACTCTGACGCTGAACATGAATAATGAGTCCCATCCATCTCGGATGCTTTGGCCAATGACCTCAGATAGAGCCTCCTTGCCAGCATCAGGCAATGCGTCATTGCTATTAGACGTCTTGGAGATAAGGTCGCTATCCTTGACGTGATAAAGGTACACTAATTTTTGAACCAGCTCTGTTAGAGGCTTCCGATCAACTTTTTCCAATTGAGACTCATCCGTACAGGCAGTATAGGCATCTTGCATCTTTTTGATGTTGCGTTTAGCAACAGCATCACCTCTTGGCTTGGGAGACCTGGGACTGTTTGGAGTGGCCAATTCACGGATCAGATCCTGCAGAAGAAGAAAAAAAATGTGTGAATAAGAAAATACCTTTGTAATGCATGCCATGCGTGTTATGCGATGTACTTTGGGTTTCTGAACATTACATAGATGCGCTCTTGTACCATGGACAGGTACCCATATTTCCAAGCATCTTCAGGAATAGTCTCGCGGTCATAAAATCCACCACCTATAAAAAATATGTGCAAGTTTCATGAGATTAGAGAATGGAGATATGCCAGTTAAAAAGAAAAAAAAAAAAAGTATCACCTACAGCTGTATTGTTGGAAATCAACGCATGGATCCGTTGTAAGATCAAGGTCCTTGAGCATGCTGCTTCCAAGTTCTTTGCATTTTGGAGTGGTACAGACATCCTTCTAATGGAGGAAATGAATAGAAAATGGAAATAGGAAATATAAGTTTTTACGCTTAAAACGCAGGCTATTACAATAAAGCAAAACATAAGCACAAATGTTTATAGGTACATTGATTGGAGTAGGGACAGCATGGACTGCCAATTGCAAGGCAACACCGATGGCTAGGAAGGTCAAGAGCCTTGTCATGGCAGGCATGAAGGTGTAGCAGGTGTTTAAGCAGCTTAAAAAGAGACAGAAGAAATGCAAGGAAAGGAGATCCGTGGAGGAGAGCACAGATTTAATTGACTTTGTTGTTAGTTTTTTTTACTTTTTTTGTCTCAAACCAGAAGTGTCTCGGTTTTTATATACGCTTCGAGATCTGTGTTGCATGGTAAGTAACCAATACCTTTGTATGATGTCCTTACAATGTTCACATCGCAATTTTGGGCAAACTTAGAGCGGAAACAACATGCATTATGCTGCGATTTTTTTTTTTTTTTGCATGAACGCATCATTCGCCATAAGCTATCGCCCAATTTTTTAGCAACCAGAAGGAAGCCACTGAAACAGGTGGAAAGATGATGAGGATAAAAGGAAGACAGCAAAAGCAGTAGGAAGGCTCAGCTCTCTTTGCTTAGATCAACACTTCGTTACGTGATAGAAACAGAGGGAGCCAGCAGTGATATACAATATTGTTCTCAAACTGGTTGCGCAATGAACAATTGCTTTCGATAAACAGAAGTCCAATGCTCTCAAAGCCGTGCACATCCATCAACAATTCATACAAGCGACAGCATAATTATATATAGCTTTGTTTAAAAGATAAAAATATTTTGCATGAAGGGGGGCCTCAATGAAATAATGCAGGTAGTAGAGCCAGAAGACGCTTCCGAAGATCATAGATTGTTGTCAAGCGCAATAGCCGTTTTCTCTTCTCTTGCAATGGTTTGTGTTTGCCAATTTTATTGTTTTTTCTTTTGAGCTCTCAAATTTCTCGTGGGAAAGGGCCCTTAGAACAAAAGTAAACTCAGTTTGGTCTGGTTGTTACCATGAGCCATCAAGCAATCAACAACGGGGTCGATCCCTGGGAAAATATGGTCATAGTGATGCATGTTTGTTTATTGTTATGAGCAACTTATTGCTGTTCTTCATTTTAGAAGCCAATTTCTTTTGTGAATAGCAAGGATTTGGTCGGGCCACTCTAGGATGAGATAGCCAATCAATCATGAACGTTGTACCTGCAAGCACGTTAGACTCGAATCACCTTAGATCGCTCTATAAAAGTGGGTATCCTATGAGTAGCGCGGAGGATGGAGAGTTGGCTCAGACTGCTCGACATAATTGCATTCGCAGATGAGATAATTGTACCAGTTTCTTCACCCTTTAGCGCAAAAAAAGAAAGAAAAGAAAGAAGAGAAAGAAAGAGATACGCTTGACGCGTGGGAACCGTTGCGCCCAAAGATGAATGGCCTTGTTTCTACTGAACAAAAAAACAAAAGAATTATGCTCTACTTGTAGAGCTCTCATTCCTTCGCCCATTATTTAACGATTCTGTGGTATAGAATACAGATCTGAATATGTCATACTTGCTTCGCAGTCCCTGCTGGTCTGATGTTCCTCCTCTCTCATATATATTCTGATAACGATACCAATATTCAATCCACAATGTCCAGCTGTACAGATATCAGGGAGCTTTTTTGTTCCTTCTTTCCAAGATTTAAGGAATAGCGGAGAGAAGAGGCTAAGGAGATCTTATGATTACGTTGGGTTTGATTTCCCAAAAATACATTTCATAGTAATATAGTTTGTCAAGACCATTAGACTCGCACAGCCCGAAGAATATGGCCGCATTTTTTGCAGGGCATGCGTGGCTTAGCGACTTTAGTGAATGCACCGCCGAAAATGTCATGTTCATATAGGTAGCTGCGCCAAGGTATCTCTCAAAGAGAGAAGACTGTATGTCTGGCTCCTATCAGGTCTATTTGATCTATTCGATCTGTCCATCTGTTACAATGAAAGTGAAGATTCAACAGTTAATTTATTAAGTCATGTTGCTAAATACTACTCTCTATGCAATGAGTTAGCAGCTCCATACTAGCTCTGAGTACACTATCAGCTCCAGTATGACCTCTGATTCAAGTTAAATACAGACCAGCTATATCAAGTTGGCTCCAGCGAGGCGTATATAGCACCTCAGGGGCCTAGTTTATTCGGCAGTCTTTCCTTGTGTAGTCAACAGGAAATTCAACCCTTTTGCTATCCTATTCAAATCAATGTTCATCTTGCGCGTTCCAAACGAAGAGATGAATGCGAGAGCCGCGATCCTATAGCAGCATGGAATTGGAGGCTTAAGCCATCATCCGACGCCGGCGCCTTGACACACTTAAATTAAGATTGAATAGATGAGAATAACGGTTGGTTAGAATACGTTTTTTTTTGTAATATTGATTGACACTCCAGTTAAAAGTTGAAGTAAAACCTACAGAAATTAAAAAGAGGCGATTTGGAATGAAGAAATGAGAATGCACCTCTATAATGCTATTCCTCCAGACCTCCGATGAGGAATGGAGGAATGAGAATGCACCCTTTTATCATTCCCTCCAGACCTCCGATGAGGAATGGAGGAATGAGAATGCACCCTTTTATCATTCCCTCCAGACCTCCGATGAGGAATGGAGGAATGAGAATGCACCCTTTTATCATTCCTCCAGATCTTCAATGAGGAATGAAGGAATGAGAATGCTTTCCATATGCGTGAAAATATGGCGATTCTACAACCCCACGTCGCGTCCGGACTGGAGAACAAAAAGAACGCAGATGAATGATATAATGTTCTTGATTTTGTATCTATTGGTTTATTTCCTGGAAGCCGACGCGTTTCCTCTTGTGAGAATGGAGGGCGCCCGTCATCGACGGGCGCGAAGAGAAAAAAGGAGAGACTCGATGCAACCAAAGGACACGCGTTGTGTGGCTGGTGCCTGAGTCTTTTTTCGTTAGTCCCATAATCACGTGCGGGTCCCACCACTGACCTAAAAATGAATACTTGGTTAGGTTTCGGTTCTTTGTTCTTTTTTTGCACAAGATCATCGAGTACCGAATATTCCCCTTTAGACTTTTGTGAATGTTCAGAAGTGTTATTTAATGGAGCTCTAATCTTATCGGAGTACCTGTTACAACTAGCTTAGACAATAGCGTGTGGACGCGTTTACTACAGCCAATCATCTGTCATTCCAAATTGCTGGTTACATATTCGTTTATCCCACTTTTTATTTTTATTTTATTATTTATTTGTTATTTCTTCTAATTGAACACCTTGATAACTCCATCACGATCACCAGAAATGAGCATCATGCAGGGTAGTTCTGTGAGCGCGATATCTGTAATAGCGTCAAGATGGTTTCGGAGTAATTGTTGTTGCTGGACTGTGATAACATTACTTCGCCCACCACCCCTTGGCTTCACGCCTGCGAGCGGTGTGACCTCGTAATGTACAGGCATACCTTCAAATCGACGCGTCCTTAGTATATACAAATATGAGATATAAAGACGAGTTGGTCGTTAGCTTCCAAGCATAAAACCGTTTCAATTTAAAAAAAAAGAGAGAGAGATAGCGACATACGTATATTTTGGGGGTGAATCTTGTGGGTCATGTCCACTGATTACATATGAAATTTCTACACGTCCTGTATCCCAATATCGCATCTTTCGGTCTGCTCCTCCTGTGATCATGTATTCGCATTCTGCCGGGAATATCACTGCTCGGACACTTTGGTCTGCAGAGACATTTGAATCATTAGATGTAAATGAGTTCCGAAGTAGTTCACTTCCCGACAAAGGCTCTGTAGCTCTAAAAGTGTCGAAAGAGAAAGCCTTCTTTTCATCTGCGTTTCGGACTCCAAAGACCTCACGACACTCCACATGCTCAATATCCCAGACAGACACCTCATTCTTGCCAGAGGCAATGATGATTTTTCCGCCACGAGATGGTGAATGAGATTCCGGGTGAATAACCAAGCGACTAATCCTGGATTTACTGGGATGTACCCAAGATCGGATTGCAATCATAAAACGCAGATCCCATAGTGTTAAAACACCTCGATTAGTTCCAACTATGAGCCATGCCCTAAGTGGGTCGATCACCATGGCTGTCATAACACCTATTTTCCGGGAATAAAATAAGGCTTAGGAATAGGTTCTATCATAGTAGCTTATGGCTAATTGAATTAAGGAAGTGTGCGATAGACGGATTACAAAACGATATAGGGATCCACAGTCAACTACACGAACCATGTGATATATTATTTTTCAGCTGCCATACTGGGCGCATGGTTCCCAACTCCAATGCGTGAATATTCCCTCGATTGGTTGCATACACGAGTAACGATTGTGACTCTGAAAAATATAAATAACAGTTAGTTTTTTTTTTTTTTTTTTTTTTTTTTATATTTTTGTTTAATAAAAAATATTAACGCGTTAAACCTACCCGTATTGTAGTGCTCAAGTGTAACTGCATACTCTTCGTCAAGTGTAATCTTTCGGACCACTTCACATTTCCCGTACTTTCCTGCAGATATATAGTGCACACGGAAGACATGGATTGATCCGCTGTCGGAGGCGGCTGCTACGCTATGCGTATTTTCAATAAAGGTCATACATGTCACCTTACCACCTATTAATTGATTTAATGATTAGTTTTTTTTTCTCATTCAAAAATAATAAAGCTGCACTTTTAATGGAAGCCAAGATGGCTTGTCGTACCGTGTTTACCTAGAGCATTGTATGACATTCGTGCCCTGTTGGTAACATTCTTTTCCAGCCTTGCAGTATCCCAGATTTTAACAGAGCCATCGTCAGAACATGATACGAAGAATGTGTGATCTGGAGAAACACAAATCTGATTTACAGCAGCCTTGTGTTCAGCCAGGTGCGCCACCAAATTCCCTTTTGGTCTCCATTGTCCTCGTACAGTCTGTGAATTGTTGCGATGCATACGTCGATGCCGAGATAGAGGGACGATGTTCGGCCCAAACTCATGTGTAGGTGAGTGAAAAACCTTCAGTGTTTGGTGAGCTAATAGAGCGTTTAGATTGCGTCGGCCACCATCTATGCAGATATATATAAATAGAAAGGACTTAGTCAGATTTCTATCGTCTAGTATTAATAATAGTAATAATAAAGTAGATAGACAAATAAAGGATTACTCACCGACTGCGTGTGTGAAGGTTCTATTACCAAACACTACGGAGCCTCGGTGACGTCGCGAAAAGTCTCCAGAATATGCAGCCTCAAATTGAGCCTGCCAAGGTGGCGAGTTTGGCTTGGGCAAGTCAACTCCAGATTTAGCAATTACATCTTGTACGGTCTTCTCATTAATTGGTGGCTCAATCATCCCCTGTACGTTCGTATCATTCATACTAGTGGCAGCAGCAGCCTTCCCCGTGTCTGAACTAGCAGTATTTCCGGGAGTAAGCAAGATTCGAGAACGTCGCGAGTTTTTATCCATAACAATGTTGGATGTCAGCGAGCGTGTTCTGGAGGGCTCGGGGCTGTTGGATAAAGGAACGGCTGCAGAATGGCCATAGCTCTGCGGCTGATACGCGTTGGTTGTAATTGAGGACGCAAAAGATGCTGTTGATTGACGCTCAGAGGCCGATTGGAGATATAGATTTGTAGTAGACTGTCCCGCAGCAGATGGATCATAAGGTATTCCATCATAGATGGATCCAGCAGAGCCTTCTTTGGACCTGATGGAGTTTACTACCGTACTGTCACTTGAAGGTCTGGAGACATTTCCTGTGGTGCTAGACTTGATCATCCGTCTATGGGGATACAGCAAGGAACTATCATACGGTTTTGCCCTACCAGACTGTATGACATGTATGATTAGATTGTGCAGAATAGCCATTTTGCAATGTAGTATCTGGTCGACTTATACTTTACCTGAGATGACCTTTGAGTTAAATTGTAGTCTTTTTCAATCATCTCAGGTGACAGGAAAACGGTACATGGTGTAATACCCAACTTCCTTAGGTCTACATTACCGTCCTTGGTCATATCATCAGACTCATCCTCACGACCGCTCGGCCGAGCACTTTGTCGTGAACGTGACAGTTTCCATATGTATTCTCTCATTGCCGCCAATTTATCTTCATCCTCGTGCGTCATTCCGATCGCTCGAAGCTTATCCAGATATTTTTCGTCTCTAATGGTGAGGATAAGCCATACAAGGATATAGAGCAAAGTAAGAAATTTGTGCAATGACTTACATAAAGATGCTGTGTGACCTACTCTGAAGACTTGACGACGACAAAGAACGGCGAGGATTCGTTCACCCGCCCTGCTTGCAAATCTAATGGAATTGTGGTAGAATGGTTCGAAGATACTGACATGGATCGAGCCGGAGGCGGCCGTTCACGCACTGGCTTCCAAAAAGAGGTCCTGTTGGCTACCGCAGCCCACTGAATAGAGCTTTCAAAGACGTGACGACTAAGCGGAGGTTTGACATTTTCCCTCAAATGGAGCTCATTGACTTCTCCAACATCTGATCGCATAAAAGGCCGAATGATCGGATAGATCATGCACCAGACATCGGCTACAGGCAGACGTTGCGCAGTAGAGGCGATGAATCCAATCGCGCCGTAACGGATCCATAAATTTGGATGACAGAGAAGAGGCGCCACGACGCTGACCAAGTCCCAGATGGCCATCTTTTGGAATAAACCAAGATCGCATAAACTAGCCAGTGATTTTAAGACTTTCTCAACAACAAATTCCTCAGAATCTACACATAAAAAAAAAAAAAAAAAAAAAAACATATTCAGTACGAAAAGCAAATCGAAACGCGAGAGCGGTAGATTTAGCTTGTCCTACCAGTTAAAGCCTGTACCATGAGTGGTAAAATGTATTCTTCCAGACTGCGTCCCCCCACAAAGGTTCCCACTCCGACTATACTCTCGAAAAATGCACTATAAAGAAATAATTAAGATCTTTTCCCATTAGCTTTTAAACCGACATCAGCCTTACTTTCTTTCTTTCTTTTTGTAGACATTTCTATAGTTAAACGTTCCCTCACCTTCGGAGCATCCAGTCCCTTCCATTGAGATATGTGATCATATGAGACAGCAAAACATCATCCACGCGCTGCTTGCCAAGAAATACACATAAGGCCGTCATATCTGACAAAAGCGCCCGCTTGACATTACTATCTGGATCAATCAGCAATATACGTATTTGTTCCTCGATTGACTCTTGCAGATCGCGAAGGGCTGAATCATATGTGGTCTATGTCAGAATGTTTAAGTATTAATGCCAGGTCACAGCGTGCCGATATTTAATTCAAATACATTTTTCTTTGTTGATGAAATAATAACGAGAGCAGGTATTTACCTCTTCAGGAGAGCCTTCAGTGTCTCCATCGCCATCAGCCCCCGCAAAAGCTCCCTCATTTTTAAGCAACTACTTGAGATGCAATGAGATGTCCATGTTGATATTAACATGAGGGGCCGAAACAAGCCAAGTAAATACAGAGCTGTAGTTGATAAATATCTTACTTGAGCAAGCTCCAGATATCGGAGCGATGTTTGGGCGAATTGTGCAATGCAACCTGCATATGTAGATCTCACGATAACTTCTTTATCTGCTGGGAAACCCTGCAAAGCTGGAAGGATATATTCTGGAAAGATTGTCACATTGAACACGTCCAATGTTTCGACTTCTTCTAACTATAGAATGACGGAGCATTCGTAAGTGTTTCGGCCTCGTTCCCATTTAGAAAGGCTTGGTAATTTATCCCTTTTCTTTCTATTGAGGTTGATTTAATATGCTTACCATTTTAGCAAGGGTCTTAAGAGCATGTGCACGGACGACTGCTACCTCGTCATTCAGACATGAAACGATATATGGGACAAGGCGGTCCAGTTTGATATCATCTGCAATATATCTTCCTATGGATAGAAGCATATCCAGAGCATGGACCTTGGATGAAGGAAACGCTGTATTCCTCATTGACGAGCAAAGGAGAGACAGAAATATAAGGGCGCCTTCATCTATGGAAATAAATTTACCAAACGATGTCAATATAAACAGAGAAATGATTAAATCTGCTTCTGCTTGTCCCTTTCAAACTTGGCCATAGGATGCTTACTTGGAGCGTATTGTATATCCTTAGGATTTATAGTCGATTTATCTGTCACAGACAATGTTTTCTATTGATTCCGGTATGGGATAGGATTGCTTGTATGAACTTTCTAACTGATCTCACAGTTATAATCTCAAGGAGTATAAGTCTCTTACCATTCCTTTTGATAGGGACCCTATTGAGGATGCTAAAGTAATTAGAAATAGATTAATAGCCACCTAATGGTGAATATTGTACAACATGGCTCTATTGGTACAAGAATATTTGGTCTTACATTCGGGATTCGTCTCGGTCGATTGTGAAGACTCAAGGCCTAAAAAGAACGAAATTTTGTCCAAGTCGTGATACATCCTTTCAATCTTTTCGTCTGCATCGGTCTTGGGCCGGTGCTCTGGGATATCAGAGTGGGTAGAGATAATAGTACTGTCGATTGCGCCTGAGTTGGATGATTCACCAGCAGATTCTGTGACAGAATGGATATATTGATGTAGAAATGTGTCAAAGTACTTTGGAAACGCTCGATCTCTCCATTCAGAAAGATACTGTTCAGCACTAAAGCGCTTTGCTGGATCCAGTTGAATCATATGTTGAATCAAGCTCTTTTTAAAGAAATTATTAAATAAATAAGTAATATTAATAGCAATAATGATAGATGCATTAGTAAAAAGTCATTATATTTGATGGGATAACTTTCTAAAACATGCTTCAGTTATCCCCTACTTTGATATGGTCATCTTCAATCTTGTTGATATAAGGCGTCGGGTCGTATTCCCCCGAGCGATATTTGAACATTTGTGACAGTGAAAAAATGGGTGTTCCTTCAGAAAACAGCTCTGCAATGACACATCTATGCCGATGAAAAAAATAATAATAATAATAATAATAATAATAATAATAATAATAATAATAATAATAATAATAATAATAATAATAATAATAATAATAATAATAATAATAATAATAATAATAATAATAATAATAATAATAATAATAATAATAGTTATAATAAAGATTAAAATGTGATCTTGCCGCAGCGTCTGACATGAGCTATCACTCATAGGTATGCTTACCCAGCAGAAAAGATGTCCATGGCAGCTGTGAGTCCCGCAAAAATATTTTTTGGGTCTTCGGCCTGTTTCTGCTTCTCTGTATCCACGCCAGGCTTGTAAAATCGTTCTGGCGCAAGATAGCATGTCCTCCGAGAGGAGGTGTCAAAAAAGAAGGAAAAGTCTGCAGGGTTATCCTATCACAAAGAAAGTCCCATGTTTATATGTGAGATGACGCAAGTCTCTAGTGCTATTTGACTTCATAGTCTTGGGAGAATAGGAGCATACCTCGGGTAGAAATGCAGGCTTGTAACCAGCATAATCACTGAGATAAACCCAATTCCAGGATGTCATCAAACAGTTTTCTGTTTTGATATCGCCATGGTAGATCTATACATTTTTTTTTTTTTTTTTTTTTTTTTTTGGGAAGGGAGATTAGTTTATGTTTACGGATATTCGCAACACACTCATGGCATGCGGATCAAATGACCAGTACATACATTTTTAGAATGCGAATCGGCTAGTCCTTTGAGTAACTGGTATGTGACCCATTTTTTCTCAATCAAGTTCATGAATGGTCTCGTACTATCATATTGGATATCAATAGACATGTTTATCCCTGTTTTTTTTAAACAATAATCAGAGGTTGCCACCCATTCATCGTCTGGAATAGAGACCATTGTACCTTATACGATCATATAGACTGCTAAATAAGTATTGTCGTATCAAATATCCGGCTCGATCGGTTTCGAGTACCTTTTGAAACGCCATTGCATTAGGAACATCGTCTAAACGTTCACGTTCCTCTATGATCAAGTAATAATCATAAATGTCAGCAAATGTCAAGGGCTACAAATAAAGATCAGTGTGTGTTGTATGTAACATCATAGACGCGTATACCGTTTAGGATGCGGGCAATGCGCTTGAGAGAAAATCCAGATTCTGGTTTAACAAATATCTTGACAACGACAGACCCCTCCTTCATCCGACCGCGGATCGTTTTCATGAACCTGGCACTTCCAAGACTGTTTAAAATACAAAGTGTTTTATTTATACTCAATTAGTTAGAGAAAGGCATTGATTAAATTGTTATTATTCTATCCGACAAAATAGCTGAGCAAGCAAAGAAGTTTGGTATTGACATGAGTTTGGCCGTCAATATGGATATAGGTGCGGGTGCGGATGTGTGTGTGCAGCATATGCTTGCCTCTTTTCATAGTGAATATCGCCAAGTTCGCTGACATAAGAGTCAATGCCAGCAGTTGCAGCAGACGGTGTGACGGTTGATACCGAGTTACCCATGGCAGCTGAATTTGGTGAACCAAAGGAATTAATAGAATGTGATGTTGAAGTGAATCGTAAACAGAGCAATATACAAATGCAAATGCAGTCGACAAGGGTCCTGGGGCTGTGGAGAGGAACAGAAAATAAGAAAAGGCATAAAGGTCAGTGGTGTGCCTTGTCAGCATGTAGTGTGAGAGGGTTTGTGACATTAAAGTTTCTCCATATTAGCCTTAAGTCACGTGAGACCCATCTTGTGCTGCCAAATCAGCATTGAGCATGGCCCTGAATTTTTTAAGGGACCCCACGCCTCCTTTCTTCATCTTTCTCATCCTCATTCACAGACATCACTTTCACAGCGAGTCTGTACATCCTTCTTCTTCATATACTTTTCTCTCTTTTTTATTATTACTGTGTGGTGATAGACAGCAGCTGTAAGGAAAGAGAGCTGATCAAACTTCATTCAAACAGTACCACTGCTGGACAAGATTCGAGTCTATCAGTACAAACATTCCTTTATCAGTAATCATCGGAAGGGGAGGTTGACTATTGTAGAAAAAAAAAACTAAAAAGACACCAAATTATGCTAGCCATGGATGAAGATCTCGGCCTTTCTAGCGTCAGCACGGATGTAGTGGTGGATATCGATACATTGAAGATTTATCTGGAGAAGCTACTTGTGCTTCTTCTTGGTGCTGAACAGGTGGACCTTGATTCGTCTCTGTTCTCGTTCCCTGATGCAACAGAGCGACTGCGCCGATTTGCAAGCGACCCGCAGACTCCTGCGTTGTATATACTCAAGGAGACTGACTCCAGTGCCGATACCTGTAAGACAGCATAAACTTGTTAACTTCAAAAAAAAAAAAAAAAAAAAAAAAAAAAAAATGGGGCGGTTCAATTGATGACAAGATCAAGCAGAAATATCCTTTTATCACATATGCTTGTGGGCCATAGACGAACTCGCATTATATATATTTTTAGTATACATGCACATGCACATGCAACAGAAGTTGTTTTGTTGGGCAACAATGTTTTGTCCCTGTGTGCGTGTGTGTTTGTGAACTCGTGCTATCTTATGACTGGCTTTCCCCTTTATTGCAATTTCAAAGGAATCACAAACAGTTACCAAAGCCTGTTTTGGAAGAGACCTTCTGACATGTGCATCTCTTTAAACTTTTCTTTTATGCAGCCAATTCGACTCAGGTTTTTTCTTACTCGGTCAGCCATGAGCTCACTTATCATGCCAATCATGTTGGCTCCGTAGCCCTGATCAAGCGTGGCCCAACCATTGATACCTCTCGACCCTTACAAACCCAGGTTCAATTCATCAACTTACCTGGTCCCGCTGCCAACGACTCGGGCCTCACCCTGTCCAACCCATATGAGGCTTTACACTCTTACATCCATTATGCCGTCAGTCCTTACTTCAATGCCTATGTTAATACAAAGGGAGGTGCAGGGAGTGCCTCTAGTAAGCGACCCGATGATAAGGACGGCAAAATGGGTAAGATAATGATAATGACGCTGGCGCGAGTAACAACGACAGCCTGTTATTTTGCATTAAAAAGTCCATGGTAAAGCTTATGACTGACATAGTTATTGCGAAATGAATGCATCCACCAAATTCTCTAGGAATCCCAATGGCCAAGAAGAAAATTGCCGAGCTTGAGTTGTCGCTGCTGCATCTACAGCAAAACGTTGAAATTCCCGAGATTTCCCTTAACATTCACCATGTTGTTCAGCAAGCTATTGACGAGGTTTGCGCTTGGCTGTTTCTAATCAAGGCATTCATTGGCATAAAGTGAAGCGAAGTTTATTTTTATTTACTTACTATTTCCTCTACATTTCTACAGTGCCGCAGGGAGAACCGTCGTGTCACAGTCGATGCTGTTGACTCGTCTTATTTCTCCGATCATACTTTTTTGAATAGACTGCAGAGCGATGTGAATGGATGGGTCAAGGAGATTCAAAAGGTTACCAAAATTAAAAGAGACCCTGCATCAGGAACTGCCATTCAAGAAATCAACTTTTGGCTTAGCATGGAAAGGGCGCTGGAGAAAATTGACGAACAGCTAAAGAGCGACCAAATCGGTGAGTAACCTTTTGGTTTTGCTCTGCCTTCATATTTATTCAACATGCCTTTTGTCTCATCCGAGCCAAATCTAATCTATATTATCTTTGTTATTAGTCCTTACAATGGATATATTGAGGCACGCTAAGCGCTTCCATGCAACTACCAGTTTTATTGCGGATACTCATCTAAAGGAGGCAACCGAAAAAGGTAACGCATTGCCAAATACTATTGTCCCTAGATTGATGGGATTTACATCTTATCAACGAGCTTATTTTCATGTTTACAACATCGATTAGTCCAAAAATACAACCAGTTGATGAAGGATTTTCCTTTGAATGAGCTTCTGTCCGCAACTGATGCCATCAAGGTCCGAGATTCAATCCTGCAAATCTTTGGGCACATCAACAAGAAGCTAAAGCTTTCGTACGTATATCAATCCCATTTATGTACATATTACACCAGAAAAAAAAAAAAAAAAAAAAAAAAAACTCATAACCTAACTGTGCCATTGTTTGATTGTAGTCCATATCCAATTCGACGAGCACTGCCTCTCGTGGAGTCAATCTCGAAGGATCTCAATGACCAGTTGTTGCGAGTGTTAGGAAGCAGACGCTTGATGTATATGGAGTATGAAGATTTCGAAAAGGCTACTGCAGGCGCTGTGGAAGTATTCAAGACCTGGGATGAAGGGATTAAGGAATTCACTAACGTTGCGCGCGAGGTTACTCGCAAACGAAATGAAAAATTCTTACCCATCAAGATCAATCCCGCTCATGCTAAGCTTCAGGAACGTATTCTCTTCGTTCGCAACTTCAGAGAGCAGCATCAGCAACTGCATCAAACTATTCTCAGGGTCATGACTAAGCCTACTGGTCTCAATGCCAAATCTTCGCTTGAGAGTGAGGAAACTGAGAGCATAAGTCTCAGTGATGTGAACGCGGTCGAGGAAGTTAAGCTTGCATACGAAAGCGTCAAAAATGTTGATGTTCTTGATGTATCCCCTGAAGGGACTGATATTTGGGTCAATGCCGAAGTTTCTTATAATGAGCGTGTCGCCAGAGTCGAGAATCAGATTATTGCTAGTCTTCGTGACAGACTTGGTATCGCCAAAAACGCTAACGAGATGTTCCGAGTTTTCTCGAAATTCAATGCTCTTTTTGTTCGCCCTAAGATTCGTGGCGCAATTCAGGAGTATCAGACACAGCTTATTGATAAAGTCAAGGATGATATTAAGAGACTGCATGATAAATTCAAGATGCAATATCGCCATTCAGATGCTTACCACATGTCTCAGTTGCGCGATTTACCACCAATCTCCGGTCATATCATCTGGGCGCGTCAGATCGAACGTCAACTCTCGACATATATGAAACGTGTAGAGGATGTCCTCGGCAAGGGATGGGAGCTGTATGCAGAGGGTCAGAAACTGCAGAGCGAAAGTAGCAGCTTCAGGAAGAAGCTGGATACCAAACCAATTTATGATAATTGGTTTTCAGAAATTACCCGTCGTGAACTCGCTGTGTCCGGTCCACTTTTTGAGATCACCCGTAATCGTGCACAAGGAAATGTTTTGCAACTCGGTGTAAACTTCGACGCACAGATCATTACTCTCTTCAAGGAGGTCCGCAACCTTCTCTGGCTTAAATATCAAGTACCACATAATGTCAGCATCATCGCCAAGGATGCCAAGAAGGTTTATCCGATTGCTGTAAGCCTGATGGAAACCATTCGAACATACAGCCAGATGGTCAGCAAAGTCCAACGTCATGCAGAGATCGCCACACTTGTCGCGGGATACAGAAACGATGCTCAAAAGATGGTGTCTAAGGGTGTCAACCTTCGTTGGGAACACTTTGCAAACACTTATGGTGGCTCAGCGGCTTACATCACTGGCAGTAATCTGATGGAAGTACAGCATAACCGACATCTTATGTTTGTACGCGAATTTGCATCGGTTGTCTCAATTTTTCAGGATAAAGTGGACTCCCTGATATCAATTTACGATGATATCATGAAGTTGGTTAACGAACTCCCAATCTGTTCATACGTTCATACGAGTTTTGCCAGTGTTATCAATCGTATTCAAAAGTTGGTATGTCCATCATTGGCCGTGAATTTTTATGCTAATAGGCTAACAACACGTACCGGAGGCCGTGTCCTAAACCATATATACTTCATTTTACGTTCCTTTTTAGATTGATCGCCTCAACTTGGAGTCATACTCGAATTTGGATCAATGGGTTGCTCAACTTGATTCGAAGGTCGAAACCTTACTTGTAGGGCGTTTGCAGCAGGCAATTAAATTATGGGTGCAAGAATACCAGCGAGATGATCTTGAGGAGGGATTGGCTGATTCTAGAGATATGAACACTCATGGCAAAAACAAGAAGCGTCGTTCAAACCGGGAGTCCGAGCGGGCTAGTGTTGTTACAAAGGCTAACGATGTTAAACCTGCGCTCAAACTTTTGGTGCATGAGATTCATATCAAGAACCAAGTCATGTATCTTGATCCTCCAGTGGAGCAGGCCCGTGCCAGCTGGTACAGTCAACTTCACGATTGGCTATCAGTTGTTTGTAACTTGACCCGCATCCAAAGCTCTAGATACGAGATTGGATTGGTGGTTCAGGAAAAAGTTGAAGACTTGACGTACGCTGATTTGCTTACCAAAATCCCGGATGATTCTTTGGCCAAAGCGTATGAGATCATTGAACAGAAGGTTACACAGGTCAAAGAATACGTAGATATTTGGTTGCAGTACCAGTCGCTTTGGGACTTGGAATCCCAATATATCTTCACACTTCTCGGTGAAGACCTAGCCAAATGGCAGCAGCTGTTGCTTGAGATCAAGAAGGCGCGCACCACGTTCGATAACTCTGAGACAGAGCAATCCTTTGGTCCCGTTGTAATTGACTATGAACAAGTTCAGTCCAAGGTGAACGCCAAGTATGATTCCTGGCAACGTGAAGTCCTTAACCGTTTCGGCACCATGTTAGGCACGTCCATGAAGGAGTTCCATAGCGCTGTCTTCAAGGCACGCAATGATCTCGAGCTTCACTCAGTTGATACCAATTCAACAGGCGAAACTGTTACTTTCATTACATTTGTACAGGACCTCAAGCGTAAGGTTACCAAGTGGGAACATGATGTTGAGCTCTTCCGTCAAGGTCAGAAGACACTTGAGCGTCAGCGCTATCAGTTCCCGAACGATTGGGTGTACTGTGATCAAGTTGATGGAGAATGGAGCGCTTTCAACGAGATCCTAAGCCGCAAGAATAATGCCATCCAGGAACAGATTGCAGGTTTGCAGATGAAGATTGTGACAGAAGACAAACTAGTTGAGCAAAAGATCTCAGAGATCCTGCAAGATTGGGAAAAGAACAAGCCTGTGCTAGGGAACATCAAGCCGGATATTGCCACTAACACCCTCAATATCTTCGAAGGCCGTGTTACAAGGATTAAAGAAGAATTCGACATGGTTCGTCGTGCAAAAGAAGCACTTGATTTGGCTCATTCTACAGATGATCGCCTTGAACCTGTCTTGGAGGAACTTCGTGACCTTAAATCTGTCTGGAATTCATTGGCCAAGATTTGGCAGTCTATCAATGAAATCAGGGACATGCTCTGGTCGACGGTTGTCCCTCGTAAGATCAGAACTCAATTGGATAATTTGACCAACTCGACAAAAGATATGCCCAATCGTATGCGTCAGTATGCAGCTTTCGAATATGTTCAAGAAGTTCTCCGCATGTATCTTAAGGTGAATCCGCTTTTGACCGACCTTAAGTCTGAGGCTCTCCGCGAACGCCACTGGCGTCAGTTATTCAAGGCCTTACGGGTCGAGGGGCGTTGGACTCTGTCAGAGATGACTGTTGGTAATATTTGGGATCTTGATCTCAAGCGTAACGAAACTCTTATTCGCGACATTATTGTAGTTGCACAAGGAGAAATGGCTCTTGAAGAGTTCTTGAAGCAGGTATGGCTGCACAATAATTTAAACTCAAAATATGGTCAACTTGCCTCATTGTCAATGCAACCATTCCTTCCATGGTGTATTAATGTTGGAAATATGTTTATTTAGGTTCGCGAGACTTGGTCTAATTACGCATTGGATCTGGTTAATTACCAAAACAAATGCCGACTCATCCGCGGGTGGGACGATTTATTTGCTAAATGCAGTGAGAATCTCAACTTCTTGTCCGCCATGAAATTATCACCATACTACAAAGTCTTTGAGGAAGAAGCTGGTGGATGGGAGGAAAAGCTGAACCGAATTCATGTCCTTTTTGATGTTTGGATTGATGTACAACGTCAATGGGTTTACTTAGAGGGAATCTTCACTGGAAGCCATGATATCAAACATTTACTCCCAGTGGAGACCTCACGCTTCCAGAATATCAACTCGGAGTTCTTGACAGTCATGAAGAAGGTCTATAAGTCGCCTTTTGTTCTGGATGTCCTTAACATTGCCAACATTCAAAAGTCACTTGAGCGTTTGGCTGACCTTCTCGGCAAGATTCAGAAGGCTTTGGGAGAATACTTGGAGAGAGAGCGTTCGTCATTCCCACGCTTCTACTTTGTGGGAGATGAAGATCTTCTTGAGATTATCGGAAACAGCAAAGATGTCGTTCGCATCCAGAAGCACTTCAAGAAGATGTTTGCTGGCATTAGCAGTATTATCCTTAGTGAAGACGTTACCACTGTCCTGGGAATGTCATCTAAAGAGGGCGAGAATGTGATGTTTAAGACACCAGTTTCAATCAAGGACAATCCAAGGATCAATGACTGGCTCACACTTGTAGAAAAAGAGATGCGCATGTCGTTGGCCAAGATCCTTGCTGAGTCTGTACAGGAAATGAATATCTTCTTCCTTGCAGAAACGCTTGATCCGGCTGCATTCTTGAGCTGGATCGATAAGGTTCCTGACCAACTAGTTGTTCTTACCTCCCAAATTACTTGGACCTCTACTGTTGAGCGAGCTCTTTCCATGATGGAAACTGATGGCTTTTCAGAAAAGCCAATGCAGCACGCCTTGGATTATGTGGAGCGTGCCCTCAACGTTCTCGCTGATACTGTCCTACAGGATCTTGCGCCCATTCAGCGTAAAAAGTGCGAGCATCTGATCACCGATCTCGTTCACCAGCGTGATGTGATTCGTGCCCTAATTCGCAGCAAGATCTCTTCTACAAAGAATTTTTCTTGGTTGTCCCAGATGCGATTCTACTTCAATGCTAGCCACGAAGATCCTCTACAGTGCTTGACCATCAATATGGCTAACGCCTCATTCCTCTATGGTTATGAGTACTTCGGTGTAACTGAACGTCTGGTCCAAACGCCATTGACAGATCGTTGTTACCTTACTCTTACACAGGCCTTAGAGGCACGTCTCGGTGGTTCGCCCTTCGGACCCGCGGGTACTGGTAAGACAGAATCCGTCAAAGCCCTGGGAATCCAGCTTGGTCGCTTTGTCCTTGTCTTCTGCTGTGATGAGAACTTTGATTTCCAGGCTATGGGTCGTATTTTTATTGGTTTGTCTCAGGTTGGTGCTTGGGGATGTTTCGACGAGTTCAACCGCCTGGAGGAGAGAATTTTATCTGCTGTTTCACAGCAAGTGCAGACTATTCAATTGGGATTGAAGGAGGCCAAGACTAACCCAAACCACGAGATTGAATTGGTCGGCAAGAACGTGCGTGTCAACACAAACACGGGCATTTTCATCACCATGAATCCAGGATATGCTGGTCGTTCCAACTTGCCAGACAATCTCAAGAAGCTCTTCCGCAGTATTGCTATGACGAAGCCCGACAGAGAGCTTATTGCTCAAGTTATGTTATCGTCGCAGGGTTTCCGCACAGCTGAGACTCTTGCGTCCAAGGTCATTCCATTGTTCAACTTGTGCGATGCAAAGCTTTCTCCTCAGTCACACTATGATTTTGGTCTTCGTGCTCTCAAGAGTGTTTTGGTCAGTGCTGGTAACATGAAGCGTGATCGTTTACAGGAGCTCCGTTCCAGTAATCCTGAGAATCTTGTTGCTGAGATTGAGCGCATTTCAGAGAGTATCCCTGAACAGGAGATTTTAATACAGAGTATTCGCGAAACTGTGGTGCCTAAATTGGTCGCGGAAGATATTCATGTCTTGATGGGGTACGTATTCTTTTCCATCAATGAGACAGGCTTCAAAGTGAATCTAATTGATTTTAATTTTAATTTAATTTTATTATTATTATCTAAACTCGTATATATAATAGTCTTCTCAAGGACGTGTTCCCCGGAGTCGAATATAATCCTGTTAGCTTGCAGCCTCTCCGCAAAGCTATCAATGACATTTGTGATAAGCGCCGTCTAGTTGTGGGTGATCTTTGGATGGAAAAGATTCTTCAGTTGTACCAAATTCAACGTATCCACCATGGTTTGATGATGGTTGGCCCTTCAGGAAGTGGCAAATCAAATGCTTGGCAGGTCCTGCTCGCTGCTTTGGAAGTTGTAGAGGGCGTCGAAGGCCAATCGTATGTAATTGATCCCAAGGCAATGTCTAAGGATGCTCTTTACGGTGTACTGGATCCTACGACTAGAGAATGGACAGACGGACTTTTCACTAACATTCTTCGCAAGATTGTTGACAACGTCCGTGGTGAAAGCGCGAAGCGTCACTGGATTATTTTTGATGGTGATGTTGACCCAGAATGGGTCGAGAATTTGAACAGGTATGTTACGAGTTCGTTTTAGTTATTTGAGAGCTTATTGTTTTGTTAATAATACTGATATGGCGACTCACTGTCTTTGTCTTCGGCTATGATATTATCAGTGTATTGGATGATAACAGGCTGCTAACGCTTCCCAATGGTGAGCGTTTGAGCTTGCCTCCCAATGTCCGCATTATGTTTGAGGTCGAGACATTGAAATATGCCACGCTTGCTACGGTCAGTCGCTGCGGCATGGTCTGGTATAGTAGCGATGTCATCGATCGCTCCATGGTTTTCTCTAACTATTTTGCAACACTCCGGAGCGTGCCACTGGATGAAGCTGATGAGGAGTTTACTACACGTCGTGTCGAAACGGAAGAGAACCGTGCGGTGTCACCAATTCTTCTCACTCAGCAGGCCTGCGCCAGTATTCTTGAGCCTCATTTTGCCGCGGATGGTCTTGTTTCTCAGGCTCTGGACTATGCCAGTACATTAGATCACATCATGGACTTCACAATGATGCGTGTTCTTGGAACCCTTTTCTCACTCGTTAACAAGAGTGTTCGTAATGTAATTCAATATAACAATCAGCATACTGACTTCCCTATGGGCCCTGAACAGCTCGACAACTACATGTCCAAGCGCCTTGTCTACGCAACCATTTGGAGTTTCTCAGGAGATGCTAAACTGGAGCTCCGCGCCCGTCTCGGAGATTTCGTTCGAGGCGTCACCACGATCGACTTGCCACAGATACCTAACACATCTATCATTGATTTTGATATTAATATTAATACTGGTGAATGGATTCCATGGCAGTCCAAGGTCCCTGTTGTGGAGATTGAGACACACACTGTAGCTGAGGCTGATGTGGTTATTCCAACAGTAGATACCGTCCGCCACGAGGAGGTCCTTTACTCATGGCTTTCAGAGCACAAGCCTCTAATCCTGTGTGGTCCTCCAGGCTCTGGAAAGACCATGACTTTATTCAGTGCATTACGCAAGTTGCCAGAGATGGAGGTTGTCGGTCTCAATTTTTCCAGCGCTACCACGCCTGAATTGATTCTTAAGACTCTTGAGCAGTACTGTGAGTATCGCAAGACACCAAACGGCGTCCTACTTTCACCCGTGCTTCTAGGCCGCTGGCTTGTGGTCTTTTGCGACGAGATTAACTTACCATCTACCGACAAGTATGGAACCCAACGTGTCATTTCATTTATGCGCCAGCTGGTTGAATGTGGTGGCTTCTGGCGAACTGCAGATAAATCCTGGGTCAAGTTGGAACGCATTCAATTTGTTGGCGCCTGTAATCCTCCTACGGATCCAGGTCGTATTCCACTTAGCCATCGTTTCCTCCGTCACGTTCCTTTGGTTATGGTCGATTATCCCGGAGAGATATCTCTCAAGCAAATTTACAGCACATTCTGTCGTGCTATGCTAAAGGTGGTGCCATCTCTACGTGCATATTCCGAGCCTCTTACTGCCGCTATGGTTGAATTATATCTTTGCTCGCAAGCGCATTTTGTCCCTGAGATGCAGGCACACTACATTTACAGTCCTCGTGAGTTGACTCGATGGATGCGTGGTATATTTGAGGCAATCAAGCCAATGGAGACGCTTAGTGTGGAGGGTTTGGTGCGCATCTGGGCACATGAGGCTCTTCGTTTGTTCCAGGATCGTCTTGTGACTGAAGAGGAGCGTAGATGGACCGATGATGAGATCGACCGAATTGCTCTCAAACACTTCCCCAGTCTTGATCGCGAACAGGCCCTTGGACGTCCCATTCTTTACTCGAACTGGCTTTCAAAGTACTATGTTCCTGTGGATCGTGAAGAACTCAGAGATTATGCCAAGGCTCGTCTCAGAGTCTTCTACGAGGAAGAACTGGACGTGCCTTTGGCATTATTTAATGATGTATTGGATCACGTCTTGCGCATTGATCGTGTCTTCCGTCAAATGCAGGGTCATATGCTTTTGATTGGAGTCAGTGGAAGCGGTAAAACGACTTTGTCGCGATTTGTTGCATGGATGAATGGTTTGAGTGTCTTCCAGATCAAGGTTCATAATAAGTATACAGCAGCTGACTTTGATGAGGATCTGAGAACTGTACTCCGGCGCGCTGGTTGCAAAGGCGAAAAGATCTGTTTCATTTTGGACGAGTCAAATGTCTTGGACTCTGGATTCTTGGAGAGAATGAATACGCTGCTGGCAAACGCTGAAGTTCCAGGGTTGTTCGAGGGCGATGAATATGCATCACTGATGACTCAGTGCAAGGAAGGAGCACAGAGAGATGGTCTGATGTTAGATTCGAGCGAAGAATTGTACAAGTGGTTCACTCAACAAGTCATGAAGAACCTGCACGTTGTGTTCACGATGAATCCACCTGAGGGCGGTCTTGCTTCCCGTGCAGCCACCTCACCCGCCTTGTTCAATCGCTGTGTGCTCGATTGGTTTGGTGACTGGTCTGATCAGGCATTCTTCCAAGTTGGTCAAGAATTCACCACAAGTTTGGATCTGGACCGACCTAACTACATTCCTCCTCACAAGTTCCCTGTTGTGTATCGTAACCTCCCTGATACACCTACTCATCGCCACGCTATCATCAACGCCTTTGTTTATGTTCATCAATCGCTCTATGAGGTGAATGCCAAGCTCAGCAAGCGAAACGGAAAACGTGGTTACGTTACTCCTCGCCATTACTTGGACTTTATTCATCACTATGTCCGTTTGTATAACGAGAAACGTGAAGATCTTGAAGAACAACAGCGCCATCTAAATGTTGGCCTTGATAAGCTCAAGGACACTGTCGTAAAAGTTGAGGAGCTTCGAAAGAGCCTTGCCATCAAGAAGAATGAGCTTGAAATCAAGAATCGACAAGCTAATGAAAAGCTGCAGAAGATGGTAGCTGATCAACAAGAGGCTGAGAAGAAGAAGGCTACCTCGATTGAGATTCAGGCAGCATTAGAAGCCCAGAACCGCGAGATCACCCAGCGTACGGCTGTGGTTATGGCAGATTTGGCCAATGCCGAGCCGGCTGTCATGGAAGCTCAGAGAGCTGTCAAAGACATCAAGAGATCCCAATTGACAGAGGTGCGTGCTATGGGCAACCCTCCGGAGGTGGTCAAACTGGCCATGGAGTCGGTCTGCACTATGCTTGGTAACAAGTTAGATGGCTGGAGAACAGTGCAAGGAATCATTCGTCGCGAGGACTTTATTCATAGCATCGTGAATTACGACACTGACCGACAGATGACACCGGCCATGCGAGAAAAGATTAAAGCCGAGTATCTTAGCCATCCCAACTATAACTTTGAGACCGTGAATCACGCCAGTAAGGCCTGTGGACCTTTGGTCAAGTGGGTCATTGCTCAGGTCAACTATTCTCAAATCTTGGACAAGATCGGACCTCTTCGTGCTGAGGTTCAAGAACTTGAAGCTAGCGCACAAACAACAGAGCTGAAGGCTTCTAGCATCGAAAAGATGATCCAAGAGCTAGAGAACAGTATCGCGACCTATAAGGAGGAATACGCTGTCCTTATTTCAGAAGTTGGCTTGATCAAGAGTGAAATGGAGCGCGTCAAGTCCAAGGTTGACCGCAGTGTGACCTTGCTTGAGTCACTTTCGTCTGAAAAAGTCCGTTGGGAAGCAGGTAGTCACTCATTTGATACACAGATGGCAACTACGGTTGGAGACGTACTTTTGGCGGCTGCCTTCCTGGCCTATGGTGGCTATTTTGACCAGCAGTACCGTGAGCTTTTATTCCACAAGTGGGCGGACCACCTTTCCAAGGCTGGAATCCAGTACAAGGCGGACATCTCACTTGCAGAATACTTGTCGACCGCTGATAAACGTTTGTCCTGGACTGAGCACGCTCTTCCAGCTGATGACCTCTGTGTGGAAAACGCCATCATCTTGCAGCGATTCAACAGATATCCACTCATCATTGATCCATCAGGCCAAGCAACTACATTCTTGATGAATGAGTACAAGGATCGCAAGATTACAGTAACAAGCTTTTTGGATGATTCTTTCTTGAAGAACTTGGAGAGTGCTTTGCGTTTTGGTAATCCTCTGTTGATCCAGGATGTCGAGCATCTTGATCCTATCATGAATCCAGTACTCAATAAGGAACTTCGTCGCACTGGAGGTCGTGTTTTGATCCGCCTTGGCAATCAGGACATTGACTTTTCGCCAACATTCACTCTATTCCTCTCGACCAGAGATCCATCCGTCAACTTCCCTCCTGATGTATGCAGTCGTGTCTCATTTGTCAACTTCACTGTGACAAGAGGAAGTCTCCAAAGTCAGTGCTTGAGCAAGGTACTGAAGGCTGAGCGACCTGATGTAGACCGTCGTCGTGCTGATCTGATTAAGCTCCAAGGTGAATTTAAGGTCAAACTTCGTCATCTCGAAAAATCATTGCTTCAGGCACTGAACGAATCTAAAGGAAACATTCTGGATGATGACAAGGTCATTGCAACTCTAGAAACCTTGAAACGTGAAGCCGCTGACGTGACCCGCAAAGTGGAGGAGACTGAAGGAGTCATGCAGGAGGTTGAACAAACCACTGCCATTTACTCACCTCTGGCACATCAGTGCAGCTCCATCTTTTTTGTAATGGAACAGCTCAACCGTATTCACCACTTTTATCAGATTTCACTTGACTTTTTCTCAGACATTTTTAATTTTGTGTTACATGAAAATCCTGCACTCAACGGGGTTAAGGACTATGGGCAGCGGCTGGATATCCTTACTCGCGACTTGTTCAATATCTCGTATACCAGAGCCAGTCTTGGACTGCTACATGATGATCATCTCACGTTTGCAATGCTATTGACTCAGATCAAGGTTCGTGGAACAAATACCCAAGCAGATGAGGCCGAGTATGACTTTTTATTAAGCCCCGAATCAAATCCTTCGGGCGAAATTACAGCAGAGTTCACGGAGGAACAAAGAGCTCAAAGGATTGAGATATTTACAAAACTGCCGTCCTTCAAGCACATGCCTGACCATATTGCTAACAACCCTGACGATTGGACCAAGTTCTGGAATGCCTCCAAGCCTGAAGCTCATGTCCCAATGTTCTGGGAGCCATCTCCAATTGAAGGTATTTTTTATTTATTTATTTTTATTTTTTATTTTTTCACTGTAGCACTGTATCTGTACATCCGTATCCATATGGTTTGAAAGTATAACTAACTTTTTATATTATGTGATCTATAAACATGTATATTGAATATAGCCATAAATGAGTTCAAAAAGCTTTTGGTCATCAAATGCTTCCGCCCCGACCGATTATTGATGGCGACTACCAAGTATGTTGATCTGGTGTTCACACCCAACTTTGTGAACCAGACTGAATTGGATCTAGCGAAGTTGGTCCGTGAGGAAGTCAAGGCATCGACGCCCATCTCGCTTTGCTCTGTCCCTGGCCATGATGCCGCTTACCGCGTTGACAACTTGGCACAGGAGCAAGGCGTTCGCCTGGCATCTGTTGCTATGGGATCTCAGGAAGGTTTGACCTTGGCTGATCAAGCAATAGCATCTGCGACTAAGACAGGTAACTGGGTCCTACTTAAGAACGTTCACCTGGCAATCACTTGGCTTGGTCAGTTGGACAAACGTCTGCATAGTCTCAAGGCTCATCCGAGCTTTAGGTTATTCTTGACTATGGAAACGAACCCCAAGGTGCCAGTGAATTTACTCCGTCTCTCGCGCGTGCTCATGTTTGAACCTCAACCTGGTATCAAGGCTAACTTGCTAGAGTCCCTACGCGGTATTCCTGCTGCTCGACTTTCGAAGGGCCCGACAGAGCGTGCTCGTTTGTACTTTATGGTCGCATGGCTCCACGCGGTTGTGTTGGAACGTCTCCGATATGTTCCTTTGGGATGGAGCAAGGCATACGAATTCAATGACTCTGATCAAGATTGTGCATTGAATACTATCGATAACTGGTTAGATACTGTGGGTCAAGGACGCGCGAATGTCTCACCAGACCGTATCCCATGGGATGCTATCCGTATGCTTTTGTCGCAGTCTGTATATGGTGGTCGTGTGGATCATGACGCGGATCAAGTTTTGCTGGAGAGCTTTGTGAACTCGTTCTTTGGCGCAGAGTGCTATGATTTGAACTACAAACTTGTTGAACCGACAGAGGGAGATGAAGCGGGGCTGGTTGCACCAGAAGGTACAAAGATGTCACAGTTTTTGGAATGGGTCAATGAACTTCCGGCTCGTGAGCCGCCTACTTGGCTTCGCTTGCCTCCGACTGCGGAGCGTGTCTTGTCGACGCATAAGGCTATTAAGATGGTGTCGAAGATCAGGAAGATTAAGAGTCTTGTGGATGATGACGACGATGACATTTAAATAGGATAAGAAAAAAAAAAAAAAAAAAAAAAAAAAAAGAAGTGCCATTAGTTTGTTGTTGAATACGAAAGGATAAATAAAAAATAAACAAATGAAGTTGATATTGAGTAGAAGAACAAGATACGTTTTATTGATAAAGATACTTTTTTTTTATTAAAAAAAAAAAAAAAAAAAAGTAAAAAAAAATAAAAAAAAGCTACAATTATTTATTTTTATTTTCCGAAGGTGGAACAGAGAGAATATTACTTCTTCTTGACAGAGGCAGATTTCTTTGTTGTTGAAGAAGAAACAACCTATGAGTTGATCAAGAGATTTTAAAAGGTAAGGAAGCGGAGAGAATTTGAAAAAAAATAAAAATAAAAATAAAAAAGCTATTTTTTTTTTTTTACCTTGCGAATTTGACTGAGGTCATCAAGAATATCAGTATCTGTGGCAGCCCATTTTGCATTTGGAGGTGCATTTGTTTTTCGCTTTGCATTTTTAGATCCAACCTCTTGTTCATGTCCACGCTTCCTCAGCCGTCGCGTATGATTAGCTCGCGATGTTGGTTCCAGTGCAAAATCTAGAAATATATATATTTTGAGTGTGACACCTCTTTTCATTTTTTTTTTTTTTTTTTTTTTTTTGTTTTTCTCCTGTTTACTTTGATACAGAAAAATATCATCCTCAGATAGCTTTTTTTTTTTTTACCATTTGTAATATCCAGGTTTTCTTTATCATCTCGCAATGCTCTTCGTTTGCTGTCAATAACTGCCAACATTTTTTCTCGAAGTCCTTCACGCTCAGCCTAATTAATATTGAGTTAATATAATTAATAATAAAATAAAATTAATTAAGAATAGACAAAAATAATAATAATAAACAGAGTGATATGGATATATAGCTTACCATATAATCCTCTTCTGCAAGCTCCGTTTCCAGTTCATATGCCTGTTGAGCACATTCAAACTGATAATCACGATATAAGCGTGCATTAACAATGGTAATATCTCGGGCCTCTGCTAAATCCTCCATTTGATCATGGAAATCAGGGTGGACACCTAAATGATTTCAAATAAAAAAAAATTAAGTATTTGAAAAGATTAAGAAAAAACAGAATAAAGCAAATTATTGGAAAATTGAGTAGAACAGAGTAACTTGTTTTTCTTTTTTGACCATTTAAGATAGCAGCCATTTCTTCCTTGTAGCGAGCCATTTGATAATCATAGATCCTATGAAATTCAAATCAATTAAAATCCATTTTTTTTTTTTTTTTTTTGTTTTTTGTTTTTTGGCTGTTCCACGCCAGAAGAAATTAAAGATAATGCTTAATGAGATATCGTTTTTCTTTCTTTTTTTTTTTTCCCTTTACGTTTGCTTATTCTCCTCGAATTCAAGCTCAAGCTTCAATAATCGCTCCTGAAAATCCCGTGCCCGTTTCTCTTTACGATCCTCTCGTGTATCCGGTGCCACTAATTTTGTTTTTAAAAAAGAGTTCCACAATAATAATAGTAAGGTTAGACTCGATAAATGAGCGTTAAGAAGAAAAGGAGAGTGAAAAAAAAAAAAAAAAAAAAAAAAAATAGTTACCATCAGATGAAGCATCGAAATCGTCACCAAGAAAACTAGGACCATCTTCTCCATCATACTCTATACCTCCTTCAAATACAGAATCATGTTCGTCCATTTCAGAGATAAACCCTCCTCCTGGTGTATAAGAATCGTCACTATCAGATTTTGTATCGTAATGTCCTAGTTGTGCTTGTCCTTTTGACGATAATGAATGGTTGGAATGATTTGAATGTTTGTTGCTGTTGCTGTTGTTATTGAGGTTGTTATTGTTATTGTTCGTTGAGCCCTTTTGGTGATGACTTCCACCTGCTCCTTCTTTTACACTGTTCTGATTGTTGTTGGTGCTGTTATTGAGGTTTGGAACGCGTTGTGATCTGCCTGCAGTTGAGCTCTTCTTTCCAGATGAGGATGAGGTATGACCTGAGTTAGAATGGTTATTGCCTGTATTAGAAACAGAATTCGAATTATGTTTAGAATCAACAGAGGTGGAAGAAGGCATGGCCTTTTGTGACGGGGGCATTGGAGAAAAGAGTTTTTTTTTTGTTTCTACTTCTTTTTTATAATGGATAGATGTGAATTTTTTTTTAAAGGTGAGGTATAAGTGGATATTGCTGTTTTAAAAAAGGTATATTTGATGCAAGTCTTGTAAACAAGTCAGTATTTGTGGTTGATAGAAAGTTGGAGGGGAAGAGGAGCAGAAAAGAAAAAAAGTTTACCCTGTGGGGGAAGAGGAACATTGACAAGGCAAAGCACCCTCTCCCTCTTTTCTTTTCTCTCCTTTCCCTCTTTCCCTCGTTCCCTCTTTCCCGATGGCTTGTATATACTGAAATGCCAGTCCCAGAAGCACTGCAGAGATTATTTTTTTTTTTATTGAACACTATTTTATATATATATAAATGTACATCAATAAATCCTTTCTACTCCTCGCCTTCAGCCAGTTCCTGGATTTTAGGAGCAGTACCTGACCAAGTCGATGGTGTATACTCTTCTTCCTTGACCACTGCCTTTGCCTTCTGTTTAGTACTGGCCTTTGAACCAACCGTGGGTTTTGATTTAGGAATGGGTTTTGTAGATGCTGTAGTTTTGGTGGAAGTACTGGAAGACGATGCTGCTGCTGCCTCTGCTTCTGCAGCCTTTTCTCTCTCAAGCTCTAGTTCTTCTTCCTCCGTGACAATTCGACCTCGTGACAAGAAACCTCCCATAGTCCTGCGTTGCTTCTCCTCTGCTTCCTTGGACATTTTCTTTAGTTTTTCCAGTTCTGCTTTGACTCCAGGAACTAAATTTTATATTTTATACAAGCGATATGTTTTACCGATCATTATCCTCATTCTCATCCTTATTCTCTTGGCCTTTCCTTTTTGCTCAAGTTGTTTGCAAAATAAAAAATAAAAAATAAAAATAAAAAAAGACTTACCATTCTCACCCAAACTCAAGAAATCAGCTTCTGCTCCTGCAATATTTCCTTCTGCAGATTTGGCTTGACCACGACGGAACTTTGCCTTGACATTATCAGGATCATTCTTTAATGCAGAATTACAAACATCAATGGCTCGTTTATAGTTATTCCGCTTGAGATGGCAAGCAGCCATGTTGGCATACACTACTGCCAGGTTGGTTTTGATCACATTCTTTTGTTCCTCACTGACTTGTCCATTTTGAGGATTCATGGCCGACATCATTGGGACCCCTGCCATCTGGTTATCCAAGCCGCTCAACGCAAGAATAGCCTAGAATTCATTATAAAAAGTGGTGAGGGTAGTGTATTTATTGCCAACTTTTTTTCTTTTTTTTTTATGATCAGAGTATGCTTCTCAAATTAGATGACATACGATATGATACTGCTTGAGAGCTATGGCAGATTGAATTTGTTTATGAATTATAAAAATCAATAATGGTATAGAATGTTAGGTTAAATAATAAGAGACCTTTTGAATTAGTCACTTTGCACTTTTTGAATTGTACCATTATGAATGTCGCCTTGTTTGAATGCCTCGTTGCCCATGTCCTTGCTTGCCAAAGCAGAAGTAATCTTGTCCTGTAAGGTAGCCATATTGTAGCTGTGTATATGTGAGTGTATCGAAGGTAATGTAAATGGAAATGGTTGAAATGTATTTTCTGATGAAAATAAAAAAAAAGGGAAAGAGAGTCTGTGGTGTTTTAACAGAGAAAGAAAAAGAAATCGACGGAACAATTGGGCGAAAGAAAAAAAAATATTTTTCTCGACCTGTTGACTTTGGGCGACTGTTCGGACTCCATGTGGTACTGTATAAACACCTGAACACTACCACATGTCATTGGCTACTCTACGTCCCTTAAACAATATTCCTAGCATACAGCTGAACTTTTGCAAGGGATGTGCCAATGCTTCGACAAACATGTAACATTTAATGGCTACATCACAGCCCTTGGATTGTGGAAGCGCTGAAAGTATGCGGAAAACGGGAACCATTTGTGTTTTTACTAGCAACAAGCGTGGTTTCAAAAAAGTTTGCCTCCAAGGAACAAATCCTATATCCTTCATTGCTCAAAAGAGACAATCCTGTCTTTTCTGCACCCCAAAAGCTCGCCATAATCCTATTGAAGCGTTCAGAGGCATTATTTGCCTCATAGTTTGAGGATTAGCAGACTTTCAGTCAAGTTTTATTGTTTTGAACAACACAGTAAATCCTGTCCATTCGAAGTTAGTCCCTTTGGATGGCAGCTATTCAGGGGATGCTAATCAATTCCGCAGATTTGGAAAACCAACAAACATCGAACAGTCGCCTTGGAGCGTTCGCGTGCAGACTCTTTAAATCTATTTTGCCACCAATCGATCTTCAGTATTTTGATATACATGTATATATATATATATATATATATATATAGAAACATTGTAATTGTACATGTAAAAAAGCTGATCTTGCTCGAACCACAGAATCACATCGATTCTCCCTCAATCTGTCTATCTCACATCGACATTCTCGTGCATGGACACAATTGTCTCTGAACAAATAATTACATTTATTGGGCTACAAAGGTTTGGGCATTAGAATTTTTACAAGAGGATAGGAGATGGATGATGTTGAACATTGACCATGAACTTTGTTGATATAGAAAGAGCGGCTCAAGTCAAATCTCTTGAAGGGGCAGTTGTTGAAGAAAGTTTGCCCGGTGCTAAATGACCGGGCACACACTAATACTTCAGAATGATGTAGAAGGCGTGAATGATTCCTAAAAGGCAGATTTTGTAAAAATTATTGTATAACCGTTAGACTCACGCTCACATCATTGGCGAATCAAAATATCTCCTATCCCAATGCATCAGGGTTAAGACTGATCCCACAATAGGATAATAGCAGCAACTGGACGCGTTTAGACAAGAGAGAGAAAGAGAAAGAGACGTACCAGGAATATAACCTAGGATGGTCAGCACGATGTTGATCAAGAGGTCACTATCGCATCCTTTCTACTCGATGAAAAAAATGGTAAAAAGAACAAGCCAAAAAGAAGTATTGTTAGTTGATTGATAGACATATTAAATATAAAGTCTTTTTTTTTCTTTTTGGCTCGCGAACGAAAAGTATCATAAGTAATTAAAATGGTTTTTTGCTTTTACCTCCATAAAAACTCCCAGAGGAGGGAGAACGACGGCAAAGATGAACTTGCAAATGTCACCAGCTGTAAGGGCCATGATTGTAGTTGTAGTTGTAGTTGTAGTTGTTACTGTTGTTGTTTGTGAACAAGTTTAAATATAATGAATGTGAATGAGTGAATGTTGAATGAAGAAAGGAAGAATGGAGACAGGAGGACTCTTTTTATATGGTTTCCCTGGAGCTAAAAAAAAAAAAAAAAAAAAAAAAAAATGGTCTGAGCTGTAATTATGAACATGATTATATCATTCGTTTTGAGAGAATTTTAATTCAAAAAGACAAATATAAATGTAAGACGATCTACGCCCATAACCGTCATCCATCCTATTACGCTTATTACGGATGAATATCTTTTTTGGCTTACATGGTCAACCTCCCTTGTTGACAACGAACCCAAAAATAAAATAAGTAAACAGCAATCATTCCTGTGATTCCTTTCTTCCTATTTCAGGATCAAAAGATTAATTTCGGGTCTCTTGTGATTTGTGCTCTCTGTTGTCACCGTGTCATCATCATTTTTTCATATCATGGTTCATTACTCAATCATTATGGCAGGGGATCTTCCGGATTTGCTCTGGAGCACATTTCCTTTTTGGTTTCACATGTTTATGACTTTACAACGTCTCTCCCTTGCAATGCAAAAATATTTTGAAGGAAGCATCACTGGGATAGATCACAGAAATGGTGTTCTGGGTTTAGCCGGCAGGGACTTAAACATGTATTCGATTCATTCAAACGCAGGCACACTCTGAAGTCTACTCTTCTTAGACAAACCATTTGTAAATGCAGGAACAGCCAAGAATGACCATTAAGTAAGATTAACAACAGCTTTAGGAAAGACATTGTCTTCCCATTCTACCATTCTGCAACTGCTACTCCTGTTGTTGATTAAGACTATTTTGCAGCAGGCTCCGTATGGCATAAGAAACAAATGTTTGGCTGAAGCTGTAGGATATGAAGGTTTGGAAGCAATTTAAGAGATCTTTCCTACTTCCAATCCCAAGACATGTTAAATGAGCCTTTTTTCTTTGTCTCAACGACAACAAAAACAGCCAGTTATAAATCTCTGCATTGACATTTTTGACTGTGGGAGTTGATTGATTCAAACAAAAATACCCATGTCTCTCGAGTGGGTTACACGCCGCAGTAGCCCTACATTATGCACAATCTAAACAAGTCTATAGCCCCTTACAAATCATCGCATTAAGCATTGGGCCCCTATCCCATAATACAAAATGGCATAAAGTTGCAAACTAAAGCTTTTTTTCTTATTACGCTTGTTGTCATAATTCATGGCAGAGAATTTTTAGAAAGCGCACGGACCACGAAAATAACGTATCTTAGTGGCTTTTATCTTTCTTCATTTCAATCGGACGTGGAAAAAAAGTGTTTAGATTCGCTTGAAACAATGTCTAAGAGATCCATGAATGAGAACGACCCGATTCAACTAGTCAAGGACGAAGTCATTGTCTTGGAAGAGGATGTTGGAATAGAGACAGAAACACAACATCACAGATTTATGCGTGCAGCATTGGAACTGGTAAACAAAGATATTTCTTCTCGGAGCAAGTGAATTCATTTACTGAATTATAATCAAAAACAGGACCTCCCTTTGTCTAATATTAATACTTATCATTATATATGTTATATACATATATATATTGATAGGCTGAAGAGGCACATTCTGTGAATGAAGTACCAGTGGGATGTGTTTTTATCTATAATCCAACCGGGAAGATTATTGGCAAAGGCAGGAATAGGACCAACGAGAGTCTGAATGTAAGAAAAACTTAATAGCTCTCTCGAATGGGAAACAGAAAAAAAAAAAAAAAAAAAAAAAAAAGAAGGAATGATATAGGGCAAATTGGTTAATTGTCTATTCCCTCCTTAAGTCTTGACTTAATCCTATATCTTTTTTTTTTTTTTTTTTTTTTTTTTTTTTTTTTCGGACTTGAAGGGCACGCGTCATGCAGAATTCGAAGCAATCGATATGATCTTGGCACAGGACGGATATAAAGCACTAGCACAGGACCCTTCCAAGAACTTTTGGAGAGATGTGACCCTATATGTGACCATTGAACCGTGTGTCATGTGTGCTAGTGCTCTTCGTCAACTTGGTAAATTATTACGTGCATTTTAGTATCATTTATTGAATGAAAAAAAAAAAAAAAAAAAAAAAAAAAAAAAAAAACTTGGTATTAATAAAGAAGCTATATTATTCTAATAATTGTGATAGGGATTGGTCAGGTCTATTTTGGTGCTGGTAATGATCGTTTTGGAGGCAATGGATCAGTGTTCCAGATTCATCAGGAGTAAGTCATGAATAACAGGAAGACAAGGCTGACAAGCATAAAAGAAAAAAAAATCCCCAGTGATTAGGACTATCTGATCATTAACCGGGATTTCCTACATATTTCATGTTTAATTACAGTTCCAACCTCCCGCATTCGAACTACCCCTCGGAAGGAGGTTATCTCCGGGCCCCAGCAATTCTAATCCTGCGTAGATTTTATGTTGGAGAAAATATGCATGGTAAGGAAAAAAAAATAATTTGCAAGGATCTCTATTTTTCATTCAATCTTTTCCTAAAAGGATACTGATCATAAAAAACAAACTTTTTTTCTATGATTTGATTATTAGCGCCTGACCCCAAGAAGAAGAAGCACCGTATTGTCAAAAAGGATCTTTAAATAATGGCTTTAAAAGCTGTATGGGTTTGCTGCTTGGGTGAGATTCGATATATATATATAAGCCTATATCTGTACCCGTGGGAAGGGAAAAAAAAAATGTACAGCACAAAAGGATCAACATGGAACTGTGCCAAGGGCCGCAATTGAAACTATAAGAGCAACAGCAACCAAGGCTGCTGTACCCTCTCATCTTGCCTGGGTACTGTGTGACATTGCAGCAGTTGTGGTTCCCTAAAATAAGATCGCTCCTTTGAGAGCTGCTTTTTCTTTTTAATTTTAAAAAGACGCGCTTTTCTCAATTATTTGAGGATAAGAACATTTCCTTTCGCTTCTCTCCTACTCTTCGCTGTTCATTTCACTCATTCACCTTCTCATTTCGATTACATCCCTATTCACACAAAGCAAAAGAAAAGATAAAACATGGCTGAGACATGGCAAGCATACGTTGATTCTAATATGGTTGGCACTGGCAAGGTGACCAAGGGCGCTATTTTTGGTCTTGCAGGCAGTTTATGGGCACGTTCACCTACCTTGACTGTAAGAGGAATTCCTAATGACAATTGAATGGAATGCAGAAACCATCCACGTGCTATTTTTTCCCCCTGAAAAAAAAACATTTCAAGCATATCGACTATCTACTGGCCCATTCTACGACAGTACCAAACAAAATAAATTACTAACCATATCCTACCTACCTCTTTCTATCATTTAATCCTCTACTCCTCTACTCCTCTACTCCTCTACTCTACTCCTCTACTCCTCTTCGTCTCTATGGGATAAACATAGACCTCATTAGAAGAAGCCCGACAGCTAATTAAAGCTTTCGAAGATCCAAAAGATATCGCAGCAAATGGTCTATATTTGGAAGGTCGAAAGTATGTTCTCCTTCGGAGTGATAATAGTAGCATTTATGCTCGTGTTGTAAGTGAATACACATTTCAATATAAAAGACCCACCCACTCCCAGCTTACATTAATAACGTTGTATGTACTATTAAGAGAGAGAGCCCAGTTTGACGCAAGGGCTCCCCAAAATGAATGTGATTGATCTATTTCTATCGTAAATACCATGCCATGCTCTACCACGTTATTCTATGCTACACCACCAAAACGTCATCTCCTGCTAGTAACACTGCCACCCCCATCACCATAGTCACCAAGCAGTTCACTTCCACACATCATAACAGCATTAGTCTGCAAGGCGGAAAGTGATCCAAAAAAATAAAAATAAAAAATAAAAAACAAGAATAATAAGGTGGACAAGATGGGTAGTACCTCCAAGAAGAAGAGTAAAGAGTAAGCTAACAACCTTTTACATTCCTTCATTTCCTTCTTTATTGTACTTTATCTGTCTTGAAATAATAATCGACCATCGCTCTTCTAGGCATCTTCAGGAGTTGTTTGTGTGAAAACTATTCAAGCGGTCTTGGTCGGATTTTATGATGGTGGCATGCAACCCGGCGATTGTACTGTAGTCATGGAGGTATTAGCCGACTATCTTCGTCGAAATGGATACGTAGGTGTTTTTACAAAATAATATATCGAACAAAAGGCCATAACGACCAATGATACATATATGTTAACATGGATGAGATGACATTATTTAACAAAAAGCTCTTCTTTTCATGTTGGATATATTTAATAGTAAAAAAAAAATCCATGGAGTCCTGACAGACAAGTTCACAGGGACAGGAACTTGCATTGTTTATTTTCATATTCAGCATTCTCATCTTTTTTATTTCTTCATCTTACATCCTCTGCCCCCTCCGTTGCCCCAACATCCTCTCTTTTCTTCATTTTGCCTTCCTTTGATGTAGAGCATCAATGGACATTTGATATTACATACTTGTATTCAATAAAAATTCATTTCAAAGCTAACAAAATCCGGAATGTGGCTTGGATTGCCTTCGCCCAAAAAAATAATATAAAAAGATTTCCAGTATAGAAGAAACAAACAAAAAAGTAACGATCTCCATTCGTTCGTGATGCCTCCAAAATTACCAAAGCTTGTTCCATGGCATTCACCTACAGAATTCATTCAGGTTCATCAATGGTTCTATCCACCTTCTACTGAAGATGGTACTCCTGATATCCAGGCACAAGAACGTGCCCTTCGACGAGTATGTTCCTATTTCTCTTCCTCCTTCTCCTCCTCCAATATTTGAACTTGGGCTATTGCACTGCTTCAGATAGATCTTTGTCTATAAAGACACACAAGTTAAATAACATGAATATATCCTATTTATCGATTTGACAATTATTATACAGGTGAGAGCATGGGAAGCACGCGGAAAACTGCCCCATGCAATCGATTCTACAGCTTCCTTTGTGGGCGTTGAAGTTCGTGATTGGACTCAAACCTGTTCCGATCAGGATCTGCGGCTCTTATACTCCATGGTCTTTATTCGCTTTGTCAATGGCTATGTCGATGCATTCCAGTCTTCGAAGGCTGCGAAATCAATTGCTTATTTAGCTGTGGAAAAAGTGGGGATGCCCATTCACTTTGTTGAACTTCGACATACTGCCACCCATGATTATCTACCCAGTTTGGCTACTCTTCGGAATGCTACTCAACAGGTTAGCTAGCTTTTGACTTTTACTATAAATATGTGTGTGTGTGTGTGTGTATGTGCGTGTATTGACAAACCTCATTTTTTTAATTTTCTTTCATCAGGCATTGCAATGGATCAACGACAACTACTGGATTCCACAACTTGTATCCATCAGGATGGATGAAGTATTGCCGCCAGAAATGACCACGGCTATGACCGAAGATGTCCGTCTTATGATAGAGAGCTATAAAAACGAAAAGGAGCGCCAGATAGAAGGTAAAAAAAAAAAAAAAAAAAAAATCCAACCAATTCAAACTGAAGCGAAAAAGCATTTCGAAAAGGCTTGACACCACCTTTTTTTTTTATCCTTTTAGAAAATACACTACCCCAGCCAAAGTCTGAGGCTTTAATTCTTAATCGACTTGTTCGGGACCTCATAAAACGCTGTCGATCAGGCGACGATCTATTAGATTGTCTCATCCCTATCCTATTAGAACCAGGGATGTTAGTCCCTAAGAGTAAGAAGGGCCGTTCTACTGCTCGAGACTTGACTTTGGATAATTTAGGCCGCATGGTCGATTTCTGTTGGATGCCCCTGATGAATAAATTATGTCTGGATCTTCGGGAGATCTGTAGTATCAAGGATGGTGAACCCTTGTCCTTTTGGGTCACCCTCATGGACGCCATGTTGGAAAAGCTCATTCAGGCGAATCTTGCTGTGCAAGCGGCCGCATTGCCAACCGCTACTGCGCAACAGAAGACTGATGCTAAAACAGGGAGTTATCTTATTACTCTACGTATGTTTACTTTTTTTTTAAAAAAAAAAAAAAAAAAAAAAAAAAGTTGAACAAGTAGTGCTTAAATTCTAACTCTTGTTTACTCATTTTATCCACTATTTTATTTTTTATGTATTTACGCATCAGTGGCATGGATGAAGCACCTCATAAAACTACACTACACACAATTAGGATCTACCCGTGGGAAATCTACAGCCTCATCGTTCATATCATCAATATCATCAATATCATCGACATCTTCCACTCATGCATCTACTTCTACTCCTACTCCACGACTTTCCGTTGCTGCCATGGCTGCTCAGCTTGTTTCCGGCAACAACACTGTAAATCAACCACCCATGTTTGAGAATGATGATATTATCAATATTGTCGAGGATTCATTACAGAGTATCCTCGTCCATGTTAGCCCCTTGATCCGCTCGTTACTCAACACTGTGATTGAATGCGACCCTGAAGTAAAAGAAAAAATCGGCCCTATCCTCAGACAGATTGATCAAAGAATTGTCTCTGCAGGATCATCGCCATCCACAGTATCCTCTCTATCTGTAGCATCAACAGCCACTACTTTTCCTATTCAAACAACAACAACGACATCTTCATCACTATCATCATCGCCACAAACAACAACGTTACTAGATCCGATGTTGATGAAGGGAAAGTTGGAAGAAGAAGCCCAATTTTCAACTCCTCAGGGGGAAGATGTTGATATGACTCTACTCGAGAATGCTGCAGTATCTTCAGAAATGGACACACAACAGGTTTCAACAGAGGAGTGTAATAGCCATACTGATCAGCAATTAATGCAAGAGTCCGATAAACAAGTCGCAAATGAGCCCTGGACATTATTTGATGCTGAAACATGGCGGCCATGCCCCATAGGGTGTCTTGCTGGTGGTATTGTCCCAGATCTGTCGCTCCCTTGGGATTTAGATAGCCCACCCATCGCCCGCATCAGGATCTAAAATAAAATAAAAATAATAATAAAATTACATCCCTTTCCATAATTCCTTGTATCTATATTGAATGATCCGTGAACATATTTTTTTAAACTTTTTTTTTATTTATTTCGCATTGTTTGTAGTTCAAAAAGTTTTCTTTGCAACCACTTTGCAGATAAACTAAAAATTAAAAAATAAAAATTACAAAGATGATAATATAATTAATAAATAACAGAGAAAAAAAAAAAAAAAAACAATCATAGTATGCATTATGCAGTCAACTATATCCAAAGGGCATTTTATGACTTACAATACCGATATTTTTTTTTTCCTTTTTTCTTTTTCTTAAGCACGTTGAGCAGCACGCTTGCCTGTCTGGGCCTGGAAACCAGACTTAATGGCCGAAACGGATCTTGTGGATCCACAGGCCTCACATTGCAAGAAGAACAAACGGTTTTCCTTGGTCAAGATCGTATCCGGGGACTTGCAAGTCTTGCAGGTGACATACTCGACAATATAACGACGCAAGACAGCCTCAATTTGCTTTTGTTGGAAACGACCCTTGATCACCAAACGTTGCGATCCATCAATGGATCCAGAAGTACCCAATTCTGCAAACAAGAATTGGATCACATGCTCAGGCTGACGATGCATCCTCTTACAGATATCTGCAACATTTGCAAACACAGTCTTCTTGTTGCCATCACGCATGACTGAAGGTGGAACGATCGTGTAACGTTTCTTCTCCCCTGCCAACTCTGGATTGTTTTGACGCAAGATCTTGAAAACGCGTGAGAGCAATTCCGTGTAGGTGTAATCACGGTTCGTACCCACCCAACTCTCCTCTGCATCTGCACCACCGGCCTTACCAGCACCAGAGCGTCCTGCGGCACCTTCCTCATCCTCTGCTGCAAAAATGTCATCAGGGTCACGGGCTCCACCTTCCTCTCCTTCCTGATCCAGACCATCCTCAAAAGCAGAGAAATCAACCTTCTTTGCCTTTTTCTTCTTCTTCTTCATGTCACCGAAATCAAACGACTCTCCAACGTCGCCGGTAGCGCCTTCCTCACCGCCTTCAGCAGGAGCAGCAGCAGAAGCATCGTCCTGTGTAAGAGAGAAGGAAAGGAAAGGAGGAAAATAAATAAATGAATATGGTCGGTGCCTTTTTTTTTTTTAAAAAAAAAAAAAAAAAAAAAGCCTTTTCTATTTTTTTCTTACCTCGACTTTGACTTTTTTCTTCTTCTTCTTCTTCTCACCAAACATTGCCATTGGGTCAATATCCGCATCATCTGGTAATAATAAACATAGTAATAAATAATAAGTATACAATGAGCCATCTTGTCAACAGAACATAACAAAATAAAGTAATACGGCGTAATATTTGGAATCGAATATAAAAAGTATATTCAAGTAAGAGAAGATATAGAAAGCAAGTAAATTACCTGCAGCGGGCGCGGCCTCCTGAGCAACTTCAGCACTCTCCTCAACAGGAGCTTCTTCTGTCTTTTTCGACTTTTTCTTCTTCTTCTTCAAAGAAGGGTCAAATTCGCTCAACTAAACATCGTTTTTTTTTTTTTTTTTTTACAAATGGACAATAATAATAAAGTCAGATGAATGGATGAATAAATGAGTCGATCCCAAAAAAAAATAAATAAATAAAGTCATGCTCGAGTCTTAGAAAAAGGGAAAGTGTTGATCTTTATTTTTTCAAAGATCGATTTTTTTTTTTTTTCCTTTCTCTTTTTGCTGTGAATCCTTACATCAACCTCCTCCTCATTGATTTCCATGTTTTGAAGTTTTTCTTCGATTTCCGCCATTGTATACAGCTGTAAGATGTATGTGTGAGTAAAAAAAAAAAAGAGAGAGAGAGCTTTTATTCAAAGAAGCTTTTTTTGTAGTGTCCCAGTTTACTCTTTCAAACAGCACACACATCTTTTACGTTCAGTGGCTTGTACAAAATCTTTGCCGCAGTTTCGTAATAACCACAACTTCTTTAAAAAATGCCTAGAATCACAAAACAAAGACTATATATATGTATTTACCAGTGTCCGTTTACCTGAGATAGGAAATAAAAGGTCTTTCTTTTCCTTTTCCCAGACACTTGGATACCGAGAAAAAAAGGTAGTGCCGTTGGAGAGCATCTCACATGGATGGGTGCCGTGGAGACCGCAATGAAATACGGTGTATTCAGGTCCACTGTTCAAACATAATATCAAGATGTATTGAAAAAAGAGACACTGCATCCGCTAAATACTTCAGCTGGATTGCGGTAAAGAAATCATATTTAAACCAAAGAGTATGTAAATAAAACGACTGCAATCCGTCATAAGACACAATTGTTTGTCCATGAGAAGTCTTGTTACATTTTGTATCGAAATCGAAATTTTAAAAAACCGCTATGATTTAAGCATCAAAATATATTTGCTTGATCTCCTCTCGTAATCCACTCTACAAATGCACATAATCCTGAAGTCAGAGCACAGCGTCGAATCGTGCCCAGAGCAGCAAGCCAGGTGCTTCCAATATTTAGCACTTGCAATTCAGGCATTTATTGCGCTGCTCTGACAGCGCTACTTTTTTACACTCGAAACAATATGTTAATTTATTAAGAGTCGAGAAGAATATAGAACCAAAAGAAAAAGATAAAAAAAAGACGATTCATCAATAAACAATACAAGTCTTCGAAAACAGACAGAGAGACGGAAAAGACAGATAAACAAACAGACAGATAGACAGATAGACAGGCAGACAGATGAAAAAAGAAAAAAAAATGTAAAATATAAAAACGCATAAAAAACTATACAAAAAGGACAACTGCCGGCTTATATAAATGAATAGTAATTAAAAAAAAACCCCCCAAATCATGATCTTCATCAAAATAGCATCTGGGCAAGAACTCTAATTCTGACCCCAGAACTGTTGATTGTTGTTATTGTTGGTGCGGCCGGAGCCTTGGTGCTGTCCCTGATGCTGACCAGGATGATAGCCTTGATGATGGTTGGGATACTGATAGTTGGAAAACATGTGCTGTTGGTAGTATGCCTGTTGAACAGGATTCATTGCTCCAACTCCTTGCTGACCTTGAAGAGAGGCTCCGCCTGTGGGCTGAGGTCCCGCATTGGCAGACTTGTCAGAACCTCCATAGTTTGCAGAGTTGGAACTTCCTTTGTTAGCTCCTGCGTTCGATGCGCCCGCGCCTCCTTGTTGCTGTCCAGCTAAAAAGCTCTGCATGCCAGGGTTTCCATATTTGCCATAATGATCATTACCAAGTCCACCCATACCATGAAGTCCAGCTCCAGACATATCATCATAACCTGACTGAGAATATTGGTGGTGACCACCTTGGCCTGCACCAGTCGAACCATAATTGCCATAAGGAGAGTTGTTCACTGATCCAGGTTTGTTGGAATGCTGTTGTTGCTGGTACATTGGATATATGTTCTTGTTCATGAAAGGTTGACCATATCCTGACTGCTGATATGCATTAGGGAACTGGCTGTGCATATAATAGTAGGGATAAAATGGCATGCCTCCCATGTTGGGATAAGCTTGCTGTTGTTGAAGTGTCTGCTGTGCCTGTGTGGAGGCTGTTGAGGCCGCTCCTGTAGTGCTGACAGCGGCAGATGGGTCGTGACTATACTTGTTGTCACGAGTCTGGTAGCTATTAGCAGCAGTAACAGGCATTTGGCCATACCCCGTTGGATCATAGTACATTGCACGCTGCATGTCATTTCCATAAAGTGCACCATAGTCATTGGGAAGAGTGCCCATTGGGCCCATACCAAAAGTACCCAGCTGATTAGCTGTAGGCATGTATGATCCATAGGGTGAGCTCATAGCATCATGACCCATTCCGGGATGATGATGATGGGGTTGGCCGAGATAAGTGTTGATAGGGTTAGAAGGGTCCTGACCAGCATATATGGTATTGGACCCAGCAACTGATTGACCGGCGGCAGCGGGTGTTGCACCTTGGTATCCTGACGCACCAGGAGGGTTATTAGGCTGGCGGCCATATGCAGCGGGCTGTTGCTGTGCTGTCTGAGATGGCTGAGTGGGCTGAGCTGATTGAGCTTGCTGAGCAAACTGAGCTTGCTGAACAGGTTGTGCTGGCTGGGCTTGTGGAGTTTGTGGAGCTGGTTGAGCTTGTTGAGCCGGCTGTGTTTGTTGAGGAGGCTGCACAGAGCCATTGGCCTCGGCTGGTTGATCGGGTTGCGTCTCCACCTTGACCTCTGGTTTCGTTTCTGGCGCTACTTCTTTCGTTACTTCAGGCTCAGTCTCTGGTTCGGCTGCATCCGCATCCGCGTCTACCTCCGCATCATCGTTCAAGGAGAAGCTTCCAAACTTGAGGCTAACGCTCTGAAGAGCGGAAGATCCACCAGGCATTACTACAGGAGCATCCTGGTTCAAGCGACGCGGCTGCGACGCGGGTTTTTGCTTCAATCCTGGAGGAGGACCAACTGGTGCAATAACGGCAGCGGGCGGTGAGGCAGCGGGTGTTTTCACTGGCTCTGGTTCTGTTTCTGGTTCTGATTCCCGTACTGGCTCAGATTCAGGCTCAGGTTGAGGCTGGACTTCTACTTCTGGTTCATGTGCAGGCTCTTCAATATCAGTTTGAGGTGTGGGTTCTGTTGCTTCTGGTTCAATAGTTTTCTCTTCCTGCGCTTCTTCAACAACAGGAGCGGATTCTATTGTAGGCTCAACAGTCGGTTCGTTAACAGGCTCATCAGGCTTTTGTTCTTCAATAGGTGCAGATGTGGATTGAGATGTAGGTTCATGTGTAGGTTCATGTGCAGGTGCAGGTGCAGTAGCGGGTATACTCTTTGGTGCAGGCCTAATATTCCAAATTTGATGATTACCAGTTAATTATTGGTCTATTCGCAAATAAGTTATTTCATATGCCAATCAATATTGTTCTCAAATACATACTTGACAATGTTAGCCCATGACATTTTGCTTGCAGTTGGAGCGGTAGGAGCGTTGACTTTACGAGTAGAAGTTGCGCCACTTGAGGCTGCGGGTGTGTCCCATGAATCTGTAGTTGCTGAGGATGATGATGGTTTGTCATATGAATCTGTAGTTGTGGTAGACGTGGCAGGTGCACTCCATGAATCTGTACTAGTGGTATTCCAGTCAGGAGCGTCTCCTGAGTTTACGAGGGCAGCAGAATTTACTGAAGCATCTTTTGAATCGTCATGAGTACCATTCAAACTCTTTGCTGTTTCATCTTTGGCAGGCACTGCAGGCTCTGTCATAGACGTATGAGACCTAGCAATATTGGCATATGATAGCCCGTTGCTTGGAGTGGTATCCACTTTACCAACAGTCCTTGATCCGCCCAATGCTGGATATGCCTCCATTTCCTTAGCAGTACGTCCATCACCATTTTGGGCACGAGATGAGCCACCTTTGTTTGATCCACCGCGACCTCCGCGGGATCCATCTAATTCCAATATAATGACACAATCAAGGAAATGCGGCGGAAGTAAGGTTAGATACCATTTAACATACATTGCCTACATTCTTACAATAATCATAGCTAAAAAGGATATTCAAAGCAGAAGCAAGCAAAAACAGAGAAAAAAAAAAAAAAAAGTACCAGTTCGACCACGCGATCCACGATCTGTGAATGCGCCGCGCTGGGCGGTAGAGCGGTTGTCGGTTGTGGCCTTTGTCTTAACAGCCTTCTTCTTGCCCTTAACCTCGCCCCATTGAGAGGCATGGCCTATATTTTGATACCATAAAAAACAATAAGGTTAATATTCCATCAACATAAAAATAGACGTCCCAAGATTGATGACAAGCCAGAGGAAAATTTTCTTTGCGGAGGACATAAATGAAACAATGTCCAATAGGCTGTATGCAAATCCACTTTCTTTCCTATCATAAATGCCCTGCCCTGTTCTGCTCCGTCCTGTTCTTATCCCTGTAGTTGCCACCGATGTTTCTTTTTCATTTTTAGCAGGCGGGAAGAGGACCACAGCGGACACATTGAATTTAAAGTATAACCCCAGAACTCTTTTATATTATTAAATTGCCTGCCATTATTAAAATACATATTCAGTAGTACTAAAAGCTCGATCCCCCTTGCTTGTCATTTCACATTGACCCACATTAACGATAAACATCGTCATCAAACCACAAAAGGGAAGGAGAAAGATCCGCCGCCTCTTTGTCAGTCAAAAATTATGCTCTTCCTCGATGAGCCTCAATCCTTTTTCATGATGCCACAATTGTTTGTGCTCATGCAGACAATGACACAGAAACACGAATTTGCTGAGAAAAGGGGGGCAAATGAACTAAAAAGAAAGCAGGGCACAGAGAATAGGAAAGGGGGAGACACAAAGGTGACAATAGGGGAAAGAGTAAAAAAAAATGAGGAGTAAATCGCACCCTTAGACACCCTAACGTTTTTTTTAGTACCTTCAGTAATACGAAGAGTCGCTAGATTAGCATCTCCACCGGCGTCCTGAATGGCGTACAAGAGATCTTCCTCCGTCCAATCTGCAAAGAGCTCCTTCAATGACGCAAGTGATGCTCCGTGTTCACGACGAAGTTGACGGAGGTCTTCTGGTTCATCTTTACCGCCTGAGCGTCTTTGTGTACTATGAAATGTCATTTGCTATGAAATCGAAAATAAAAATTGTTTTGATGTAAAAGTTGTGAATGCAATTAGTGTATGGACAACAGTAGAAAATGAGCCGTGTTTAATGAATGAAAGGAAGAAAAAGAAGGAGAAAAATAAAAAGAAGAAAAAATAAAAAATAAAAAAAAATAACACGACAACGAAAAAGATGCCGACAAAGTGTCCATTCTGGACAAAGTCGCGTGAGTTGTTGTAGATCAGATCATTCTTCTGCACCATTTAACAAATAATACCGCTCTCACGCACCCATTTTTTTTTTTCTTTTTCTTTTTTTATCACCCAAATACCACATCGATAATATCACTTCATCCATGACACTCCTACCCAATGATTGATATACGACAAAGCCTTTTTTTCTTTTTTCTTTTTTTTTACAATTTACTGTATATCGCTCATAGTTCCATAATTTTCAATAGGGAGCCCTGGAGTAACCCTGGAAAATCCTGCAATAACTTTGTGAAGTGTTCATAAAAATATAGAAAAGAAAAAAAAGCATCGCTTACCTTATTTGTATATAGAGTGTCTGTCTGTTTATCTGTCTGTGTTGCCTGCGTGTGAATGTGTGTCGTGTGAGGAAAGGCGCGTCTGGGGGGGTTCAGAGGGAAAGAGAAAGTTGAACTTGGAACAAGTTTTATATCGATTGGGAACAGAGCAAAGGATAAAAAAATAGAAAATAAAAACGGTAGTGGAGAAAATGTTAAAAAAGAAGAAAAAGAAAAGGGAAGAAAAAGAAGTGCAGGCTGAGGTGTTTCCTGGCTACATCAGTCACCGGAGACAAACCAGACCACAATCACAGTTTCTTTTGCCTTTCTTGGCAATTACATTAATTAGCAATCTTTAAGTCCATATGTTTACCAATACGATTGATCTGCTTTGTGGATTGTCAATTCATGGATTATTGTGATGCACATGTCACCTGCTCATTGTTAACAGTTGCGATCTTCTGGCAACCCCTGCTACTCCTGCAGCCCTCGAGAAAATGGCAACTGTTATGTCAAGAACGATTTGGTCTTTTTTTCTTTTCCTCTCTCCCTCTCTTTTTCTTTCTCTCTCTGCTGTTTATTACAACGCTGCATTATGGCTACCACGACAGAAACACCTTTGGACTTGTCAAAGCTCCATGCCTTGTCCCATGAAGTTATCTCAAAACAGGCTACGATCAACATCGGTAAAAACACCGAAAAAGAAAAAAAAATAAAAAATAAAAAATAACAAATAAAAATAAAAATTGATCCAGGAGCAATTTGTCAACAGAAACAGTGATCGTCAAAGCGTTATAGAGCAGACAGGATCAACAGGTGCTGGATTCATCAAAACTTTTTTTTATTTATTGATTTACTTTCATGATCATCAGGTACCATTGGACACGTAGCTCACGGTAAATCGACTGTGGTTAAGGCCATCTCAGGAGTTCAGGTATGCAATACTCTCATGAAGACTGCTCTTAAGGTTATTTTGTTATTGTATTCCGCAGTATCCTAATGGAACAACATGAAATACCCTTTTCTGGTCTGGAAAAATGATTTCAATAGACTGTTCGTTTCAAGAACGAGTTGGAGCGTAACATTACCATCAAACTGGGATACGCAAATGCCAAGGTATTTGTTTTTCCTTGACTTTTCCTTATTGCAGGGAAAATAATGAATGACAAGGACAGTATGTTGAACATCGGTCTATTTCTGTTGCTTTGCCCGTCTATTCTTTCAGATTTATAAATGTCAAAATGAGGCATGTCCCCGTCCTGGGTGCTACAAGTCCTACCGCAGTAGCATGGAGGACAACCCCAAGTGTGAACGTCCCTTCTGTGGTGGAACCATGAAGCTAGAGAGGTACAAGGATCTTCAAAAAGTCATTAAAGTAGTGCAATGGTTTCAGGATTATCAACGTCATGTTCGCTTGCCAAATATCTCACCGTTGCACCTTTTGCTTTTCATACATATAGACATGTCTCGTTCGTCGACTGCCCTGGTATACTTTTTTTTTTAAAAAAAAAAAAAAAAAAAAAAAAAAAAAAAAAACTATTTTTTCCTTTTCAATTTTTTCTATAGACAGTGATTGAAAGAACTGAACCATTGCCAGTTTGTCTTTAAAGCTCGGAACAACTGAAGATTTACTTGTTTTGGTTTTACTCTACATAGGACACGATATTCTCATGGCCACCATGTTGAACGGAGCAGCTGTCATGGATGCAGCTTTGTTGTTGGTTGCAGCTAACGAATCTTGCCCTCAGCCTCAAACTAGTGAACATTTGGCTGCTATTGAGATTATGAAGCTTGAGCACATCATCATTTTGCAGAACAAAGTGGATTTGATCAAGGAATCAGCCGCTCAGGAGCATTATCAGAGCATCTTGCAGTTCATCAAGGGAACCATTGCAGATTCTGCACCTATCGTCCCTATCTCTGCACAGCTCAAGTACAACATTGATGCTGTCAACGAGTACATTGTCAAACGAATCCCTATCCCTGTCCGTGATTTCACTGCAGACCCTCGTCTCATTGTCATTCGTTCCTTTGATGTCAACAAGCCCGGAGCTGAGGTCGACAGCTTGACAGGAGGTATTGCTGGTGGCTCCATTCTCAGCGGAGTGTTAAAGGCAGGTCAATTTTAATGCTCAACCTTTTTTTTTTTCAGTCAACGAACTTTTTCATGTTTGTGCAAGGAATAAATTTGGCCTTGCTCAAAAAAAAAAAAAAAAAAGGTATACTAATGCTTTCCATTCCTTTTTTTTTTTTTTTAACTTGATAGCTTGGAGATGAGATTGAGATTCGTCCTGGTATTGTTACAAAGGATAGTGAAGGCAAGATCAAGTGTAGACCTATTTTCTCTCGTATTGTAACTCTTTTGGCAGAGAGTAACAACCTCAAGTTTGCAGTCCCCGGTGGTTTGATTGGTGTCGGAACCAAGATTGACCCTACTTTGTGCCGCGCAGATCGTTTGGTTGGTCAGGTATTGGGCGCAGTTGGCAAGCTGCCCGAGGTTTACTCAGAATTGGAAATCAACTACTTCTTGCTTCGTCGCCTTTTGGGTGTCAAAACAGATGACAAGAAGCAGGCCAAGGTCACCAAGTTGACCAAGAATGAAGTTTTAATGGTCAATATTGGGTCGACCTCCACTGGTGGACGTGTTATCCAGGTGAAGAACGATATTGCCAAGATTGCTCTTACTGGTCTTGCATGCTCAGAGTACGTATTTTCATTATTATCACCATTATTTTTTTGTGTGAGTTAAATATAACTGGTAACAAATTAACTTTATGACTTTTTTTTCATTTTTTTCTTTTTCATCCGCTCAGGTCTGGCGCCAACGTTGCTTTGTCGCGCCGTATTGCCAACCACTGGCGTTTGATTGGATGGGGCCAGATCACTCGTGGCTCTGCTGTCCCTATTTGAGAAACTAGTGATAGAGTTTAAAAGTGGAGAGTGAGGAAAGATGCAGAAGAATCTAGAGAGAAATATTACAAAAAAAAAAAAAAAAAAAGTTTTATCTTCTACCTGGATGTATATTGTATTTCACCCGTAAACTTTGCATTGACCTAAAAGCGTAGTAGCATGTTTTTATTTACTTTGAACACTCTGACCTTTTATCTTGAACTGGGATGCCTATAGTATTTACTAGGGGACATATTATGCATCGCTCCTTGAGGTAGTAAGAGGATACTTTGGTAAAATACTAGCTATTAAAAGGTCCCAGCATGTCGCTATCTATACACTCTTAATCTCATCCTTACTCCATCACTCCATCAACTCTTTTGCATTATGAACAAGCTCAAATGAGATATCCCAGAAATTGTTTCGCTTGTTGGTGGCTTCCTTGATCAAGGTGACCTCGTACGTTGCATTCGCATTTTCAAGGCTTTTCATGATATACTGGCTCATTTAGGGAAAGATCGGTTTCGTCAGATCCAACTCATGAAGTTCAGCATCATCCTACTAATGAAGCACTGGAGATGCACAAGAAATAGATTGAGGACCCTAAGCTTGATAGCTTCTTCCTGACGAAGTACATGTCATTGCAAGGCTGTGATCACCTCTAATCCATATTTTGTATCAACAAGTGTCAATTCGATATGAGTCCGGTCTTCGACTTAATCAAGTCTCATAGCTCCACGATCACCCATTTTACATTTGAATCCCCAAGTTTACGAGGAATAAGGGAGGTACTCACCTTGAAGAGTTGGCCATTTATAATCCACGTATACTCGATGATGAAGTCGACCTGTTCTTTCAAGTCTGCAAGAAACTTCGGTTTTTGAAAATGACTCGGGTAGCCATCAACCGGGTACTTTTCGCCTTTTTGGATGACAACGCGGACAAATTCATACTCCCATATATGGGCGCACTGGATCTTCAGAATGTCCAAATACTCAGCCCTTCACATACATCACCATATTGCCTCGGCGTTTTAACCAGAAGGTGTCCAGGATTACGTTCATTTATTTTTTATGATTATCCTTGGCTCCCTGAAATTGAACAAGACAGTGTTCCTTCATATACGCTGACAAATCTATTAGATCTATACTATAAAATCAAAGGACGGAAGTATGGCAGGACTTCTCGCACAGATGGTGGACAAAACGTACGAAGAAGGGAGCAGAGACTCTGCGGTACAATTGAGATACTAGAACTCGATAGAAAAGTAGAAGGGGCTGATGATGTTGTTCAAACAATGCTACTTAATTGTCCACGTCTGATGAAACTGGAGGGCCTAAACACAGTAACAAAAATGTCTGCCACAGAATGGGTCAACACTGGATTGACTGGAATGTTGGTCAGGCTTGAGGTTGATGTTGATCAAAAGATTATAGAAGGTATGCGAATGCAGCGTATTGCATTTAGGTGGCCAGACAAGTTAGCTCAGCTACATATCCTTGACCTGGCATCTGCTCACAAGATGAGGGAAATCGAACTCAAATGGTGCATATATATAGCCACAAGCGACGTAAACTCTTGGGAAGTTTGGCGGGGGCTTCTGCTACCATAACGTTAGTTTTGCTACTGCAATAAGCAATCGCTCAAACTGTATTTCGGAAGATGCTATCTTGCATTGGTTTGAAGAATGACTAAGTCTACAAGTAAATTGATTATGCAACATGTCTTATCTTTCAAGAGCATCCTTCTTTTCATGAACAAAAAACGCAAGCTAATGAAAAGAAATAAAAGGAAAAAATAACGTTCGGCACCTAGCATGTAGTTTAAGTAGAAGACTGTAAGGGGAAGTGATACTCCATCGGTTCTTACTGGGGTACATGAAAAAAAAAAAAAAAAAAAAAAAAAAAAATCATTGGCTTGAAAAAAAATGGCGGCAAAGTGGCAAAATTGTCAACATGTCACGCATTCTTCATCATAATCTCGCTTCATCATTTCTCTTTGCATGGCGAATAGCAAAAACCTGAATCCCTTGGATCTCCCAGAAATCATTTCGCGAGTTGGTGTCTTCCTTAGTCGAGATGATATCCTGCATTGTATCCAAGTCTGCAAGGCTTTCCACAATACACTTGTCAAATCCATTTGGAAAAGGGTCGTTATAGTAGACTCAAGATATCCTACCGAAGAAGCATTACAGAACTACAAGGAATACATTGAGGAGCTCGTATTTCACAATAACTTCCCAAAGGAGTGCGTGTCATTACAAGGCTGTAATCGGCTCCGATTCATCGAGTCTATAGCGCAAGACCCATCCGATCTGAGTCAGGTTGTCAACTTGATCAAATTTCATAGTTCCACAATTACCGGGCTTAGGTTTAGATGCTCGCATTTATGGGGGATATGGGAAGCCCTAATGGAATGCGTCCACCTTGAAACCCTGACTATTTACGATTCAAACATACTACTCGATGGAGTCGATCCTTTTTTTCAGGTCTGCAAGAAAATTAAGACCTTGATCATGTCCGACGTAGGAATCCTTCGGTTACCTTCCGGATTCGTGGACGATAACACGGATGAATTCATTTTTCCAAATGTGCGCAAACTAGAGCTTCAGAATGTTCGGATACGCTGCCCTCTACAACAGCATTCATCATCGTATTGTCTCGGCATATTGACTAGAAGATGTCCAAGATTACGTTCATTGAGTTTCTATGATCTCAGATGGGGCACCCAAAGTACACAGCAAACAGATATCGATTACTACAGGACAGCATTCCAGTATCACTTATACACGCTCACAAAACTATTGGATCTGTCCCTTATAAGTATGCAATTAAAGGACGAGGAAATGGCGGCACTTCTCAAACAGATGACTGAACTAAGGCAGCTAGTTGTCCCAGAATGTGATTTCGGTCCACTTTCCCTTCAAGAATTACTAGCAGATACACAGGAGATTAGGGATGGTGAACGCCTAGTGCGAAAAAGAAGGGAGCGGAGACTCTGCGATACACTTGAGGATCTGAGCTTCAATAGACGAGCTAAAAGCCCCGATGGCATTGTCCAAACAATACTATCTAATTGCCCACGCCTGAAGACACTATGGGGACCTAAAATCACAGTGACAGAGATTGCCAGCGGTGTAGAATGGGTTAGCACTGAACTGACTACCATGGAGGTCATCCTTGAGGTGGATGTTGATCAAAAGACTGTAGAGGGCATGCGAATGCAGCGTATTGCGTTTAGGCAGCTAGGCAAGCTGACTCGGCTACAGAGCCTTGGTCTGACCGGGCTCTATTCATCATATGAGAAAACTCGGACACTAGACTTGAAGTTAAGTGCAGGTCTGGATGAGCTGGTCAACCTGAAGAACCTGCGTTGGTTATCGTTTAGTCGAGATGATGACCAGGAAATCCAACCTGAGGACAACGGATATTTACTTTGCTAATAGAAATGTGGTAATTGCAATAATAAAAGAGGAAACGATGGTGGTCGTTATGACTCGAGCGGTAAATATCTAGCTGCAAAGGACATTCGTAAACTGTTTGGGAGATTAAAAGGACCTTCTGTCAGTTTCGATATAGCAATCAATCAAAGTATGCTTAGAAAATATAGAAACAATGATCAGGTTGTAGAGTGAGGCAATGCATTTTTTTCATTTTGGAAATGATCAACTCTACTTGATTTAAATGTCTTTGCAAAGACATTTTGCTTATATTGGCCTCGATAATATACACAACAAAGCGACACGACGTAAGGCCACGAATGTATCCTGGCGGTCATTGACACGAGCGATAACCAACTGTTTTTATTGATTCAGAAGATCAGAAAATAATGAAAGATGAACTTGTGGCCCTTGCCTTAGGAAGGCCAAGAAATATATATATTTCTGTTATCACGGTCTGCAATTACAAGCAGCTTGTCATATCTATGATGCTGTTTCTCAGGAAGATGACGCATCAGGTTAATTGATTCCGTGATATCTCAAGGAACAAAAGCGCAAACCAAATAGAAGCCCTGTTTAATATTAACAGAGGTATACAGTTAAATTGAGGTAGAGTGATATTCTATCGACCCTGGCCTTAAAAATCTTTTGGCCAAAAAAAAAAAAAAAAAAAAAAAAAGCCGTTCTTGTACACACTCTCAATCTCCTTCCTTCATCTCTTCACATGATGAGCAGCAACAAATTGAATCCCTTGGAGAGTCCAGAGATTGTTTCACTTGTTGGTGAATTTCTAGACCAAGATGATCTCTTGAGTTGCATTCGTGTCTCCAAAATTTTCCATAATACACTCGTTAAAGCTTTATGGAAGAAGATCATTGTTAAATCAAGATACCCTAGTGGGGAAGCACTGCAGAATTACAAGCAACACATCGAGGATCTTTCGCTTTATGGCAACTTCCCAAAGGAGTACGCGTTATTGCAAGGTTGTGTTCGCCTCAAACGTATCGGTTACTATCCAGGAGTATCCCAGGACTCTCTCACTCCTAATCAACTTTCCAATCTCATCAAGGCCCACAGCTCCACTATCATTGAGCTTAGGCTCTACTATTCAAGGTTACAGGATATATGGGGAGCATTGTTAAAGTGCACTTATCTTGAAAACCTGATCATTCGTGAAGTATATATACTTGATGATGAAATCGATCTCTTCTTTCAAGTTTGCAAGAAACTTCGGTGCTTAGACATGACTAACGTAACCATCGATCAGCTACCTTCCAACTTCTTGGACGACAACACGGACAAATTCATTTTCTCCAATATGGACACAATAGACCTTCAGGATGTCTGTATACTTAACCCTCCACTGCCGTATACATCATCATATGGCATTGGCATGTTAGTCAGGAGATGTCCAAGATTACGTTCATTAAATTTCTGTATCGAAAGGGTGCACTACAGCATACGGCAAACACATTTTGATTTCTACAAGGCAGCGCTCCTTCATCAACCCTACACACTGATAAAACTATCACATCTATTCCTTATAAGCATGCAATTAAAGGACGAGGAAATGGCGGCACTTCTCAAACAGATGACTGAACTAAGGCAGTTAGTTGTCCCAGAATGTGATTTCGGTCCACTCTCTCTTCGAGAATTACTAGCAGATACACAGGAGATTTGGGACGCTGGACACCTAGTGCGAAAAAGAAGGGAGCAGAGGCTCTGCGATACAGTAGAAGAGCTGCACTTCTCTACGCTAAGCAAAAGGACGAATGGCATTGCTCAAGCGATCTTATCCAGCTGTCCACGTCTGCAGAGTCTGTGGGGACCTACAATGACGGTGACGGAGGTTGTCAATGGCGCAGAATGGGTTAGCACTGGACTGACTGCCATGGATGTTGGTCTTGAGGTTGATGTTGATCAAGAGACCGCAGAAGGCAAGGACAAGGGCCGCATTGTGTATGAACGGGTCCGTAAATTGACTCAACTACGGCCTTACGATGCTTTAGAGTATAGCCGTCTATTATCTTTTGCAGGCCTGACTTGAGAGAAGAGATAAACGTGGATGAGTTGGTCTGCTTTAGGGATCTATGTTTGCTAGTGGTAACCAATAGCAGATATAGGGAAATAGAATTTAGATACTATGATAGCGAAGAGTTAAGGGATTAGAACTAGAATTACTCTATTCAAGTCCAGTACATTGATGACAGCTAATGCCCCACCAATTAATATAAAGAAAACCTTCTAACTGTTAACAACGATCAATGTCGCAACGATCCAAATATAAGACATACAAAGGAAGCGTAATTCAAGGCACGTTAGTGTCTCGACTTGACCCTATAGTACCCTCTATGTCTGAAGAGCTTAGGTGGACCTAGAGCTACATTGACAGCAATTGCTAATGGTACAGAGTGGGTTTGCACAGATTGACTAATTTATGGGTTAGTCCCATAGCTAATGTTGATTAAAAGACTGTAGAGGGCATGCAGCGTATTACGTTTAGGCAGCTAGGCAAGCTGACTCGGTTACAGAGCCTTGATCTGACCGGGTTCTATTCATCATATGAGAAAACTCGGACACTAGACTTGGTCAACCTGAAGAACCTGCGTTGGTTATCGTTTAGTCGCGGTGATCTCCAGGAAATCGAACCCGAGGACGCGACATGGATTATAAACAATTGATCCGATATCCGAAGCTTGCAAGGTGCTATGAACAACGAGAACTCTGCAATGGCTATTTACCCTAATCGCACAAAATTGGCGGCGTGAAAGACTAGATTATCTCTTCAGAATATGATTCGAAAACATGACTCCTGAATATGAACCTCTGAAGTGATATCTATTATAACAAGAAGAATAAAGGTGATTTTTGTGAGCTGAATAGTGCATACATAGCTATTAAAGGCGTAAATCATCTGGGGAGTTTGACTGGGTTATCTGCTACTGGAAAGCCAGCTTTGATATCCTAGCTGTGCTTGGCTTTCTATCCAGTTGTAATAAGTCAATATATTAATTTAAATCTAGAAATAAAAATGGTGGCAAAATTATCAGTATATATGGCTATTTGCATTCTTCATCTCCATCATCTCTCTTCACATGAAGAACAATAACAACCTGGGTGCTTTGGATATCCCAGAAATTGTTTCCCTTGTTGGTGACCTTGTCAGTCAAGCTGATCTCCTGCGTTGTATTCGCGTCTCCAGTACTTTTCACAATACTCTAATCAAATACATCTGGAAAAGGATCGCTATTATATGTCATTCAAGATACTCTACCGAGGAAGCACTGCAGGGTTACAAAGAATATATTGAGAAGATTGCATTTTATAGCGACTTCCCAAAGGAGTTCAGAAATTTTTGGGTTGAACACATCGGCTACTTTGTGGAATCATCTCAGGACACTTTTTTGAGCGATCTTTCCAATCTCATCAAGGCACACAGCTCCAGTCACCAATCTTGGAATCGAGTCGTATGATTGAGTTTACGGGAACTATGGGAAGCACTACTGAGATGCACCCATCTTGAGGGTTTAAGGCTATCTAAAGCATGTATAAGCGATGGTGAGGTCGAGCTTTCCTTTCAGATTTGTAAAAAAAAGCTGGGACCTTGCACATGTCCAAAGTAAGCATCAACCAGCTACCTTCCGGATCCCTGGACGAAGACATGGATGAATTTTTTTCAAATGTGCGCAAACTACAATCTCAGAGTGTCCGGATACTCAACCCTCCATATCTGCACACATCACTATATTGCTATATTGCCCTGGTACAGGATTACAAATATTGCTATTCAATGCTTTTATTGAGTCCATCGGATATAGAGAACAATCATCTATTGATTTCCATAAAGCAGTATTCCTTTATCGGCCCTACATCCGGACAAATCCACCAGCTATACGTTTTACGTGGACTGAAATAAAGGACAAGGATATGGCGGCACCTCTCAGACAGATGACGAACTAAGATGTCTAGCTATCCTAGATTGTCATGTCGGCGCACTCGCTATTCGAGAGCTACTAGTGGAAAGGCAGGAAACTTCGGATAGTGGACACAAAGTACAAAGAAGGAGGGGCCGGAGGCTCTGTGATACTGTTGAGGAACTGAGTTTCTTTACGGTAAGTGAAAGCAGTGATGGCGTTGTTCAAGTAACCTTATCCAATTGTCGGTATCTGAAAGTGTTCTCTGGATCTACCATTAGTGTAACAAGAAGTGTTGAGGGAGTAGAATGGACTACATATCATGAATGTCGAACTTGAGATTGATGTTGATCGAGAGACTTCAGAAGACAAGGAGAAGGGACGTACTATGTATGAACGGATCCGTAAATTGGCTTGGCTACATTCTTCTAACGCTATAGTGTATATCCGTTTACTATCTTTTGCAGGCATTAAGTTCATTATTAAGGCAAAGAGGCTTATTAAAAGAGTCAATTTGGTCCTTTCTATTTTACTATACATATGTATATGCTTCTCATTCTTCGCTTTTCCTTGTTCCGAAGCGGCTTTGGTCTTTGTTACTATCGGACATATGTCATAAATTGGATCAATCTACGGTATACAAAAGTCTTTTGACGCCTCAAGAGGACTGAAATTTTATTACCAAGGCCGAGAACAAGCGCGTTTTTATCTGGCAAGTATAGTACCAAGAGCAGGGAGGAGCCCGAAAATAATACCAGCGTCACCTCCTAGACCTGCCATGTGTTACAAATTAGCAATAAGGCAGAAAACTGCTTATCAGACAACGCTGAGACATCGGTGTTGGTTAGGAATGTAGAAGAACCGGATGGCCATCGGCGACTTGGATATTGTAATCACTTCAACATAGGATTCATAGGTGACATTGGAAATGCTCTGCTTCTTTCTTTAAGGCGTTGGCTCGAGCCTCGTTAGGCTACAGGCAAGGTCTCTTGGTGATATTGAAAAATGAATACTTTTGTCCCGAACAAATGCCCGCGGCTAGACTGCGGTTGGTTTAGTAATAGAATTATGATATATATAATCTATGTATGGCTCTGTTTGTAGGTCAGCAGTCCGCAGACAAACCTTTAGGGACCATTTTCAGGATCACTAAGGATGCAAAAGATACTCATATTTGTTCAGACTAAGCACCACCATCTTGTCCCAGTCCAGACGGAATACATAGTTACTGCGTTGGTCGATGTTATTGATAAGACTACTCTTTATCTGTCTTCATACTCTTCCTTCTTGAGGGAAATATTACTCCTGTAGTGCCGATAATTCTAGATGCCCGATTGGAATAGTAGATGCGCATAATAATATTCGAGCTGAGATGACATATAATAGACACAGCCATTCGAGCTGTAAACTCCGCGGCCTCAATTTTTTTTTTATTGATTGAGTTGTGAAACGGATTCAGTATATCGTTTATGACATGCGAAGAGAGATATGTATATATATATATATTCATGTAGTTGATTGTTGACGGCGGGGATCAATAAATAGAAAAAGGATGGTGACCCACATGTCAATCCGTGAACGTTATTTAAACTGTTTTCGTCCCACTGTTGACTTTTTTTTTTTTTTTTTTCCTTCACTCCACTGTTTTTTCTCTGCTTCTTCTCTTCCTCTTCTCCACTATCCTTTCATTTTTAATCCCATGGATACCATTCAGGTTAAAGGTAATAAATATAACTTTGTCAAGATGGAAATATGAAAAGGCTGATCACGCTAGTCCGCCCCAATTTGCAGCATGCAGGAACAACTTGAATTATATATTATTTTTTTTCATTTTGTGGCACCATGAATCCAACACTCGATTACAACAAACGGATGCTTCATTCATTGTAATGTTAATGGTTGAACATGAGGATTGATCAACCTTCTCATCTCTACTTCTCTGGGATTTTTTTATTACTATTGCTATTATTATCCTCACTCCTCAGATCGACTGATACCGAGTTTACAGGATAATTTATCTTTACACTGGACTTCAATTGTGCTAAATTCTTATTCGATTATTCGTTTTTGTTTAATGCTAGCCCGTTATTACGTCGCTCAGCTCGACAAGCAGCTGGAGCAATACCCCCAATTGAAGCACCTTGAGATTGCCACCGGTTTGCCCAAGGCCTATGTCGTTCTTGGAGCTGGAGCTTTTGTCTTCTTGATGATCTTCTTCAACTTTGCTGGAAAACTCCTCTCCAACCTCTTAGGATGGGTTTACCCCGCCTACCGTTCATTTAAGGCATTGGAGACTCAACAGAAGGATGATGATACTCAGTGGTTGACTTACTGGTAAATCGGACAAAACTCTTGTTTGCGTTGGGATAAAAGTTTTTTTTTTTTGGGCTGTGTTTCACAACGGAAAAAATATAAAAACTTACCCAAGGAATACTTTTCTGTGCATGCATGTGCATGGTGTACGTTACGCTTTTTTTCCTTATTGAATTAGGACTGTGTACGGATTCGTCTCTATCCTCGAGTCCTTCACTGACATCCTCTTGTACTGGTTCCCCTTCTACTTCTTCCTCAAGACTGTCTTCCTTCTCTGGCTCATGCTTCCTACCTTCAACGTAAGCTGTCTTGGTTTTTTATTTATTTTTGTTACGTGAAAAAGGTTTAGTTTTCGTCTGTACTAGAATGACTAATAGCGTATTGTTGTATTTCTTGATCTCCCATTGACTGAATAATAGGGTGCCTCCACCATCTACACTCGCGTCCTTCGTCCTTTCTTGCTCCAGCACAAGGAGGAGATCGACTCGTCCTATTACAACTTGAAGGCCAAGGTTTCTGCTGCCGCTTCGGAGCTTGATGCCGCTCATTAATGAAAAAAGACTTTAAAGAAAAGCTTTACTTCAACATTTTCATTTCGATATAGAGCCACATTTATTTATTTAGCATTGTGAATAATCTTCGAATTTTCAAATATGAAAAATATGATATGACACTTTTATATAAATATGCGCTGAGCGTTTTTAGAAGCATGTAAAGGACCAATTAAACTATGGTATAATGGTATTTTAAGTTCGTTTTATCCTTTTTTTTTTTTATTCTACTTTTTATTTATTTTGTTATGTTTTGTTATGTTTTTTTTTTATGATCTCCTGTCAAATGTCTTTTTACTTTCTGCCACCTTGAGCAGGTTGTTGCCTTTCACGTCGTGCAGCGTCCTGAAGCAATGCTGTATCAACTGAAGGGGCAGGCAACTGTACGTAACGAACAACTGATCCACGAATGAAGCAATTCTTGACAGCGAGCTATTGAGATTGAGAAAGTATAATAAAGTGATAGAGCATAAGGCACACAGGTTTTTTTTGTATATCGAATCATAAATATTTACGGAATTAGAACGTTCCGGTGATTTTCTTATTGTCCATAAGACATTCATACTGAGTCGCCATTGGCACTATCAATATGTGGTTGTATTGTATCTGGTTGTTATGTGTGTAATACAATGCGTGTCCATGCAATAAATAACAGGGCAAGTGTTATGGAGATCCTTGATCCATGCTCTTTGATCTAATGTTATTCCAGCTCTCCAGGGATTCCTGACCCAAGACTTTTCTTTTTCTTTGGCTTTCCCAGAAATTTCATACCATATGTGGATAACGCTCCTCATCTACAACCTTGATATTATCGAGTTTGATGTTCAAGAACTGGTCCACAGAGACTAAGACGCCTGTAATAGCCAAATCGTTCTTCAACTCAACTGTTACTGGTTGACCGACCAAGGTCTTGAAAAATGAATAGAAGAGCTAAGTCGTAAATCAATAAAAGAATGACGAGAAAAAAAAAAAAATAAAATAAAAAAAAAAAAAAAGATAGGAATGACAAGGTATGAGGGATTGCTATATTTTTTCCATAGCGATATTGTTATAACCACGACTCGGTTTTTTCTTTTTCTTTTTTTTTTTTTTTTTTTTTTTTTTTTTTTTGGGTTGATGCAACTGCTGAAAAGCTGATTCCTCTGCCTTGAGGCATTGTTCCAAATTGAAAGTCTTTTATATTTGTCAACACAATTTACAATCCTGGCTCAAACATTCACTGATTGATGCAAAATTACTGCATTGAGTCTCCTATATGCCTTTGAAGTAGAGCTAAAATGCTGTCCGATGCTTTGTCCTTGATATCTTGTCATATGTTCCTTTGTATTGTGTATTAATAAGCTCACCATTATGTCGTTTATGGAAAGGCGTGCAGAAGACGCGCGAGTGAAAAAAAAAAAGTGGGTGGAGAAGCGTGAAAGAATGTAAAACTGAAATATGTATTTTCTTGAATTATTTCAATGCAAGTCACCTTCCTGCTACGTCGTGGTGCAAGACGAACTTTTAAGCTCAACAATAGAATCAACACCGTCAACGAGCGCCTTCAACCTCGAGGTCACCATCAGTGACCCATCAAAAGCAGCTCTGTCAAAGGTCCTTTAAGCTCCGACTGATAACCAGTTATTGTTGCGGTTATTTTTGAAGAAGACTATATCCACAGATAAGGATAAAAAGAGCGAGTCGCGCAGCGTTAGAAGGACGATGGCCATACATTCTCGAGTCTCTCTTTTAAAACGTCATCAAACCCCTAAAGACACCTACTTTGCCATCAATTTGGCAATGCTACAGATAATGATAATGAGTGAACTTGCTAGCTTAAAGGCTCACGGCAAAAGGTTGATGAATTTTCGTTGAGATCCATTTTTAAAAGCATTTGCCGATTCTGATTAAACTTTCGGGTGCTCTTACAGCTCCCTGTTACGTACCGAGGCTTGGAGTGTGCCTCAAAGGCACCATAAGGTCAGAACATTGTGTGGCGGCCATGGCAGGATCTTAATAGGAGGCTCTCGCCTGGCAACAATAATAAAAACAGCCTTTGGTCTCCTTGACATTAAGACCAGAGAACATTTCACTTCCGACCCCAAGCTCCCATCTCCAATCGTACTTTCAGTCACCAGAATACTGTTGTTCAACAAAAAGTAGAAATGTAACTTCCAGTGATCAATATTTACCCTATATATCTGCAGTTCTGGCTCTCCTTGATGCTATAACTCTTCCATTTGCAAATGATATTCGCCGAAGCCATCCACAACCACCGTAGTTTTTCGAATACGCTGGGACCTCTTGAACAGATCGCAATAGCATTGAGACGGAAACGGGCCTTATGAAAACTCCAGATCACCATGCATTAGAGGATCTCTTTCCTTCGACGCAACGGTTCTTAGAGATTGGGAGATAATGATTAAAAATAGTGGTCTGGAAACTTACGCGAGAAATAATGCCTCGGCAATCAGCAGTCAATTTATACGTGCCGCTGCTAGGCCATCTAGGTGTCCTATCGGCGCGTCTTCTACGTGATAAGTGCAGACTAACACATGTATGTGTTGCCAAGACAGCTAATTCGACAGCGGATAAAATTTTTAACACTTTTTTCGATTCACGGGAAGCCAAGAATATGGCGCCAAAGAACGCTTCTTTGTTTCGCCGAAATAGAATGCTGTATATAGAACTCTCAATAGTATCAAGGTGACGGTGTAGGGCGGATTTAAGAGTCTTAAGGTGGTCAATAATCATGCTTCATGTCAACTCTACAATGAACTACGCCAAAGAGCTTCTGCACCTTCACTCTAACCTCAGCTATGTATGGTCGGGTAAAACGAAGCGCATGGTCATGATGTTAGTCAACAAAAGCGGCACTAAAAAACGAATTCATACCTACAGATCAATACCAAGAGCATAAAAACCTGCAGACAAAGCTCTATGCTAAAAGAGCAGGAGGAAAGTTACCATGGAGTCACTTAACAGAACCAATATCAGTAGATTTTGATACTCTAGGCGATACCCATGGATATATTAGAAATGCAGTACAATGTAGATACTGTTGAGTTTATTATGGTCTCGTAGAGGGCCCAACACAGCCTAGGCGACTGGTTCTTTATTCCTTCTTTTGTTCACAGAGCTATTGGAGCAATGACTATTCTCGTTCAGATAAAGAGCCTTCTGCAACACTCTTCATCAGTTATAAATAGATCATCAAAGACCCCTTATTTTACTCATAGAACCATTTGAGTACTAACTGCTCTCGTTCGGCCTTTTTGTGTCGTGCATTTCTTATCAGTGTTCGAAGTATTTTTCTATTTCTGTAGCTAGCAGTGGCCGGCTTCACAAACCATCCAAGAACTACATCTCTAATCCCAACTTTTTCAACAATAGGCTATTCGAGAAATATTTAAAATGGAGGTTGAAATGGCAGACAATTCTATTGATACTGATTCGCAAGAAAACATGTTGAGAGACTCAAGGACGTTTAAAGAAATGGGCTAAATGTAGCCACTAATTATTTGGTTTTATGATTTTTGGTATTGCCTTACTATTTTGGTTCGTGGAGGCGTTTCCTTTTTACTTTGATAGCTCGCTATGGTCTGGATCTTAAAGGTAAGCTCCTTTGTTGAAGGTTGCTTTGGGTACAGTGGGGCAATAGGATGCATCAGTGGCGTAGGAGCCGGTGGTGGCATGCCCAATGGCGAGTGTGCCAATAGCAGGTGAGATGGCAGCTGAGCTGCCGGTGATGTAGAGACTGGGGACGGAGATATTGATTGCGAGAGTGTCGTGTTCGGGATATTTTGTCCCAACAGGCTCTGCGCCTGTTGCGGTACAGTCTCGGCTACAGGCACGTAATAAACAAACGAGTTTTTTTGACTCTAACTTTTCAGCAATCTGTGATTCCATTGTCGAGTGTTGCGGGAAAATAGATAAGTGGTGAATGGGGTAAATGGTCTGACCATAAAAGAAGCGGCGCGGCAATTTAAACCTTCCTTTTTTATATTGTCTCGTGACTTACAAAGCCACGCATAGGTGCGTATACAAAGTAACTTCGCCCTGAGCACTTCATAACTGGACATTCCATTGGCAACTCATTTCCTTTGCACAATCAGCAAGCTCAACAAGCCTAATAGAGCTGTCGATAGGATTTTTGACAAGAATAATTTGATTTCAATATATAGGCAAACCACGGGGGTTAAATATTAAGTCATGTTGACTCCACCTGAGCAATTTGGTATTGTCGAGCCAGGACTTTACCGTTCAGACACGCTACACCCATCCCATTTTCCATTTATCCGCTCACTCAACCTCAAAACCGCTATTCTTCTTACACCAGAGCTTCCTTCGCGTGCCATGTCTAATTTTTTTGAAGAGAATCAAATCCGTCTTATTGATTTAGCACTAGGATCATGGAAGAATAATATGTCCAACAATAGCATTAGTAACAATAGCAATAATAATAATAGTAACAACAATGCTGCTGATGGACAAGGAATAGGGGAAGCAGTTAGTGGGTCTGGAGCTGGAGCTGGAACTGGAACTGGGACCGGAAGCGGTGGAGCATTGGCAATAGCAGGAGGGGGTACTAATGTCACGTTGACAACACCTTCAGTTCCCGCAGCGCCTTTCCAAACTAGCTGGTGGAAACCATTAAGCGAAGAACTAATCAAAGATGGTCTGGAGATGGTTTTGGATGCCAAAAATTACCCCATCATCGTCATGGATACGTAAGTTCTTTTATTACTATTATTGTTTTTCCTATTCCTTACAAGATGCTCATAAGTTCTTAATATCATTTATTACATTAATGTGATCATTAGGTTTGATCCTTAATCTTTTTTTTATCACTATATATTTTTTTTGTCATTGCTGATAGATCTGGTATTCATGAGATTGGAACATTTATGGGATGTCTGCGTCGACTACAGCATTGGAATTTTAGTTCGATCATTGTGGAGTATCGTGCGTATGCAGGAAGTAAGGCACGATATGTTAATGAGCAATTCATAGAGTTGTTTGATATTGATTGGATCACCTTGCCAGAATGTCTGCCAACATGGTGGATTGAACAGGAACAGATGTGGGTATGTTTTCAAAAACCTTTTTCTATCATTTTTTTATCTTTTTGATGATATGGTGGTTTGAACTTGAATATGGAAGAGCTTCAATTCATTTACAACTTTAAAATTGATAAAAATGGTGATAGAGAGAAGAAGAAGAAGAGAGAGAGTTGCAGTTGGAGAAGGAACGAGAAGCTGCAGCATGTCAACAGAACGAACAGAAACAACAACTACAACTATAGCAGCAGTAGCAGTTGATACTATATATATACATACTATAATTCTATGAATAACTTCATGGCCTCAAAATTAAGTAAAAAAGTGACGACTCAATTAAAATTCCCTTAAAAAAAATAACGAAAACAAAAACAAACAAAATCAAACGCGACGCGAATTTTGTCCCCCCACTTTTCTTTTTTCCTACTCAGACCTACTACTCAATTCTTTTTTTCTTTTATTTTTTCCTACCATCGTCCACAACTATTCATTCCCTCCTCTTGCACTATGAGCCCTACCAATGCTGAGAAACGCACCATTGAGATCGATTCCCAACCCAACCCAAAACGCATCCACCACGACGATTCACTTAAACGCTCATCTTTAACTCCTACAGCGACTACTGTCATTGTGACTGATACAGCAGAAACAAAGACAACAGAAGCAGCTATTCCAGCTACTTCAGCCACTCCAACCTCTTCAACTACGTCAACACCAAATACCACTATCGCTGCTGTTACTCCTGTCGAGTCTGTAGAGGGTAAAGGACCCAAGTCAATTATGCTCGGTCCTTTACTTGTCAAACGACTCTCCGAGAAGGCTCGAATTCCTACCCGTGGAAGCAAACATGCTGCAGGGTTCGATCTATACAGGTAACTCAATTAATTTGTTTTTATTTTTATTTTATAATTTAATTAATACTAAAAGAAAAATGTTTTAATTATTTAGCGCAAAAGCCATGACCATCCCTGCAAAATCTCAAGGTGTCGTACCTACAGATATTAGTATTGCTATTCCTGAGGGCACTTATGGTCGAGTAGCACCTCGAAGTGGCCTTGCTGTCCGTCACTTTGTTGATGTTGGCGCTGGAGTTGTTGATTATGACTATAGGGTAACTATTTTTTTTTTTTTCTTTTTTGTTTTTTTATATTAATTCTTATTATTTATTTACTTGCTTTTTTTTTTTTTTTTTTTTTTAAAAAAAAAAAAAAAAAAAAGGGCCCGATTGGTGTTGTCTTATTCAACTTTGGGCAGAATGATTTTGTGGTGGAGGAAGGAGATCGTATTGCTCAATTGGTCTTGGAGAAGGTTCACATGTGTGAGGCTGTTGAGGTGAAGGTAAGGGCCATTTTATTTGATATTCACTTTTATGGTTACCACATGCTCGTCATATATAATAATGGTAAGAGTGATACTAACGAGAATAGATACTAAAATAATAGGAATTGGATTCTACTGAACGTGGATCTAGTGGATTCGGTAGCACTGGTGTCAAGCTTGTATAAAAAACCCCTCATTTATCAACAAAACAAAAATACCATTCGCTGTTATTAGAAGTTTTCTTGTCTTATTAGTGTAGTTTGTTGTTTATTACTGTTATTGATCTGTAAATATTCAAAAATAAATATATATAATTAATGCTTCCTATTTACTCTTGACTAACGTCATGATATATACTATGGATTTCAAGCCATTTCTCATGTTAGTTACAAGATGACGCGTTGTTGGAATCTGGAGTGGAGACTGGGAGAGAAGAAAGGGTACGACTCTGAATATAAGCTGAGGCTGGGACTGGGATCGAGATTGAAGCTAAAGGTGAAGTTGAAGTTGAGGTTGAAGTTGAAGTTGAAGTTGAAGCCGAAGGTGGAGCGAGGTCATCGACTGAATGAACACATGCCAACTCTTCATACGTTGGAGGTTTGCCTGCGATCAACGTGAATGGAGGAGGACTCACATCCTGTCCATAAGAAGGTATTACAAAGGAATCTATGCTCTCCGAAAATGCCGTGCCACGTCCTCCAGCAGCGGCACCGTAAGGCTCCTGAGCATATGGATACTGAGGAATGATCACCCCTGTCCGAACCTGATACATGTTCAATCGTGCGGCCAATGTCATTTCATTTGCTGGCACCAGATGGGTACCAGCGGTTGCATAGGCATTACCATGTCTTTGAAGAACCATAGGATGTAGTGTACCGTGAGATCGAGCTGTAGTCAAATTTTGCTGTCGTTGCTTAATGACAGCATTGTACCGGCGATTGATACGCAGACAATGGAGAAAGACAGCCATGAAGCATACAAGAGCCAGTCCACCTAAGATCAATTGGACTGCAAGGCTGGAGAGTGGAGGCTGACCTTCGGGGTTGTGAATGGAGACTGCTGTTGCTGTTGCTGTTGGTGTTACAGAAGGAGATGAAATAGTTAAAACTGTTGAAACTGCTGCGATAGAGGTAGGAGTGAAGCCATCAAGTAGAATACGGGAAAATGTGGAGGGTGCTCTGGAGGTTATTGCGCTTGGAGTAGAGTCAAAAGAAGGCATTAACGCGCCTGAGGCGCGTTTCTTGACAGACTGACTCTTTTTCCGCTTCCATTTCTTTAGATACTGACTTTTGTGGTTGTTATCGTCCTTATTATTATTATTACTGTCTATAGAGCCGATCCGCTGCAACAATACAGATGATTCTTGTATCGAACCGTTTTCTATGATGTAAGCATGATCTATGCTATCTACATGTCCATCATCTTTTGATACCGCTGATGGACTCAGAGACGAGGTCTGAAGCCTGCTTCTGTATGTATTGTGATATAAGTAAGCAATTGAACCCATTGCTTTTTTTTGCTTTTTTCCTTTAAAAGAGAGAAAGAAATAGAGTGTGAAGAGGAAACAAAAGTAAACAGTCCAAATGACAGAGAACATGCACAGATTGTAAAGACTAAATAATTGCGGCAGAATGGCATTTGATGCAGAGGACAGTAGAGTGATTAAGGTGTAAATATACTACATAGACTCTGAAGAAAGGAATGGAGAACAGAAGATAGAAAGAGAAGAAAAACAAATAACAAAATAGGAGGAACAATTGGACTTGATCTGACCTGACCTAACCTGACCTGGAAAGGAGAAAGACAAGAGATTAACTTTCCACCTTTATAGTAATGCATAGATCCTTTTTTTTTTTTTTTTTTTACAGGTACGCTAATGAGGTACCGTTGGTTTTTTGAAATAAGCCTGTCTTATTTAGCAATGAGTGACAAAAAAAATGCCTCAAGAAGTGAGCATGTTCTGCTACGGCCCCAAGCGTTGAAAGATGCACAGTGCATACTATGTTACATGCATACAGAACAGTGCAGAGCAGGATAGGTAATGGTGTGGATGATCGTCATTTATCTGCGAATAGGAGAAATACCGCAAAGCTCAAAAAAAAAAAAAAAAAAAAAAAAAACAGACTAAATACAGTATTGGTGTACATATACATGTACACATGATGCTATTAGTAACTGTAAAAAGTTGTAGACTGCAGACTCCCTTTCTCTGCACCCTTTGAACGGGCGCAAAGACAATATGTTTGGTGATCGCCCAATTGTGCATGACTAGATTTGTTTCTGTGCCACCAACAAATGCGCCATTTCTTTATTCTTAAATTGAGAAGTCTTTTTTTTACATCTTTCTCGACAGAGGAGGACAAATGAAAAATAACGCGTTTCGTGGGAACAATGAAAGAGAAGGGAGCCTGACAATAAAGAGAACAAGATAAAATAAGCGCATTGAGTTAGTCAATGTCTTTAATCTGTTGGGTAGTATTTACAGTTGACCCTATCCCGAAGTTTGTTAAAGGACCTTGATTCAAAAATTAATACAAATAGCAGAAGGTTTCATAAATCTCTGGGCTGCCTAGAATGCGTATATAAGTATAGATATGGTAGTATCGTAGCCCTTTAATTGATGACATCTATCTAGTCTCGCGTGTCAACGAGAAACAAAAATTGACTACGCCACTCAAGGAGCAACCTTACAAGACTAACTTAGGGCGATGTCGTCCAAAGCAGCAGCACCAGAACTCAAGCGGTACAAATGTATTCTCATGCAGAGAAAGCAAATCCTACAGATAAAACTTCAATTGGCATGATTGTTTGTTGACATCTTTATCTTTTTTTATCTTTATTTTCTGCCATCACATTATCTTACACCGTCTTTCTGAATGTTATAGTTATATATACCATTGGTCATCCATGGAATGAGTGTTGTTGCTGTGGAAGCATTACTAATATCAGATATTGAAAAAAGAGGTTTATAATGACTTCAACCCAATAATGGGAGCAGACAGCAACAACATCAACATTATTCTTCCAATAACTCGTCTTCACAATGCTTGCTTGCAGTCTTCCAGGATGATTCCAAGAAGGAAGGCAAAATCCTACTGTGATTTTTTTCTCCACCAACATCATAATGGCTTTATATAGCTAGCTCATACACAATCTTTTCAAGATCAAAGAGAGAGGAAAAGGAGCGACGTTATCGAGGAGCAATTCATCTACGTTGGATGTGGAGTAATAAGCCACCTTCGGGATTGTTCAACGACTTCTTTTTGATTCAGTGAGCCATTGTTTCGAGTGCTCTTTTCTTATTCGCTGCTGACAGATCCTTCTTCCAACCTTCTCTCGCCCCAACTTTCTCCTCTCTCTTCTCTTCTAGCCTCACCCGTATTATCATCTTTCTTTTGCCCTTTCTCTTCTCTGATCCCGACAGCTAATATAAAAGATAAATCACATCAAAGAGAGGAGTGAGAGCGTGGACTGAAGAGCCGCTTTCTGTTCCTTACTCGTTTGTTTAGCTTCAATAAAATATACCCCACTAGCTCCAACCATGGCATCTTTTGACTCGTTCTCATCCTCATTCATCCCACAAATTCAAAGACCAAGGGAGTCGTTGTTACACTCTTTAAGAGAACGTGAACGTGGTGCGAATCGAACCAAGTCTCATGTGATTGCAGCTCGACGACTTTATAGGTCCATTCACCCAAACACAACCATTCATGGAGTTGACTGTCAGTTCTCTAACCTCAAAAAGTTCACACCTTGTGGTCAGGTAAATCTATGCCTCTACCATGGAACTTTATGACAAATAAAAACAAGTAACAAGAATGAGAATGGGGAGAGTGAGGACCATACTTTCCCTCGGTTTTTTTCCTTCCATATGCTGCTGCTCCCCTCTCTCTTCCCCTCTCTTTCCCTCCTAATCACTCTTTTCTTGATTTCTAATCCAGCCTGACCCTTTTTTTCTTGATGGACAAACTTGTGTAGTACCTAATAGGGATGTCCAAGAATTACCGTGCAGTACATATTTATCGCTTCAAAGGTTCAGGGAATCCTCCAGAGGAGCGTATGACAGAGTCAATTCGTTTCAAAGACTTTTTCGAGCTCAAGCATGAGACGCTGGTTCCGAAAGAGTCTGAACTGCTCTCAAAGGACTTTTGTCTGGTGACTGCGAACGGACGCTTTGTAAGTGGACCTTCCGGCTTTTTTTCTTTTTCTTTGGAAAACAGCAACCCTGCACTCTCTCTCCACTCCTGGAATAGTTGTTGGAGTGTGGTCCCGACCAATTGATTATAAAAAGATGAATAAGGGGAGGAGTTAATGCTCTTTCTTTTTTTCTCGGTTATTTCCAGCTGTGTTGCATAATCAGGACGTGAAGCGTCTTTTCTTTCCTTTTTTTTTTATTATACAATACACCATTAATCTAATGATCCTCTCTGGATGAGAACACGTTTAGATCATCGTTGCTGCAGTCTCACCTAACACTGGAACATCATCAGATAATCGAATGTACCCTTGCTCATTGAGCTGTATACCCAACTTGGAAACAATTGTATTTTATGTCGTCGAACTAGAAACAGGAAAGGTATTAGAAAAAAAGGAAGAAAAGGTCATGAGAAAGCAAAAAAAACACTATTTTTTTTTCTCACAGATCTCCGAAGTAACAGCCAATTGATCACGATCCAATCGATGACATTTTTTAGATTGTTGATAAGAGAGAATTCAAGAATGAGTCTATCACGGTTCCGCACCATTTGGGCGTTAGTCTGTACGACTCCTTGTTTGCTGTAATGTTGATTCAAAGTCAAGCGATTCAAATTATACACATCAAGGTATCAAATGGTTCACGCGGATAAAATCATTTTAAGGGCAATTGCAGATCCCTATCATGGGTACTAAACAAGACTCCTGCTTTTTTTTTTGTCTTGTTTTGTTTTTGTTTTTGTTTTTATCCATTCATAGAGCAATGGAAAGATGATTGATCTACATCGGATAGGCTGGTTCAATCATGAGGATGATGAGTTGGTGCTGGCACGGTATCGAGATTTTAACGAGAACTATCTTGCACGACAGACAATCAAATCTGCCTCGCCCTATTACCATCTCGGATATAACCTCAAGGACGAAGACATGGGTGATCTCAGGACAAAGGATCGTCTGGACTCATTTGCGTTAGCCCCAACGATGCCTAATACAGCAGAATTCTCTGTAGACGCCACATATCATCAAGTACCTTCCAGTTCCAGCAGCAGCATAGGCCATCCATCACGACCTGCCCATCCTAACCAATCCTTTATATCTCAGCTCGCTTACAACAACCAATCTGTATACTGTGATGAGGTATGAGCAGAGTAAGATTCTATACATCTTTGTATTTTAGTGCGACCATCAATTAGGCTTATAACGTGCATTTTTTTATTTATTTATTTATTTATTAGCCACATTCTCAGATGATCAGTGGAATCAAGCAACGACTGATGGCGTACCTTTTCAGAAAGGCTTTTAATGCAGATGATGGGTAAAAATTGATAGAATAATTATCTTTTCTTTCCGAACCATTTCCGTTAAAATAGATCGCTAATTATTTATTTCTTATTTTTAATAATACTTTAGTGGTGCTGCGCTTCGACATTTCCATCTGACGTTCCACCAATTCGCTAATCTGACCATGTGGCGTATGCAACTTTTAGACGAATCAACATTGCTTATCAAGTTTGGGAAACTGGACTGTGTTGTTGGGCGTGTAAGACGGCCATTCTATGTTGAACACCTGCTTTTGGCATACCCTTAAATTTCTTGTAACAATGTTTAACGGCAATTTTTTTTTTCCTTCATCTCGTTAATTCAGCCTGCGGATAGTACTTACCAGACAGCATTCTTTGTCTTTTACGATATTCGGACCACAGAAATCTTGGCAGTGTACGATAATGCTTCGGAAGAATTTCTCAAACTGTATGAGGCGTGGGCTGATCAATTCTGTGCAACCGCATACACAACCGCAGGACGGGACAAGCGCCACTACTCGTCCACCTGCTCCAACAATATATATGCCAAAGACAACCTCAAAAAGACTCAGTATGGAATGAGGCATGCACGAAATGGAGGGTAATGAGAGACATTAGTTGTGCATGTCATCGGAAATAGTATAATTTCCACTTTTTTGTTCTTCCTTGGTTAGCTGACGCTTAAGCTTTCACTGCCTTGACGTGTGTTTATATACCGTAGGATAGCGCAGGCAATCAAGCGCTCGCTTTGCGTACTCCCTTATAGCCCACAATCCCTTAGTGACAGTCCATACCTCGATCAAGCACTATTCAGCTATGATGAAAAAGTTGTCTCGGCTTCTGATCGCCAACGGCCATGTCAAGATTTTCCGATTAAATTCTATCTTCGTGGAAGTGGGCAACTCAGATTCAAGATCCATTTATTCAAACCAGGTTCATTGAATGGAAATAATAATATTGGAAATAGCAGTAGCAATGTCAACAGAGGCGAAGCTTTCAACTCAATGGCTGTGTTTGATCCAGCGGCTCGTAATAACAACATGATCAGTCATCCTAACCACAATGGCATTGGTATCGGCAACAACATCCATGCTACTATCAACATCAATAACAACAACAATAACAATAATATTAATCATAATAATGCTGGAGATAACATTGGCAATGGCACCATAAACACAAACATGAACATGAATATGAACATGAATATAAATATGAACGTAAACATGAACATGAACATGAACAATAATAGCACCAACAACAATACTACAGCAGCCAGCAATGCGATCGTTCGATCCAAGAGATTTGTCACGTTTATTCCCCACCCGTTTGAACCATTTATCATCTCTGTGATCCAAATTCCTTCACAGCCTCCGGTGCTGAACTTGCATCTTTATCGATCAGACGCGGAGCCATTGTAATTTGTACTATATTGTATTTGAGACAAAGAAAGAAAAAAGCATGGTTTGACTTTCATTTGTTGAATATTGTAGCATTATTCTAGCATTTTAAATCCTATTAAAAAAAAAAAAAAAATAAAAAAATAAAAAAATGTGACTGTAACCATTCATGACTAAAACAAGTAATAAATTTCTTTGAGTGGGCGATCAAATTCAATTTCTCTTGACAATTCTTTTCAACATTCAACATTCAAAATTAAAACTAGCATAAATGGGCTGGTTTTCAAGGTCATCAACAACGATAACACCCGCTACTGAAGATCCACAGCAGGAGACGTCTTCAACCTCGATTCTGAAAGCACCTGTGGATGTACCCATAGGACCTACACCTGTCTCTGCCACTACCAAGGCACCGTTCAAGGTCGAGGCCGCAAAGGCTGTTGCAGCAGTGACATCCAACGAGTCATTGGAGAGTTTGAAAGAGACTGTTGCTAAAATGGCGATGGCTGCCAATACAGATGATACAGATCATACCGACAATAATACCACTACGACCCCATTAGCCTCCTTAGAGACATCAGAAACGGAGGCAGAAAGAAAAACAAAAACAGGACCCGAACTAAATGAAGGATCAGGATTAAAGCCAAAGAAAAAAGCACCAGAAATCCTGGACTTTGACGAATACAAGACATCAGACGATGTTTTTGATCGCTTCAAAGTTGGAGATGCTATAAACCGACTGGCAGCATGTTCCTGTAAGTTGTTTTTTTTAAAAAAAGAAAAAAAAAAAAAAAAAAAAAAAAAAATTGATATTTCACCACCTGTTTTTTTATTTAATTATTTATTATTTCCTTGTTTATATCAACTCTATATGGACTCCAACTACATAACTACGTAATACACGGCAAATTTAAAGCTTTGGGATCCAACCTTCGCAATTACTATCGTTTTGGAGCATACAGAGATTGCAAGGATAAATATGACCATTTAAAATTCTGTTTGAGCCTCAAGACCAAATCTTCGCAAGTGGCACAGGTCATGATTCAGAAACGTGACGCAGAGATTCGAGCCAAAAAGAAAAGCCAACCTAATTCAGAAGATGTCTGGGTTGCAAGGAGGTAAGGAAGAAACAAAGAAAAAAAAAAAAAAAAAAAAAAGATTGATATTAATAATAATAACGTAAAATAGTTCTCCGATAATGATGCTTAAGAAAATTAATTCTTTTGAATTCTTAACTCTTAGTCATCCTCCTGAAGAACTACAACAGTTATCAAGAGGAGAAATAGACGACGACTCAGACACCTTTACAAGCGATTGATTTGAAGAAAAAATAAAATAAAATAAAAATAGAAAAATAAAAAAGGAAGAGGAATAAGAAGAAGAAGAGATAGATCGAGCAAAATAATGTATGGAATTTATGATCATAATAGTTTATTCGTTAAAAAACAGTGTGGGTGTGGGAGGGGGGGAAGTTGAATCAAAGGCTCAACATTATATAAAATGAAAGAGCAATGGATAGAGATAAAGATGACATTGATGAGAACTATTGAATGGTATAAAGGAACAGGGCAAAGAGAGGAAGAGGGAGAGAAATTAATTATGATGGTTATCTTATTAATAATCTTGGGCTGATGATGGATTCCAATGAATAGTCGACGCTGCGGCATCCGAATGTGTCTCTGAAATTAGTGTCTGTCTTATAATTAATTTTTCTGATGGTATCGAGGTCAATCGCTGTTGCACAGATGTGGGTGTTGGTGTAGCATTATTGCTGTGAAGACGTGCTCTTTCAGAAATAGATTCTGAATCATCTATAGCCTGTTGACTTAAAGACGACGGTGGCACACTCCAGACGCTCTCTGGAGAATCATACAATGGTGTCTCTGCAAATGAGCCTGAGTCGTGAGGAGAGCTATTCATTAACTCGCGGCGAAGATCCATGGGCTGCTGATGAAGGTGCTGTGCCTGCCGTCGATGCTGCTGCTGTTGCTGTTGATGCTGATAATGATGGCCACGGAAATCTTCCTCGTCGTCTTGATCGTCTTCATCATTATAAAGATTATCACCTCTGTGTCGGGCCTGGTTCAGGTCTCGGAAAGCAGCTGTATTCCTGCGCGAGCTAGCGCCTTTGGCATAAAATTGCTGTTCAAAGAGTTGCTGTTGATATTGAGGCTGTTGTTGCTGATACTGCTGATACTGCTGCTGTTGGTGGCGAGCAAGTGTCGACGGCAATACTTGAATACTAGAAGAATGAGATCCTGATCCTACAGGTCCTCCGCCGCCTGTTTCCGAACTTCCTCCTCCTTCACCTCCTTTTGTAGAACCACCACGCTCGCTTTGCGACATTTCGGAATTCAGGCTGCGATTGCTGGGCTTCCGAGCTACTTCTCGTCCATCCTTGTTCTTGGACTGGATCAATGGTTGGAAATAATCAAAGATCAAAGTGGCACCACGACGTTGAGCCCACCAGAGAAATAGTAATTTGCCGAGGTTGTACCCAGGTATCCAATCCAATAAAAATGACGACCAAGTATCGACCACTTGGACAGTGCCATAGATGCTCCAATAGGCCAGCCATTGTCGCGTAGCCTTGTCTTTACGCTTTTGAGAGAACTGTGCCCAGCGACGACGCATCCTTTGTTTCATCCTCTCTTCCACTGTCACCGAAACCGAACCACTGGTAGAGGTGATATTATCGAAATCAGAGTAGGCGGAATATTCAGATGGGCGGCCCCAAGATGAGCTAATAGATCGACGACTGCTCTCATAATCCTCCTCTGGACTACTGTTACCACTATTGCCGCTGTTGTAAGAATTACTGCTTTGCATAGATTCTTCTAACATGCTGTTGGTACTCATCCGATGACGATTCTTTCGTGCACGGTTTCTATTATTGGAGGATCGAATACTACCGCTGGTACTATATATACTGTTTCTCCGGCGGTGACTATATACAGGGCTATATTCTGTTGGCTCTAAACCTAATCCTTTTGGCGGAGGGATCGGGTCGCTATTGATGGTTCGGATGGAGCAATAAGCCGGGTACGCAACTGCGCAGAGGTTTGTGGTTAGATAGACACTTCGTTTGTAGAGTTGTCGGCAAGCATAGAGTGTAAGTAAGCAAAGGAATGAAAAGACATGTTGAGGTTTGAGGCCGATACGGAAGAGAATAAATCGAAAGATGAAGCTTTCAGAGAGAAGAGATTCTATTTGTTCTATTCGAGAGAGGTGGTGACGACGGATATAGAAGGTAATGGAGGATAGATTTAGAGGCACTGTGGCCTCAATGCGATCTAAAGTTCGGTCCAGAAGCGCTGTGAAAGGCCGAGGTGCATCTGTCTGTGTAGATGAGTCTACTTTGGCGCGTAAGTAGGACGCCATATCCTTTGCATATGTATATCTGGTGAATGCAACCCAAAGTTGCTTGGCACGGTTTGGCTTGGCTTCGCTTTGCTTTGGCAGGCAATCACCAGCTTACTTTTTTATTGGTGGAGAGTGAATCTATTGTAAGGAAGACAGAGTCTTTATGAAGAAGAGGAAGAAAGAGAAGAGAATAAACGAATGAAAAGAGGAATGCCAAGACGAAGCGGGTTAAATGATGAAGCATCGGTCCGAAAAGATATTGAGTTTAAAAAAATCGCATTTCACGTGGGAGAAGAGAAACAAAAACTTTGTTTGTTTTCCAATATGACAATACATAAATATATCCCACAAAGAAAAATAAAACGTGGCTTTTCGTCGCGTGGGTCTACAGATAGGTTATTCGTAGATAATCAAGATGTTCGGTCTACAAATTCATGTACTAGTACGAAATTCAGATATTTAATTGAATTCCTCGCATCTGATATTGCTGTACTGCTGCCCACCATTAGAGAGTGTTGTGTAAGTCATCAGTCTTGAGAACATTTAAAAAGAAAAAAAAGAAGCCAACAAAATGCGCCTTATCTCATCCATCCAATGATATAATTGTCTCATGTAAATTTAATACCAATTGATAATCAAGGTCCAGAATGTGAGAACTGGAGTAATGTGTAATTGTTCAGGAGTCTGCCATCTAGTCAGGTCAAAAAGCACGTCGAACCTTAAATTATCGGGATCAAGCATGCTGCCAGAGCAGAAACTGTAAGCATTATTTCGAGTGCACGTGGTTTGTGACTATGTAATGGATCTACTGTTTACCTTTTTTTTTTTTTTTTTTTTTTTTCTAGTTTGCCTGTACATCATCAATAAGCCAATACCCTCCTATACTTTACACTCATTAACATAAAACCATGTTGCGAACAATGTGAGTGCTAAATAGGATTCGTTGCTCATCATATAAATTCATGTCATTACATTTTATACACACCGCACCAACTGACAACACTTGTATTTCTTGATATAATAGCACGCCAAGGAACGCTCGTGTGAAGCGAGTGCTAAAGAACAGAGAGGCCAAGACTGAAGAAAACATCAAAACCGCTATTTTTGTCCGCGGAAGTCAAACTAGTCAAATTGTCAATAATGCTCTTGCCGACCTTGTACGTCCAATATGATCAATGATCTTGTTCGCTGTTGTCTTTAAGGTCTACATAAGTAGAAATGACATGTTGACATGTTATCCTAACCCATTGCTCTGGATATCTCATCTTATGATGTTATGATAATAGTACATGCTCAAGAAGCCCCATGCCATTAACTTCACAAAGAAAAATGAGATTCACCCTTTTGAAGATCAATCCAACCTACAATTCTTTTCGCAAAAGAACGATGCTTCACTTTTCGTCGTTGGAACACACTCAAAGAAGCGCCCCCATACCCTTACTTTCGCCCGCATGTTTGATCATCAGCTTTTAGATATGATCGAAGTCTCTATTCAACATGGAATCCCAATGAAGGACATCAAGGTATGATATGATTTCTCCAATATTCAACAAAAAAAAAAAAATGCACTCATTAATTTTACGTAAAGAATTCACAGGAACTAATACTTTCATCAACGCTCCTTCCCGGATTCTCTTCTTTCACTACTGTTCATATAGACTCCAAAGAGCGCCATTGGAATGAAGCCCTGCTTCTTGTTCAACGGAGACGTTTGGGAACAGAATCCTCACTATATTATGTTCAAGTCAATGCTTCTGGATTTCTATCACGGACAAACGGTTGATAAAGTGGCACTAGCAGGGTTGGAATATGTTATTTCGGTCACAGCGGGGCCGTTGACTTCAGAGGGCAAACCTGGAAAGATTTACTTGCGTACATACACAATCCAATTGAAGCGCTCAGGAGTGAAGCTACCTCGTATTGAGCTTGTAGAGATGGGGCCAAGTTTGGACATGACATTTGGTCGCATTATGGAAGCTAAGCCCGATGTCTGGAAACAGTCTATGAGGGTACCTAAGGAGCTCAAGCCCAAGAAGAAGAAGAATGTCAGCAAAGATGAAATGGGTGACACTATTGGTCGTATTCACTTGGGTAGGCAAGACTTTGACAAGATTCAGACCCGCAAGATGAAGGGACTGAAGAAGAGAACATCAGAGGACAAAGATGAGGGCTCATCGGATAAGAAGCAACGTGTCGATGATAGCGATGATGACGAGTAAAGTAAAGGGAGTTAGAAAAACTAAGGGAGACGCCAATGAAACGGACGTGTTATATTGTAGTCAATGTCAGCATTTTTCATTATCTTTTTATTTTTTTTTATTTTTTTTTGCCTATTTGCATGTAATAAAACCTATATATATCATTATTCCTAGACATCTTATACTGCGCAGACATCTTTATTTCTCTTCAATCTATAGACATACACTTCTTTCTTTTATGTATGGAACATGTATCTGTGAAGAAAAGGGAATGATATTTTATTCTGAGGTAGATTTTAGTATATATTGGGGCGCAGCAGTCGTACAAATCCAAAAGCGTTTTGATAGGAACGCGTATGCTTGACCCTGAAACCTGTCCATATCCGAGCATTCGAGGGAATCAGTGCTTCTCTGGTCGGAGATTGTCTCTCTTTCACGCTTTTTTTTTGCTACTCTCCATCTGTCCATCTCAATCTCCCGATCTGAATAGACACTTTACGCGCGACACCACTTGCTTTGAGAGTGTATATTGATCGAGGCATGAATAAAGGGATAGTACAAAAGGGGTGGAAGAGGGATGGTTGTAGACCAGGTGAGTGGTCATGCATCCTACCGTTTGTTTATCTTTTGTGAGGAGCAGATCCAATGACCATGGCCGTGACCCATGGAAATGGATAGGGGTATGTAGTTTAAAAGGATAGGGGGTATGTTGCACAAATACATGGAATGCTGTCGGTTCAATTTTTTTTTTTCTCCAAAGCGTATATTCAACTCCCTGAATAATGTTTAAATTTTGAGCATGCAAATCTAACTGATGCGCACAGCATCAGGTTTATTTGCAATGATTGCTCATATCAACACATCAATCAATAGGTCAAAAAAATAGCAAGGAAAAATATAGTATATATTGGTACATGCAGGTTGGTGACGAAAGACAAGAGGATGTGTCAGGGGTCTTGACAAAAGAGCTGGCGTAGTCGATTGATAAACAACATTGCATTCAACACATCTGCTCAACAAAAAAAAGCCTTTCTCTGTTTTGTAATCCTTTGGACTAGTGCATTTTTTGGTTTTCCCTCGCTTTTCTCTTTTTCCCTGTCTCTTCCTCCTTCTATCTATCGATCTTGCATAAATCTTGTCTCTGTACAATCAACCATATACATCATTGTCATCTACCCTCTACTTCGCTATCTCTGATCTACTCTGATATTTCCGCCCTTTGTCCTCCACTCGCTTAGCACTGATCCCTTTACTCTCCATCCCCTCCATTCTCTTCATTCCTCCAGAATACTGTGCTCTCTCACTCCTGTTCCTTTGGCTCAGCACTTCGCCGTTATTTTTCTTTTTTTATGCCGTTCGTCCGTATGACCATGCCAGATTTGCTCTTGCTCTAAATCACATTGCATAATCGCCTCAAGGATTTTTTTTTTTTTTTTTTGAGCGCTGGAAGCGGGGACTACAGGAGGGACGAAGCTGCTTCCCTCGCTCGCCGATCATTCTGCATAATCAGGAACACTCATCTCTCCACCACTTGTCTTTCTATCTTTTTTTACATTAGATCCAGGACTTTCTTTCTCCCTGGTCTCTATCAACTCCTCACTTCTTCCTGCATTACACCAAAGCTCAGTCTCCGTAACGAACACTCTTCCTCATCCATTACCAATCGGTCCAATTCTTATTCTATATTTAATATCTTGGACAGACTTTCTCAGTCATCTGTGTATCCCAACTGATCTTGAGATTTCCACCTCCACTCCTAGAGTTTGGATTCGTTGGATATTGAACAATTAGGCAAACAAACACTCAATTCATCTGCATAAGCTGCAGCTGTCTGCATATAAAAAAAGAAAATTGAACGCACGAGGGGTTTTTTTCCGTCGATTACTCTTTTTGGATGGACCAAGCGACCCCATCCAATTTTTATTTGACGCTCTGTCTGTACGTCTCCTTCTACTTTCTCTTCTTCTCCGCAACCACAACAGTCGACGACAACAACAATAACGACACCGCATCAAAATCATCGCCATTCCGATTCCGTATCCCTACAGACCAAGAGCTCAAGGACAAACGTCGCGCCAAATCATTTTCAGAACAACTGGACCCATTCTTGGCAGCAACTCGAAAGGCACAGGCCACTAAACAAGTCAAAGATATTGCAAAAGCACGAGCAAAGGCAACTCTTGGAACAATCAGTGGAGCATATCATTCTCATTCGAGGCATCATTCAAAGCAACATTCAAAGCAATATTCAAAAGGTCATTCATCGTCTACAGCAACCTCTAAGTTTTCCAACACTGGTAACCATTTAAGGCAACACTCAAGGCAAAAGAGTCATCACAGCCAACATCATTACGATAGCTATCGCATTAATATCCCAGGTAGCTACTTTTTCAACGATAATACCTCCAGGAAATCAGCAAGTACTGAAAAGGCCACCAACAACACTCCGAGTGTCCAAGCACGTGAATATAATCACCTCCATTATCAAGGTCAACAAAAGGGATCCCACTTGACGGATTATTTCTCTCCACCTCATCCTCAACCTAATAAACAGCCACCACGATCGCCACGTAGATTCTCGCGTCAGAACCAGAAACGTTACTATCATTTTTCCACAGAAGAACCGTTAATTCGCAAGAAAAAAGACATGACAGCCCCAGCGACGGCCATAACAGAACAACCACCACATGCACAAGCACAAGCACAGCCCAGCCAGCCAAATCAAGGTTGGAATGGTAATAAAGTTGTCCAGTCAGTAGAGGCACGAGAACAACAACATCGTCGTAGTAGTATAAACTGGGCAGATGAACCATTAGGTCAGCCATCACATTCGCAAACACAGGCACAACAGGCGACTTTGAATAGGAACTCAATGTCGCCAGACCGATACGAATCCAAGTGTCATCTTGAAGGTGAAGAGAAAAAAATACGGAAATCACTCTTGCATCCTCTTTTTTTTAAACTACTATCCACAACTGCTCATTCTTTATCTTGACACCTTATGCTTTATTCCCACTCCGCTACATAAACGTTTATCCTGCTCTTTCTTTTTTTATCCTCATCTGCTATCCACTGTTTATTTTTACCTACTTATTTTTGCTTATTTCCACATCATATACACCATGCATAAGAAAAAAGTCCATATCATTAACCAGCTTATCCTTCGATGCCTCTCTTTTAGAATCCGTTACACCTTCGACATTGCTAGCACATCTGCGCGTCTTACGAATGGTTCAAAGTTTAGTGATCGTGGATGATGAAGATTTAGATTTTTTATTTCTGATTCGATCTGAAGAGCGATATCTCAAGTTCCTGGATCTGCTGCAACAGATGGAGCCGCCAATTCATGCAGTTCCCTTGCCACCATTAGGTATGAAGTAAACAAAAAAAAAAAAAAAAAAAAAAAAATAGGGTTTCATACTTTTTATGCGCATAGCTTTGCAAACAAGAAATATGGGAGGGAAAATAACTTCTCCCGACAGATGAACATACGCGCAACATTCCCTTTCCCATCTATGCATCTACAAACTCCCTAGGAATTTTTTTTTTTTTTTTTTTTTTTTTAATGCATGAATGCATGAATGTCCTAAACCTATTCTTTATTTCCGGATATCAAACAAATCGCAATAACAACAATTAGATGTCGCGTTGATGTGGATGGTCCATATGCTGGCACCATTTCGATACCATGAAGACCTTCTCAGAAGCTACAGTCCTCATCTGCTTAATTATGCATTTCCATTGGAGCGATATGTGAGTCAGCATTTGATTGTTGGCATGAAGTAAAAAAAATATACTTATCATTCTTTGTCCCTACAGATTTCACATTAACCATAGTACTTCTTTTTTTTTTAGGTAGCAGCTGTAGACATTGAGAACCCAACGACACATGATGATGCATTTTTGACTAGTAAGGCTATGTGGCTGCAACTTTACCCAGAGGAGCCCTTTGATTTGGATAAGGATGACACAAGCCGGATGTTTGAGATTGAATGCCTTTGGTGTGGCGGCACCAACGTGATGGATAGTTCGACCTTTATCAAATTCCGGATCGATGGCATGTCAATCGACTGTAAAGGCTGTGGATCTCAATGTAGTCTCCAGACTCTATCCTCTAAACGATTCTGGGACGGAGTTGAAGCCTATCGTGCTGATTCGTCCATTCTTCTCGCGTAAGACAAAAAAATAGAGAAAGACAATGGGAAGAGGGAAAAATAAGAGCAAGAAGTGAGCGAGAGTAATGGCATGGAGTATTTTGGTTACAATGAGCTGAATTTCCTTTTTTTTTTTTTTTACGAAACAGGGGATCGATCCTCTCACCTACAACAGGGATACCAGACACAGTAGCAGCACAACGTGAGCACCATCTTCTTTTCTTCCACCCTCGGATCCAATTTGCACTCGATCAAGCATCCGTGTCCCTTAATTGTACATGGCCCAAGGTAATCCAAACGTTTCAGGATCTAGGACCAGATCAATACTATGGAATTCGACCAACGACACTCGCTCGAACGATTAGCTCATATATGGGCCTTGTTGAAGACCGACTGTCGATGGATCTGGTTAGTGGAGCCCTTCGACAGCGTGATTTCCAAAAGGCCATGATGGTTACAGGTGGATTAGCTTGGTGTCAACCTCAGGTTCTGCAACGGTCTCTGGATCGCTACAAAAAATTCATGGTTCTCGCACGTGCGGACAATAATCACACAGGTAAATCATCAGCAAAGCTACGTCGAGGCAGTGGTATCACGGGCATGTCTTCCAAGGCTGCAGGGGGAGGAAATCTTGGAGCAGGCCAACCCGGTCGACATGCATTAGTCCCTACATTGGATATTGATCTGGCCTGGCATACACACATGTTGGACCCAGCACACTATCGATACTATCAATTAACCCATTACGGCAAGGTGTTGAACCATGATGACACCATCCAGGCATCCTCGGCAATGACAAAGCAGGATTTTATGAGGACTGCAGAGCTTTGGCAGGACCTTTACCAGGAAAAGTATAGCACTCAACAGATGACATGGCGAAAACAAGGGGCCATGTTGACACCAGGCAAATTGTGTGCAGGTGTATGCTTTCCTCCTTTTGGCGTCTATCTACTCTGGAAGCACTGGAGATCCAACAAAAAGGCCAGACAGGCAAATGGAGGCCCTGGCTCTGAGAAGAAAACAAAAAAGACCAAACAAAGTAAAAAAAGCAAGCGGGGAAACGAGGAGACTAAAACGAATAAAGACACGGAAAAGTCGAAAGCTGAGGAGAGCAGCTTTAAAGAGAAGGAGGGCTCCTTGACTTACGGCGACAAAAACAACGATGCCGATAGTAATAACAACAACAATAGTAATCAGAATTGTAATAATAATAGTAATAATAATATTAATAATGGTAATGGTAATAATAACGGCGGCAACACCACCAACAAGCCTGGAAAGCGTTCAGAGCTGATGATCGAAGAGCTGGCAGTTCAGGATGAATCTTTGTCATCACAGCAAACACAACGACATGATGTAAAAGGCAAGGGAAAAGTTGTCAGCAACGATGTACATCTGGACCTTAATAACAACAAAAACAGAACCAGCTCTCCAGACCATGGTGCAAGGAACCTCACTGCAGGACTTGGTTTAGATGGACGATTGAGCAATTGGAACGGTGATGCTGCGGGACCAGCCGGGTAAGAACAAAAATAAATGATAAGCAATCATCCAATTTTACAATCATAAGGAAGACTAATCTTTCCTTTTTTTTTTTTTTTTTTTTTTTTTTTTTTGTATTAGACAAGCATCATGTTCATCTGGAGCCTGTGTCATGTCACCATGGAACGAACTTCAAGGTAAATAAAACATTAAAAAAAGGCTCTGTGTATCTGTTATACCTGTTACCTTTTGAAGGAAAGCTTTTCGCTAAAACTGGCCAACTATTTTTTGTTTTTGCACGTATAGACCTTGCTCCCATTGTTAATCTGCACCAACAACCGCAACAACAACGTGAGCTTAGGAAGGAAAGGACATGATGTCTGATGTTTTTATTGTAGTATATTTACCATGTTAATAACAATAATAACAACACGATTGCGTTTATTTCATTTGTATACACCATGAGATGCAATATATTGTTTTTTTATTTTTATTTTTTTTGTGGTTTAAGCGTTATTTGCCAAGGAAGTGAGTGCTTGAGCAGCATCTGTATCATCCTCAGATTGCTTGGCCCGAATATTCAACATGTCTACATCCTCAACCGACTTTTCAGGACCCGAAAGATCAACCTTTGGCTCGTTATCGTTACTAGCTGTATCAACTACCACAACTACAATACCACTGTCCCGATGACGTGATTCACCTTTAGCATTTTGTAATTCAGCTCCCAACATCTTCTCCTGCTGCTGCTTGGCACGCTTGGGTGAGTTTAATAAAGCCTTGGTGGCTGCACTCTCTTCATCCTCAAAAGTGCCTTTGTATGATGAGGAACGCTTACGGTGGTTTGGACTAGCAGGATAAGACATGCTAGATGTCACGGATGACGAAGGTGAAGCAGGCATTTCCTCTGCTGGATTCGTTGCTGCAGATCGATCCATCTCCTTCTCTTGGACCTTCTTGCTACCCTGTTGCTTTGATGCAGATTGGCTCTTGTTTGATCCATTCGCTGTGTTTCGCTTCCTTTGTACAATCCAAGGTTCTTCCTGGATGAAGATCGGCTCAGGCTGAGGTGGACGCGCAGGGGCAGTAGGTTGCAATGAAGTGGGTTGCTGAGATGGATGAGGTGGGTATCCATGCTGATGATGAGGATGATGAGATGGGGGAGGAGCATGGGGGTGAGGAGGGTATCCGTACGAGGGGTGATATGGATATGGATAAGGGTATCCATGAGGGTAACCATGTCCAGGCATGTAGTGATTAGGATGAGGTGGGGGTGGGGGTGGTCCATCTGGAACCTCATGTCCCCAGTGAGGATAAGGCGAGGTAGCGGGCGAGGGTCCAGAGGGAGGCGAAGTCACTGAGGGCGAACGGGGCATCATGGGTGAGAGCATAAATGGTGAAATAGGACCTGGTTCATCTCCGGACCTTTGATGGTGGGGTGACAAAGTTTGGCTATTGCGATGGCCATTGCTCTTGCCTGCTTCACTACTGCTGCTGTTACTATTTGCTTGGTTATAAGAAGGATGGAGGTGCTGCTGAGAAGGGATCTTGAGCGGCGGCAAAGTTGAACCAGAACGATGAGCTCCAAATTTACTATTAGAGGACCCGTTAGCAGAAGATGGAGGGCTCCGATGTTCAGCAGCGAGATCATTGCTTGAGGTGGATTGACCTGTTGGTCCAGATGGCGACTGGAGCTGTAGGCTGGCTAGTGAGGTGATGGGAGGCAACGAAGGCGAAGGCGATGCAGAACGGTGCTGCATGAAAGGAGATAGTTGATTCTTGTCTTTGCTGGAAGAGTTCTCGGAGCTTGTCCCCTGAGAAAAGGGATTCTGGCGTGTGGAGGGAGAAGGAGATACTGGCGAAGGAGGGAAAGCAGATGAGGAGCCATTCGAGCCAATATATTTTGAGGGCGGGAACATGGGCGATGTAGAGAACGAGCTTGCAGGGCTAGCACAATCAGTCAGAGAATTGGAGCGTTGATGATAGGACTGTGTGCCATTATGTTCTGAAGGGGCAGTGATGATGGAAATAGGTGGAGGCATAAGTGTATCTTTGGACTGGGTAGAGGATACTTTATCTGAGGATGGACTGGGAGCGTTGGTGACGATCACGGGTGGATTGGCCATAACCTTGGCAGGTGTAAGTCTTGGTGACTGTGAGCGCGAGACGGAAGACATGGCTGAGAACGATGAGGATCTGGAGGAAGCTCTCTCCGCATGTGTGAGCTGACCCTCCTCAATCTCATCGTTTTCTTCCTGCTTGACCGACTCGGCCGTATCCACATCCATAGACATGCTCTCCCCCTCTGTTGTTGTCGCCGTTGTTGTTGTAGTAGCAGTTGCACCTGTGCTAGTCTCAGCTCCTACTGTAACTGATACTTCAGGAATAGAAAAGCCTTGTTCCTTTGCAGCATCAAGAGACCGGGTAAGCGCAGTGTTAGTCTCAGTCAGGAACTTGATGTGTGCCACAGCTCCACGCAGGACATTGACGCGATGACATTTTGAAGTGACCTCCTCGAGGTGCTTTGGAGGAAGCAATCGGGTAAGATCGTCAATCAACTACCAAATGCAAATGCGTGAGACAGGAAGAAAGAAAGGGTGAGAATCAAAGTTTGATCAAAGAATTTTTTTTTTTGTGTCGCACGAACTGAGACAAAATCTCAGAACCAAACCCAGAAGAGGAAAAACCGGGGACATGTGCTCCTCCTACAGCGCTTTTTCATGTCTGGTATCTGATGATGACCACTAAAAGAGGAAGTACTGTATTGAGAGTTGTCGATTTTTTACCTGATTGATGCAATCGCGCCTTTTACGTTCGACACGGTTATGGGTCTCTCTCCGCCGCTGCAGTTTGTCTAATGCAGTTCGGGTATCGAGCGGCTTACGGTTCAAGATATTGACACCTGCAAGGCCAAAAGATTTTGTGGTATTGTATGTCTCGGAAGAGATACTTCCTTCAAATCGAAAGGTCTTTGGAGCAGTTGATGACTTTGATGAGGATGTGGATGTAGTCTTGCTATCAGATGGTGCGGTTGCAGCTTTGCCATCCTTAGCCTTTGATGGTGTGGACTTTGACTGGCTAGGCTTTGCTGTTGACTTTTGTGCTGCTGAGGATACGTCAGTGGCCGGATCAAAAGTGGATGAAGACTGAGCAGATGGTGAGGTTGGCACGGATGGACTTGCTGAGATGGTATCATGAGGAGCAGGGGGTTGAAGGTGAGTTGATGATGGATAAGGAGCATGATGGTATGCGAGATGGGCTGGGGGATGTGATGGATAAGGGGGATAAGGTGCTGCAGCATATGGATGGTATGGGTAATAGGGTGGTTGTTGATGGGAGGATGGAGGTGGAGGGTGTCCAGGATGATGGTAATAATGTGGGGGCGGATAGGCGGACGAATGTGGAGATGGAGGATGTGAATGGCTGTAGCTAGGATGTGTGCTCAGGCCTGATGAAGTGGAGGTGCTATGACTCGAGCGTGAGGAGTGAGAGTGGGACTGAGTGGAGGTCTGAAGCCCAGGCCAGGGAGCATTATTTGGTGGCACCATTATTTCCTGATTTGCCATGATGAAAATTTGTATCTGTGTGAAATTCTGACTAGGAATGAAGGACTGAAGCGGAGAGAGCAAAGTGTACAAGTGGAGAAAATAGGGATTGAAGGATCAAGTGCAAATGATGCTGTTATGCCAACTAGAGTAATAGAAAGAATAAGAGGAAATCAAACTAAAGTGAGAAAAAAAAGGTCAAATGGTTCAAGAAAAGAAGAAAGAAGGAAAGAAAGAAGGAAGAAAGGAAGGAAAGAAAGGAAAATAAAATAAAAATAAGAGGAAAGCACTTTGACTAACGGGCGGAACAGGTTTATTTTTTTTTTGGTCGAATCCTCGGTAACGAAAGAACGAATAGACGCTCCTCCGTACACGCATACGTTATTATTACTGTAAATAATAAGGATCCACATTCGATTCAATTGCAAATCTCTAAACAAAACTTTTTTTTTTTATTTGGCTGGACTGTAGAGCAAGAGCAATGGACAAAAAAGAGTTGGAGGGGCATGTGCTGCACAAACTGTCCAGCTGTCCGAAATTTACTCCTTGTTCCTTTTGTGTCAACTTTTTCTCGTCTATCTTTTTTCGGTAATATATATTTATTAATTGTCAATTGTAAATTATAAAGAGATCACAATCAACAAACAAATTGTCTATGTTTTGAAATTCAGTAAATACATCCAAGTTATCTGATGGATGCAATCACAGCAAAATTCAACTACATAAACATATAAATATATAAATATTTATTATATATAATATACATGTGTATGCAACTGTTATTTGACCTTGAGTATAATAACTCCAGTATTAAGTAACCACGCAACAGTTGAACGATCTATCAAATCCATATAGCCGCCTCAGATCCCTTTAACATGGCTCACCTTGACCTTGCTCTCTGCTGAGAGAAAAGACCTTTTTTTTTTGGCATCCATCAATTTTATTCTTTGTTCGCGGTTACTTGTATAAAACGTTTGTTTTTCTGGGCGAGTGTACAACAGGTGCAAAGTTATTCCTGCTTTGGTTTAATGTTTGAGTTTCTTGTTGACATCCAAGCGCGAGCATATTAGCAAGAATATTATCAATATGTATATATACCAATACTGCATTTACCATCCTATATGTATATATTTATTTCATGATACTCGTCAGTCTTGCTCGATCTCATACCATCTCTGATCAGAACAATAAATGTTGAAATATCGTATTTGACGACAACAATGACGATGATGACGAGAAGGAAAAAAAAAAGGTCCTTTATCAGCTTTTGTGAAGGGTTGACAAACTAAAAAAGTCTGAATGAATGCATGAATAAGGGTGCAATGCCTGTATGCACATCTGATTTCAGGGGGTTTTGCAGCGAGCGAGCTACTTTTGGTCAGACACCTCGCTTCCTTTCGTTCGGGGACATGTTCTTTCCCAAATCAGGCCCATGTGGACGGATGGACAACAAACTATTCGAGGCATTCCAAAACAAACAACAGCTCGGCTTTACATTTACCTGATAAAAGTTTACAAAATGGAAATCATGGAAACATGGAATCATTGCCATAATAATTTTATTTGAATCTTTGTTGTACAATCACAACCTCCGCTCAATCTTTGCCTCAATGTGTAAATTCGCCCTGGAAGTCTGGGCGGGGGACACAAACCATCCATTTGAGCCTACTACAACCCAAAAAGCTAATGTCCAGACCTGCTCATCGTTACCAATACTTTTCTTTTCTTTTCTTTTCTTTTTTGTATTATATATTTGGATTATTGGTACTTTTGACTTTGAGTATGTAAAAAACACGACTTTAATACCTGGCGACTCTATTTTAATAGAAGTCATGAGTACATCTTTCACCAAGACCCCAATCTGGATTGGAAGGTCTTAGTCTATGTAATGCACATGAAAAACACTAAATCTAAGCATTTGAATAGAAATAGCCGTAACTGAGCTCGAGGTCTATTTTCTAATTCTCAGGTTGTTATTCCATTTTTTAAAAACAAATACATACAAATATTTTATAAATAATCGCGCCAGAAAAAGAAGTTTTAGCCCTGTGGTCTCTTGATGTTATTTCGTTGATCAATCTACCCTTGAAAGTGTATACTGTCTTCAAAAAAAAAAAAAAAAAAAAAAAGAGAGAGACAGGTTATTTACGACACCGAGTCTTTATCTCGAGCAATTCCCCGTTGGCGGTCTTTGAGTTCGCACTCAATTGGATGAGAAGAGAGTTGAAGATACACACATGTAGACCTTAAAATATGAATGTAAATTCGATGAATAAAGAATCTTGTTATTGGTGTAAATATATATATATATATATAAGTCGCTAATAAACAGTTTGCTGGACAATCTTCGAAAAAGAGATGATCAGACATTCTAGAAAAGTATAAAAAGGACATGTCCAATAATTTGAGCTCAAACACAATAAACTACTAACCCGTCTTTTGTGATCACACACCCATAAACACAACATGAAACTTTTTTTTCACTCTCGACACTAAGACTAGACAGACCAGAGGGCCAGGCTCTCAGTCCATTCTTGGGACTCACTGGGTCTTCGACTTCCCCTTTAGGGTCATTCAGTCCATACATTTTCCCTTTTCGTTGCATGCCTCCGTTTATTTTTAGCTCCCCATTGGTCTTCTTGTTTATTGTGTGCTTTGTTTCCATGGAACATTAGGAAGGCCATACATTTTATCATTTTATCATTTATCATTTATCACGTTGTTCCTTTTGCCTGTTGGACTCTTTTTACAAATCAAGCTTAGCCAAATAAAAAAAAATTGTTTAAATGCAAAGCCTCAAGCCTCGCATTGACAGCAACTTCATCTAGGTTGTATCTCCCATTATCGTAGCGGATTGAAACAGAAAGGACTGAACATATGACTTATGAAAGAAAAATAGCATCGCCCACCTCATTTTTTTTACTTCAAAAATTCCGGATACGGAATTCTAAGAAGGGATTATCCATTTACATTCACACGCACGCTTTTTTAAGGCCTAAACATGCTTATTCATTTCTTCACTTTCGCCTCATCCCTGCACCTTTTTTTTCTCCTATCTCAATCTAAATAATGGACAAATAAGCAAATCGCCCGCTTTTTCTGCTTGGCTAATGAGATAAACAGAGTTTTAGGCAATCGCCCCAGTTGCATATGTAGACTAGCCATAGTAGCAAATAATAAACTATTCTTGAACGTAAGGAGATTTTTTTTTTACCGAGATTTTCTAGTGATTTTTAATGCCAGTTAAAGTTAGAATGGGTACATTTACATATTTATAATAAACAGTGTCATACGCCTCTCAACTGTCTAGGCTTTCTCATCATTGAAAAATGAAAATAAAAACAAGCTCCTTTATTTGCGTCCTTCAGTTCAACGCCCAAGATTGGAAAACACGCCGCGTGGATTAGTTTACTTCTTTTGGGCATATGCGCTTTTGGGAGAATGGTTGTCTAGAATAGTCGTACATGTGCAGTCGAACCTCTTTGATGTCGTTACACAAATTTAGGCTTGTTGCTCCTTGTATAAATATATTTTACGATCAGATTTCACTCACAGCAAGTAGATTCTTGATTGTGAATTGCATTGCACAAATCCACATTTATATAATACCGTCCATGCTTATTCATGTATCCAGACACATGTCGATATTTATATTGTCGAACGCAAACTATCTACAGCTATACATTTGACATCACTTTTTATCTTTCATCGCCTTTTTTATCTTTATTCAAAGAGGCAAGGTAAAGGGTGAAAGGAATTAATTGGGTGATGTCTGGACGACAAATAAGACGAAGCTACTAAGTGGCTCCATCCTTCGTCACGAATTGAAGCTTGATGACTCGATCGCTACTCTCAAGAGGGCCATCAAGGAAGAGAAAAAACCTAAATTAGACGATACCTCCACTGTGCCGCCATTTCAATGGACGTTGATGACGACGAGACAGAGGACAAACCAATTTCATTAGAGGAGCACAAGGCAAATGTAAAGAAAATAGCCGCGAAGCAGGCAACAAACAATATCTTCAAGCTATTTGACATCACCTCTGCCTGAGGAGACTATCCGCGTCGTAAGGGAATAGCTGATTGCTTCTGTTCTAAAGTTTTGTAGTTCTTGGCCCAAATATGTCACTGAAAACAGTCACGTAAAGGGTCCTCAACGCCTGACTCCAAACTAGGCACGGCTGCCTTGCAGTGCGTGCGTATGCATGTGCGCTTCGTCCGTTGGCTGGTGACAGCCAATGCTTGCGCTTTTTTCCTCTCTCTCCGCGTTTAATTAAAGGTAATTACGGTCATTGATTAGCGGATGATGACTCGTTTATGCATTTGATTACCATCCATTTTCTCTGCACCATTTTTTACTTCATTCTGTACACCTCTCTACGCATTTTTTTTTTTTTTTTTTTTTTGCCTCTGCACACCACTTTATTTTTTTGACTCCCTGCCCTTTTTAACTCTCTCCGCAAACCATCTTATTTCCCTCTCTTCAGACCTTTTTTTTAAAGGAAGTGGGGGACGGAACAATGGTTAGTAGTATTCAGCTCCGTCCACATCCCTTTGCATTCTTTCGCACTTTTTTCTTTATCTCTCTTCCTCGATTTACCACACATCTATTAAGAAAAGCAGTGTTTTTTAATCAACGTCGCTCTCTCACTTCACTCTCGATTCTGTCTCCTCCCTGCTCTTTTCTCTCTGTCGAGTATTTCACATTCTTTGTTCTATCATTAATCTATTACTAAGAGAATTACTATTTGTTCCTAATGTTTCTGTTCATGTATATGTAGATATCTAATCAAACTAAGGGATGTAGTTGATTCAATTGATCGCGCTTTGAAGCACTGTATCGCACGTAGCTTCACTTCTTTAGCTCCGGTTGATATACTTCGGGCTCAAATGAGCAGGGGTAGCTATGATATTGGTGGTTATCAGAAAGATTATACATGGCAACCCCGAAAGTGGCGCCTTGTGATCGATCTGTTTGATTGGCACTATTTTTGACTTTTGAATTTGAGTGTAATAGTAATGTAATCTCTAATTGGATTTCCTTACCCTTTCCTTGTATGATATCATAGGAGATGACAGTACCAAAAGCACATATAAAATGGGCGACTACCAAGATTCCACATCAGGAACATGTGTTCTTCCCCAATTTCGTGAGACATTTCAGATTGGCAGACAAGAGATCTGGAATCAAGATGTTTGAAGACCTTTTGGAAGTTCTCACCAATCGCAGTAAAAGT